ATGGACATTTTGACTTTGTAAGGAGTAGCAGCTGGAGAAAGGTTGAGGTCAGCTGGACATAACAAAAGGGAGCAAAGCTGGGACGAAAACGAGGACGAGGACGAGGATGAGCAGGACGGCAGTAACGCGGAGGTTCGGCACGCGAAGGCAAACGGAGAAGGAACATGGAATCGAATGGGACGAGCAACCTAACGACGCTGGAAAGCAAGTATCTGACCGTACCTTACGGATGTCAGTACCTTTTGCAGGCTGTGAGCCGTTGGCTGCTGGTGCTGGTGCTGGTGCTGGTGCTGGCTGCCCTGAGCATCGACGTAATGGGTTCTGGAAGGAAAACAGGACGGGACGGAGTGGACGGGACGCTGGACACCAGTTACGGTTCCTCGGCATCTTCTTGGCGGGGGGACAGGTTTGGATCATGTCAGTCTGACCTCACACGCCGTCGTCAAATGCAAAGTCCTAACAGCATACTTTTGCCTCAACGTGCGGCAGTAAAGTTACGTTGAGTTACCTTTGCGCCTTCCAACCTGGGGTGAGGTACTGAAGTAAGCCAGATACCGTAAGCAATGGAATGTCGCACTTGCACCTGTACCTTCCTCGGCTTCCATTTGACGCTCCATGCAATGGAAGGTGCACCCTGCCGAGAGTGCCTTCCTCTGCCAACAGTGCCTTCAAGCTTACATAAGTTATTCAAGTACGGATAGAGGATGACTTTGACTTTGACTTTATCGTGCCTAGGTGCATAGAAGACATCAAGGAATGACCCGATCATTGGCCTCAGGAACCTTTTGGCCGCTTTCATTTCTTATCAAACCTCCACGGATTTGCGTTGCAGCTGTCAACTCTCAGCACCGCCGAGGCGCACTGCGTTAAGGTACCTATCGAGGTACCGTTCAAGTCCGACCTTTCCCACATTATTACTGCTGAGCTCACCGTCTAACATGTCATGCAGTACGTATCGTGGCCGCCACCAATTGGAAATTGAAAGACACGGCACTCACCTGGGTAAGCTCCCGCCGTCACCGTCAGAGACACCTCATCTCACCTACAACGGCATGCGCATACGCAGTCATTGTCGCACAACACAGGGCAGAGCAGAGCAGAGCAGGGAGCCGACAAGGCAACGCCAGGCGTTCGGGGGACGAGGGACGAGGCAGACCGAAGCGAAACAAGGCAACGACGATATCCCGAACACGCAGCAGGTTTATTATTACTGCCGTGCATCCTTTGTTGGAGATTGACATTGTTGTTATTCGCCGAGGCCTTGCGCAGCCCCTGAAGGAGGCGAATGAGATGGCCAAATGGCGAGATGGTCTCGAGACCAAGTCTACCGATACAGCCTACCTATAGAGTACTGACTACGATACCTATGCGCCTACATGCTTAGGCTTAGGTACAGCGGGAGCTGCGCAGTAGTGTGCGACTTGAGTACATGGCACCATGATGGAAGAGATCACCAGCGCCCAGGGCTGCAGCAAGCCAGTGCCACAGGGGAACCATTGCCAGACGATTGAACGACGAGACCGATGGTTCCAGCGTCAGCTGCTTTCTGAGACTCGAGAACGAGAGCTCCTCTTCATCAGCAAGCTGCCACTGTCATTGCCATTGCCATTGCCATTGCTCTGCCATGCCATGCCATGCCATGCCACACACCCTCTCCCCTTTTCCATGCCAGCGGGACCCCTGTCTGATCGTGAGCTGTGCACATGGCGTTGTACCTTGCCCGTACCGTACCTCGAGTGCCTTTTGGACTGGCCATGATCCTTACTCACAGCCGTTCCTGGGATTGGAATTGTTCTTTTTCCTTCTACTTCAGGCCTCCCCTGGGTTCCCCAGAGCCTGTTTACCTATCGCGAGCCCAGGACTGGGGAGGGCATGCAATAGGTACGTACCGAATGACTCCCCTGACAGACCGAGTTCCTGAAGGTTTTTTTTTTTCTTTCTTCGATTCTTTTTTTTTCTTTTGTGTTTTCCTCAACTGTTCGGCCCCTCTATGAATACCCTCCTTCGGCTTCTCCCTGCTGACCCCTGTTTGTCCGTTGTTAGGTAGGTCCCCGTCCAATCCACTCGTCAATCATTCTAAATCCACACCTCGTTTTTCTCTCTCTCTCTTTTGATGACGATACGCCTTCATCTTCCCCCCTCGGCTGGAGGCTCCCTTGTGTTTCTGCCCAGCTTCCCCATTCCTACCTCTGTCGCAGGCTCTCTTTTGCTGGCTGGCTAACTGGGCAGACTGGCGCTTCCTCCCATTGCTAACAACGCCGATGACTTCTGCCCTGCCCTGTGCCTGGTGGTTGAGGAACAGGCGGCTGTCTACCTCGTACCTTTCCCTGCCCTTGTCGGTTCTTCTCTCCCCCAGGTCGCCCTAGGGCCAGGGCGTCAGCGGAGCCGGGTTCCAGGTTGATGTATTTCGTACCGACCATTGTGATGTTCCATTCTTACGCCGTTCGGCCTTGCGCGCGACTCTGCGTTACCATCTGCCCCAGCCCGGGACGCAGCCCAGTGGCTCCGCCTATCGACCTTTTTAGAATTGTGAGGAGAGCAACAGATAGAGACAGAGCCAGAGAGACACAGTCAAGCGGAGAGAAACACGCAGAGACTCGGCTCAGAAAACAAGATGAATGTGACTTCCACGATGAATGGTGCAGTTTACTTCCATTGTACGAATACCGCGTAAAGGGTACGTATCCTGCCGATGACGGATTAGCGCCTGTCCCAACTTACGCCCCGTCGTCCTCCCATTTCCCCATTTCGCCCTCGTCAGTGTCCTTCGTGTCCGCTTTTACACTATTTACTACGTATTTATTTTATTTCTCGGTCTGTCATTGTGGCTCCCGGCAGGGAATACGTACCTATCTTTCCCTCTCTCTCCCCTTTTGCTTGTGCGCGTAACTTCTTTCGCATTCCTCGTCTGGCCTCTTCATTACCCTCTCAGGTACCTTGCTGTGCTGTGCATCCGTACCCACGAGCCTTTGGCCTTACACCACTACCACCTCTCACTCCCTCCCGGTGTTGCGTTGACGTTCCTTTCCTCACTCTCCACACAGGCCACAGGGCAACGTATCCCGTACCGTACCTTGCCTTACTTTTCTGTATGTGCGCTGCACTTTGAGGTACATGACGGCGCTACTGCATCAAACAGTACGTACCTACCTTACCTTACATTCCCTCGTCCTCCCTCCTACCCATCTATCTGGGCGTCCATCTTGGCTCGCTCCCGTTTTACCTCCACACCTTCCCTGCAAACACAACTCTGCTCCCCCCCCCTCGTCTTCTCTGTCGCCGCTGGCCGTCATTTTCTCGCTGTGTCTGCTGCCCTTGTCGCTCCCCGGGGTACTCGGTGGCAGTATTCGTACCTTACGGATACACTGTCAGAACGGTACGAATCCCATGGCCTGGGATGGCAGTCTTTCTCTCTGTCTCTCTGTCTCTCTCAACCCAGCACACACACACCTTGACTACCTTACCTACCTGGACTTGTTCGTTTCCCTTCGTTTCCACCCTCTCCTCTCCTGACCCTGACATTTTTGTGCTGGTCTTTGCCCTTACTCCAAAATAAAGCTCTTGGCTATGCCTCCTTCCCGCTCCGTTCACTCATAATTTCCCGGGCCCCAACTACCACTACGGCTCCCACCCACATAAGACCTGACTGCCACCGCACACTCCCGTCCGTATGCCAGTCTCATACGCACCGCACCTCCATTGCTTGCTTTCATCAACTACCATTGCTACCACCGACGACTGGCCTCGCACCTTGCTGGTTCAAATACATTTTCCTCCCACAACCTTTTTCTTCAACTCGCACACACACGACTTTCTTAAGAGAAAAGTAACCTCATTGTGTGCAACAGAACCGGCTTCCGAACCGAGAAATCTCCCCGTTGACTCATCTACAACCTGCTGCTTCGCGTGTGTTGCGCCCGCGCGCACCCTCCCGAGCAACCATACGCTTGTTGCGCCGAACCACATCTCACCCGATTCACGCTCGATTCTCTGCCGGACACGAGCTCGCGCGACCTGGAACTGGATCTCGAACTGGAAATTCAACCAGCTGGCAAGGAAGCTAAACAACAAGAAAAAAAACGAACGAGCATCCGCTGCGGGAACATTGCATTGCGGCCTGCCAATGCTATCCGTCCCGTCAACCCCAACTTGGAAATAGGCCCCATTCATCGACCTGCATACCGCCTGCCACATCATCTCTCGCCTTTTTGCCGTGAGCCTTCGCAGCATTGCTATTAGGCCACGCCCAGCGAAGACCGCAAAAGACTTGAGGCAGGGACTCCGAGACCGAGGACGTACAACTGCGGCCACAATTGGCCCATCCTTCATTGCCCGTCCGCCCTGCCACGCCTGGCTCTGGTCGCCTGCAGTATCCGTACCCCGTACGACCTCCTTTTGACGACCATCCGCGCCATACTCTACCACCCGCGTGGTCCTGTCAGGTCCTTTGGCGCGCCGCATCGCACCGCGCGCCTCCGCTCCAGCGCAGCACTGCAGCGATCATCAGTCTCCCCACGACTGCTGCATCCCTCTTGAGCAATCCTTGCCTGCCAGATAGGCCCCGTGTGTGTGGAACGCCCACCTCTGTATCTCAGGATCGACTTCTCCCACGCATTCCCCGCATTCTCTAGCTATCCCTCTACGGGCCGTTCCACACGACCACCTCTCCAAGGATGCAGTCTCCAACAGCTACTCTTTCCATATAAACGACAGATCGTCCACCTTGGATCTCCCTGAGGACCTCTTCAAACCCGCATGTAGCGAAGGCTACCCCCACGACTATCATGTCCTCTACTTCTACTCCTACACAACAAGTACCAACACCCTCACCCTTCTTCAAACCTACCATGACACCTCAGACTGCACAGCTCAGGCGCACACGCCCAAGTTATGTACAGACAAACCTTCCTTCAACAACAACACAACAACATTCTACGATACCAGCCTCTGCTATAAGCGCTTCCTCCGTGGCTTCCAGCTCACAGCAGGGCTCTCCCATCATGTCGCCCGAGACGGCCGTTATTACGAGCAACAGCTCGGTCCAGGCCTCGCCTGAGCAGAGGGGACGTGAGCTCACCGATGACCAGTTCTCTGCGGGCCCTTTTCAACTACCAGAGCCGGTTCTCTCGAGGAAAACCAGCGACAATTCTCTAGGCCAGACCCTGGTGGGCAGCCCAAGTGCCATGTCAGAGGCCGTCAACAAGGGTAACAACATCATCAGGCGTTTATCGAACAGGGCAACGGCCAAGTTCTCCCGCCGCAGGACGTCCTCCGCCGCGCCCAAGAGCCGTGACGGTAGCGTCGGCCCTGGCATGCTCCGAAGACGAAGTGACAGCAATAACACGGCCCCACCCGACCTTGCCGCGTATAGCGACTCTGACGATGAGTTCGTTGACGAGATGGACGATCTCCGGTCGCTGATTGGCGGTCTTGATGGGGCTCTTCGGGAGTCTTCCTCGAATAGCACAACAGCGTCTCTCGCGGGCTCCACCTCTCCTTCGAACACCACCGCCGGTCCTGTCATTCCCTTTCAGCTGCTCAAGGGCACCTGGATCAGGAAGGTCTCCAAGAAGAACTGGAAGAAGCGCTTCGTCCTGGTCTTTGACCAAGAAGCGGCCAAGATTTCCTGGGACAAGAACCGGCCCCACAAGTGCCTCTACATCGACGACATCAAGGAGATCAGGACCGGCTCCGACATTCGGCAGTACCGCATTGACTACGGCGTCCCGGAAACCGAGGAGGGCCGTTGGTTCTCCATCATGTATGCAGTACCTGATAAGTCAAAGACCAAGATGATGCATCTCGTTGCCGATGACGACAGTACCTTTTACAACTGGGTCACTACTCTCGAGGCCATCTCAAAACATCGACAGGATATGATGGCCTCGCTGATGGCCTTTAACGATCGCGCCATTCGCGACTACTGGATTACGGAGATGAACAAGCAGTGTGCCCCCGGCGAAAAGCACCCCAACCCCATCGAAGAAGGCGACATTGACTTTGACGGGGTTCAGCGGGTCTGCCGCAATCTTCACATCCATGCTTCGCCGAGCCAGCTTCGCGCCAAATTCCATGCAGCTGATGTCACCAACACGGGTCGTCTGAACTTTTTCGAATTCCAGACCTTCGTGGGTTACATGAAACGACGTGACGACATTCGCCAGATTTACAACCAGATTGCGGCTCAGCCTGACGCTGGTCTCACCGTCAAGGAGTTCTTGACCTTTTTGCGGGAGATCCAGTGTGAGAATGTCGACGCTGACCTTGCCGCTTGGGAGGCACTGTACAGCAAGTTTGCGCGCAAGTTCCGCTCGAGGGAAACCGAAAAGCCCGAGACAGGCAGCCTGGACAGTCCGAGAATGGGTGATGCCGCCTTTGCCGCATTTCTGACCTCCACTTACAACTTGCCTGTGTACAAGGAACCCAAGGAGTACACCCTGGACCGACCGTTGAACGAGTATTTCATTTCCAGCTCTCACAACACTTACCTGCTTGGTCGACAGGTCGCTGGTCTGTCCAGTGTCGAGGGGTACATTTCGGCGCTCGCCCGCGGCTGCCGCTGTGTCGAAGTCGACTGCTGGGATGGCGCCGATGGCCAGCCTACCGTCAACCACGGTAGAACTCTTACCACCTCAATCAGCTTCCAGGAGACCATGACGACCATCAACAAGTACGCCTTTGTCAAGACCCGCTACCCCCTCTGGATCTCATTGGAAGTTCACTGCTCTCCTGCCCAGCAGGCCGAGATGGCCCGCATCATCAAGGAGACTTTCGGCGCTCGACTCGTGACCGAGCCCTTGGACCCTTCCTCCGACAAACTCCCCACTCCCGAACAGCTCAAGGAGCGTGTTCTGATCAAGGTTAAGCGCCCTCAGCCCAGGGAGGAGCCCAAGCCGGCGGAGGCAACCGGACGACGACGTGGTAATAGCCTCACTTCGCCGTACCCGAAGCCCGTTCAGCTCGACAACAGCGCCATTCCGGTCATTGCGTCGCAGTCCTTGCCTCAGAGCCCTATCTTGAGTCCCAGTCACTCTTCCCGACGGCTGGTCAGCAAGAGCCGGGTGAACACCATTACGGAGGGTGAGGTTCAAGAGGCCATGAGCAGCAGCACAAGCGACAACGACAGCGCCGGTGAGCGCGCACCCGCACGGAGGTCAGCGAACAAGACGGTCAAGGTTCTCGGAGACTTGGGTGTATACTGTGCGGGACTCAAGTTTAGCGGATTCGACACTGCCGACGCGAAGGCTTACAACCACATTTTCTCTTTCATGGAATCAAGCTTCTTCAGGAACAGCCGGGACAAGGAGGAAAGGGTTGCTATGGACCGACACAACATGCGCTACATGATGCGTGTGTACCCCGACCGTACAAGAATCACCTCGAACAACTTCAACCCAATCAGCTACTGGCGCAAGGGAGTGCAGATGGCGGCCCTCAACTGGCAGACTTTCGACCTTGGCATGCAGATGAACCAAGCCATGTTCGAGAGCGGCACCGACAGATCCGGATACGTCCTGAAGCCCACCGAACTCCGCGAGATCAAGAGGCTGCCCGAGGAGTGGTCTGGCAAGCGAGAGCGCAAGGAGGTGGTCTTCAGTGTCGATGTGATCTCGGCGCAGCAGCTCATGCGCCCCAACGGTATGCCGGCCAACAAGACGGTTGACCCATATGTTGAGGTTGAGGTCTTCCACCCAAGCGACAAGAGAGACAAGATGGAGGTGGACCCCACCATGGCCTCGGTCTCGGATTCGCCCCTCAAGTACAGGACCCAAGTGATTCCGGAGAATGGCTTCAACCCGATCTTTGATGGGAAGTTCACATTCAAAGTCACGACCAAATTCCCCGAGCTCATCTTCGTCCGCCTCTCGGTGAAGCTTTCACACAATGGCGAGAGCTACAACGACCGCCCTCCCGTCGCAACCCACACGGCCAAGCTGAGTGGTCTGAAGCGTGGCTACCGCACTCTTCCGCTGTTCGACCACAACGGCGAGCAGTACCTCTTTTCAACACTCTTCACACGTGTCAGCGTCGACTCCGTCCAGACGGTTCTCTTCGAGAACCCGGAGGACAACGCCGACAACACCAGCACGAACAGCAAGCCTCGAGGCATCGGGCGAGTCTCCAACATCTTCGGCACTCGCTCCAACAACATCAGCCCCAAGTCCAGCATGGACAAGTCGAGCTTCGAAGGCTAGATGGGCTCAGAGGCTCCGACCGCTGATCAACTTCGTTTCTCTGTACCACGGTACAACCCTCCGACCTTGACTTCTTGGCATAAATTTCTTTGTTTCTTCACCCAAGTTTTGTATCAGTATCGACAGAGATTTTAACGACAACAATCCCTCGGGCTCGCAGCCCTGGGACGACACGACACGGCCGAAACCAAAAAAAGACAGAATTCCCAGCGCGCCAGTTTTTGGATCTAATGTGCGATCATCAATACCCCCTTTGGCATTCGACTGCGGCGTACATTTGGCATGGATGAGAACTTCCTGGTGTAGTCTACGACTATTTTCTTTCGCTCAACCCGCTTTCCTTGAAGGACGCGAGGCTTTTAGGGATACCAACGGGTTTATTTCTTTTGTATGGGATTATTGCACTGGGACGGCGAATATGGGCATATGGTCACCCCGAGAGCCAATGGCCGGGTAGCTGACTTGAATGGGACGGACAGTAGCATATACCACATACCACATGTCGGGGTTGGGAAGGAAACATCGCATAGAATAGGGATCAATCCGACATGAGAAGCAAGAGTCGAGAAAAGACCATAGGAAAAAAAGTTTTCATTTTGTTTATCATCAATATCAGGGACCACAGCACATGCTCATGAAGAGAGAAAGAGAGAGAGAGTCATTCGCTTCACACACACACACACTTACACACACTCCCGTTGTCCATGGCGTTTGAATATGGTGGGAGGTTGGTCTCAGGTCGCCTGTCACGTCTGGGCGAAAGGCGGCAGCGGCGTTGGTCGAACTAGAGGAGTGAAGGATAACGGGAAAGAAGCCGGGGTCTGCATGGTTGGATTAAGCATTGACGTGAAGCATGATTATATGGAATGGATGGGCCGGGCGGGGAATTGTTTTTTCTTTGTCCCTAATTCCCCCCATTTTCCTTTGGTGGTGGTGGGGGACGGACGAACCCAGAGAAACCTCCCCGAGACCTTTTTTTTTTTCTTCTGTGATACTGGACGGGGGAAGGCACCGGCGTTTTGACTTTATGAGCGGTTTTTTTTTTTTTTTTGGCTCCTTCTCTTGTGGTGTTTTTTTTCATACTCTTCATGAAGGTTATGACAGACGCCAATGATAGTGGGGGGAGGGGGGCCAGCGAGGTGCGGTACACCTTGGTTGTATTTCCCGTACTCAATGATCAATGATGACTACGACGATGATGACAATAATAACGATGATGCATTTATCTGCAGTTTCGTGGGGAGATAGTGACGATGTTGTGAGATGACTTTCGGGGGGGATGAGGGTCCATCTTCCCGTCTTTCGCTTACGGCCGCGTTCGCATGGGCATGTCTGATTAGATGAAGGGTGTAAGGGGGGTGGGTATACATATATGCTGTGGTCTGTAGTAGACCGTTATGTGTCTTTTTTTGCCGGTTTTCTTTTGCTTCCATTCCCCGTCAGTGGTGGGTGGGAAGCTTGTTTAATTATGGTCACGGGTTTTATCTGTCGTTCGTTTGGTAAGTTTTTTTCCTAATTTGGGTTTTTCTGCTTGGTGGTGAACTGTCTCGAGTGTGTGGTGGGCGCTACGGTATGCTTTTCTGCTTGTCGATGAGGGATTCTGGCGGTGTGTTTTTGGTTTTTTGGTTTTTGGCTTTTGGCTTTTTGTGAAGGGGGGATGAGGGGCACGGGTAGGGCTTTACAGTGAAGGTTCACGATGTCCGTCAAAGACGCTTTTTTTGGGTTTTGGGTTCTTGTGTTGTTAGTGGCGTTTGTCGTGAGAGTGTCTTTCTCGTTGGTAATAATGGAACGAGCGTGTCTTCTATCCTGTCCCCTGCATTTGAGGGCCACACATAAGGTGTGGTCTGGGATCCAAGCTGCGGACTGAAGTTATGGGCGTGGACTCGGAGTATGCCTATGAGATGATGTTCTTTCCGTCTTCCTCGAACTGGCCACTCTCGGTTCTGGACTGGGCTTCGAAGGGGGCTGGCTGGCTGGCTGGCTTACAGCTTTGCTCCGTTCCGGTTGCGAATACGTGCCCGCCAAGGCCGAAAACTGGTGGGTGGGGGCCAGACAAAAAAAATATGGAAAAAAAGATCGATCGAGATCAGATAATTGTGAGTGATGTGTGCCGTGTCAGGTTTTTTGGGTGACAGAAACCGGGCTGGTTGACGGTTAAGGTTTTTGGGGGCGGCCATGGGGATGGAGCGCGACGACGGGCGGGGAGGACGGCCGCGGGCTGGGCTCCGGACGTGTTGTCCCGTGCTGAAGCTCTAGCTTCCCCCTCTCCACTCGTCTCGGGGAGGAAGGAGCGCATTGAATAATGATGGAACGAGGTGGAAATTTCGTCGTCCGCGGGTCATCTCGTCATGTCTTCCCTTTTTAATCTCGGCTCCTGTGCCGGGGTGTGTTTAATTGAGCGAGTCGGTGGTCGTCTCACGATTTTTGATGAGGTTCTCGGTTTGATGAATAGCAGGAAGGGAGAAGGATGATTGGTAGGCCGGTTTATTTCGTTCATACCCAGGGAGATGGGGAAATCTCGAGCACGGGATTCTCGGCAGACGTCGATGGGAGAGGGCTTGGTGGCGGTAGGCCGTGGCTGTGACCACCCGATGGTATCCAAACAGACTCGAAATCCTGTTGTGAATCGCCCCCCAATGGCGTGTTGCCGTATCATCCGGACACTACTCCGAGCTGTATGAGAGGGGTGAAAGAGGGGGAAGAGAATTGAGACTGCGAAATGTAGAGTCCGGATGCGAGAAATGGGAGGACGCTGGACTGGATGATGGAAGAAAGGGATGGATGCTCGTGCGGAGACGCCCAGTCGCCCGAATGCGCAATGGGTTTCCTGTAGGGAGGAAGTTTCCTTGGTGTGTGCTGGACATTCGCAGGAATGTCGCGACAAGTCGCGCAGGTATCGCGACGTTCAGGATACCTCTGTTTGAAAAGGTTCCTCGAAAGCACCACATGACCCGGACCGAGGAATCTGGTTAGCCACCAAAAAAAGGCCAAGCCGAAAGGATGAGGGCGGGAATGCAAGCCTGCGATATGAAGAAGGATGGCGGGGCCGCAAATGACGGGGGCCGGCAATGTGCGGTAGGGATGTTGACAGACAGGAGATCGTCCATGAAGCGCATGCATGGAACATTCGGTTTTTTTGCTCTGTGGTTATTCTTGGCTTTCGGCCTTTCCTGTTCGCAAGGGGTAAAGGGTCCTCGCGGCGCAAGCAGAGAAAACATGGAAGGTTGACGTGCAAAATTCTAACCGTAGAGTTTGGAGCTAAGGGGAGAACTGCTCCGGAAGGATAACTATGAATATGTGAGTACTTTGGTGTGTGTGTATATGTCTTTTGGGATGGCTGAAACCGCCATGGGAATTGTCGACGAGGAATTAAGTTTGCTCATTTTGGTTTTGCTGTCTTTCTTTCATCGCGGCCCTTCCACTTCTTTTCCTTTCGGTTTCTGTCGGATGGTTTTTTTTTTTTGACGTTGCAATGAAGGGGGAGGACGACGTTCTAGATCGCGATCCACGAAAATTTTGATAGAGCAAGCTTGCCCGGGAATTGGACAGAGTTGCATCCGGTCCAGAACCGTTCTGACGACCCATTAACGGGGTAACGGCCGCGATGAGAACATTCCACACGCCGGGAAATTAGTCGAAGAGACGTTGGTTCGTGACGATACCACGGAAACAAATGCCAAAAGTAATTCAGAAAAAGCTGATTCTCCGAGGACACTGGAATTGGGGTAAGGTGGAGATTTGGAGTGGAAGGTGCCGAGGTAGACAGGGTTCATGTTAGTGTTGCGCGTTGGAGAATGTGGAGAGGAGGGGCGTGCGTGTGGGGAAGAAACAAGAGGAGCAAGGGGGGAAGGACGGGAGTGTGCGTTTTGGAATGCTAGAGGGGTGTGAATAGATACCCGCAAAGAGACCGTATTGGTTTGACGCCAGGAAAGAGGGGCAGGTATATCGAGGTTTTGATATTGGGTGGGAATCGTTCAGACGTGCCAGAGAAAATGAGAGCAATACACCAGAAACGCCGGGCTTCTATTTCCATTCGATTCGAGTTTCCCTTCTTCTCTTCCAACCCCCCCTGCTTCAACAACTCACTGCACAGGCTACCTAATCTGTGAACGTCCATGTCAATACCACAGGCACTCGCCGGGACTTGCGCTTGACCGCCCGGGCCCTCCGGCAAACCCGTCCGGTCCCCTAGGCGAGCACGGGATTGGGGTTCTCCCGAATCGCCCGGATGGTCTCCCTCATCCGCGGGTTGGCGTCGAAGCTAGCTTCGATGAGGTCGACCACCTCGTCCGCGGTAAAGTACAGGCTGAGCTCGCTGTCGCACCAGAGGTACTTAACCTCGTTAAGGTTGGACTGGAGCACTTCGCTCAGGTACTTGAGCCGGAGCCACGTTGCCGCGTACTGCGCCGTTGTCGGGATCTCGTCCTTGCCGGAACCCGACGCGGGCGCCGTCCTCGACGGGAGGAAGAGGTCGTCCAGCTCCGTCACCTTTGCGATGAGCTGCGCAATCCGGTAGGCGTCGTCCTGGCCAATGGACGATGTGTCCATCACGTCGGCGATGATTTTGGATGAGATGGCATCTGCGAGAGACCCTACAGCCTGGTACCAGACGGAGCGCGCGAGAATCGACTCCCACGTCACAGCCAGGGATCTAACCCGCGCTACTGCCGAGTCCACGCAGCTGTCCAGTTCATCCTGTTGCATCACACTTTGATCGCCTGTGCGTCCGCGTTAGCCTCGCGTTTCGAGCTGCGGCGAACGGATGATCAGCCCAGGCCGATGTTTCTTACCTCCTAGTACATCTCGCAGGACCGTTTTCTGCAATCCGAGCTCGTTGGTGTATGCACGGGTAGCAAAGTTCTGCAGGCTCTTGATGTCGTTGTCTATGCGTAGCATGTTTTGAGTACGTGTCGTCAAGTCTCCACGAGATTTCCACGTTGAAGCCAGGTCGGCTAGCTTCTCAGACAAGTACATGGCGTCGTTGTAGAGAAACCTACGTTTGTGTTAGCCGTGCAAAGATTGATGTGGAGGACGACGTACATATTTCCGCCAATGTCTAGCCCATAGTAGTGCGGCGAGACAGCTCTGAACATAGCCAACGCAAACGTTGGTAAGCTGAAAAGTCCCGGTGCAGCCGCCGCGACAGGACTACTCTCGTACCTAGTGGCTGTCAGTTCGAGACCTCCCAATGGTATCATCGTGAGTCTTACTCTGGTTGTGTGAGAGCCGCGCCGTCCTCCAGTATGGCCAAAATGAGCTCCAGAACTGGCTCTGGCATGGAGGAGATGTGGTAGGTTTCTTTCAGAACCATCTCCCTGCTCTCATCTTCCGCAGGAGTGGCTCCTTTTTCCTTCCTCGCGGGAGCCTTCTTGGATGGCAATTTTGGTTCAGGTTCCGGTGCTGGGTTTGTCGCGTCGTCGTCTCCCCAGCCCCAGGCATCAGCAGCGTCGTCCTCCTCATCTGCGGGAGGTTCTGCTTCTTTCGAAGCTTTGGGATTTTCCTCCTTGTTCTCCGCACCCTTGTCATCATCGTCCCAGCCCCAGGCGTCTGCGCCGTCATCTTCCTCTTGGCTTTGTGCGGTGGTATCGTTAGTTTCTGCAGGTTCATCTTCGTCGTCGACTCCCCATGCAGCGCCCCAATCATCATCCGTCGCAGCTCCGGCAGCTGCGTTGTTCGCGGCCAACTCCTTGCCCTCCGACCGAGAGACCATTTGCTTTTCCACTTTCTCAACCTGTCTCGATGCCCCAAGACCTACTAGATGTCAGCACTGAAAGCGTTGAAGGATTCTTGTTAGACAGACCATTCGAGAGCTGGCTGCGAACCGAGTCGAGCGCTGTTTCTCTGCATTTTGCGAGCCATATTGATGGTGCGCTTCCTACCCATTCTTTCAGTTCCGTGAAGCCCGTGAAGCCATTAGTCTCAAGAACGTCACAGAAGCCCCTTGCAGACTGAATAACAGCTTGGAATCGGTCAATGTCTTTCAACGTCGACGGAACAGCGTTATCCAGCCAGACCCTGATGAGCCTGGGGACTAGATCGCTCATCATAATAGGGCTGAAAAACATCGAAAGATCCGGTGTCAGTCTTCTGGCCAAGAATTCGACCAGTTTCTCGAGATCTTTGAAGAGCTCGTCTATTGATCGACCAGCCTCGCCGTCTAAGTCAATCACATTCTGCAAAAACGTCAGCTATGGTGGGGGACTCTACGGTTGAGTACATACCTCGCTTGCCCGGATCGAGGGAAGAGAAGAAGCCTCGGAGTCCATCCTCGGAGAGACGATAGCCTTGTCAATTTCGTGCCACAGTTGGGACATCCTGTCCTCGACCTCCTTGTACGCTTGAAGACCAATGATGGCTTCGGAGAGAGTCATCTGCTCGCCTGCATTTACGTTAGAAAGAAACATTTGACATGTTTACAAGGCCGATTACCATCTAGTCTCTCATAAATCGAAAGGGAGCCCGTTTCCGCGTCCGTATGGACGAGAGAGCCCCATACGTGGTCAAAAACATCGTGGACGCTCGACTTGAGCTCGAAGGCGCGTAGGTCTAGTAGTCTCATCACTCTACAAGTCTTTTTGTTGATAGGCACAGCATCCAGTTCGGTCCATGATTCTGTATATTGTCAGCTCCTGCCCCCATGGAACTCGGTATGCGGGGTCCATACTTTCCAGCCAACGGAGAGAATCTATGATGCGTCGCTCGTTCATCGCCTGCTCGACCTCGCCCAGAAGTTCATTGACATGTTGGATGCCCCTCAACGCCTCGTGTAGTTGCTGGGTGTACAACACCTCCCTCTCAAGGAAATGTACTTGGTCTTCGGCGTCTTTAATGGCCTTGCCAGAGACTTGCGGAGCCTCGGATTGTCGTACAATATCATCGGCCAACCTCTTCGATCGCAGGATGTCCTCTTGTAAAGACTTCGCATTGCTCACCCATGAGCTCACATCGCCCTTTGTCTCCTCGTTGATGGTATGGATCTCGGACTGCGCATACGTCAATAACCATCATGGTCGCTTTTATGGATCTCATATACCTCCAACTCCCCTTTCGCTTTCTCCAGGGCCTGAATAGCTGGTGACAGATCGGAAGATGATAGCGACAAGGAAGACACCTGTTCGTCAGGGAAACTGCCCTCAACGGCAAAGGCCACAATGGCCTCCCCGAGCTGCGCGGAAGCTTGTAATTCGGTCGCAGTCGCCATATCCTCGGTCGGTAATCGTGCGTAAGGGGTAGAGATAGCTTCTTGAAGCTTGATTTCGCGTGGCTAGGTTGGGTCGCTTTCGAGGCAGATGTTGGGAGGAATCGGGAGGGATTGCTGTGCCCGTCGAAGGAGTCGCTTTTAAGTTTTCTTTCCTCTGGAGCTTGCGAGACTCAGCGGGTGTGTGTACCGGAGATAGTGGTAGGAGGGCTTTGCCTCGCGCAGAGATGGCGCATCAAATTACCTGGCGACGAAACTACAGACAGCGAGGGCATAGCTGTCCCGAAAGTACTTACCTACCTTGGTCCCGTCAACCCACGTCACAATCCGCCGGCCACAGTACGTATTGATTCATCCGATCCGACGTTGAGCCGAGCGGCTAGCGTCAGATAAGATAGCACAATGGCGGCAACAGGCCAATCGGAGGCTTTAGATCCGCCGTTCAAAAGTTCAGGGCAGTTTGCGAAAAATAAAGAAAATAAAGACAAACCCCACTGTTCCCCTGCCCTGCCTTTGGAGGGGCAACTAGGCCAGTGCTTCCAGGTATTGACCTCTTCGGCAACGTCTCAATTGCCCCGCGACCAAACTCCAAGTCACTTTACGGGAACTTCGACGAGCACTGGGAGTTTTGTAAGTTTTCAAGGCTGCTAAAGTACGACATAACCTGGAAGCCGTTAGACTTCCAGCAAACCGAGACTTGTCGTTTCTTCCTACCTAGGACTCCGGGGTTATTCTGGCGGGCGATTAGGTAACCGCTACACTGTGTGCTATCACGGACTGGTCAGCGTTCTTGGGAAGGCCTTATTGGTTTTCGATCCCTCGGTCAATCAGGCTGAGAGCTGGGCTATCTGCAAGGTAAGCAACTGCACTTTCTAAGAATATTGGTCGTCTGCCTTCCGAGGGAATCTGTACTGCCTGTTGGCCCTTCTTGTCCTACCTACCACTCATTCCCCCCACCCGTCGTCTTCATGGGAGCGAGCACCTTCACCCGACCTGCCAAAGCCTTACTTCACAAAACAACATATCTTGCCAGCCCATACACAATTTTGTCTGGAATAGCTGTGTTGAGATGCCTCGATTCGAGGCCTGCCAAGCGGCTTTTGCTATTGCGGCAGCTCTGCTAGCAACCTGTCTCTTTGGCTTCTATCACGAACAATACAGCCTGTCAACTCTTTGGAACGCGTAAGTTATTACGAGAACGTCAGTTTTTCCTTCTGGAGTCTATACATATACCGTCAATAATGTCTTATAATGTCTCACAAGACCTCTATACCCGACAACACAGTTGTCCTCCCCAGCGTTCAGAAGTCTATCACATTGCCCCGGAAATCGGTCTGTTTTAGTATAGTTTTACGCAGTTGCAATTGGAGCTGGTTCTTCTTTTTTCTTTTGAAAGCACAGAAAGTTTAGGAACATCTTTATGCTTACTATGACCATCCCCCTCCCCCCAACATTACGCCGTGACCATATATCTACTCCTGCAACGTTCGTAGAGCTACGAACCTATGCGGCCACTACAGTCAGGTTAGGTCAGCAAGTGCTCGGCCTTCGTCGTCTTCGATTATTCGTCTCAGGGCCAAATCACGCTAACCTTCTTGACATTCGACAGAGCTTACCAAGCGCAGAGTGTCTTCAAGACTAGCATCATGTCGCCCGCAGCCAAGCCGCAGCCGCGGTTCCGCAAGATCCAGAGCTTCAAGACTGACTACGCTCCTTGTCAAATCAGCCAGTATGTCTCGGAGAGAAGTGGCATGCAAGTTGTTGTCGCCGATCGCAAGGGGCCTAAGACGAACGGTTACTTCACCCTTGCCACCGAGATCTTTGACGATTCTGGCGCCCCTCACACTCTCGAGCATTTGATCTTCATGGGCTCCAAGAACTACCGCTACAAAGGTCTTCTCGACAAGCTTGCGTCACGAGCGTACTCCGGAACCAATGCCTGGACTGCCACAGATCATACCGCCTACACCCTGGAGAGCGCCGGATGGGAGGGTTTCTCTCAGATTCTGCCTGTGTACCTCGAGCACGTCATCTTGCCTATTCTCACAGACGAAGCATGCGTGACTGAGGTCCACCACATCGACGGCGAAGGCAATGATGCCGGCGTGGTTTACTCGGAGATGCAAGCAGTTCAGTTCAAGAGCGCGGAGATTATGGACCTCAAGGCCCGTCGCCTCCTGTACCCTGAGAACGTTGGCTTCCGCTACGAAACCGGTGGCATGACAGATGCGTTGCGCGTCTTGACAAACGAACGCATTCGCCAATTCCATCGGGACATGTATCAACCCAAGAACCTCTGCGTTGTCATCATTGGCGAAGCGGACCACGACAACTTGCTGCAGATCCTGGACGAGTTCGAAGAGAGCATCAAGGACGATCTTCCACCTCTGGATGCGCCATTCGAAAGGTAGGGGAATCTCGCGCCACTGAAAAAGCTATTGTGCTGACGTGATCTTGCAGGCCTTGGATCGACTCGGCTCAGCCTCCGGCTCTCAAAGAATCTATCATCACCACGGCCGAATTCCCGGAAGAGGACGAGTCCACCGGCGAGATCACTGTGGCTTTCTTCGGTCCTAACTGCAACGACATTATAGCGACCTCCGCGCTCAACGTTCTCTTGACGTATCTCTGCGGATCTTCCGTGTCCATCCTTGAGAACGTCATCGTCGAGAAAGAGGAGCTTGCCAGCTCAGTCTCGTACTGGTGGGATGCCAGACCCAACTCTGTCATCTGGTTCCAGCCCACTGGTGTGGAGACGGAGAAGCTCGAGTTCGTTGAGAAAAGATTGATTGATCTCCTCAAAGAGGTTGCCTCGAAGCCTCTTGATATGGAGTACTTGACTTCGTGCATCCACCGCGAGCGCCTTCAGGTCAAATTCCAGGCTGAAGAATCGGAGAGCTTCTACTCGACCAACATCATCACGGATTACCTCTTCGGTAATCGCGACGGTTCGACTCTCAAGGAGTTGGAGTCTTTGTCAGAGTATGAAGTTCTCGAAAAATGGACAGACGAGCAATGGAGAGACTTCCTGCGCAAGTGGATATCCGATGCTCCCCACGTCTCCATCCTTGGCAAGCCGTCCCATGAGCTTGCAACGAAGCAGAAGGCAGACGAAGAGGCTAGATTGGCCAAGAGAAAGCAGGAGCTCGGTGCCGATGGGTTGGCCAAGCTCAAGAAGCGTCTCGAGGATGCCAAGACCAAGAACGACGAGCCTATCCCCGCCTCGGTGGTAGACCAGTGGCCCGTTCCCGGTACTGACTCCATTCACTTCATCGAGTCGGACACAGCCAGAACAGGAAAGGCTAGGAGCTTAGGATTGCCAAACAACTCGGCGCAGAAGATTATCGATGGCGCGAAGCAGGGCCAGGATCCCCTCTTCATTCAGTTCGAGAGCGTGCCGAGCAACTTTGCCCATGTGACAATCTACATGGGCACTTCACAGGTGCCACTTGAGCTCAAGCCTTTGCTGCCCATCTTCAACGACAACTTTTTCAACACTCCCATCATGCGTGATGGCGAGAAGATAGGCTTCGAACAGGTCGTCATGGAGCTGGAACAGGATACCATTAGCTACGGTCTCCGTTCCACACGAGACTATGGTGACCCGGATGGCATCATGATCCAGTTCCAGATCGAGCCTGAGAAGTACTCCACTGTCATCAACTGGGTTCGGACCATGATGTTCGATAGCGTTTTCGATATCCAGCGCCTCAAGGCTGGGGTCCAGAAGCACTTGGCCGACATTCCCGAAATGAAGCGTGATGGCCGGTCTATGGCCTCCGAGGTCGACATGTCCATTCACATGAAGAAGGAGTCATACTCCGTGGCCAAGCGTGCTCTCGTCCGTGCCATCTACCTGCGCCGCCTGAAGAAGCTCATTGCCTCGGACCCGGAGAAGGTTCTTTCGTGGTTCGAGCAGCTCCGCAAGTCCCTCTTCACCTTCAACAACGTACGCGTTCTCGTCACCGCCGATGTTGCCCGTCTGCCGGAGCCCGTCGCCGCCTGGGATATTCTCAGCAAAGAACTCAAGCCCGTTGACGAGCTGATCCCCATCATCAAGCCCCATACCCTGCTCACCTCCGACGGTCAGGCCCCGGGTAAGGTCGGTGCCGTCATCGTCCCCATGACCACCGCGGACAGCTCTTTTGGCGTCAGCACGGCCAAGGGCATCACCTCCTTCGAGGATCCGCGCCTGCCCGCCATCATGGTGGCCATCGGCTACCTCGAATCCGCCGAGGGCCCCCTCTGGAACTCCGTACGCGGTCAAGGGCTGGCGTACGGCTCGTACTTCGCAAGGGAGCTGGACGCCGGAATCATTCAGTACAAGGTGTACCGCTCGCCGGACGCCAGCAAGGCGTTCGCCGCCTCGCGCGAGACGATCCGCAAGATCGCCGACGGAGAGACGCCCATCGACCGGCACCTCAAGGAAGGCGCCATCAGCCAGGTCGTCGTGGGCTTCGCCGACGAACAGTCTACCATGGCTTCTTCCGCTGCCCAGAACTTCATGCTGGCTGTCGTGCGCAGCCTCCCGCTCGACTGGCACAAGAAGATCATGCGGGACGTCCGTGATGTCACGAACGACCAGATCAAGGCTGTCCTGAAGGAGCTCATCATGCCGTTGTTTGAGCCCAAGACCAGCAACGTAGTCATCACTTGCGCTCCTATTCTCGAAGATGTACGTTTTTTTTTCTTCTCTGACTGTATGACTTGACCCGATGCTGACACGCTAGTACAGAACATCCAGACGGCCTTCCGTGAGATGGGGTACGCCACGCAGACAAAACCCCTCGCCGACTTCCACGACGACTACGGTTTCGAATACGCCGAGGACGACGGCGAGGACGATGAGGACGACGAGGACGAGAGTGGCAGCGAGGGCGACTACAGCGACTCTGAGGGCGACTCTGACTCCGAGTGAGTGCTTGGTTAGATAAGTAGACTATAGACGTCCGGGGTGATATAGTCAAGAGATTCACACTTCGGCCATTGCATCGTTGACGCGTGGATGTGTATTGACAAGGGACTCGGCCTGGTCTCCCCAACTTACTGTCTGCCTCTTGACCGCGCGACTCAAATAAGTGTGTACGCCTCGACTGACTCGAGCTCATCGATACTTGTTCTGCTATTGTTTGTATCCATTTGTTTTATTAAGAGCTAGCATGGGCTCAAGTGCTAATATTACAATGAAGAAGTGTGAACAATGTATCAGCCAAATCGCCGTCAAGCATATTCCCAGAGGGCACCAGTCAGAATAAATAGTTACGAGATTCCGCCAACACCAGTGTTTGACCGACCAGACTGTGTGCCAACTTCTAAGGAACCATCCTGAGAGTGTCCGAGCCGGTCGGATCCCGTAGGACGTGATCTCCGAAGACCTGACGAACTAGACCAAGCGACCGGCTTTTCACGGACGGATCGGTGTGAACTGACTACTGCCGAATGGACCATCGTCGATACCACGGTACCTTCAACAAACACGCTGCCACTATATATCATCACCGCTCGTGAGGCAAAATAAGAAGACATGTCTTGATATTCATGACGGCAAAGCTACCGAGTATTATCATCCCTTTTCCCCTCGTGGGGACATGAACTATATGAAAAGAAAAATGTCGCGCACTCCCAAACACCAATGTTAGACAAATGTCGGTCGGTATACTCGCCCTCAGATGCATCCGTTCCTTCGAGTTCCGAGTTTTTTTTCTTTCCACCCCAGTAACAAAACGTACATAAATGCGTATACACTCTAGCGGGACGCCGCAGCCATGCTCTAATTGAGCGCCGTGTTGCAAAACCTGCCGACGAGAATATGCTTATGGATATCACTCTCTACGCGCTGCCTCTCTTCCCCCCGCTTTTCAAACGTCTTTCTGTCTGACTTTCAGTCGACGGTGTCGTCGTTGGACGGCGAGTTCCTGAAGGACGGAGATGTGGGACTGCTCTTCCTCAGTAATCCGCTTGCACCGCTCCGGCCCCATCCGCCGTTAGTGACGAGGTTCATGGCGCGGTGCTCCGCCGCCGTGGCGTCATCCAGGTCCATGTCGCTGTCCGTCAGCTCCTCCTCCAGCGCCGTGCCGCGCGGGCTCAGCTTGCGCATCGGCATCGACTCTTGAAACCCGTCCGCGTACAAGTTGGGATCACGCCCTAGGACCCGGTCGGCCTTGGAGGGCCTCTTAGACCCGTCGATACTGCTGTTTGCCGCCGGGGGAGAGGGCGGCGAGGTCAGGTAGTGGCGGCCGGCGCCGTCGGGTTTCGTGGGAGGTGGACGCACAAAGGATGGCGGTGGTTCATCACTGCCCCATCCGGCGTTCATCTCGCGGGCTCGTTGCTCCTCCCGCTCTCTGGCCAGGCGCTCGCGCGCAGCAACCCACTTAGGGCTGGGCTCCCACGACCAGCCGTCGCCGGTGGTATTGCACACAGGGACGAACCAGAAGAGGGGCTTGGGCCCGAACAGATGTAACAGGTTGCGCTTCGCGCCAAGATCGAAAGCGTTCGGGAGCTTTTCAGAGTCTTGCTCGTCGAGGTACTCTTCGTAACGCTTCTTCGCTCGCTCGCGTTCCATTTCTTCGTAGTTTTGGTATGCCGGTCTCGAGGCGCCCGGGTGCCCACGAAATTCTTCGCCTTCTTCGGGTCGTGTGATACCGGGTAATGCGTTCGCGTGGATATCGAGGAGTTGCTGGCCGTAAGCTGGCAGAGGGATGCCGTCGCCGCTGTGCTGAGCGACAAACTGGCTCTGCATGGACTTCTTGAGAGGTGAGAGGTAGCGCGTCTTCTCCAAGCATTCAATGGTGGTCTGGCCGCGGCTGGCTAGCATGATATGCCACCCAGTGAACGCGCCGACCACGATGCCGATGATACCGGCCATCACGCTGAGTATGACAAAGTTAATGGGCATGAGCGTCTCCACATATGTTGTGTTGTTGATGACCTCCATATACACCCAGCTTCCCGCAACGAAGAAGCTGTAGAAGCAGAACAACGTCGTGTAGATGAGAAACAGCAGGAACGCCTTGTGGTTCTTCAAACCAATGCAGGTCGCCAACCAGGGGCAATCTGCGCGCCGTGTCAGTCCACAGTCTCGACTGTCAACCTCATCAGAGTATTCTTACGGTGGTCCATCTTCAGCACACATCTGCGGCACGTAGAGCAGTGGTGAGCGCGGTCCGGCTTCCTCGCCTGGCACTTCTTGCAGAATCGTATCTCGCCGTTCGACTTGACTGTGAAAGAGGTGGCGGCCGGGGGCGCCTCGGTCGGGAGAGTACTGTAGCCATTGTCGTTCGTCGTGCTACCGGGGTTCGTGAAGACGGCGGTTGTGTAAGACCAGTTAAGCAGGCCATGGAGGAGGACGGCGACGGCGGAAGACCCGGTGCCTGAGAGGAAATGCCGTTAGCTTCCTGGCCGAGATACGGAATAGGACGCGGACGACGTCACGCGACAATAAAAACTCACCGAGCCAAGTGGCTTTGGAGGGCGCGGACCCAATGGTGACATCGACCCAGACGGCCCAGGTGGTCAAGCCATAGACGAAGATTAGGGGAATATAGGTCGCGAAGGTGCAGCAGCAGCGCTCTAGCTTTCGCGCCCAGCGACGAGACATGTTTTCGGGCGACGATTGCGGGCGAGCAAGATCCATCCAATTCACTCGGAGAGAGAGCAAAAGGGAAGAAGGATCATGGCGGTTCGGGAGGGACGGGGTTCGAGAAACGCGATTGCCTGGTCGTGGACAGGAAGGGCGGCCCGTAATGCTGCGCTGCTTCAGGCTGGTTGGATAATCAGGGGAAGTTCAGGCCAGCGCGCCGGGGGACGATGTGGATACGGTACTCTGCATTTCCACTCTGCAGCGACGGGAGGTCCTGCCTGTGAACACCGCGGACCCTTGCAACAGGGCGTTTGGCCTTGCCTTACGCAGGGAGCTGAGGCTGAGCTCAGCTGACCCCACATGGTGGTTGACAGCTGTGTGGCGGTGTCTTCCACTTAAGAAGAACGTCCTAGGGTAATAGTCATCAACGGCAAAGGCTGGCTATTCACGAATTTACTAGTTTCTTTTCATTGACGTCTCTGATTTATCTCGATACCTCAGAGCAAGCAAATACCAAGCCCGGTCTTCATAGCGAGCCAGTCGGGGAAACAAGACCTCCAAGTCCAAAGGTTTCCTTGAACGCCTAACACAATACAAGAGAGGCCCAATTCGCTCATCCCTAGCTTCGCAAACAGATGGGAAAGGTAGAGGACCTCTGCACACAGCAATCGCCTCGTTGCAATAGTTCTCGCCCCATGAACCCTCATATCGCCCAGTGTTGACCCCATAACACGATTTTCTCGTATAGTCTGTTGTGAAGGAACACGGGTCTAGTCCGCTGAGCCCTCGATGACCATACCCAGGGCGTTCGGCACACCGACCAAAACCTTGCCTCTAGGGACTGGTGCATCCTTGACCTTCATGCAGCCAAACACGTTAACCTCTTGGATGTTGGGACAGCTGCGGAAGATACATCCGACCACGTAATCGTCGACCTCCTCGATGAAGCTGATCTCGAGCTTGAGAAGCTCTGGGTATTGCTTCTCACCTGAAAAGACATCCTCGAAAGCGTCGCGTGTGATGTTGCGACAGCTATGCATATTGAGATTCCTGATCTTGCGACCCGAGTGCTTCATCAGGGCACGGAAGCCGTCGGAGCACAGGCCTACGTTGTCCGGGTTCTCTCTCGGTTTATTGGAGTCCACGTGGCGACACTTCTCGAAATCGACAATCTCGAGGGCCGGATTGCCCCAATCAGTGAAGAGGTCGACGAATCCCGCATCGGTCAACTTATCGCTGTCGTTGATGCACAGCTTTTTGAGGGAACGGCAGGACTTCTTGATAGCAGCCAAGACCTCGTCGGTGGCGTCGAGAAACAGCGGTAGAGAGAGCGTTTGCAGGTGTTCTCCGATGCTGAGGATAGTGGACGCCATAACCTTGGGGTCAATCCGATGCTGCAAGTGAAGACCCAGGTGCTTCAGGCTCTTGATCTTGCCAATCTCCGCAATGCCGACGTCCGTGACCTTTTGATTGTGATAGACCTTAAGACGAGCCAATTTGGGACAGTTGTCTGGGAGCAAAGCCAGCATCTCATCTCCAAAGTGCCTGTCTGTATAGTAAACTCGGAGGGTTTCCAAGGAAGCACCCTTTTCCTGAATAAACCTAGTCCACATGTCGTCGCTGAGAAGGTTGGCTCCGTGGAGGTAGAAAGACTTCAACTGAATGTCGCGATCCAAGAGGTACCCCATGACCGAGTCTTTGAACTGAATCGAGTTGCGAGCTTTGAAGGCCTGGAGATTCGAGGCGACCTGAAAGATGGCCATGTAATCGTCGGTCTTCAGCTTCGCACCATCGTAAATGTTGATGAATGACGTTGAGGGTTGCAGAAACAGCGCCATCGTCTGAGGGTTGAGGAGTCGGCGCTTGGAGAACAGACGGGCGATTCTGTCCACGATGTGGTCTGGTAACTCGCCCAAGCTGTCTGCGAGATCAACATTCTTAGCTAAGGTCTCAATGCAGAGCGTCGTGAGTTTCTTTGCGCCAGTGTGGTAGGTTCCATCGAGGATGTTGCTTTGGACTTTGCGACGGCCACCGCCTCCCGTTGGCGCCTTGCGAGGCTTCTTTTTGGCACGCTTGTCGTCAGCAGCAGCATCTTTGCTGCACTTTGCGCAGAGAAGGCCACCTTCAGGTCCAGTTCGGGAGTAGGGAGTGACTGTGAAGCGTTTCTTGCAGATTTCGCAATTGTCCATCTGACCAGGAAGCGGTTGTGCCATCTGATCCATGACGGCTCGGGCGATGTCATCATCATCATCGGAATCGTCAGCACCTCGCTTGCGCTTGCGGGCCTTGAAGGCTCTGGAAGCCTTGATCTTGGCGATGGTCTGCAGCTCCTTCATCTGGCGCTTAGCCTTCTCAGCGGTAGTCTCTTTACGGGATGAGCTGGCATCAGCCTCCCCAGCTTCCTCTTCGTCATCTGAGTTGTCTTCATTCTGCTGGGCTCGCTGGCTTTGCGCTGCTGCGGCGCGGCGTTGGTCAGCATCGCGGCGAATGCGGTTTGCAGAAATGTTGTGACTCTATTAAGGAATTAGCGTATAAGCTGGAATACACCAGAAGAAGACGTATCTCACAGCAAGGTAATCTGTCAAAGCGGATTGCCTGTGATAGATGTCAGAAATAGGGCTCAAGTTGATGGTCGTGGTAAACCAGTACTCACGGTCCAGAGATGTGACGCCGATTAGCAGGCGCTTGGTTCTGCTGAGCAGGCTGGCCTTGTGCAGCTGGGACTGGCTGCTGGACTGGCTGGGTTGTGGTTTGAGCTGGAGTCTGGGTCTGAGGCGGAACCTGAGTTGGATCCTGAGTTGGAACCTGAGCCTGCGGTCTACGACGGGTAGGTCGCGCCATCTTGAGTGATGTGTTGTTCAGGGCGTTGATGTGATCTTGAATGCTTTGACGGTCTGGGTCAATGACTCCTGTGATCAATGTTGGCTCCCTTCACCAGGCCTCCAAAAATGGAAGGACAGGAGGGCAAGGCTGAGGTGAGAAAAATTAGTATGTGAAGTTGCTTGGTGTTTAGCCAGGTGTGAGTGGTGTGGCAAAAGTGTGCATTGCAAAAGTCCTGGGATAAGACTGACCTGCCTAGAAACACCGTGCAAAAGAGAGCAGACAAGCTGCAACCTCTCTAATTCGATTTGACGGGTAGGCAAAGGGAGAAAAAAAAAATGTGCTGAGGAATCTGATCTAGTGTCCTGATCAAGGGGATTTTGACAAGAGTCTGATTGTGTTGGGGGCAAATTGGGAGGCAACAAAAGATCACCAATTGAGACGCGCTTCCTTGACCTCAGCTTGAGAACAAAGTCAATGGTGGCTTTCTTTCTGGGTATCCCTCCGGTTTGAGGGCCCATATTTACGTTGCACTGTACAGATTATTGCTAATCCACCCAGTTTAGCAACTTTTCAGCAGTATTATGGTGAACTGAGACCGTGCGAAGAATCTTTAGGCGGAGCCAGGCCAGGCAGCTGCCAGGGGTTTAATTGAAGTGGGGCAAGCAAGCCGGCGGGAAGACGTGGGGCAAGAGCCATCACACCGGAGACGTCGGGGAGACGCTGGACGTGGAGTGGTGAGTGGGATCGATCGCCCCAAATCGACCTGCGTGGCTGCTTCGCTGGAGCTTCAGGGGCCTGAAGATCGAGAGGTTATTCTGTAAAGGGAAGCAGCAGCATCATCATTTCAGGACCGCTGTGTTTTCCCTGATGATTCAATTGAAATATCAAAGACCTAAGCGCATCAATGCAATGGTTTTTTTCTCTATTAAAATCCATTGGGCTTGCTGCAGTCGAGTCTTGAGAGAGCTGTGCTTTCAAACCATTTACACTCTGTAAACCAAGCAGGCCCTCAAAGCAGGCTCCGTCATCAAAGAACCAGCTAACCCCTCTTGAGATAAACTCCAGGCAGGGACTGCCACTAAAGGTAGGCGCCTTTCCTCCCTTGAATGAGGGGTCATGTGATTTCGTGTAAAGAGCCCGTTTTTTGGAGTAGTGGCCTTCTGGCGCGTACTGGGATTTTTGGTCCCTCTCTCTGCTACCTCCATCGATTGGCCTCTCAACTTGGGCAAAAGAAAGCCGCAAAGGGTGGCAAGGCACATTCCCTCCTTTTCACCATTCACCATTCACCAATTATTTTTTTCCCTTTCCTTCCCTTTTTTTCCACATCGGCAAATTGCAATAACAACTTGTTGCCGTCAGCCTCCCAATCCCACTTTCTTTTCTCTACCTCTTTCCCCATCTGTCGACCGGCAGCTCCTCAGTGACGGGAAGCTCACTATCGGCGATAAGCCACTGAGACGGTTTGCCACTTGCCGAGCTTTGTCCTGCCCATCCCATCTTTCTTGTCTGCAACGCATCAAACCTTCACCTCCACGCGAATCACAGAATTGAGAAGGACGCTTCGTCTTTTTCTTTTGAGACCACGACTCCAACTTCACTAGGAGATCTTGCATTGGGACTCCCAGAAGGTCTACCAAAATGACTGGTCGCCGTGGGCCCGGTCGCCCTTCTCTCGCTGAGAGCCTGGCTTCCACCCAAACCAGTAAGTCCACGATTTTCATCTTTACTTCAATCGCAATTTTCCTGCTGTCTTATCTGGCAGTTGCGATCTGAAGTAGGTACAAGCAGAACTCAGGCAGCTGACACAGCATCTCAGACTCTCCCGACCCTGCCTCTGTCACTGGCAGCGGCCGGCTTACCCGATCAGCTTCATCCAAGAATCTGGGAGCTTCTGCGCAGCCTCATGCCGAAACCTCCACCCCAGTCGTCGCAAAGAGAGGTAGAGGTAGACCCAGTTATGCTGCCAACGACTCGGCCTCCTCGGCTCCGTCTGCTGCAGCCTCGGCCGATTTCACTTCTGCCAGCGAGGATTCAACTCCAGCGACCAGCAACGTCGCCACGCCTGCCCCGTCTGTGTCCGCTGACGGAAGCTTGAAGCGGACGACCAGATCTCGCCCGTCACACACGAACTTCGAGGTCGCGATTCCAAGCGTTGTTGATCTCTCACATGAACGTGCTCTTCGTCACAGCGAGTACTCGCTTAAGCCTCAACCCAAGCGCAAGCGTTTTGAGATAAGAGACAGCGACGACGACGAAGAGGATTCCGACACTTCTCCTGACGCCAAGGTGGCCCGTCGTTTGCAGGATGAGGAGAATCGCAAGGGTCTCGCCGGCACTTCTGACGCGGATCTTGCCTTGCGACTGCAGCAAGAGGAGTACAACACGACGTCTCTTCCAGGAACCTCTCAGCGTGGCCGTCGCAGTCTTAGATCGGCTGTCGCATCTACTCCTGCGCAGCGTTCAAGCGAGGATCTCAGCGAACCCGACACAGACGACCAGCCTCTTGCCGCAAGAGCTAGAGCTGGCCGTGGTCGTCCTACTAAGAGCAAGGCTGCTGGAAAGAAGCCGGCAGCAAAGAAGCAGAGGTTCGTGGTGAACGACTCAGAAGAAGATGATGAACTTGCCGGCCCCATGCAAGTCGATGACTCCGATGAGGCGTTTTCGGCTCAGGGAAGCGACTCAGAGGACGACTGGGTTGAAGAGACGCAGAAGCCGGCCAGACGCTCCGCAGCCGCTGGTGCTACCAGACGATCGCACCCGATCGTACCTTCTCGCACTACAGGTCAATCGTCTACCGCTACTCCAACAGAGCTCCCTGAGGATGAGTCCGACGGCTTGTCTAGTCTCTCAGATCTGACCGACGCATCCTCAGTCTCGAGCAGCTCCAATAGCAATGGCGTCCAGAATGCTGTTGTCAGACAATCCCGCCAACGTCGTGCCTATCAACGCGGCAGTCGCCGGCGAGGCGTGCTGGAGCGTAACAGGCTTGAGCATCACCACCCGGAGATTAAGACGATGTGGGATGAGCTGAAGGCTATGGCGCCCATCAGACCCGAGAAGATCTCTCAGCCTCCGCGAATCTCTCGCTCGCTCAAGCCTTTCCAGCTTGAGGGAGTCGCATGGATGATTGCCATGGAGCAAGCTGAGTACAAAGGTGGTCTCCTGGGTGACGAGATGGGTCTCGGAAAGACGATTCAAGCGGTTTCGTTGATAATGTCCGACTATCCCGCAAAGACTCCCTCTCTGGTCCTGGTTCCACCTGTTGCCCTGATGCAATGGCAGTCGGAAATTGCAGCCTACACCGACGGCACCCTGAAGACTTTTGTCTACCATGGCTCGATTGCCAAGACGAAGCAGATGACATTGAAAGATCTTAAGAAGTACGATGTCATCATGATGTCCTACAACAGTCTCGAGTCAATGTACCGCCACCAAGAGAAGGGTTTCGCTCGCAAGAACGGTACTCACAAGCAGGAGAGCTTGATTCACAAGCTCGACTTCCACCGCGTCATCCTTGATGAAGCCCACAGCATCAAGGTGCGGACCACCATGACGGCAAAGGCATGCTTCGCCCTCAAGACGAAGTACAGATGGTGCTTGACTGGTACGCCCCTTCAGAATCGCATTGGCGAGTTCTTCTCCTTGATTCGCTTCCTCAACATCACGCCATTCGCCTCATATCTCTGCAAGCAGTGCCCCTGCACTAGTCTGGAGTGGAATCTTGATGACGACCACCGCTGTAACGGCTGCGGTCATGCTGGTATGCAGCATGTTTCCGTCTTCAACCAGGAGCTTCTCAATCCAATTCAGAAGTTTGGAAACCTTGGTCCAGGACGTGAGGCTTTTCAGAAGCTTCGTCTGATGACCGACCGTATCATGCTTCGTCGTCTGAAGAAAGACAACACCGATTCCATGGAGCTGCCAGTCAAGGAGATCTACGTCAACCGGCAATTCTTCAGCGAAGAACAGAACGACTTTGCAAACAGCATCATGACCAACGGTCAGCGCGAATTCGATACTTATGTCTCTCAAGGTGTTTTGCTCAACAACTACGCCAACATTTTCGGTCTCATCATGCAGATGCGCCAAGTCGCAGACCACCCCGACTTGATCCTGAGGAAGAACGCGGAAGGCGGCCAGAACACTCTTGTCTGTTGCATTTGTGACGAGCCGGCCGAAGATGCTATCAGGAGCCGCTGCAAGCATGAATTCTGCCGCACTTGTGCCCGAAGTTATCTCATGCAGTCTGATGAGCCCGACTGCCCCCAGTGCCATATCAACTTGGCCATCGATCTGGAGCAGCCTGAGATCGAGCAAGACGAGGTCCAGGTCAAGAAGAGCTCAATCATCAATCGTATCAAGATGGAGAACTGGACCTCATCGTCCAAGATTGAGCTTCTTGTCCACGAGCTTCACCGACTTCGCTCCGATAACGCTTCCCACAAGTCCATCATCTTCTCGCAGTTTTCGTCAATGCTGCAGCTGATCGAGTGGCGCCTTCGGCGTGCCGGCTTGACCACCGTGATGCTGGACGGCAGCATGAGCCCAGTCCAGCGCCAAGCTTCGATCAACCACTTCATGACCAAGCCTGAGGTTGAGTGTTTCTTGGTATCTCTCAAGGCTGGTGGTGTCGCTCTGAACCTCACGGAGGCATCGCGCGTGTTCATTGTGGACCCGTAAGTTTCTTGATTATTGCTACACTCTCAGCATTGCTAACTAATGATCACAGCTGGTGGAATCCTGCAGCAGAGTGGCAGTCTGCTGACCGCTGCCACCGTATCGGCCAGACACGTCCTTGCACCATCACCCGTCTCTGCATTGAAGACTCTGTGGAGAGTCGCATGGTTTTGATTCAGGAGAAGAAGACAAACATGATCAATTCCACTGTGAACGCTGATGACAAGGCCATGGAGTCTCTCAGCCCTGAGGATATGCAGTTCCTCTTCCGGGGTACTTGAGCTGCTTCACTGCTGGCTTGGTCTAGTCCGCGTTCTTATAGAACTTCTTTGTCTTTTGGGAGGCGTTCAGGGAAGAAGGGTACAACTGGTGGCTTTGCACCAGAACTCTCAATGGAGTTGGGCGAGCGTTGCACTCTGTCCATACCCTTTCAAGTTTCGCTGGGGCGGCATTGTGGCCGCAATTACGGATTGGCACCGTTATTCACATGTATGAGTATGAATTCATTCAACTTGACCTCTTGGTCCCTAGATAGAGTCCCAGCACAGTTAGCTAGCTCTCACTTTGCTCAATGACGAACTGGACGACGGATCCAGCAACTAGGTAGTATCCATTGCTTCCCTTTTGGTGACATCCTAGGTGACTTTGGTTCCACATCTTCAGGTGAACGGCCCATCATTGCTTTGCAACTCTATTTTCCTATGATTGCCAAGCGGGGGATGTCACAACCCAATTTACATGGAACCGAAGCCATGCCCTTTCCAGGTGCTGGGAGACGAAACACTTACTCGAACTGTTAAGGCCTGAATTTAGGATCAGTTGGTTACCTCGACCCCATTCTTATCGTCAGCTCTCGCCCGTCCTGGGCGACGGCGATGCAGGCCGCGAGTCAGTCGATTGACCAACAAGTGCCACGGGAATCGAAATCCGTGTTGCCGACTTGCGGTTGATAAGCGCGGCCTGATCTCAGTGAAGCCTTCGAGGAGAAAATATTGTGAACACCGTTCCGCGTTTACTATTCATGGTCGAATACTTGAGCGACGATGAGGGATGAGGACAGAGATAGTGACAGAAACAAGGACAGCAACAGAAACAAGAACAGCAACAGAAACAAGAACAGCAACAGAAATAAGGACAATGACAGTGATGGAGACACCAATAGAGCTAGTAAGGAGTACTCACAGTGAAAAATAATTGTAGAGTGTACATGATGCCAAAGTAAGCATGTTTTGGATGAGCGCTGGGCAATTGGTTTGGTTATGGATTATATAGTACACAATTATATACGTGAAAAGGTTTTGTAATAGAAGTAATGCCCAGCCACCAGGAGGATCTCATCCGCTGTACCCAGACCTCAATTGGTATCTCTTTTTTCCCGAAGTCCCCGCTTCCTTTCCAAAACTCCAGAAGCCCGCTTCCTTCCTGCCGGGCCTGCCTGCCTGTCCTTGATATCATACCACGGTCATGATGTTGCCCTGATGCGAAGTGTCTCCTCGGCGCCGCTGTCGCCATGTTTCTTAGAGACCCAGACCCTTGGTGAACTCGACGTCCATCTGCGCCCACGTCTTGAGGCGGGCTGCGAGCTCCTCGTCGGAGATCTCCTCCTCCCTCTCGCGGAACTCGAAGCCGTCGGTGTTGCAGGCGCCCGTCTTGCTGAAGTAGTACTTGTGGGCGTCGATGTTAAGCCCAAACGTACCTCCGTTGCAAGAAGTGCTCTTATCTCCTTCACACACTTTGATATCCTGAACGGCGTAGTCGATGGTGGTGGTGCTGCCGGTGGAGAGCCAGTACTCGGGGCTGGTGTGGCGGTAGCCGAGGAAGATGGGGGGCAGGCGGGGGACGGGATCGTCGACGTGAGTGACGCGGAACTCGGCGCCGGGCTGGTCGGTGACGAAGTTGACGAACTCCTCGTTGCCGACGCGGGGGCTGCCGTAGGTGTAGATGTCGACCGGGAAGCCTTCGCGGCGGAGGTCGGCGGCGCCGACGGTGACGATCGCGCCACCCAAGCTGTGTCCGGTTGCGATAACTGAGAAGTCCGGATTCGCGGCCTTTGCCGTCTTCACGGAGGCGATGACGGAGTCCTTGATCTCGTCCCATGCACTAGCGAAGCCAGAGTGGACCTTGCAGTCGTCGACGAAGTCGCAGTCCTCGAAGCCGAACAAGAGGTTGGTGATCCAGTTACGGACGTTGTGGGAGCTGCGGACGGCGAGGACGATGTTCTTCCTCACGGGGTCGGTGCCGACGAAGCCCTCCAGGCCAGAGGCGGGACCACTGTAGTGTGTTAGATTCGGCCTGCGATGTCCTGGTTTGGGAAACACTTACGTGAAGGTCCCAACGATCTTTCCACCGTTAGCCTCGACGGCAGGGCAAGCGTCCGAGGAGCAGACGATGGCCGCTCCAGCAGCAGCATCGCTGTTGCAAGCTGTCGCCTGAACCATCTGTGGACCATGTTAGAAGTTACCCCATCACATCGTCTGATGTAGTGCGTACCTGCGTGTAGTACTTGAGGTTGTCGAGGTCGGCCGCGGTCACCGTAATGGCTAGTTCCTTCAGTATTCGTCCATACTGTAGGCTTGATAGTTGGACTTACCTCTCTCGTTCAGGCCGGCCACCGGGGCAAGGAGAGGAGACGCCGAGACGGCGGCGGACAGAAGGGAGACCAGAGACAACTTGGACAACATGGTGACGGCTGACAGAGCAACAGGTCGAAGTAAAGGTAACAGACTCTCGAGAACTCGCTCGTAGGGCACGCCGGACAGAGACACGAGGGTGAACTACATCTTCACGATGGCCCCAACGTCTTATACATATTGCGCCGTTGTCAAGGCCTTGACAGGGTATGCAAACTTGGTGGATCAACGGCGACTCGTGTACCTGGGCAGTTCATCGGGGTTGCGGTGAGAGTCCACCATCCATCCACATCAACTCTGCCTGAGAGAGGACGGGGCCCATCGCCGAATCAACGTTGGTGTTGCGTGCGTGCCGGGGGAGGGAAAATCTCGCACTAGAGCAAACAATAAGAAAGACCTTGTCTTTTCTGGCAACTCCTCCGCATCTTGGAGAGATCGGCCAGGCACTGGGCCACGGGAACCGGCACTAGAAGCGCCAGTTGCGAAAGGGAAGTGATGCGTGGAAAAGGCGGCGGTTCCAAATGCAGGGTACCAAGCTGAGAGGCTCTTGCCAGGTTCCAAACTGCGGGATACACAGCATTGGCCATCAGGTGGCCTCATCAGACGGCAAAGTGTCAGGCCTTGTCCCTGCCAATATAACTGCACTTGAAGGCACATTGGGCTGACAACCAAGAAGGGTCGATTCCGACTTGAATCATGTTCGAGGTAACCACGTGGGTGTGATGGAAATCCAAGGTCGGATGGACGGTAACAATAGGCGCCCATGCGACTTGATAAAGCTCTTGAGATGGGTTCAAGACGGGGTTGGCAGAGGGGAGGCAGGCAGAGTTCTCTGAGCAATCAGTCTGAGGAGCCGGGGTCGTATTAGGCGCCACGTGAGCCAAGCATGCCTATTAGTGGACTTGCCGCTCATTGAACGATATCGATTAGGTGATGGTCCTCCAGAGGTGAAGAGCCGGGGTGTTGCTGGACAGTTCCCACTTCTGTTGGGTGTTGTCGAAACAATAGCGTGCAAATGGGGAAACGTGATAGCAAAGTTGGAAGGCCGGGTCTTGCTCACGACGAACCGGTGTCCATTTGCGGCTGTCCGAGGCGGCCTTGTTCCTGACTAGAGCCCGAGATCCCCTGGCTGTGTCCCCGGACGAGGCCCGCCAAAGCTCAACAAAATCATTACCGGAATGGTACAAGTCGGATCGAGACCCTCGATATTCTCCATCGAGTGATCAATGAATGGGCCGTGTACCGAACGCGTATCCAGGCCTTCATTGCGGTGTGCCGGCATGAAATATTGACCACAAGGAAGCATCGGTGCCAACTTTCGTATTGGGCTCTCCCAATCGAGCAAGCAAGTCGGCCGAACATGAGAAAACCTCGATGTTGATGACGATATGCCAAGTTGAGGTGCGAATACAGGTATTCGTATGCACCAAGTATGTGATTGAAGACGGGAAGCTGCAGGAGGGCGGCGTTGAAAAAGGTTAAGAGGTGGGAATAGGGCGTCAAGTGGCTTGGGTCAGCGGCAGAGAGATGTCATCCGATCCTGTGGGCTTGCCGCTTCACCTCACAGCCAGTCGTGACCTCTGTCTTATCACACCTTTTTCTGTCACTCTTTCACCGACACCCTCCCTTTCTATATCGCCTTCCGCGTGCCTGTAGATCGGCTGCTCACGAGGCTAGAGAAATCGCGGGGGTGAGACACTGCTACTTCTCGCCCTGAGTCTTGCCTCATCAAGCTTAGAAGACCACCGAGCCGTCTCAATCGAAGTCTTCCAGAGTTGCTGATCCGTGCTTCTTGAGATTGCATGCCAGATCTTGCTGATCTCTTTCGTCCGATTTGAGGGCCGAATCAACGTCTCACGCGGCCTTCATCCGACTTGACAGCCAACACATCCCGGCGGTTGATAGACTATTGTCACATTTCATCCAGCAACTAACTTGTGGTTGATGCCTCTTCGTCCAGCGCAAACATTTACCGTCGACAAATCCGTCTGCCGTGCAGTCAAGAGCCGAAATCTGGGCTTCGGTATCCTTGTTCCCTGTTTTCATCCCCGCCGGTCCGATTTGGGGGTTCCGACCGCTTAGAGCTCTTCGCTTCCACTGACTCTAGTCTCATTCCAGCTGAACGCCCGACCAAATCGACATGGGAAGCAAAAGGATGGTCACGCGCGAGCAAAAATATCCCACCTCCACGATGCTCCTACACCATCTAAGACCTGTATATGCACAAGCACCAAGGAAAATCAGCAAGCTGCTCATTTGACCAAGCCCGCAGTGCAGCACGTCGTGCAGAGAGACTTCTCCCCTCCCCGCCTCGGAGCCGAGCCGGATCAGAGGGTGGTCGTCGTGCTGCACCAGGCCGCTTGATGGGCCGGCCATGCACACGCATCGCCCACAACGAAGGAGATCTGCAATGAGTGTCACCTCTTACGGATATGTCGACATTTACGGTTATCATCACCGGCCTCCCGTTGCTTGGGCCTCGGTCGTGGGTCTTTGTCGACTCTGCAATCTCGTGAAATCCACCACCTGTTCCTACTGCGGTAACTGGCAACGAGCTTCTCTCAAAACTTCGCCGGCTAACCCGACTTCAAGTCCACGAATGCCGTCGCTTATTGACCCCCAAACCTAGTCCACACCAACTCCCGCCCGAAGCGAGCGAGCTCCTGCCCGAATACCAAGCTCTAGAAACGTCTTCTGATGGTCCCTTAGCGGTGCCATCCATTCCCCCGCCTTTTGCCAATGCCTGCCACCCTCTACCGACTTCACCCTCACCTACGCTACGTCTCTACGCGACATGTTGATCTGCGCTACCGACACTTATCTCTGGTCACGCATAGGCCCGACTCAGAACTAGTCCAGCTGCCCGAAAAGAGCAGGCCGCAACCATGATGTGTTGCAATATTTGCTTGTCCTATTGTCCCGATGTCCATAGCCTCCTTCGGCTGCGCTTCGCTTGCCTTGTTATCGTCATAACCACGATTCTGAGCCGTCCAGGTACACCCCGAATGTTTATTGCAGCGTTTCTACTTCGTGGAGACGCCAAGCTCGATCGTCTACCGTCGGGTTCAGCTTGCGAACCCCTCAACCCTCGACCTTGTGATTGGCAGGCCAGCCATTCCGAGATGTGAGCCAGAATGTCATGAGGAACGGATGCCCCTATGACGGTGTAACCTTGGAACCGAGGACTATTGAAAGGGGGCGCCGAGATCTGCGGAGCCCGACTTTGTATAAGTAAGTAAATAGCGGCGGTCGCGACTGCCTTCGCAGTGACACCACCTACCTCACTTGCCCGGGTCTGTAAGCTTTCGTTCCCGAGACCCTACACAATCTCACCAACCGGTGCTCGGTACGGCTGGCAAGATGGCCAACGTCAAGTCTTTTGCCCTTACTCTCCTTGCGAGTCAAGTGTCTTTGAGCGATGGCGCTGCGATTGCTCCGAGATCAGACGTGCCGCCTGGTTATGTCGCCGCCTCCTACTACCCGGCGCCGTACGGCGGCTGGACGGCGGACTGGGCAGACAGCTATGAGAAGGCGAAGGCTCTCGTCGACCAATTTACACTTGCGGAGAAGACCAATGTGACGAGTGGATCAGGGATATTTATGGGCGAGTGAAGTCAAGTTTCTGTACATTTGTTGTAGAAGACTAATTTGTTGTTAGGGTATGTGTGAAATAACGTGATACAACACATCTGCTAACACGTTCAAGTCGCTGCGTTGGAAACACCGGCAGTGCCCTGCGCGTAGGATTCCCTCAACTCTGTCTCGCGGACTCGGCAACCGGAGTTCGTCAGGCGGACAACGTCACTGTCTTCCCATCCGGCATCACGACCGGCGCAACTTGGGACAAGGACCTGATGTATGCTCGGGGCGTTGCCATGGGGAAGGAGTTCCGCGGCAAGGGCGCCAACATCTACCTCGGGCCAAGCGTGGGACCTCTCGGCCGCAAGCCGAAGGGCGGCCGGAACTGGGAGGGTTTCGGCAGCGATCCCGTCTTGCAGGGCAAAGCAGGTGCCTTGACTATCAAGGGCGTCCAGGAACAGGGCGTCATTGCTACCATCAAGCATCTTATCTCTAATGAACAGGAGCAATTTCGCATGTACAACACACTTCAGCAAGGCTACAGCTCGAATGTTGGTCAGTCTTGTTCCTTCTTGTTCCTTTCAGCCCGACATGCCGTACTGACTGAATAGATGATCGAACTCTGCACGAGTTGTATCTTTGGCCGTTCGCGGACGGTGTTCGTGAGGGAGTTGGTGCAGTTATGACGGCTTACAACGCGGTATGACGCATGACACACACCTGACAAGCTTTGTACGATAACTAATGAGCCATCAGGTTAACGGCTCTGCCTGCAGCCAGAACAGCTACCTTATCAATGGTATCTTAAAAGACGAACTCGGTTTCCAAGGTCTCGGTATGTACTTCCCCTGGAACCCAGATATATGCCATCAGGAGGTCTCTCTTAAGGCATTCTAATGCCTAGCTGGGAGGCTATATGCTAACAATTTCTAAGTCATGAGTGATTGGTTATCCCACATGTCTGGAGTCGATTCTGCTCTCGCGGGACTTGACTTGAACATGCCAGGAGATACCCAAATTCCCTTGTTCGGATACAGCTACTGGATGTACGACCTCACAAGATCTGTTCTTAACGGCTCCGTTCCCATGAGTCGTCTCAACGACATGACCACGAGAATCGTCGCGACCTGGTACCAACTCGGGCAGGACCAAGGCTTTCCAAAGCTCAACTGGGCCACGGGAACCCGTGACCGCGAGGGACCGCTTTACCCAGCAGCATGGCCCTTCAGCCCCAGTGGTGTAGTCAATGAATTCGTCCAAGTACAGGATGATCACTACCTTATTGCCAGGCAGGTTGCGCAGGAAGCCATTACTCTGCTCAAGAACGCAGACAGCCTTCTTCCTATCAAGTCCTCGGCATCGATCAAAGTTTTTGGCACGGGCGCTCAGACGAACCCAGACGGCCCCAATGCCTGCGTCGATAGAAGCTGCAACAAGGGTCTTCTCGGCATCGGATGGGGATCTGGCACCGTCGACTACGAATACCTGGACGATCCTATAACCGCTTTCAAGAAAAGGGCCAGCAGCGTCACGTACTACAACACAGATAGCTTCCCCTCGGTCCCGGCTCCGACAGACGATGATGTGGCTTTCGTCTTCATCACCTCTGACTCTGGAGAGAACCAGTACGTTGTCGAAGGCAACAACGGCGACCGCAGTGCGTCCGGACTGAACGCTTGGCACAACGGTAACAAGCTCGTTCAGGACGCCGCCGCCAAGTACAAGAACGTGATCGTGGTCATTCACACAGTTGGCCCCATTCTGGTCGACGAGTGGATCGACCTCCCCAGCGTCAAGTCCGTCTTGGTGGCCCACTTGCCAGGTCAGGAGGCAGGCGACTCACTAGCAAATATAGTCTTCGGCGACGCGTCTCCCTCTGGACATCTCCCTTATAGCATGACCAAGAAGGAGTCCGACTTGCCCGACTCCGTCACTAAGTTTGTCGGTGGTTCCCTCGGCCAGCCTCAAGACACCTACAGCGAGGGCCTCTATATCGACTATCGCTATTTGAACAAGAACGGAATCAAGCCGCGGTTCGCCTTTGGTCACGGTCTGAGCTACACGAACTTCTCCTTCTCCGACGCCACCATCAGCTCCGTGACGCCCCTGAGCGCGTCCCCTCCTGCTCGTCCCGCCAAGGGCGATGTGCTGGAGTACGACGCTCCCATCCCCGACTGGACCGAGGGCGTCGCCCCCTCCGGTTTCAACAAGATCTTCAGATACATCTACTCGTGGTGCACCGAGGGCGAGGCAAAGCAGGCCGTCGAGGACGCCAAGACCAAGAAGTACCCCTACCCGCCTGGCTACAGCACCGCGCAGAAGCCCGGTCCCGCCGCCGGCGGTGCGCAGGGCGGCAACCCGGCGCTTTGGGATGTCGTCTTCACGGTTGCCGTGAAGGTCCAGAACACAGGCACGCAGTATTCCGGAAAGGCCTCCGCGCAGGCATACGTTCAGTTCCCTGACGGCGGGCCGGAGACGCCGGTGATCCAGCTGAGGGACTTTGAGAAAACGAAGAACCTCGCGCCCGGAGAGAGCACGACTGTGCAGTTGGAGGTGACGAGGAGGGATATCAGTGTTTGGGATGTGGTCAGCCAGAACTGGGTTATCCCGAACACCCAGGGCAGGTATAAGATCTGGGTAGGAGACGCGAGTGATCGGCTGTTCTTGGCCTGCTACACCGACTCTAAGACTTGTGAGCAGGGCCTTAGCAGCCCCGTCTAATGTTTTATCGTAGTGATAACAACAAATCCAATCCTCTGCGTATTCATAACATCATTCGCTTGTAATCACTGATGACCAAGATTAAAGTACAAAAGCATGGAGAGACGGACGAGTCTCTAACCAAGTCCAACCACCATGCCCTTCTTGATGCCGTCCAGAACATCCTTCGGTAGAGGCTCCTTCTTACTGAAAGAAGCGTTCTTGCGCTCCGCGGGCTTCCACGACGTAATGTCAAGCTTGTCGCCTCCCATACCAGCAACGCTAGATTTGTACTCCTTCAACGCAGCCTTGAAACCCCAGGGGTCTTCGCCGTGCGCACCGGCCTCGGGCAGCGCAATGTTCTCGTCAAACCCTTCGGTCAAGGTCTTGACACCCTTGACACCGCCAAGCTTGATGTTGTACTTCTTGGCGTACGCGGCGATGTACTCGTTGTACTTGGAAGGCGCGTACGGGAAAGGGCGCGCGTTGGACTTGCGCGTCTTGCCCTCGTCCTCCAGCAGGGAGAAGTCCCGGAAGGGCTCGGCGGTCTTGATCATGCCGGCCATGACCATCCCGATGTCGCGCGCCTCCGAGTCCGGCTTCAGCTGGCCCTCGCGCTCGAGGCGGGCGAGCATGGAGAGGAACATGGTGCCGACGAGCTTAGCCATCTTCTTGGCTCGGTCACCATCGTCACACCTTTGTGCAGCAGGTCAGCTTTTCGGGTCCACGTGCGAAGGTGGATGCAAACTCACATTCCGAACTCCGCTCCGGAGAGGTACCAAATGAACGGAGCCATGGCCTCGCAGACCACCCACTGCTCCTTCCAGTTCTGGCTGGCCTCGTCAAAGTCCAGGATGAGATTCTCGAGGACCTCCATGATGCCGTAAGCGGCGTGGTCGTTGTAGGTGTACATGCCCATGGAGTCCGGGTCGCGGACCTGGCAGTTGGGTTGCTGGTTCATCAGCTTGCGGAAGCCGGCGCGCGTCATGACGAAGGGAGCGTCGGGGTGCTCCGTGGCGAGCTTCCCGCAGAGGCACGTCTTGCCGCCGTCGCAGCTCGGCTTGTCCTCATCTTCTTCGGCCTCGCTGTCGAAATCGTCCTCGTCTTCCTCATCCTCATCGTTGCTGCCAAAAGGGCATCTGACTACGTACGTAAAGGCATATTCGGGATCTTCCATGGCCTTCTTGTAATCCAGGTCCGCATTGCGGGAGTTGGAGACGGCCGAGTACCGGCTCTTAGAGGACCAACGGGTCGAGTTGTCAAACGAGGAAGAAGAAGAAGAAGCTTCAGGCGTTGTCTTGGTCTTCTTCGAGGCATCGGGGGAGGCGTCGCCCGCGTCTGACTTTCTTTTGGGAGGCATTTTGAAGGAAACAGGGCGTGTAAGTGGGCAGGCAGGGATTAGCTGTTCACGGAAGAGACAGGAGAAACCGCAGCAGGATCTGGAGAAGAAATGCTGGGGAGATAAAGCATCGGAAATCCCCCCCTTTCAAACTTGTGGATAGCCACTGTCGTCACTTGGAAAGTCAAATTGGAGAACCTGAGCTCCGTAGTAAATTGCTTTTTCGACGCGCTCCAACGCGTCGATCGTGCGCCGGTCGTGACGAAATGTTTATTCCCCTTGGATCCCGGATCCCTGGCATCGCCAAGAATAGGTGATTTGGGCAGTTGAGGCCTGAAGGAATTGGAACTCGAGAGAAATCATGATCCATGATGGAAAAGTGCAGAAAATTCGAATAATTTGGTAGATGACGGCTGCTTGCCTATTTGGGAAACCGTTGTGTAGTGGCTACGAAAGGCCGTTTGCGTTTGCCGTTCTCAAGACCCCTGCTGCATGAGTTGACTTCGTTTTCTGGACTAAGCTGGTAACTAGCTGAAAGCGAAGTGCTGTTTTGAAGAGGATCATCTAACACATTTGGGGACTGGACAACCGGGCTAGGTAAATCGCACCATACCCGGGAAAACACCCCTGCAGCATAGAAACACAAGGCTGGATATACGGAATACTACGACGACGACGACGACGACGACGACGACGACAACGACAACGACGGCACCAGCAATAGCGACAACAGCAGCGACAACAACAGCAGCGACAACAACAGCAGCGACAACAACAGCAGCGACAACAACAGCAGCGACAACAACAGCAGCGACAACAACAGCAGCGACAACAACAGCAGCGACAACAACAACAACAACAGCAAGAGCAACAAGAGCAAGAGCAACAAGAGCAAGAGCAACAGTAATGACAGCAACGGCGGCAACAAAGCGATAACAGGGTGTCGACTTATCACATGGTGGGTGTGATTAAGGCCCCTTTTTTCCCCCAGGGTCGCGGTTGCATATCTCGTCCAGACTTTGGCTGTCCTGACGAGTCTACCTGGAAGTGTCCTTGAACCTGAGTGATTGATTTCTCGCGGAACAGTTTCCTCAGCGCAACACGGGCAATGATTTTGTCTAGTACGTGCGGGTCGGAGTACGCTGGTTTCGATATCCACTATCATCCACAGATATCGCAAGACAATCCCTCCTTCTTGCACAACATTCAGAGGATGAAGCCACAGACGTTGCGTTGAGATTGCCTCCTCCGAAATATCGCTTGTTTTGCTGGCCGATTACTTCGAGAATGCTTCTGGCCAATATATCTCGATTCAGTTCCTGCGGCATTGAACACGATGACGCCAATGCCATCTCCTCAGTGAAGGAGCCGATAGAACGAGAAATGACTGGAGGGTTGAATGTTGTACATTTATTTCGTATTGATACATATCGAGGTCTTCGTTCTCGCTGGAAGGGCCTCTTGCCTATGTGTTTCTCGAGCATATTCGTCGCACTTTGACTCTTCACGTCGTGCGGATGCCCTTCACGCCCAGCTCGATCCGCCTTAACCTTTCAAGCCGAATGAACTGAGTGCAATTTCCGACACTCTAGCTCGATGCTTTCGTTCGTGATTGTTGTCGCAGAATCGCATAGATGGCGCCTCGATTAATGACCCAGCCTCCTACGTCCCTTCGCTTTCCTCCGCGCAATGATCTTGCGGCCGTCCTTGGTCTTCATACGGGAGAGGAAACCGAGTCTTCGCTTCTGAACCAATCGAGTGTTTCGGTTCATGGTGTTGCGGGGACCGAAGCAGAGCTGCATAGCGGCCATCGCGGGGTGTTCGGTCACGGCGCTCGAGGGGACGACATCGGCGGCATTGGCTGTTGAAGGAGTGAATGGCGTGGCCGTCGGACGGCGGAAGGCGGACGTGAGGGGAGTGATCGAAGGACGGAGGGAGGGCAGAGAGGAGAACGTTCTAGCGAGCTATGGTTAGTCCCATCGCATTTTCGAGGGAGCTTTCAACACTCCGAAACCTACCTTTGGGAGATAATCTGGCCGACAGAAGCGGACTGAGCAGTCGGGCGGGAGAGAAAGCCCCTCGCCAGGCTTGTTAACGATTGGCGCATCATTTTCGCAGCAGTTTTGTGTTCGTCGTGCCGCTGGCGTGGAGCTCGCTGATCTCAAGAGAGACCTCGTCGATTTGCCTGAGATTTTGCGAATGGCTTTCCTGCAACTTTCGGGAGTTCCCGCTGCATATGTGACTAAAGAGGTAGTTCCTTCTAAAAGGGCAAAGCATTGCATGAACCGAGTGTTTCAGCCATTCAAAGTGGGAGGAAGCTGGAGAAAGGTTAACCAATCACAACCCCTGCCTACCTTACTCCCGCAAGCTCCGAACCTCAGCTTTGGCGGCCCCCACTTGATTGTCTGGGGGCCAAGCTCACTGTGGACAGCTTGCCTGAGGTTCCTGGAGTCGTCTTACGTACGGGTGCCTTGCGACACGACCAGGAGCCTGGTCTTGCTTTCTTCAAAGCAACATCTCCATTTCTTGTCCCTCCTTTGCAACTCCTCTACACAAGCAAGGCGGGCAACAAGATGGATTTCCTCCAACGTCTCGCCCGGTTCTTGGACCGTCCCCTCTTCCCGTGGAAGCGTCTCATTCTCGGCTTCTCGGTCGGCCAGTTCGTCTTTGAGAGCCTGCTCTCGCTGCGCCAGTATCAGGTTCTCAAGAAGACGAAAGCCCCGAAGGTCCTCGAACAGGAAATCTCCCAGGAAACTTTCGACAAGAGTCAAGCCTACGGTCGCGCCAAGTCCCAATTCGAATTCGTCAACGGTCTCTGGGGTCAGATCCAGAATATCGCCTTTATCCACTACGATGTCCTCCCCAAGCTGTGGTCCTGGACCGGTAACCTGCTGCTCAAGTTCGCGCCGGCGCGTTTCACCGGCGAGATATCGCACTCCATCGTCTTCGTCCTCGCCTTCATCGTCATTCAGCAGATTCTCTCGCTGCCCGGATCGGTATACCAGACGTTCGTGTTGGAGGAGAAGTTCGGCTTCAACAAGCAGACGCCCAAGCTGTTCATGACCGACATGATCAAGTCCCAGCTGCTCGCCTTTGTCATCGCTCCCCCGATTCTTGCCGGTTTCCTCTCCATCGTCAAGAAGACTGGTAACCAGTTCTTCTTCTACCTCTGGTTGTTCGCCGCCGGTCTGCAGGTCTTCATGATTACCATCTACCCGATCGCCATCTTGCCACTGTTCAACAAGCTGTCGCCTTTGGAAGAGGGCGAGTTGAAGAACGGTGTCGAGAACCTCGCCAAGAGCCTGAACTTCCCCCTGCACGAACTCTACGTTATCGATGGAAGCAAGCGCAGCGCCCACAGCAACGCTTACTTCTTTGGTCTCCCCTGGAAGAAGCACATCGTCATCTACGACACCCTCATCGAGAAGAGCGAGACGCAGGAGGTCGTGGCTGTCCTTGCGCACGAGCTTGGTCACTGGAGCCTTGGTCACACCACCCGTCTCTTTGGTATCTCCCAGGTATGTACTTGCGCCTATCCGCGAAGAGCGCAGCTGCTAATCTGCCTACCTAGGTTCACTTCCTTTACATCTTCACTCTGTTCTCCGTCTTCATTAGCAACAACTCCCTGTACGGCGACTTCGGATTCCTTAAGGAGCACCCCATCATCATCGGCTTCATCCTCTTCTCCGATGCACTCTCGCCGATGGACACTGTGGTTAAGTTGCTCATGAACATCCTGAGCCGCAAGTACGAGTTCCAGGCCGATGCATTCGCCCAGAAGCTCGGCTACTCAGTTGAGCTGGCCAAGTCCCTGCTCAAGCTCCAGATCCAGAACCTCAGCACCATGGATGCTGATTGGATGTACGCCACCTACCACTTCTCTCACCCTCATCTTTCGGAGCGTCTCAAGGCTCTCAACTGGAAGTCTACGGGCAAGGTCACGACGGACGAGCCCACGGTTGGAAAGACCACGGGCAGAGATGAGCTGTAAGAAGCTGAATCAGTACAAAGAATAAATATGCTAGTAATCTAGCAAGGGTGGTGTTCCCTCGAGAATAGGGAATGGAGCCACGCCTGAATCTGGGGTCAGCTCAGTTAGCGCCCAATAAATGATATTGTCTGCTACCATTATCGTTGCCACCATTGGTAATGTCGTGATTCATGAGGTTATTTTGAAACTACTGCTCTAATAATGAAGTAAGCAAACCAGCCCAGTGATCTCATATTGATCGTCGCATCCCATAGTAAGCCGTCCTCAGCGTCTCGGTGCCCTCATATTGGCCATCACCCGAGCAAGGAGCTCTTCCCTCGTGTCTGACTCCCCTGGGAACAAATTCCGCTGATGACGGGTCAGCAACGCTCACATCTACAAGGTAAAGGCAAGCAAAAGGCTCATCATACCGCGGCCAGCCATCTTCTCATCTCCTCTCTGGTCCATCCTTCGGGATTCCCCGTCGGATCGGCGCCGGCCGGGAACATGTCACCACCGTATATGGCCCACACGGCCACGGCTGTGACTAAACCGCCAAATGCTGAGCTGTCTGTTAGCGTCTAGCCAGCTATTCCGACAAAATATTGCGTGACGAACCGAGAACCGCATTCTGTTGTCAATTAGCTCCCGGCCTTTCATCAATCTTCAGACAAATAGTGACTCACCTTGGACTTCATGGCGTTGTCGAGCGGCGTAGGCATCTTGTAAACTTGATGTGGCGGTGCTTTGATGGTTGAAGCGCGGGGAACCTCAGGCCTACCACGGCGTCGTGGAATGTCCTTGAGGTAGATATATACGGCCACAACACTCACAGGCTACCAAAAAGACTTTAAAGAAACGTGTTAGTTAGATACACCAGGTGCAAATCGAAAGCGTCGTCAACGTGCCAAGGTACAGGCCGAGGATGTCTGGGTTCTTCACCAAACGGGTGACGCGTCAAGCCACAGTGACGTCCAGTTGGACAACCTTACCCCAGCTCTAACTCCAGCTACTGCTGCTGCCTGTGGCGAGGACACATGCACCGGAGACGGCAGACCCCACCTCCGTCGGTACGATCGGTGCCCATCCCCCCGACCGCTGCGGCACTGGGCCCGCAAATTCGAAGGGGGAGACAGAAGCACGGAAGGACACTGGAAGCAAGTGGCAGGTGGCCCGTGCGCCAGCCAGCCAGCTCCTCGGCCGGGCCGCCAGGGGTCCATCCCACAAAACCAAATTCGCACCAAAATACCCTCCCACTCCCACGAAAAAGTCCACGACAACTCCAACCCGCCAAACCGACCCAGACAAGTACCCCCTCGTTGTCGCCAATCAATACCGCCAAGATGCCTCAGGAAATCGGTGACATCAAGAAGGTACGGACGATCTCAGGGTAGCGAGCGTCATGCTGCCCGGGAAAAACGACATTCAAAAACGGAATTTTGGCTAACATTTGCGCCAAACAGTTCATTGAGATCGCCCGCAGGAAGGACGCCTCTTGTATGCACATTCCCCCCAAACCCATGAGCGACGAACAGTCGACGGTCGAAAGGCTTTCAGACGATTGAGAATCGAGAATCGGGCGAAATTTGAAAGAAGAATGGGAAATTCTGACATTTTTGGGAAACAGCCGCGCGCATCAAGCGTAACCGCAAGAGCTCCCAGATCAAGTTCAAGGTCCGCTGCCAGCGCCACCTGTACACCCTCGTCCTCAAGGACAACGACAAGGCCGAGAAGCTCAAGCAGTCCCTCCCTCCCCGTACGTTTTCCCCTCCCCACTCTCCAATCGAGTCGATCAAGCACGCTGCAGAAGTGAGCCAGCGTCTGTGTCTTGACGAAGACAAGGAAGGATGGAAAGCTAACCTCACGTCCCCCTCATACAGAGCTCCAGATCAAGGACGTCCCCAAGAAGAACCCCAAGGGTGGCAAGGCCTCCGCATAAGCGAATCCCGAACGAAACCTGGTCAACAAAAAAAAGATGTCGAACAAACGTCTTCGATGAAGCGGGGGGGAAATCCAACTAGAACGTCAAGAGCAATGAAAGTTAGCCTGACATGAGGTCAATGGAATGATTTACTTGTTTCCCCCTTTACCCGGTTTTGCGCGCAATGGTCCGATCGGTCTTGGGATTGGGGGCGGGCACTCTTCCTCTTCCATCTCTCGACAGAGGGATGGCGGAGGGACGAAACCCGTAAATATCAAAAAATGGCGTCGGGGGATTACCTAGGCAATTGCAACATGGATGTATTGTCTGCTGTCCATCAGTAGGCAATTTCACCAATGAAAAAAAGACCATTGAACACACCGAGGCAAGGCGGCACGGATGGGATCTTGTTTGTTACTTTGTGCAGACCTCTTGATGACGCCCTCGCTCTGACAGACCCTATTGCTTCCATGCATCGGCGATCGAATCGCTCCGATATGTCCGGAATCATTCTTCCATCACGCCTTGCGGCCCCATCTACATGATTCTCTTGTAGTGCCAGATGTCCGTCCCCGTCACGAACTCCTGGATACCTGCCCACTCCTTGAACCCCTCATGCTGCGCAATGGCCTTGTGCTGCTCGACGGACGACCAGCCGCAGTACATGACAAATTCCTCGAGCCCGTCGACTGCTCTCTCGATTCGCCAGCCGCCACGCACCGGGTACGGCTTCGAAGACTCCTCGACAACCCACTTGGCCTCAGCGTACTTCTTGACGAACTCCTCCTTTCGTTCGGGCCGCACTCCGAAGCGCCCGACGCTGATGATCGGGGCCGTCAGCAGGTTGGGAGGCTCGTCTTCGGCCTTCTTCTTGCCATCTGCCTTGCTTTCTTCGTCGACGGCTGATGCCGGAGCTTCCGGTGCCTTGTCTTTCGAGTTTGTCTCCGCCGGTTCCTCTTCCCTCTTTCCGTCCGGGTTCGCGGCCTCACTTGCGGGTGCGGGTTCAGACGCCGCTTTGCTCGCAATAGCTTTCACAAAGATGGGCGTGTCGATGTGGAAGAAGAGCACCGACTGTGGTCCCTCACGGTGGATATGCGGCGTCAGCTTGGACATGACATTCTGGTTCTCGGGCGAGACGATCCACTCGCCATGAGCTTCGGGAGAGTCCCATTGCGCAGCCAGAAGAACGATTTGTGGGTTCTCGACCTGCTGTAGAATGGCGGTGCCGCGAGCTACACGCGTCGGAGGGAGTCCAGGTTTCTGGCGGAGGACCCAGGTATCTTGGACCGTCTGGCAGTAGTCCATGAGCTCCTTGATCTCCTCGGTCAAGGGCTCCTTGAACTGGAGAAGGGCAAGCTCCGTCACGGACATTTTGGCGGCTTTTTCGGGTGGGCGGGCAACCTCGGTGGCAAGGGGTGGTTCGTGATTTCGAGCACTGAAGCTTAGGAATGGAAGCTGTCTGGGGTTCACGGGGTTTTGCCGGGAAGTGAGCTCTCGGGCGGGGTTCGGTGCGGGCCGGAATATTGGGGTGAGCTTTTGCCTGGTTGGCAGATGACGAGGACAGTCGTACGGGCCTTGATTGATGCTGAAAACAACAGCTGCCTTCAGATAAAGCTGAACGACTTTAGTGACTTCAGTTAGATATTGTAGAAACGGAGCGGAATACGGGTTGCCTGGCGGGACAAACAAGGCTGCAGGTCAGCGTTAGGCGTGAGGTGCGACGTTGACCAGCTGCGGCACAGACCGAGCTAAGACGAAGTAAGGCGGAAGCAATAAGCTCCATTGTGCGACAGCCTAGACTTGAATTGCATTGTAAAGCTTCCCTTTTGGAGAAGATCTCAAGCAAGCTTGGGGACTTTCCACAAGACTCGGATTCGGCGGGTGGCTGCAACCGACCGACCCCGCAATGCTTTGTAGTATCTTTGGCCGTCGCCATGCTTTTTGATAGAGTTATGTCCAGTCTGCAAGACATATCCAGGCTCGGCTGGTCCGTCTTTTCAAACCATCGGCATGTTCGGTCGCTCCCTGCGGACGGGGGCGGAAGGCTTGTGACACTAAGCGGCAACACAATTGTAATCGGCCCCCAACGAGAGTCGGGGCGGAGAGGACTTGTGAGCAAGTCGGCAAGCACGATGATCGGTGCATATGCATCCTCACGACGCCTATCAATAACATACACGGAGTTCAGTCTAGAACGCGGGTGAACTCGTATAATTAGTCGCATAGCCACGAAGCAGCTCACGTACGGAAGCAATTTTGACTTGGACTCCCCGAACTTGGGACATCTTCCTGACACTGACGCTGACAGTATGGGTCGGGTATTCTTCTCTCCAAAGCTGCGAAGTTCCGTGAGGCTGACCGATTGTTTCGAAAACAAGCACCTGCCAAGTGGTTGCTTGTGCTAGAAGACCAACGATGTGATATCTGGCCAGTTGGGATCAGAGGGTGCCAAATGCCAGGCCCGCATTGCACTAAGTGGCCTGCGCCTCGATCGTTGAGCTGAGAGCTGCGCATCCAAGATGTAAGAAACCGACCGGGGGTTTATCGGCAGGGTAATTTCCGCTTCCTCAAATTCGGGTGTTGCAAGCACATTGCCTGCCGGGCACGCTTATTACCACCTGGTAGGATCACGGCGCTTCGTCCTCACCAAGTCCGTCCCCATGCGCCGACAAAACGAATCCTTCGGGAAACAGCCGAATAGCCTCTGTATTGTCGAGATCTTGTCATCGCCACATGGCATTGCGGGAGAAACAAAATCTAACGAATTTCGCTCTTCTTCCGAGACACGGAGCTGTCAAGCAAGGTCCTCAAGCCCTTGGTATTTTGAAAACCCCAATATCGTTGCGACTTGAGAGACAGGTCGATAACAACCAAGTCTCAGGTGACGACCTCACATTGGTATAGCCGGCGATGCTGGAAACCACGGAGACTTCACCGCCTCGACTTTGCAAGAGTCAGCGATGCTGCATGAAATGCAGTCGCGACCGACAAGAACGCCGTCGAGGTGCAGCTGGTTGGCTTATCGAATCCGCAGTCGGGGCGGGAGCAGGCATTTGTCGCATCGGACTGCCCAATGTCAGGTGCGGACAAGCGTCATCCATCTGAGCGGTCCAGCAAATCATTTCGGCGGGCAGCAGTTGGGGGGACACCGTCCTTGGGGGCCAGTAACACGCTACCCATCCCACGTCAAGGCTCATCAGACGAAACGACGCTCGGTCGCATCAATGGCGAAAAACCGGTGGTGATGGAAGGTTCGTTATCGAGTGGATGCGCTTGCTGATGTTCGCGACGCAAGGTAGCTTGACTGCAGTGTACTTAATGCGATAGCTTGAAGCCATGCGGAATTCTCGCCGTTGAAGACCGTTCCCGTCGTCGCTGAAGCAGTGTTGGGTGTTGCTTTGTCTGGCCAGAGTGTTGATGGTGAGATTCTCTTTATCAGTTTTCCTCCAGCAACAATTTGTCCTGGTGCTTCAATTTGGATTGCGACAGACCATTGGCCTAAGTTTCCTAGAGATGAGGCGGAAGAGCGGACGAAGCCGGTCAGCATCTTATCGAGGAAACAAGTCGTGTAGAAGTGGTGAGGACCGGAGTAGCCAGTTGGAGGCGTTCAAGAGGAACGGGTTTGGCGGACGCAGGAAGCAGTGGTGTCGAGCTTGTCAAGTTGACATGTCGATGACGGCGGATGGCGGATGGCGTTAACGGCGGCGCTGTCAGTGGCTTACGTCCTCCTTCCCAACTGGGAAGGCAGCACAATCAGCTTCTGTCGATATGAAAATCGCTGTGCTATCTATCCATCATTGGAGTTTTGTAAGCTGGAAGTTTGCTTCTTGGAAGATGCAGCTATCTTTCCTAGAAGAGTCAGTAATTATTACTGTATCACAGCTCGACAGGGACACTACCGCTCGGGCGACCGTCCTTTTCACCTGCAGACACCCCTGCTGCTGTACGTCGGTGCTTGCCGGGAAACGCCCACCAGGTCGGGAATGTCATCCAGGGGAAACACGCAGAGCCAATTAGGAGACGCAGGGGGCCGGTCGCTGGGAACCCAACGATGCAGTCAGAGGAGGGTACCTGCAAGTTGGATGAGTTACGACGAGGTACATGGAAGGAGGCATTGGAAGAGCAGACGATACCTGGTGTTGGTTGGTGATTGGCAGCGCGGACAGGTATTTTAGGTAAGGCGGTAGCAATTACGAATTTTGGGTAATATGACAAACAATACACCGCCAGGGGGGGCTCAGATATCACGTCCAGGCTGCTGCTTACCTGTTACCTGCGTGTTAATCTATACTTTTTCTTTCCCCATTACGACGCTGCTGAGTTGCGCAGTGCCCATGAATAGATGCAACCGATCCCTTTCAAGGCGTCGAGTGCGAGTTTCGTCCCAAGTTCCATTGCCGTAACATTGAAAAAGCCTCCACCGGAGCTTCCATTGCTTCCATCCACAAACCTGCCGGCGGACTCGACCAACACCGAACAACAATTCCTCCCCCGGACTTGAACCCCCGTCACTCCCGTCTCACCTCCTATCTGAATCACCCGTGGACTTCTCATCTGCGACACGTTTTTTTCCCCAGCAGCACAAAGAAGGAGCGGCGAGAGGCTAAAACCTTCCATATCTCTGCTCTCTAGCCGTAAGGGTAGTGTGTCTTGACCAAACACGCCTCCAACCTCCAGCCAGCCAGCCAGCCAACCCTCCACGCACCACCACATTACATCGTCTGCCTGTCATCGTCGTCCAATTGCTGTTTCCTGTATCCGTAAGTACCTTTACCCTCTCTTGATCGCCTTCCCCATGTTTCTTGTCTGATAAGGGGGCCCATCTCCAGGTCCAGCACCACGTTGTGCAATTTGTCCGGCCACCCCCCGGAACCTTGAAAAGCTAAATTGGCTAACTGAATCGAGAGTCCCTCTTGGTCCTCCTCTAATAAAAGTGTTTGTATTACCGTATTACACACTTGCCAAATTACGCCTTAAGGGACCGCTACCACCCTCTGGCGCGCCGCCATCGTCACCCGTCACCTGCTCCCGCTTCTTCCTCTCCCAAATTCTCAACAACTTTTTCTCCATAAACCTTTTCTAGTCCGCCTACCCAACCTACTCAACTCGACCTGTCTTTGCATCACGACCCATTCTGCAGCCTCGATTCGCTCCGCTCCTAGTGCCACCCACCAATTGACCCCTCTCAACACCATCCAGACGGACGAACACGACTCAGGACCCTGACACGTCGTTGTACTATGCTTGGTCTCTGATACGCCTCCTCCACGACTACACGCATCCCACGAATTCTCTCTCGCAAACACTCAACCATCCTGCGGTTGCAGGCGCAAGACACCGAACGCGCCCATGGCTGTCCTTGCCCCCGAAATGCGAAATGGCCTCGATCCCGTCGCCGTCAACGGCGTACCGACTACCACCTATGTCAACGGACACAGCAATCTAGCCCATCGCTTCAGATTGGACCGCAAGGCCTCAAGCCCCATGATGCCCGCCTTCATGGTCTCGGCGCCTGGCAAGGTCATTGTTTTCGGCGAGCACGCTGTCGTTCACGGCAAGGTACTGTTGCTCGAAACCCCTTTTTCGCCAGATTTTGTCGCATTCACTAACTTGGTACAACCATCAGGCCGCTATCGCCGCCGCTATTTCTCTTCGATCCTACCTGCTCGTCACATCACTGTCCAAGTCAAGGCGAACAGTCTCCTTGCGCTTCCCAGACATCGACCTGCATCACACATGGAACATCGACGACCTCCCCTGGGCAATTTTCCAACACCCCTCCAAGAAGAAGTCCTACTATGATCTGGTGACAGAGCTTGATAAAGACCTTGTGGCAGCCATACAACCGCATCTCGCCAACGTCTCGCCAAACAAGCCTGATGAAGTACGGAAAGTACACCAAAACTCCGCGTCAGCGTTTCTCTACATTTTCCTCTCGCTTGGTCACCAGTCGTTCACCGGGTGCCTGTACACTTTGAGATCTACAATTCCCATCGGCGCAGGTCTGGGTAGCAGCGCGTCCATTGCAGTCTGCTTGGCGGCTGCTCTTCTCCTACAACTGCGCACCTTGTCGGGCCCACATCCCGATCAACCCCCTGACGAGGCAAGGCTGCAAGTGGAGAGAATCAACAGATGGGCTTTTGTATGCGAAATGTGCATACACGGCAACCCTTCAGGCGTGGACAACACTGTCGCGACCCAGGGTAAGGCCGTGGTTTTCCAACGGACAGACTACAACAAGCCTCCCGCTGTTCGGCCTCTTTGGGATTTCCCAGAGCTCCCACTGTTGCTTGTCGACACCAAGCAAGCCAAGTCAACGGCTTTCGAGGTTGCAAAGGTTGCAAAGCTTAAGAGCGGACACCCGAAACTTGTTGGAAGCATTCTGGACGCCATTGACAAGGTCACAAATACTGCGGACGGCCTCATTGGCGCCGAGAAGTTCGACAACAAGAGCGAAGAAAGTTTGCAGCAAGTAGGAGAGCTCATGACCATTAATCATGGCCTCCTTGTCTCTTTGGGAGTGTCGCACCCGCGCCTTGAGCGTATACGAGAGTTGGTGGACCATGAGGGGATCGGATGGACGAAGCTGACAGGTGCTGGTGGCGGCGGTTGCTCCATCACCTTGCTGAAGCCTGATGTTCCTAAGGAGAAACTCGGTCATTTGGAGAGCCAGCTTGAAGAGGAAGGCTATGAAAAGTTCGAGACAACACTCGGCGGTGACGGCGTCGGCGTGCTGTGGCCCGCCGTCCTCAAGAATGGCATGGACGAGGACAGCGAAGGTGGCATGGAGATTGACGTCGATAGCTTCTTGAACGCCGATGGCAACGAAGGCGTGGAGAAGCTGGTCGGTGTCCACGGTGGCGTTGGGGAAAGAGAGGGTTGGAAGTTCTGGAGAGTGGAAAGTCGGTGATTGGCGCAGCAGCGCATTTTCTCAGTCTGCTTCTTTATTCACCAGCTATGCCAGGGCGCAGAGCAGGGAAAAGCTTTTGGTTCAGTTCATTTGCTGTACGACATGATAATGGCGCAGAAGATGGGAATATGAGGGGGGGCTTCATGTATCATATATAATCGGCGTGCAGATCTTAGAAGCTCACCTTGCGGTACTAAATCTTTTAATCTTGAAGTTCAGGGTATGCAAGCGGAAAAACATGGAATCGAAGTGTGTTGCCATTGCTGGACGTTGTGCTACCTAAGGTACCCGACGCGACGACATCCCAAGTGGCTTGGCAGGAGCAAAGGGTCCTAAGGTGGGGTAGCAGCCATAGGACAACAATTTCCATAGCCGGAGCATAAGGTACCTCGCCGCCGCTCAACCCCGCCATAGATCAACCCAGCCGCCGACATGCCCGCCAAATCCAAGGTCAGCTCCAAAGCCAAGGAAGCTGAGAATAAGAGTATGTTTGAATCGATCCATCTCCATCTGCAGGCCGTGCGGAACATCCAGCTCACGCGCGACCGATACTCCCGACTCACTGACGCCATCTTTGCTGACCACCATCCGTCTTCACCACAGGCAAACAGCAAACGCAAGCTGCGGCTGAACCCCAACAACCCCCCAAGACGATCAACGAGCGCTCTTTCCAGCGCTATCACCAGACGAACCCCCACGAACGACGGAAGGAAGACGCCGGAGGCCTGCACGCCCTCGCGCCGAACGAGCGCCAGTCCTGGGTGAACGCAAGCTTGGTGCGCCGCGTCGCCAACAGGGAGATCTACCTCACGAACAAGGCGGAGCGCGAGTTCTGGAAGCAGGTCAGCAGGGAAAGCCCGCCGATCCGCCGGCTCGAGAAGCAGAAGCAGACCGCCGACCCGAAGATCGTCTACGACTGGGGAAAGGACAAGAACGGCCGCGACCTCGGCGAGTACCCCATCGACCAGTTCACCGTCCGGGCCGCGAAGCAAGCGAAGCTCACGGCGCTCGAGGTCTTGCACCGGAGATTCATTCAGCGGAGGGAGTTTGCGCGAGACGGCGTCCCCGACGCGACCGACGGTCAGGTTCCGGATATCTCGCAGGAAGACATCGACGAGGAGACAAAGAGAAGACGGGAGATGGCGGCGCTTAGAAAGGAGCTGTACGGGGACAAGATGGGACCGTACGCCACGGACCCAGAATGGGACGACGTCGTGCCCATCCCCGCCGAGGAGCCCGAGGGCGCCCTGGCTACGATTGCTTACCCGGAAGACTACGCTGAGGGTAAATAATTCACGTTCTTTTCATGTGTCTTGACTCTACTCTACTCTGTGCTTGGATTTGGTGGCGAGGGATATTCGTTGAATGTCGACTGACTTTTCTGTCTTCATTCCAGTCATGAGCTACCTGCGCGCCGTCATGGTTGCCGAGGAGTACAGCCCGCGGACGCTCCGTCTCACGGAAAACGTCATTTCCATGAACCCCGCACACTACACCGTCTGGCTGTACAGGTTCAAGATTGTCCAGGCGCTTGAGATCCCAGTCGTCGACGAGATCGAATGGCTCAACGAGGTCTCGCTCGAGCATATCAAGAACTACCAGATCTGGCATCACCGCCAGCTGCTTCTGGATCACCACCACGAGCGGATCAAGGGCAGCCCAGACGAAGTGAAGCGGTTCGCGCGATCCGAGATGGAGTTTCTCACGCGCATGCTCGACGAGGACACCAAGAACTACCACGTCTGGAGCTACCGGCAGTACCTCGTGCGCAAGCTGGGGCTGTGGAACCTGCAGGAGCTGCTGTCGACGCAGAACTGGATCGAGGAGGACGTGAGGAACAACTCGGCGTGGTCGCACCGGTTCTTCCTGGTGTTCTCGGACCCCGCGGCGTCTACGGAGGGGTCGCACGCCACGGAGCACGACCCGAAGGTGCCCGCGGACGTTGTGGACAGAGAGATCAAGTATGCTGAGGAGAAGACGCTGCTGGCGCCGCAGAACCAGGCTGCGTGGAATTACCTGAGGGGCGTGCTTGTCAAGGGCGGACGGAAGCTGGCGACCGCCGAAGCTTTTGCCGCGCAGTTTGTCAAGGGCGTCGGCGAGGGAGGGGACAAGGAGGAGGTGCGTAGCAGCCATGCGCTTGACTTTTTGGCAGAGGTGTTTGCGGAGAAGGGGCAGAAGGATGAAGCGGCGAAGTACCTCGATCGGCTGGCTGAGAAGTGGGATCCTGTGAGGGCGGGATACTGGAAGTATAGGAAGCAGCAGATCGCATAAGGACAGCAGGTTTGTGTGGTAATTGACGTTTTCTTGTGCTATCCAGTCAAAGCCTCTCCTTGGCAGGAAAAGATGTATTGGTGTTATACCACTTAGTTTTGGGGTGTTTCTTCGACAAGCATCGGGCCAAGTCGTCTGCGTCCCCTTTCCAGCCAGTTTTCATAGTCCATTCTGCAGCGAAATCAGTATCATCTGTGGCGGGATTGACGTCGAACTCACCTCATTCAATCCATGTCAAGTAATCCAATCATCGTAACAAGGCTCCTTCGGGTATATCCTCCTCGCCACCCTATCCGTCCCGCCCTTCACAGCGCGCGGAAGTTCTGGCTCATGATCAACCACCGCCTGACCCCGCGCGGGGGGTTCTTGACCAAGGTGTCCCAGTTGGGCACCAGCACGAAGACCTCGTTGAACGTCTTGGCCGGCGCGTCGCGGCCCTTGCCGTAGTACACCCGGCCCGTGACCTGGGCCATGACGCTGCACTTGGCGCCTGTGCTGTCGCCGGCCAGGAGGTGGTCGGGGCAGCCGAGCGAGAAGTTGGGGTTGATGACGTGGGCGTCGAGGGACTCGACCTCGTAACGCACGTCGGGGCCCTGGGTGTCGAGGAGGGCGACGTATTCGTCGGGCCCGCCCGAGAGGACGGCGCCGTTGATGGAGATGTCGGGCTGCGAGGGGTACTTTGAGCAGGACGTCGTGTAGAAGTTGGAGACGGTGCCCTGAGGCTTGCGGCGGTTGAGGGCGTCGTAGTATGCGTCTGCGAAGTTCGAGGCCGCTGTGTGTGGTGTGTTGTTAGTTTTGGGGGTTCGGGCTGCGGACTGGCTGGGCGGAGGTACCGTCTGCGGACGCTTTGAGCTCTGTTTCGCGGGAAGGAAGAGACATTGTTGCGATGTTGGCTCGACTCTCGGGTGCGCTGCGTGATTTGGGTTCGTAGAGTTCGAGTACGTAGTATTGTTTACTCGGAGGATGTTGTCGCAAAGCTCAGTTGTCGGACTCGAAGTTTGGCGGGGTGCAGGGGTCTTTATTTGATAAGAGCTCTGTCTATACCGTTATCGTGTCACGCAATTGGCACGGTGTCCTGGAAGTCGGAATATTTCGAGAAGCACTCGCTCAATTCAAATCCTCCCAATGCATTCAACGGCATGTGTATACGACGGTAGCCACCGACCAACACAGGCTCAATGAGACCAGTCAGAATATCCGCAGCTTCGGCGTTCCGCAGCCGTTGCTATGCGCCAACGTTGCGGCGAACTTGGGTCTGCCCCTCATGCACCTCTGGACAGACATCGCGACGGTTCGCGAGCTCCAACAGCAAGGGCGACAAGCCGTATTATGTGACCACACCAATCTTCTACGTCAATGCGTGTAAGTGACGCGATACCTAGCTGTTGAAAATGATTCATGTGCTGAGCTTTGTGTGTTTACAGCGCCGCATGTCGGACACATGTACTCGATGCTCCTCGCCGATGTTCTCAAGCGCTGGCAGAAGCTCAAGGGGCGGCCCGCGATCCTCTGCACCGGCACCGACGAGCACGGTTCGAAGGTCCAACAAGCGGCCGCCAAGCAGGGCGTCGACCCCAAAGAATTCTGCGACTCGACGGCGGAGAAGTTCCGCGATCTCGCGCGCGCGATCGGCATGGACAACGACCACTTCATCCGCACCACCGACCCGGACCATAAGGAAGCCGTGCAGCACTTCTGGCATATGCTGAACGAGAAGGGGTACATCTACGAGAGCAAGCACGAGGGTTGGTACTGCGTTAGTGACGAGTGCTTCTACGCGGCCAACGAGGTCGAGAGGACGCTGGTGCCGCAGACGGGACGGACGGTCATGGCTTCGATCGAGACGGGGAATGAGGTGGAGTGGGTCGAGGAGAAGAACTACCACTTCCGCATGACGGCGCTGAAGGACAGGCTGCTGAAGTTTTACGAGGAGAACCCGAATTGGATCGTCCCGCGGCAGAGGCAGAAGGAGGTCGTCTCGTGGGTGGAGAACAACCTCGAGGACCTGTCGATATCTCGGCCCGTTCAGAGGCTGGACTGGGGCGTACGTGTGCCGGACGACCCCTCGCAGACGATCTACGTCTGGGTGGACGCGCTCATCAACTACATGACCAAGGCCGGGTTCCCGGGGTGGCAGCCCGGGAAGGAGCACGCGGAGGGCTGGCCGGCGGACGTGCACGTCATCGGCAAGGACATCGTGCGCTTCCACGGCATCTACTGGCCGGCGCTGCTGATGGCGCTGGACCTGCCGCTGCCGAAGCAGCTGCTCAGCCACGCGCACTGGACGATGGCGAAGAAGAAGATGTCCAAGTCGGTCGGCAACGTGGTCAACCCGTTCTTCGCCATCGACCGGTGGGGTCTGGACACGATGCGGTACTTCATGATGCGCGACGGCGGCATCGAGAGGGATGCGGACTACGAGAACTCGCTGATCGTGGCGCGGTATCACAAGGATTTGCAGTCGACTATTGGAAACCTGATGAACAGGGCGGCCAAGAGCAAGAAGTGGAAGCTCAGAGACTCTATTGCGTGGGTGGGGGAGAACAGCGCCTCCGTTGGACGCAATCTCGCCGCTAGCCAGAGGTTGAAGGCAAGGATCAATGAGATGGCGCCCGCGATGTCGAAGCGCATGGACGAGTTGAACCCCAATGCCGCCATTCGCGGCGTGCTGGACGTACTTGTTGAGGTAAGAATGACTTACATTCGTCGGACATTGGACGAGTGTTGCTTACATGGCTTCCAGGCAAACAAATATATTTCCGATGCGGCACCATGGAAGCTAGTCAAGGCGAAGAATCCCAAATCCCAGGCGGCACTTCACGAGGTCATCTATGTCACGTCGGAGGCAGTGAGGTCAGCGGGCATTCTTCTCCAGCCCATCATGCCGACGAAGATGGGCCAATTGCTCGATCTGATAGGCGTCGACGCGGACAAGCGACGATTCCAGGATGCGGCGTTTGGGACAGACTTGACGTATGGAACCCCTTTAATCGATCCGCTACGGCCTGGAGAATGGAATTCCTTGTTCCCGCCACAGCCTGCGGATGAGTGAGGCTATCTCGACTGCGGATATGGATGAAATCCGTGCGGCTGGGACGATTCTACGACAATGTACATATTTGTAAGAATAGGAAGCAAAAGCAACTCAATCTCAGCCAGCGTTTGTGTAGTTCATTCATTTTTCTAGCAGCGCAAGATGAGATGTATCTTCGTGGTCAGCGGTTGGTTGGTTACCTAGCTAGCTCGGGACATTATGCATCTTCGTTTTCAATGCCCGCTCTGCAGCGCTCAAGCCTTTCAGAGACGAAATAACTTTACAGGACGTTGGTCCAAAGCAAAAAGAATGCATCGCAACGGCCGAATCATGAAAAAGCAAAAGAGGAACGTCAAGGACAGGATTCGAACCTGCGCGACCGAAGCCACTGCCTGAACAACTCTTAGTAGAACTAGTAGCAGGGCAGCCCATTAACCACTCTGGCACCTTGACTGTTATCAGAAAGCGGGCTGACAGTAGCCTATGACCCCCACTGCGTTTGCCGCCCCACCCTCATGCCAGCGCCTTCCTCACTGCGGGCCAACTCCGCGCAAAAAAACCCGCTCAACTTACAAGACCAAGTCACCCAACCGCCCAACCCAAACCCCAGCAAAAAGAAAGCCGTCAAGGACAGGATTCGAACCTGCGCGACCGAAGCCACTGCCTCAGCTGCTGGGTCGCCTCGAAACCGAGGCATCCGTAGCAGGGCAGCCCATTAACCACTCTGGCACCTTGACATCCGCGCTGATTGTATCTCCCCGGGGCTCAGAGGCTCCATACCCGGCGGCATCGTCTGTTTCGCAGGAGGGGGGGCGTCTGTTAGCCTCTTTCGGACGCCGACAGGACGCAGACGTGGAGCGTAGGCGGGGTGGCTTGCACCGGCATCGCTCGCACTTCTAGCTTTCTAGGGTCTACTAGTGGAGAGGGAGGCGTCGAGGTGCCCTTGCAAATTACACGATGAGGTTGAACGAGGATACAGGCATGTAATGAGGACACCTCTCTCGAGTGACACGCTGATTCTGGATATGGAATGGCTTACGGGATGCAGCGATTTCGACGCCGGCGGTGACGCTCGTGCCGTACGAGGCGAGACATGTGGAGCGGTATCATGAGTGGATGAGCGATCCGGTGAGCAAAATCAACCCCCATGCTTGGCGGCCGCCAGACCAGACCCTGCATCGGACGAAGGCTGATTTGAGCAGGAAATCCAAGAAGCCACGGCGTCTGAGCCGCTGACGCTGGAGGAGGAGTACGAGAATCAGCAGTCGTGGAGGACCTCGCACGACAAACTCACCTTCATCATCTGTCAACCGCTCAATGCGACGTCCGACGCGGCGGCCGGCGTAAAAGCGGGCGAGGTTGATGCGTCTGCGCGCATGATTGGGGATATCAACTTTTTCGTCTACCCCCATGACGACGAGGAACAGGGCGAGGGCGCTTACGTGGGAGAAGTAGACGTTATGATCGCGGCGAAGGAGCACCGCGGGAAAGGTGTGGGATATGCCGCGGTCACGTCGCTGCTGGTGTATGTGCATCGCCATCAGGAGCGGATTTTGAAGGAATACGTTGATGGTGAGAGGAAGAAGGACGGGAAAGCGGAGCTTAGAGGCCTCATGGTCAAGATCAAGGAGAGCAACACGGCGAGTATATCGCTCTTCAACAGGGTTGGCTTTACGCAGAAGGGAGAGGTGAACTATTTCGGGGAGATTGAGATGGTTCTGGGGGATTTGGACCAGTTTATCAAGTCTCCTGCCGGGGTCAAAGCAGCGGAAGAGTTTCACGAAGTCGTTTATTCCAGGTAGATGGGAAGGGTACATAAACGGCGGGACATCAAAAGCATGATTTGTGATGATTGCGTTTCGCTATGAAGTCGTCTATTTAACGCGGGTCTATATTTCTCCTGTAAGAGATCTAAGCTGAGGTCTATGGTGATCGATCGCACGGCAAAACACAAACGTCCACATTATTTCGCCGCAAACGCATCGCCATACTTGGCACGGTATCCTTCCAGCATCTCCATGGTGATAACCGAACCACCGCAGACGATGAGCACAATATTCTTCTTCGCCCACTCCTCATCCGACAAGCCGACTCCAAGCTGCTTCCTCAGCGTGCCGTTATACACCGTCGCCAGCGTCGCGCCGCACGCAGCCTCGACGAGAAACAGCGCATCGTCGGCGAAGCGCACGCACGCCATGGCCGCCTCGGCGTCGCTGACCGTCACGCTGCAGAACCCAGGCGTCGTCCGCGCCACCTCCCACGTCCTCTCCGACACCCTCGTCGCGCCCAGCGAGATCGCGATCGAGGTCATGCGCGGCAGCGTGACGTGCTCGCCCGCCAGCACGCTCGCGTTCAGACTATCCGCCCCTCGCGTCTCGACGGCCACCAGACGCGGCGGCTCCCCCTCGCCCTTCCGCCACCGCTTCGGCTCCACGCCCTCCGCGAGACCGTTGATCAGGCCGCCGCCGCCGACGGAACACACCACGGCGTCGACGTCGACGTCAGGCAGCTGCGCGGCCAGCTCGTCGGCGATCGACGAGGCGCCCTCCCAGACGTGCGGGTGGTCGAACGGCGGGACGTAGACGCCGTTCGTGTCGTTGGCGAGGAGCTCCTCGCGCAGGTGGCGGTCTGCCTGGGCCCAGTTCTCGCCGATCTGGACGCAGTCGGCGCCCAGGAGACGGAGCTTGGAGATCATGAGGGGCGGGGTGATCGTGGGGACGACGATGGTGGCCTTGCGGTTGAGGGCGATGGCGGAGGTCGCGCAGGCGAGGCCGGCGTTGCCGCCGGAGGAGCAGTAGAAGTGGACGTCCGCGCCCGGGGCCTCGGCGGCGGCGCGGAACATGAGGTTGCCTACGCCGCGGGACTTGAAGGAGCCCGAGGGCTGGAGGTTCTCAAGTTTGAGGAAGACGTTGCTGGAACGCTGTTAGTGGGGGTTTTGAGGAGGGGTTTTGTTGGAGGCTCACCATCCTGCTATCCGGGAGAGGGGTGCTGATGCGATGAGTGGTGTCTGGATCCAGGGCTTTTTGGCGCCTGAACCGAGGGACCCCATTTTGCTCGGTAGTATGTGCGATGGCTTAGAAGATAGCGAGACGCTCGACGGCTTGGTGTGTTGAAGAGTGAAGCCCTCAAGTTCAGAGTATGATGACAACGCTTCTGAGGGGATCTCAACGGAGTAGCCCCGAAGCTAGCAACAGTGGAGATCTGACAGACAACCTTGCAAATAAAGAGCGTTAGTTTAGCGGCTGTGTCACAACAATTGAAAAGGTTTCTCGTCTCTCGTCGATATATTCGAAGATACGGTAACAAACGTTGCTGGTGTTATGAGGAGGAAAGGTAGGTTCTGGCAGGTTTCAAGACTGAAAATTTACGAGACAGTTGGCGTACGGCACTCTGTAATTGAAGTGGAAGACTGAACTTGGGAGAGAATGTTAATAACATACTTATACAACAGTCAATCTGCTTGATTCTACCCGCAGTAAGCCATGAAATCCACTTGGACTGAAGACACGTTCACGTCTTCGACTTTCGTCGTGACTATGCGAAAGACGCGGGAATAATTAATTCGCTATGGATCTTGTCGGGACGAAGGGCGCGCATGCAGTCAGCAGGGCGTATGGGTCCGAACAGGCTTAGAGCCAGTGAAATCAACTAATCGTCCCAACTTCAATTAAGAGAGAACCACCACAACATGGGTGTAAGTGCGACTCGACAATAAGCTAAAATCCTATAGCAGGAGACCGAATTCAACGTTGGTCTAGCATACGTATGAAGTTGCAAGGAGCTTCAGAACCCAGGGAGAGGGAAGGATTTGGTCCTTGAGTTGCGACGACGACGATACGTTAGTGTCCAAATTTGGAGCTTAGGTCGCCCACTTACACACTGATCAACTTCATGACCCCCATCGTACGTTTTTACGTGCAAAAACACAGAACGCTGGTTTAGATAGTAGTAAATATTGTATTGATATCATGTAATGGCGTGAGGCCATGCGAAAAGCATCCAAGCGGTAAGCCCGGTGAGGGTACTTCAGAACACCAACGCCCAAAGAATCATATCTACCAGAACAACACTATACTCTTGATGTGTTGAACTCCATTCCCAAAGAATTCATTGTGCTATTGCAATGCAGCCCAGAAAAACATACTACGCATCCAACTCCTCGTTATGGTGGCGCACTGCATCATAAATATTCCAAAGTGTGGCAATTTGTGCCTGCCATCACTCAAAAGCGTAAAACCAGCGAGGGTATCTAGTTGCGCCGAGCATCCTCTGCCGCCTGACGCGCTCGTGTATTGGACTCCCAAGCTTCCCAATCATCATAATCCGTGATGTGTCGACTTCGTGGAGTGGGTCGGGCAGGCGATCCCAAAAGATCACCGAATTCAAGGTCCATGTTGCTTATGTCGAAATTCGTCCCTGAAGCATTCATCGTCTCTGCCAATGCTCGGTTCATAGCCTCCAGCATGTCAGAATCGTACTGATGATCCAATGGCTGCGTCTGGAGGTACTCTTCCAACGCTATCTCCATCTGAGAGAAATCTTCTTGATGTAGACGAGGACTCCTCCGAATCGGGACCTTAGACGATCGAGGTGTCCGCGTCGGCGTCCGTCGGACAGCTGCCGGAGATCGAAGCAAGTCGTTCGACCTCAGCGAACGGGAAACACTTCTAGTGACGCTCCGGGTGATCGGTCGGTGGCTTGGGGTCGGTCGAGTCGGTGTTTTGAAGAGGGCGCTGTTAGGGGCCCTGTCTCGGGGAGGCGGAGTAGACGGACGGGCGATTGCCGGGCTTCCGAAAAGATCCTCGAGGTTATCGTCAGGAACTGCGAGATTCTCCTTGTTTGTGCCCGGGGCCCTCGGCCCAGTCTTCTTGCCGGAGTCGTCCTCAGCTTTGCTTTGGGCTGCCTCGGTCGATCCATTAGAGCCTGGTGCCGTTTGCACGATGTTAACGGCGAGCTCGCCAAGAACCTTTGCAACGCCTTCTTTTCGTGGCGATGGGAACAGGAGTCGTCGTGTCGAACCCATGTCATGAGCATCGGCATTATCAATAGTAATAGGACTCTTCGCTGTACCACTGCCTCTTGAGTGGGTAGAGCCCGGATTGGAAGCATTACCAGGCGATGCAGGACGCGAGCCACACTGTTCTGCTTGTTGCTGCGACTGTTCAAAAGATTCGTTGAGGTTGCTCACTTGGGAAGCCCCTCGCGATCTGCTTTCATCGTCCATCGGCGAAATTCCCCGATCTTCGGGCCCAATGGGGTCGGTGGTGAAGTAAGCCTCGGATGTCGGGTTGATCTGGTTTGCCCCTGTCTTCTTGACCCTTGGTGGTCGGGGAGCTCTTCCAGTGCCACGAGGACGTCTCTGCTGATTGAGTCGGGACCTGTCCTTCTCCCACTTCTCCTGTGGCCGATGGGCCTTCCATTTTGAAAGCCAAATGCCGCATGGATTGCAGAGCATGTGGCCCGTGTAGTCATCCTTCTTTTCCTCGGGGAGCAAGGATTTCTTGATGATCTGATACCTCGTCGGTGTCTCATCACTGTCGCGGTCCAGAACGATGATGGCGGTAACTCTTCCAGGCTTATCGGAGAACTCTGTAAACTCTGGTTTGCCCTTATGTTCCTGAGTCCAGATTTTCCGCCACGTAGGAGTTTCGATCGCGCCGCAGTTGGTGCAGTACATTGGAGTCTCTCCGTTCTCAATAGCCTGCAGAAGCTTTTCTCTAATTGCCTGCTTCTTGACGTAATTCTTGTTCGTCCGAGAAGGCTGTTCTGGCGACTTCGGAGGCTGCAGCGCGTCACTAGGCGGGCAAGGTGCCTCGGAGAAGGAAGTGACATCGGGCTGAGGGAGAACCGCCAGAGCCATTGGGCCAACCGGGTCGCTAGCTGGCACTGTAGGGAGAGCCAGGGAGAAGCCAGAAGACGCAGAGCGTTGGAGCGAAGGAGGCGCGGAAGGTCGGACAAACGACGCATCCCCATCCGCAATCTTCGTTGGAACTGACAGAACCATCTCCGGCTCGCTCTGCACTGCCTGAACAAGCTGTTCAAATCCCATCTCCAGGCCGTCGAACGGCTGCGGGGTCTCAACTTTGGGAGCACCTGAAACGTCGCCCTCGACGTCGGCTTTAACCGCCACAACTGGCTCCTCATGTTGTGGCGAAGGTTCTTTTCCCGCCGGTTGCGGGTGCGGAGGAGCCATGATAGCTCTCGAGTCACTAACACTTCGTGTAAACGTAGGTAACACGGGCTCTTGTGAAGGTGTGGAGGTCGGTGGGCGGGTTGCAACATGATGCATGTTGTTTCTGGCGATGTCCGCTTCGCTAGAATGTTGGGGCGCCAACTGGAACACTTGAATTGGGATCCCTGAGCGGTTTCGTTTCTCCTTGGTGGCATTGAGATTCGGTGGCGCCGTAACCGGTTGGGGGAGCTGCTTCATTCCTTCATCGTCAAACAAGTCATCCACGCTTCCACTCATGAACCCCGAGTCGGCGGGTTGTCCCATAGGCATCGGCATCGGTGGCAGAATGGGACTTGATGCTGGCGGGCTCGATCGCACAAAGCTAACCGTTCGCGGAACTGGCGGTGAAGAACCGATGGCTGCAGGGCTGTCCTCCGAGTACATGGGCGAAGCTGCCTCCGAGTCTACAGGCGAGCGACCGTCCTGTTGACTGGGGGACAGGGCAAAGGCAACATCAGAAAAAGGAGGCTGGCTTGGTGGTGTCGCAGCCTGGCTCAGAGTCGATTGTCGACGAAGCTTGCTGCCGTTCGCTGCCTTACCAGCTTGCGGCTTGGCCAGGCCTCTGTCGGGTACGGGTGTCGGGGCTCTGGGCACTTCCTGCATATGGGCGCCCAGCGGCGTCTCCGTAGATAGTCCTGATGGCCGCAGATTTCGCAGCGAGCCGGAGGTGCTAGCTGCCACTCGCAAAAGCTCTGGGCCACCCCCGAATGGGGTGTTGATGTTGGCCGTGACCTGGGTCGTGGTCGCCCTCTTTTTCTTGGCTGGGCCCTCGTCGCCGTCTGTACCATCCTCATATCCGGAGGTGTTGCCCTGAGTCTCAGGTCGTGGTTGCTTGCGAGGTCGGCCACGAGGACGCCCCGTAGGCTTTGACCTTTTTGACCGGTTCGATGCCCTGGATGACGGTCTGGAGGGTGGGTTGGCCTGAGGCTCGGTTGCTGTGTCAACAGGGGTCGGGGCAACCCGGTTGGGTCCTTCAGAATTTTGCATCGGTGGTTGTTGAGGAGGCTGAGGCATCGGCTGAGACAATTGCTGTGGCGGTATGTTATAGCTGAACGAGTTGCTGCGCTGATGATGAGGCTGCTGGAAGTCCTGGTACTGTGGCGGTGGGTGAGGTGATGCAACTCGGGAAGGGTTTTGCTGGTTGCCCATCTGCGGATTTGATTGCATGAGCTGATTCCATTCGGCATGGCTCGACGGCGTGAGTGCACCTTCGGCAGGTCTCGTAGGCTGGATCTCGACGCTCATGTGGCTCTCGGAGCGGTGATATGAATGTCGCGGGTCGGGCTTCTGTTCGGTCTCGAACTGGGGTTGTGCCATGGCAGCCACGGGCTTCAGCTTGAACCTGATCTCCAGAATATCTTTAACGCCTCCGCTGAAAACCGACAGCGGATTCCTGGTGACACGTCCAATAATCTTCTTCTCCTCAACGTTATTAACGACCCAACTGAGTAGGCCCTGGCCAACCATGGGCTCGTTGGGTTCCGAGTAGTCGTAGGCGTAGACGGCGAAGTCGCGAGTGATATCGTTAAGAAGCTCGGGACTGCATCGGACAACTGCCTGGGCACACATCTTCAAGTCGACCATGCCGATAGTCCGTTTGTCGTCGATTGGTACTGTTTGGATTGTGACCAGCTGGGGATGCCGCGCCAGGAAGTTTTCCCCGTTATCGTCGAATGCGTATACGACCTTGACTGCGGTAGCGTGTCAGCTAAACCCCAAAGAACAAGTTGACTGGAAGCCCTTACGGCCCATCGTCTTGACCTGAACGCCCATCTCGTCTGCCTCGTTCATAGCAAGAGGCGGCTGTGATGATGGCATGGCCTGGCCGTTCCCTCCCCAGTTACCCATGGACGTAATCGGCATAGGCGACGCCATCGTGGGCGAGGCTCTCACTACCGGGTCGTGTGGTCGTCCAGTTTGGTAGTTGTCAGGGTGTTGTATGTTGGAGGAAGATTGAAGATTGAAATCGGCTTGGATGAAGGGCGGTGACCAAGGGTGGAAGGAAGAAAAAGGAAAAGTAAAGTGGATGAGAGATTGAGTAAAGGTGGGTAAGTAATTGGTGTTTGTAGGTAGTGGTGTAAAGTGGTAAAGTGCAAGCGTCACGTAAGAAACCGCGGGGCGGGTATCATGGCCGTGGTCGTGAAGAAGTCGCGTCCCGGGTCCGTCAGTGGTGTAAGTCGCGTTTTTGAGAAGTGGATCGGCCTCTTAAAGCCCCTGCGCGACTAGAGAAAATAGGCCGAGACAGGCTGCACCAAGTGGTTTACAGGCGTAGCGTCAAAACCGAAGTTTTCTCCTGAGAAATGGAAGGAATGAAACCCCAATTGAAATACAAAAAAAGATTCAGGTAATTGTGATGTTAGATGTAATCGGAGATAGCCAGGACGAAGCAACACAACAAATGTCGACTGCGGTGTGTCGCGTGTTGTAGAGATACAGCAACCCGCACCTCAAGTCACGGTACGAATCGGGTTAGAAGGACCCGCGCTGTGACGTTGGAACCAGGGGTTGCAGCCGCTTAGCCTCTTAGCGCTAGCGCGAACAAGCAAAGTCCAGAACGCGACCAAACACGTGCACGCTTTCGTCCGCGACTCGACTTTGGAGAGGGAGGTGAACTGGCCCGTGCGTCTTCTGTCTGGGCAACTTCGAATTCTGGGCTGACAGGCGCGAGCAAGCGGGTGCACCTGCGGTTGCTGAGCGAAGGTCCCCGGAAGTGGGGCCCCTTCTTTCGCTTCTCGGGGATGGGTGGGGGCCCTTGCGAGCCGGCTCCTCACCTCTGATTTTCGTCGGACTTTTGCGCTTTTGCAACCGGGACTCTCTCCGGGCACAGCTTCCAGGCGCCGGAATTTGCAAACGAAGACGAAGAAAACAGGAGGGGATTTCTGGCTGAGATTCTTCTCGCCCCCCCTGGCCGAAGACGGCGGGGCACCGTCCCTCTTTATACTTGTCCGCCCCTGAAGCCTGAGGTCCTTCTTCCCCCTTCTCCCCTCTCGCCTGCGTTGTCAGTACGATCCCACGGGCCAGCCGGTCGGTTTGCTCTGGTCTCTGGTCTTTCTATCCGTCCATCCATCATCATTCCCGTCCCATCCATTACCGTGGTTTTCCATCACTAGCGTTTTCATCCATGACTCAATCTCCACCCGCCATATCACCCGGACGGAGAGTTGCGACAGCCAACAACCATCGGCCCAATGATGTTGAGGCCATTCTAAGCCAGTCTTTGAAGGCATGTCGCCACTTTCTCAGCGGTTTTGGTGATGTACTTGATGACACAATCCGAACCATCCGTGGTTCGCATCTTTATCTGATGTTTCAAGAGCCTTTCAACAGCAGGCAACAGTTCCGCAGGCAGCACCCGAGCCTATCAGGATTGAAGGCATTCTTACCCCAACTTTCTTCTGTCAACCACAACCTCGATGGTGTTGAAGGTCCAACCTTTTTTCATTCAATCATTCAGCCAATCAGGCAATACCATCATTACCGACTATTTCAACGCCCAAACAAAGTGAAGCTATTCAGTCTACATCAATGCACGACACTCACAGAACCACCAAATAGGAGTCAAATCCACCTCAACACAAGAGAGTCCGCCTTTTATTTGATTCAGACACGTGGGAAAGCATCTACAGTATTATACACACCTAATGCTCAAAAACACCGGTGAACCCTCAGCGTCGCATCTATTCCTCGTAGTACCAGGTCGCGCGACCCTTGTCGTTCACGTAGACCTTACGGTCAAGGATCTCCTTGACGACCTCCGCAACGCCCTGGCGACCGTTCCTCTGATCCACAACCTTCTTCAACACCTGCTTGGGCGTGTGCTGGCCCTCCAGGACGACCTCCCTCACATCCTGCTCGGTCGGCAGCGCGAAGTAGGGGTACGGGTACTCCCTGTAGTCGCGGTCGTTCAGCAGCTTCAGCTCCTCGCCCTGCGTCTCGAAGAAGGGGTCGGCGATCTTGTCCTCGGGCTTGATGTGCTCGAGGGAGGCCGGCTGCCACTCGGGCGTCCTCTTGGGCTTGTCCACAAGCAACGCCGTCACGCCCTCGCTGAAGTCCGGGTGCTGCATGAACTTGGTCGCGATCTGGTGCTCGCGCTGGAACGTCTCCTTGATCGACCACTGGCGGCCGATGCGCATCTGCCTCAGCGCGACGTTGACGGCCGTCGGCGACCGCTGGTGCAGCGTGTCCAGGGTCTTCTCGGCCCACTCCTTGGTGACGCCCTCCTCGGCCTTGAGCGCGGCGATGACGTCCTCAATGGTACCCTTGCTGAAGCAGCGGTCGATGGCCTCGCGCAGCTCGCCGCCCAGGAGAATGGGCTCGTCGAACGGCAGACCGGTGGCGTACTCCTCCAACGTCGCGCCGATGATCTGCAGACGCTTCTCCTGGGAATCGCGGTCGTCGAAGTGAATCTCGGCCAGACGGGCCTCGAGCTGGGGCAGGGATGTCGAGTGCAGGTAGTGAGTAGCGACGCCCGAGTAAAAGACGTTGGCGCCCGTGAGCCACTCACTCGTGAGGGCGAGGTACGTGCCGACGGAACCGGGCATCCTGGGCAGGAAGAACGAGGCGCCGACGTCGGGGAAGAATCCGATCGTCGTCTCCGGCATGGCGAACACAGTGCGCTCGGTAGCGATGCGGAAGGGTGCGTGGATGCTCAGGCCGACGCCGCCGCCCATGGTGATGCCGTCCATGAAGGCGATGTACGGCTTGCCGTAGGTGGCGATGTAGTGGTCCAGCTTGTACTCGAGAGCAAAGTACTCGGCGCTAATCTTCCACCCGTCCTTGCTCTCCTTGTTGAACTTGGCCAGCTCGGCGACGTCTCCGCCGGCGCAGAAGGCCTTTTCGCCGGATCCCTTCATGACCACCACGTTCGCCATGTCGGACTTCTCCCACTCCCATAGCCGGGGCAGGATCTTGCGGATCATGCTGGCGTTGAGGGAGTTGAGCTTCTTCGGGCGGTTAAGCTGGATCGTCCGCAGACCGTAGGTGCTGTTGAAAAGCACATCGTCGGGGTCGTCATGCTCGTGCTTTTCCATGAATTCTTTCGGGATATCGCTCGAGGTGGACATCTACGCGGGGCCATGGTCAGCACATCTGACCCTGACAAGTACTCAATCGCAAGAAGAGCCGACTCACTTGCGCGCGTGATGAGGCTGGCGCGCTGAGGATCTTTGCTCTGAGAGGCATGCCGAAGCTCCTGCTGCTGCAGCTCCGGCAAGGAGCAGCTAATGCTGCCGGCCCGGCTCGTACTGCGATCGTCCTTGAGAACATTTATTTGCGTGCCAGCTGCCAATGCGCTCGTCTAGGACAAGCGGCGCATCGACTGGGGGTTAGCAGGCTTGTGATGGGGTAGGAGGGAGGTGGGAGGGGAGCTCGGTCGGGTCGAGAGGTTGTTTTAGATGATGCCGCGGGAATGATTTTCCATGCTCCTCACCACCCAAAAATTGAGGCCGAGGATACCCAGGCAATTGGACGGTTCCAGCGGCCGGGGCCGCGCACTGGCCACTCGGCCGTTGACCCCACTAAAGCTGCTGTAAGCTTCGCCTGCGCTCCGGACGGGGGCATTTTTTCCAGCGCCGACCTCACTGGACTGGCGCGACCAATCAGAGCACCAACCACTGAGCCGCGAGACCGCCAAACTCTTTCAGCCTTGCTGCAGCAGCCTGTATCAAAAGCATCACAGCGACACACCCCATATCCACCTTTCACGACTCTCTACCCATCAAAACCGCCCATCATGTCGACCGACCCCAAGATCCAGTGCGTACACCATCTCCTGCTCATTCCGAAGAAGAACAACGCTAACTCGCAGTACAGGGAGCTTCTCACCAAGCCTCGCAACGAGCTCACCGAGTACGAGATCGCCCAGCTCGAGGAGCACGAGTTCAGCGCCGGCCCCCTCTCGATCCTCCAGACCGCCGTCCGCAGCCACACACAGGTCCTCATCTCCATCCGAAACAACCGCAAGCTCCTCGCGCGCGTCAAGGCTTTCGACAGACACTGCAATATGGTCCTCGAGAACGTCAAGGTGCGACGACACGAAACCCCACCCCCCAACCCAAGCCGTCGCGCTGGGAAACATCTAGAGCATCAGGTGCTGACGGTCACGATCAAACAGGAAATGTGGACAGAGACCCCGCGTCTCGCCAACGGCAAGAAGGGCCGCCCCGTCAACAAGGACCGCTTCATCAGCAAAATGTCAGTTCATACCCCCCCGGAGCATGTCGCGTCATCGAAGAAATGAACCAACATGCTAACCACAATGAACAGGTTCCTCCGCGGCGACAGCGTCATCCTGGTTCTCCTCAGCTGAAGGAGCTGTACATCTACGAACGAGTTAAGAATCTTAGTCTTGGTACGATCATCTACGAAAAAGTCACTCCCCGACGCGTCGCCATCGAGTAGAGAGGGGCCCCAGGGCCTCGATGCCCTAAACGTACGCAAAAAGTCTCAAATGATGCGAAAACGAGGTGCCCGGACGGAGAGTTATTTGCATGGGATGTTGTTGGTCGCCTCGTGAAATGAGCCGACGACGGGCGAGTCAATGAGGAGCGGCGGAGACAATTGCGTCAAAAATACCCACGGTAGAGTGGCATTTTTTCTTCTAAAAATCGGGACGAATCTGGCGTTGAAGAGACAAATAGGATCATTATGTGTTTTGTTGTCAAATTCCTTCCGACATTTGCATTTTACCGCTTTCAAACGACATATGTGCATCCGACCCCCTTAAAGCCCCTGAACCGCTTTTCCTCCCAATAACCTAGGAAATTATAACGAGACACGTTTTCACACAGGATATCAATTACGCAACATTTGCCCCCATATTGTTTACAACTTCTCCCAACCCTCGTCGCCCTCGCCCGTCAGACCGAGGAAGAAGCAGCTGAGGCCCCACGCACCCGGGTCGGGAACCTGCTCGAAGCCGGAGCCGCCGATGTAGACGGTCCGGCCGAGGCTGGCCTTCATGCCCTTGGTCTTCTCGGCTCCGGCGCGCGCCGCCTCGGCCGCCTTCTTGACGTCGCCCGTCTGGCCGAGAGTCTCGACGAAGGGGTACAGCGCGTCGACCAGGGTGCGGTCGCCGGGGCGGGCGGGCGTGTAGCGGGACATGGCGTCGCTGCTCTGCCTGAGGGCCGCGGCCCAAATCTTGGGGTCGGCGGTGCCGGGAGCGAGGGTGCGGAGGGCGCCTACGAGGGCGTTGAGGAAGATGGCGTAGAGGGCACCCGAGGTGCCGTCCATCGTGTTCTCGACGACGGGGACCGCCGAAGCGAGGTCAACGACCGCGTCGCCGGTCAGCGGCTTCTCGGCGATGTGCTTAAGGATGGCTGGGATGCGAATGTCAGCTCACTGTGATATGCATGGGTGGGAATCTACGCTTACCTTCGGCTCCTCTTTTCAGGCCGATACCACAGTCGCCGTCGCCAACGATGGTGTCGTACTTGGTGACCTCGGGCTCAGCAGCGATGATGCGGTTAAGAGCGCTGGTGATGGCCTTGGTGGCGGACGCAGGGTCGTACTTGAGATCGCTGGGCTTGATAGCCTGTCCAGCATCTGCGGCATCTTCCCTCGTGGCGGTGTTCTTGGCCTCCCAGGTCTCCTTGAGAATCGGGGAAGACCAGCCGGTGGCCTCAGTAGGTGCATCCAAGAGCTGGATCATGCTGGGGCCGCCGATGTCGGTGTTGACGACGTTCAGCAGGGTGATGCTGAAGCCCAAACCGTTCAAAGACGTCATGTAAGTTCCGCTCAGGATGCGCACAGGGCGAATGCCGTAGCTGCTCTCCAGCTGGGAGGCGACCTCGGCGGTAATACCGCCCAATTCCAGCGCGCTCACTCCTCCAAGGTTGTTGATCAACAGCACAACCTCGTTCGAGTTGACGTTGAGGAAAGCCCGGTCCTTGTCATTCTGGTCCAAGAGCTGCGTGAGCATCTTGGCCACCAACCCCGGCAGATCCGCCTTCTCCCGACCGGAGCCGGGCTCGTTGTGAATACCCATACCCAACTCCGCCTCTCCGAGCTGCAGCGCGCCCTCGTCCTTCTCACTGGGGATCGCGCGACCAGGAACGTGGACGTGCTCCAAGCTGGCGCCGACACTGACGAGGTTCTCGGCCGTCAGGCGCGCGACCTTCGCGACCTCGGCGAGAGGACGCCCCTGCGCCGCCAGCGCGCCGGCGATCTTGTGCACGAGGACGGTGCCCGCGATACCCCTGCGACCGACCTTGCCGGCCTTTGCGCGTCCGACACCGACGTCGTCGCCGACGACGACCATCTCGACCTCTGCGCCCGCGGCGCGGGCCTTCTCGACGGCCATGCCGAAGTTGAGCACGTCGCCCGTGTAGTTCATAACGGTGACCAGGACGCCCTTGGAGGTGTCGACGCGGGAGGTGATTGCGGTGCGGACCTGTTCGGCGCTGGGGCTGGCGAAGATGGTTCCGGCGACGGCGGCGGAGAGGAGGCCCTGGCCGACCATGGCGGAGAAGGAGGGCTCGTGGCCGGAGCCGCCGCCGCTCAGGACGGATACGTGGGAGGGGGCATTGTCGGTCGGTCTGCGGTAGATGACCTTGTTCGCCTTGTCGAGGGCGAGACTCGGGTTCGTGAGGGTGAGGCTGTGGAGAGCGGAGTTCACCAGCTTGGTGGGATCGTTGATGAAATGCTTGGCTGACATTTTGACGTTGTTGCTGGTTTTTGTTCGCTCCGATCTCCGTCAATGCGGGGTGAGATGAGGTCAGAGGAGACTGGGTTGGAGACTCTGCTGAAGACGCCGTGAGAGGGAAAACAAATGGCCCAGACAGAACAATTGAAGAGAGAGGTGAGAAGTGAGCCCCGCGAGTGCCTTTTGAAGCCCCGGGAAGAACCCGACTCTATGTAAGTCGGGTGTTGGCGAACGAGGAGGAGTGACGTCCCACCCGCGTCGCCGCGCCGCGGGGTGAAGCGGGGCCACGGGGTAGCTGATGACCCCTTTTGGCAGGCGCAAGCGCTCCGGGTTTACCCCGACAAATCTAACGGTGATCCAATCGGGAGATTCTAAGCTCCCATCGTGAGGAAAACGAAAAGAAAGTCCTCAACATTCACCAGAGCAACTCTTGCCGTTTGTGAGCTAAACTGAAATCAAATTTCGAGGCATCTTAAGCGCATCGCGCTTCCAGGGACCTTTCCAAGAGATGGGAAGACGAAAACATGCCTCGATACCGGGAGAACATGGGAAGTCGATGCGCATGGCTGGCGAACAGATTTTCAATAAGAATAAAATATATATAGTCTGTAGGGTATATCATGAACCCAATCCCTCAGCTGGAGGGGTTTTCCATCAATTGCTGCCGCCCAGACCGTGTCACTGTATGTCATACAAACCGCTCTCAAAGCTGGTTTCCCCCACAAACGCCGTACCCAATGCCGAAGCCGAATTAAATGCCACTGAAATCAAGAGAGCCAAACCACAGATGCATGTTCATCACTTCATGATGAAGAAGCATCCTCCGACCACGCTCAGAACCATGGCGGTCGTGGCAAAGCCGGCCGCCACCTTGTCCTTGGTCTCGATCGGTGGTAATGTGGGAATCTTGGGCTGCAGACTCATGCCTGCATTCGGGTTTCCGACTGACGTTCCACCAGTGTCGGCTGTGACCGGTGCGGTCTTGACATCTGCCTTCTTGACCAGCATATACATGGCGGCATCGAGTGCGCTCATTTGGGGGCCGACACCGACTAGTCCGTCGAATTGACCTTTGGGGTTCCATTTAAAGCCGCATGCCGTTCCAGCCTTGCCCTTGAATCCGGACGCCGGAGATCCATTGCAAACTGACATGGCGAGCTCGGCATTAGGCCTCAGAAGTCCCATGATCTTGTCGAACAACTGGGGCACCACCTGTGCTGTCCCGGCCATCCAGCGTACCAAATAACCCTTGAAAGTCTGTTGATCAATGTCGCATAGCGTGAAGGGCTCGCATGCCTGTTCGGTGATAGCGCTTTGGTTGAAGAAAAGACCTGAAGCCTCGGTGAGGACGCCTTCGGTACGAGTCAACCACCTCTGGTCCCGGGTGAGGTTGTACATGACAGCGGCGCCATGCAGGAAAATGCCTGCGTTGTAAGACCATTGGATCGTGTCCTTCTCCTTGCAGTTCTTGCCGTTGTCGACTCCTGCTCCATCGTAGATCTTGAAGTCTGGGGTGATCAGACCGACATCCACCTCCCAGTCCCAAATCTTCTCTGCCCAGTCAGCGTACGTCTGATTGCCCGTGAAGCGCGCCAGCCGAGCCGCGATGTTGAAGAAGCAACCGTTCGAGATCGAGTTCTTGTAGTTGAAGCCGTTGTTGAAGGTGAAGATTTGCCACCGCAGTCCACCACCGCATGTCTCCATGTCCCATCGGCTAACATACTGGTTGAATACGGCCTGAGCAAGCGCCAGCCACTGGGGCTGGTCTTCCGGTGGGTTTGGGAAGTTGTTCTCCGCTGCGCTCATCGCCGCCATAGCCCAGAATCCTTGGTCGTCGTTTCCTTCGCTTTTCGTCTGGTTTCGTGGCATATAGTCGGCGTCCTCCCCAGCCTGATGAAGCATTGCTTGCATTGTCACGTCGTTGTAAGTTGTGTCTCCAGTCAAGAACCAGTAGTCGATCATTGTTCCAAACATAGCTCCAGCCTCCCACCCTGTGATCTCGTTAGTGACAACGAAGTGAGGCTAGCATTCCCATGTTCATACAGAAGTAAGGGTCCGGTAGGTTTCCTGGTACATCGCCGGTGTTGTTTCCTGTGTAGAACTTCAACAGACCGAAGGCGATTGTGCTCGCGCCGTCTTTGATGGACTGGTCGTTATCGAAGTTGACTTGAACGGCAGCGTTGGCGAGCTGGCCCAGCAGAGATGCTGCGCCAGCGAACTTGAGAAATCCTCTCATGTTTGGGTGTGGTTGTGAAGCGTGTGGTGACCGAGTCCGAGGTCGTGGTCGGCGACCGAAGAAAGCAAGCTCGTCGAGGCTTCGTCGTGAGAATCGTATTCCGGGCTTCGGTGATATCAGGTGGTCTTGTCCGTCGATGTCTTCGGCCCAGTAACTATATCAGGTTGACAAATTGGGCCAGCTGAGAAGAGATCGTGATAATATAAGAATCCTCAACCAACATAAATTTCGAAATAAGGTCGCCTGGACTATGAAATGAAAATCAAAGAAATAAGCCGAGATGGCGGTAAGAACAAAACAGAGACTCGACCAGGAGTAAAATGAATGGAACAGAGGACTCGTAAACAAGTCCTCGCCGTCAACGAAAGAAGGAAACGGTTCAAAGGGAAAAGAACCAATGAAGCCCAAACGAAGCGCACCAAAGGTTGTAAAAGGAAGAAGGATGGAATGACGTGAAGGAAGAGAGGGAAGAGACATGCAGGCACTTGCTGCACAACGGGTAGGCAAGGAAGGGGAAGGGGGGAACGAGCGCTAGAGCCGAGTTTGGACGAGTTTTCGTCCATCTCGAGACGAGTTCTGTACCGCGGACCCCGTTGTTTTCGAGGTTTCCAGACCTGGCAAGCCCTTGCATCGCGTTGCATCGTCACGAACTAACCGCTCTTCAACGCCCCCCCTCGTGCCTCGTAGCCGTGCAAGTCAACAGGGGCCCATGTCGAGAACAGAGCCGCCAGAGGACGAAAGAGGCGACGAGAGTGATGAGAGAGATGGATCTCACGGGGATACGCGGGCGAGGCGAGCGAGGCGGTGCGGTCGGGTTTGGGAGAGGTGAAACGGTTATGGTTCGAACTTGGCAGCCTCTCCGTCTCAAGATTGGCCGCAGGCCCCCTGCGACGCCAGGACGTGTAACCGGATGGGGGGTAAACATTTTAGACTCGTATGCCAAGCCTTGAACGATCTGGATCATTGTCTTGGGAGCGGGAAGGAGGCAGAAGGTTTTTTTTTTCCTGCGTTGTTCTCCTCTAATTGGCTTTTTGAGTTGGTTTCCATCAACGAACGCCTACGCTTGGGCAACAGTAGCCGACACAGCTCTCGTGTTGTAAGACTGGGGAAACGAACATCTTTCTCTTCTAAACTTGGAAAATTCTGTGGGCTATGATCTGACCACAGACAAAGTGAAGATTATCTTCTCTCGTTCCCAGACAAGAGGATGCAGACAACAGACGACGCATCTACATCGTGTTCAAATACATATGCACGATATCCGATGTCGTTTTGTGCTGTCGCCAAGTTGACGTTCGGTAGAGTTGGCTGTCACGCTGCAACGCACGGCATTGGAACCCCTGAAGCCAATGGCCCGTGCGTGACAACCCCCCTTGTCGATTGGCTTTTGACTGGTGGGAACCGCTGCATGACTATTTTCGTTCCCTTGCCCCCTTGGGTTGGGATGGCTGCAGCGGGTGTTCCTCAGTCCGAACACACGCTTCACACCACCACCACCACTCGAACGTCAAAAAGATTTGATTTCGGTGACGTCTGCGCCTCACCGGTCACACCTCGTGGGTTTTAAGGTTGCGAGCCATTAAAACCCTCAAATAATGAACGACGCCCCCCCGCGCGAGACGCCTTAAATTGCTGATCCACCGAGGGGAAGCTTACCATCCTTCGAAGCATATGAGTGCCGCGGTCCCGGAGTCAGTCGGCGAGAGATCTGCTCGTGGCTGTCTCATACGGCACGTGGAGCAGATCATCATCCTTCGAGTCGATCCCCGGGTACCCATTACTAATCTGTTGTATCAAGCTTTCGTGAGAAGTTGGTCTTCCTGTTGCACGAGGCTTGGTCTGGTGGGTTAGCTGTTTCGATGAGTTGTCAGTTACGACCTGGACGGGCAGCATAAAGAAAGGTCGGATTAACTCACAGCAAACCTATGTGTACGCCCTCTCAGTATTACGCGGCAATGTTGTGTAGAACCGTCAACGTAAGGTATCCGTCACGTCGGGAGACCCAATGTTGTCTCGCTCTTGTGGCTCCGAATACGACACCATCTGTCTCGCGCCGTCGTGGGAAGAAACCATGTGAACACCAACCGTGTCAGGAAGACAGCGGCTGCAACCTTTCAAGGCGAATGAATGTTTAAGATCTCGGGGGCCGCCAAGCACATTGAACGGCGATCAAAACCCACAGACCATCTCGTAGATCTGGTCTTCTGGTAGGGGTTGCGTGTCGCTTCTGATGGTGTCGACGCCGCGGTCTAGAAACAGTGTTTCTCAAGGCAACCGGTTTGCACAAGATTTTGTACTTTAAGCGATGGGCATCAACTGACAGTTTGAAAGTCACTTGTCCTTAGGAGAACTTGCATCATACATCGGGTTCGCCGGGTGAGGTCTTTGTTACACACCCCTACAAACAAAAAGACGACGATGCGGTCATGTCGCAGAGGTACTATTCAGTTTGATTGATGTGATCGCGGCGAAGTAGCAACATACAGATCCATGGTTTTCACTATTCAGAGGACCAAAGGGGGAACCATACATTAAGAAAAGGTGTCAAGCGACTTATCCCGGCAAACTTATCCCATTTCGTACAGACAATTAGTCTCTATGTGTCTCATAGCATCTATCAGCCTCTAGGCCGTGGTATAAGCTAATATCATACTCGTCCGTTTCTCATTTCATTCATTCGTGCGCGCGTCGTTACTCCCATGTCTCCCAATGTTGAAGGATCTGCTTTCCTTCTTCCCTTGCCCAAACGGTCCCTTCCTGCTCCAGCTTCTGGAGCCGCCTGTACGTATCAATAAACTTCTGCTGCCGCTCCATCACCTTGCTCTCCAAATAGTTTGCGTCGTTGCGGCGGCAGGCCTTGTCGAAAACTGCTCGCATTCGAGTAGAGTAAAGCTGGCACGTCGCATCCTCAAGACGCTGAGGTTTCACATAAAAGTTCCTGGCAATGGTGTTGCCATCTTTCAGATGAGGTGCAACCACATCGTCGAAACAATCACCACAAACGGTGAATTGCGGAATAAACTGCATCACATGCCAGTTCTGATCAAACACCGGATTGTCTTTGTGGCACTCGGTGTATCCAGAGAGACTCTCAATGTCCTTGACGAGCTTGGCGATGTTGGGTGCCTGTGCCGTGGCGAGCGCTACATCGGAAGTCGTCTCCAAAGCGTCGAAGTACATCACGAAGCGCTTTCGATCGGGATGGAAGTGCATCGCGCAAGTGCCCCTGGTCGGCTGCGCTGTAGGATGGAGCGTAACGAACACACCCGTCAGATTTGGGAGCAGCCCTTCGACCGTTTTGGCGCATTGAAAACAGACAGTGAAGGACTGCATGGTGGTCTGCGTGTACGGATCTCTGAGCGAATACCAGACACGGGTAACGCGACGATCACCAGGGCAAGGCTGACTACTGCCAGTGACCTTGCTGGCGACGTTGGCAACCTGGTAGAACAGGCGCAAGTCTGTGTGGCGATTCTTCAACGTCAAAAGCCACGCGATGTGATACCAGCCACACGAGCCGAAATCACAAGCTATCGGCTTGTCCATTGGCCGGAAGAGCATGGGCATGAAGCTGTTCCGGAACTCCGTGTTCAGGAACACGCCATTGTAGCAGTCAGGGCAGATGTTGAAGTTGTCGCATCTTGGCAGACTTAGCCAGTCTGTGTAGCCGACAACGCCATTCTTCCGAGGGCAATCAGGAAAGTCAGGCACACCTCCTCGGTCCGCATCATGCGAGTATCGTCGATAGCTGCCCCTCGGACCATCCATGGCGAGAGTATTCTTTGCGGGGTCAAACTTGGCTGGGGGCCACGCCTCCGCTGGTGGAACTACCGCGGCAGGTTGCAGGATGGGTCTCCTTTCTGGTGATCTTCTTTTCTCATTCGGGCTTCTCGGTCCAGCGGGAACAGGCATAGACGGCATGACCGCTGGAATCACCACCGTGTTGTTAAAGGTCGACGCACGAGAGCGCGAACGAGCTCTCGAGGTCGGTTCAGGGTCGCGAATGTTGAGACGGCTTGTGCTCGGCAAGAAATCATCCTCTGGGTAAGGAGTCGTTTTCTCTCTGACATCTCCGCTTTCTCTCGAATCCTTGACGATAGGAAAGGTTTGCGAAGCGCGGGGCGCAGCAGGGAAATCCTCGGCCACAGACTTCGCAGAAACCCGCGGGGAAGGCCCGACTGCCTCAGCCGGTGCGCGAGACCTAGATCTGACCGACTGAGATGGCCTCGCCTGCTCAGGACTCAACAGGACGTCTCTTCCCTCCTGTTTGACAAAAGACCTCCTTCTCCGAGCGTTTGCTGTCCGCGGCGTGTGAGAATAATCACTGCTGCTGGAGCCACTGTCATCGCGGCGGCGGGGCGAGTCGCGCTTGTAAGTCGGTGTCCGTTTCGACTGGCGATCGCGATCGCGGTCCGCTTGCTCGTATGGAGGAGACGGGTCTTTCTTCTCTGGTCGCTCACCGCGTGGCACTGGACGCTCACGCTGATAACGCGCAGACTCGTTGAGTCTTTCCCCCGACGAGTCCCTGGGGTCCTTCGCCGATTCCACATTCGTGTTCGAGCGCCTGGCTGGCGGGGGGTTCGACGAGGTCTGCCTTGTGTAATTGTCGTCGAACCTCCTCTGGTCTGCGAGGTTCGAGTGACTTCGCTGGGGGCGCGGAGCTCCATTTCGGCTGGCTTGAGAGTAGTCATAGTAGACTTTCTCCCGACCACCTGTTGCATGTTTGATCACCTGGGGAGAGAGCAAGGTCTCTTTTGGTTGACGCTTTTCGTATGGAGACGAGAAGTAATCGGCTGGCTGCTGCTCAACGCGAGTAGCTGACTTGGTTCGCTCATGCCGTCTGGTACGAGGCTCCTCCGCCCTGATGTCTGTCTCGATCCGAGGGAGGTCCTGTCTGCTCTTCCTCTTCTCGAGCGGGGGCCGCTCTGATTTGTCTTGATCGTCAAGTCGAGACGACTTGTATTTTCTTGTCGTGTTCGCCGCGTAGTCGCCGTTCGCTCTGCTCTTTACAGAACGTGAGCTGTCGGAAGACCGCGATTTGGCGTCGTCAGACGAGTCGCTATCTCCTTTTTCGCTGGAAGACTTTGGCACTATGACGAAGCGGCGTTCAGGGTTGTATTCGTGCACCTCCATTATGATAGGGTGCTGCTCAGAGTCACCCCGCGAGGGAGGCTCGTCGTCAGCCGCAGCGACGACGCTGCCATGTTCTTTGAGAAGCGATTCGGTCTCATCTTCGACGCTTGGTTTGGGAGGGTAATTTTTGCGACGGGAAATTCTCAGCGGCGCATCGAAAGAACGAGGGACCTCGGGATATGGGTTATAGTTCCGAGTGGCGATGGTGACGTGAGGTGGAACGGCGGGAGGTTCCGTATCAGATCTGTCTGTAGGGTAAGATACTGACTTGTATAGCTGAGCGGGGAAACTGAGTATGGCTCGGCTTACGGCTTGGGAGTCTTGGCCCTCGAGGTGGTAAAAAAGCCCGACTGCAGAAGATCTTCAATATTGCGTGGTTCGTTCATGTTTAGTTGTCTGTAAGACCAGGAGAAAAGTCACAGAATATCAGGTAAATGTCGGGGGCTTTGAAGGCATCGTGCGTCTCTCGACTCGACGAGCGCGAGGGTGCTCAGGGTTGGTCTCTCCGTTGGCCGCTCAGCCTTGCGCAACGTTCCGTTCCTTCAGCTTGGGTCGGGGCGTTTGCTCGGGTGGTACTGGCGGTAACCGTTACAGCCGTCGCAGCCGTATACCAATGAATCGAGTCGTGAGTCGCAGTGCCGAGTTGGTAGTCAAAGCCAAAATCCAGTCGAGAACGAGTAAGAGTTGAGGGGTGTTCCGACTGGTCGGGGGCGGGGGAGTCGTGGTTTAGGTATGAGCGGAGGTGGAAGATGCGGGAATCTGGGTGGACAGCTGGGGGCAGCGAAGCGGCTGGAAAGTCCGGCTGCGGCTGGATCGAGAAAGGCGCGAGGTGAGATCGCTTAAGACTGAGGTGGCAGAGTGTATGGTGGTGTCAGGCGGAAGAGGGGATATGAGTAGGCAGGTAGGAAGCGTTGAAGATGCGGCGCAGACACAAGTCCTTATTTGAACATAGCTGACAGGGGTGGGAGGGGGAAAGCGGGAGGTGTGTCGCTGTGGTGCGTGAGTGCCCCTCCATGATGACGGGGTTGCGCTGCATTCCTTCCTTAACCTGGCCGGCGGTACCTTGTACCCCATCCCCACCGCCTGCTGTTTTTATTTTCCTTCCCTCCATTCCAGTCCATCCCGTCTCCAGCCCGGAGTCCAGCCAGCCTGCCCTACGGATACAGATGACAGTGGACGCCAGCTGCCCCGGGCGTTCGCTCATCTCGGGGCTGCCTGTGTTTTTTTCGTCCATGGTGTTCCCCGTTGCCATCAAGAACTGCAGCCAACACACACCGTCAATGCTTCTCGTCACCGAGGTGACACCGTCCCAAGACGCGACTCTCTGATGTTGGATGCGAAGTCTAAGGCAGGGTCCCTTTCCTTATCAACACTACACTATACGGCCTGCAGAGACGGCACCTCTCTGTATTCGGACTACCCTCCGTTTATTATTGTTATTGTCCTCCAGCCGACCGACAATATCTTGGCTACCCGACATATTCAACCAGAAAAACGGCGAGGCATCATCGCCATCTCCACTTGACGGCAACTCGTACAGGACACATATCAACATCAGGACGTATGTCACTGAATCATTGCCTTACTCAACACTCGGGGTGAAAGTGGCGACGGTTGCTGCGAAAAAAGGAACCCCTTCACCAATTCCTGCGCCTTCATTAGTCGCTCTCCCCGACCTGCATCAAGATGGCTATGCCCACGGTGCGTCCTGCAGATGGGATGGGGCACGCCAGAGTCCAAGCCTGACGTTCAAGCGTCTGTCGGGTCTTCGTCTACGAGGTGTGGTCGGCCCAAGCAAGCCCAGGTCGTCGTGCATTTGCATCAAGCCATCTCCACTTTCCCAGCCGGTTCCCATGTCCGGCTTGGACACTACATGCTTGGAACCTGTTTAGGGCAACCGGCGCCGTCAATCAGGTCGTTGGCCGTGGTAAGTCGTCTGGCCTCCGTGCCGTCGTGCCTACGCCTAGCCTACCTCACCTTACGCTTACGCCTATGGCTGGCTTCACAACATCCAGCCTGCCAATTTTCAACTGCTCCACGTTGCACGGATTGCCTTGGACGCGGCCTAATGTCCAAACAGCCGTCGCCCCGTTGACGATGGCGATAGCTGCCCGTATCCTGTCAATGTCGACCAACAAACCGCCGACCCAGAAACGAAGAATTGTCGGGTACGAGGACACCAGAACACGAGGGCTTTCTGGAAAAGGCAAAACAAGACATCACACATAGTTACAGTGGGCTGGTGACGGCAAGAGCATGCGCCTCGCGGGGTCCCCGTCTACCCTTGGCCAACGTCCAACTAGCCGTGGCAAAGGCGAGGCTTAGTCGACATCGAATGCAGGCCCGGCACCGCGGCAAACCTCCAAGATGTACCGTTACCGGCCTGCAGGCGGGGGCCGATGTCTCCATTGCGACGCGGCGACGGTCGGAAAACATTTTGATTCTCTGCCGGCATTCGATTCAACCCCGATGCCTTGGAACGAGATCACGGCAATTGTATCTGTCTGTCAACCTTACCGTCAGCCATCAGACCGTCAGACTGTTGGCATTGCGCTACCACAACCATTACCCACGCGTGCGAAACATACCATTTCTTATCCGGGGACTTTGGGCCCGATCAATGACTGAAAATATGCAGCATCCTAGGCCATCTTACGTATACTGATCGAGCTTGGCGATGTCAGACGTCGGCCACTTCACCCCACCTTGGACCGTCGCGCACTCTCGATCCGCCCTCCGCCATCCATGATGGGGTCATGCACACACGGCTAGCTGCCGCTGACGGTGGACTGCTAAGTATGATTTTCTAGAATACTCCAACTTTTCCACATGTTAGAACTCCAACTATCTACGCCGGCTCGTCATTTGAGCTCCTGTCAACACCCTTCTATCCAGGTGATCTGCACGGTTGAAAAAGCGGTGGGAAAACAATTACAACATCTATCACGCCACAACTGCTCATGTTCATTGTGACAGAAAGCTCAGCTTGTAACCGTCAATGCCATGAAGCCCTCTTAGCTGCTGTTGATTTCGCCGAGCCCAACCATAGCAGCCAATCAAGACGGCCTGTGTTTGAAGTCGTCCAAAGCTCTGAGTACCGTGCATCAGCTAGTATGCACCCATTTCTCAAGCAGCAGGCCGTTGTGGTCCCTAGAACTGCACACAACTTTCCCTCGATAACACAGAGTGATGCCATTCCTCTGGGACGACCAAGCACTCGAGCCTGACACGGACTCTACCGTCGCCCAAAGTTCCACAGACCTCATGCGGCCGATAGATTCGGCTGAATACTCACTGGCGTCGGTACTGCGTAAAAGAGACTGCGGAAAGCCAGACCAACAGAGACCGTGTGCAACGTCCTTCGACGGGCCAGCTATCTCATCCTGTCGCCTATTGGAATCTGGCAATACCTCGTGCGTGTATGTTCCTGAGTCATTCTAGGCGACCACCCACGGACTTCGTAAGACGAGAAGCTGCACATGTTGCGCTACCTCGGCGAAAGGCACAAGATTGGGCAAAGCCTTATCTATCCTCCGTGGTTTTGAAACCACGTAACCCGAATCTGAGGTAGAAGACACCGGCCCCGAATATGGCGACCAAAAGGATGGCCGCGCCCTGCAAAGGATCGGATATGACTCCCCTAACCACCAACAAACCACTGATGGCGCTGAAAATGATGGGGTTTATCAGCCAAGTGCTATACTCGGCGCCCTTGATTGTTGGTACGCGAGCGTCTCTTTGCCGGAGAATGATTAGTCCCACGGCTGACGAGAAAAAGATTGTGTACGCCGCCAAGCCTGCAAGATATCAGTACAGGATTCGCCAACTCTCCCCCGTCTCGTATCTTACCAATGAAAGTAACTAAGCCATTGAAGCTTCCTACAACGACATAGACGACCGAAAATGTGCAATTCAGCAGTAACGGGAAGCTAACTCTCTCGTCAGCAACTGCGCAAAATCGACGCCTTGTCATACCCACACAGGCACATTTCTCCGCCATCTTCGATTCTGTGTCCACCACAGGAAGGCTCTTATCGGCCCTCTGAGGAGCCTGGGCAAGGCAGAGAGTTGTTCATCGACATAGCCAGCCTCGTCTTTCTCGTGACTACAATGCAGGTTTGCCAGAACGGCAGGAAAATACCCTCTCTGGCTTGCAACGACCACAAGCTTGGCAGTAGCGAAGACATTCGAGTTCAAGGCACCCATTGCGGAGATGGACACTATTACGCTGAAGAGGAGCCCGGCCCAGCTACCAAGAATCCGATTCGCGAACTCCTGGTTTCATGTCAGCACGACGTCGGCCATTCACCGGCTTTGACTGGCTGCATTCTTACCACTGCCACGGTGCTGCTCGTTCGCATGACGCTCATGGGCAAGCAGACGTACAGAGCAGCATTCATCAGCATGAAGCCGATAATCACTATGACCATGGAGCCATTGATCACTATGGGCAGGTCTCGTCGGGGATTCTTCATGTCTCCCAAAACAAAACCGACCTACGGAACCTTCAGTATCTCGTCCATCGCATCCACGAACGGGGTCGATTCTCACCATTTCCCAACCGGCGTAACACCACAGAGCCCCAAAGGTTGCCGTCCCAAAGTTACCCAGCCACTCCCACAGACCAACTTCACGCTGGTCGGGGGGTTGGCCAAACCAGCCGTATTCAGACGACGGGACCCCTTCCCCGTGACCGAACGCCCAGACGCCGCACCCGAGAACAATGATGACAGTAAGCGCTGCCATCTTCAGGAACAGGAACAGGTTAGCCGCCTTCGCACCCGCCGTCGCGCCCAGACAGTTGACGAGCGTCATGGTGACAATGCACCCGGCCGAGATCAGCTTCGACACCCACGGCTCTGGAGGCTGGCCGTCCGGCACGAACGCCTCGGTGAGATAGTCGGCGAAGATGGTAGCAATCATCGAGTTCGCCGCCGGCTTGATGATGATGCACCAAACCCAGGTGAAGAGGAACCCGGCGAACTCGCCGTAGCACGCCCGGAGATACTCCTGGATCCCGCCGTTGTTGGGTATCCTCAGCCCCAGCTCGATGAAGGACGCCGCTCCCGTCCACACGAGCAGCCCGCCGAACAGCCAGGCCAGCAGGCCGTACCCCGGCGCCGAGACGAACTGGCTGATCTGCGAGGGCACGCTGAAGATGCCCGAGCCGATCTGCAGGCTAATAACGATGGCCAAGCCATTGACCAGGGTCAGCTTCCGCGCGACCGCGGGGTGCTCGTGACGTTGGTCATCGCGGGACGCGGCGCTACCAGGCCGTTGGAGAAACGGCGAGGTTTCGTCGGTGTGGAGGGGGTCCGCCATTCGGAGCTAGAGGGGCCGCCCGAGCTGAAAGTGCTGATATCACCTTATCGACGGGCTCTGTGTGAAGCTTTCTGGGCCATGTGATTGCGAAGGAGGTCTGTGACAGAAGGGGGAGAAAAAATGTTGAATTTTTCTTTGTTTTGAGGGGATTATCGCGAGTCACTCGTCATCGCCCTGTACGTGAAGTGGGAGGTCTCCATGCATATATAGTCTCGGGGGTAAGGAGGCTCGGATGCCGACTTTGAGAAGGTCGATTGCGACAGTGTGCGCGTCCTTATCTGATCCCTCAGTGCCCGGTGTTGACAGGGGTCTGGTTTCCCCCCTGATAGCTACGATAGCGTCGCTATTCGCTGTCGTAGTTCTGTCAGCAGACTGAGTTGATGTCGCTGGGAAGCGTAGGACCATTCTGTCAACCACTGCAGCTGACCTGCACTGTCTGGTGACGATGCTTCGTGTCGTTTCTCCCTTGGATGCGCTGCGATCTAGGAGTGGAGACGGCGCGGGAGCGAAAGCTTGATATAACACTTCCCGGCGGCGTTTCTCAACAACAAATGATCAGTATCATTCGCCCTGATGGTCTAGCGGTATGATTCTCCCTTAGGGTTGTCTTCGACATCTCAGTCTGGGAGAGGTCCCAGGTTCGATCCCTGGTTAGGGCCCAAATCTTTTGCCAATTCGGCATATTTCTTGGCCGTCGATGTCTTTTTGGCCCTGCTCAATTCCAGATCAGTCTACACCGACCGAATTGCAACCGTTGAATATTTTCTTTGTGTTTTATGCTGACTTAGATCTCGGTCAGCTAAGGTGTACTCGCAACTTTAGTAATCAGGATTGCATGCCGTTGATTGGTGCATCCGACTTACACCAAGCAAGCGACTTGTCAACTCCAACTCTACTGTACCATCCGAGAAGTCATTCAATAGTATAGATCAGCCCTCGATGATTTGAGATTGTGACGTTTTTACTTCTGCCATCGCATCGGGATACTGTATGTGCCCGAAGGTTGAGTTTTCGGTTGAAGTTTTGCTCGCCTGACCTTCCTTGAATGTCGCGCGATGATTGACCACGTTCTGAACTCTGCCGACCTCCATGCTGCGGGATGAATGAGGGGTATCGGCACTTAGGGTCTTGAGACGACGTGGTGGTCTGAGGCAGCCCATACATTGATTGCCTATATAGATGACGGCCTCTCTTCCATTCCTCACTCTTTGCACGTTTCCTCTCATCAGGCAAGCATTCAACAGCGGTACGCGTGCAACCGCTAGACAACACCTCTCTCCAGAGGGTCCGCCCACCGACATGTCTCCTACCTACCTCTTTTCATGTCGACTCTTTAAGGAGTAGAAGACCCCGCAGAGCATCTTGCCGGTCAAGCTGGCAGCACCTCCATGCAAAGGCAACGTGCCACTTCGACAACCTGCCGCCCAAGACCCTTCTCCGCCTACGGTCCACCTCCCGGGTCAAACCAGCGGTATTAATTTGGATCAAATAATTGGATAAAAGCTCCGTGGTACGTCTCACACGCCAACACACCGGCAGTGGCGACGGCCCGTGAGAACATGGGTTGACCGTCCCATCCATTGTTCCCGCCGATCTGGTATGTCGGCAACGACGCTCGTTAGGTTCTCGACGATTATGGCGCACCCATTGTGGGAAAAGAGCTGCCTGTGAAAGTCGGGAACGGCATTAAGAGTGCGAGTTGGGGTTGGCGGTGGAGGTAGTTGAGGTGTAGGTCAGGAAGACGATGGTGATGTCGTTTGGGAAGGATTAGAGGGAGTTGTATGGAGAAGGCTTGTGGGAAGCGGCCGGGGAGGTTCACGAGGTGGTAGAGAAAATCACAAAAAAAGCGTCAGGAGGTGGTTGAGAGTGTGCTGGGAGCGTCAGTTCGGTGTGTCGAAGACGGAATCGAGGCTTGATGGGAGGTGTTGTTGGTCGAGGCGAGACGGCTCAGTGCTTTTTCGGTTGGACGGCTTTGGTTTGTTCTACTGCAATTCAGCTTAAGTGGGATGTTTCATTGTCGGTCGGGTTCAATTTTGCTTTACTGTATAGATACTCATTAAGCAAACCCAGTATTTATCCTGATTAGTCATGCCCTAAGCGACATGATGCCATATAACGATAGATAGCAAGGTGAATATGAACTAACAACTCAATAGACGAATGAATCAAAGTTTTCATGGCACGGGGGTGTTTCTTCGTCGGTTGGGTCGTGCGATGAATTCAAACTTACATTAAAGAATCCAATTATTTGACCCCATGGTGACCATGCTCCATGTGATCGTCTTGGTTTCGGGCGGATATGATGGGATGATATATGGTCGTCGGGAAGGTTATTTCGGGCTGAGGACCTCAATTGAACACGAATGACCCCGTACTTCAACGCCTCAATGTACCCAGTGAAATCTAAAATCTTCTTGGGGGAATGGAGATTCGCTGCCTGCCTATGATTTGTGTTGGTGCGTCTTGACTGAGTCTGGTTTTGAAGTAGTGTAGCGTAAGGTCCAATTGAGATTACCAGTGGTTGATCCTGATCAGTGTTCTGATGTAATTTGATTGATCTCACATCAATCAACTGAGCCAATAATCGATCCACCGAATGAAATCAAATGATTCATCCCCGAAGTTGCGCTCTAAACATGTACCGTATGACTTGAGTTTTGGGTGTGGCGTTGGTCTGCCACCTCACGAAATGAAACCCCATTGACTCCGGTTCTAAGTCGTGACCGCTTGAAATGATCTGACTTGCGACCGCTCATTACACAAGCACCAGGGAAGAAGACGTGCGGGCGAAAGCCCAACTGCGCTCACGTACGTTGTTGTGTATCCTGTGCTGGAGAGTTGCCAACAAGTCTGGTGGTGCAAAGAAGGTAAGGATCCGAGATCTGATGGAAGCTCCGTGGAATGCAGGGTAAAGAACAACAGCCAACTTGCTATCTGTACCTCCGAAACCTCAAAAGCATCCATTCAGCCCCACGGGAGATCTGAGCATCGAAAAGTTGTGTGTTGGGAGCAAATAGGCTTTCGAGCCTTGAGGTCCCGTCGGAAAAGAAATCTGGGGAACCTCAGAAGGCGGTGCCGCTACGGGGACCACGAACTTGGAGACGAGGAATGTGAGGCAGTCCGGTCCGCCGATGTGGAGCACCGTTCCGGAAGAGATTGCCGACACTGTGATTCGTCTCAGCACGTGACCGCAACCCACGGGCGGGCTCAATTCGCTAACGGCGGTACGTACCTTAGGGTCTCCGCCCACCAAACGTTCCGGGAGGAAAAAAAATCACACAGAAATTTATCGCGACCGCAGAGAGTGCCAAACTTCATCCCCGTCACTAACCAGCAGCACTGAAGCCCACCGTTGACCCAGGTACGTTCAATTTTTCACTCTGGCAATTCCCCCTCTACCTCATCAGCAAGGCGTCCCGGCATATTTGGATTTTTCTCCTTCTCTTTCTCCATTCCTCTCCCTTCTTTTCAAGACTAATCCTTCGTCGATAGGGTCATTCAACGATCACACAATGGCTTCGAGACCTACCGTCACCATCATCGGCAAGGATGGCAAGTCCTCCGGCAACACCCACACTCTGCCGGCCGTCTTTCTGAGCCCTATCCGTCCCGATATCGTCCAGGAGGTTCACAAGGGCATGGCCAAGAACAAGCGCCAGCCCTACTCCGTCAGCGAGAAGGCCGGTCACCAGACCTCTGCCGAGTCTTGGGGAACTGGTTAGTGGTACCCGACGATTGGAAAGTGCAGAATCTGGATTGGAGCAACGGGCGAAAGGATCTTGGAAAACGAACGTGAGGGACCTCGGGCAAGATCTGGAGATGGAAGTCGACACGGTGCTGGGGGAAACGACGAGACCTGCCCGAGGGAACGAGCCGAAAATTTTCAAAAGCCTTCGCCCCGCGACAAGAGAGATTGGAGGCACTGCCAAGAACGTGAGAAGGGAACACACCAATGCTGACGGAAATCATTACAGGTCGTGCTGTTGCCCGTATCCCCCGTGTCTCCGGTGGTGGTACTCACCGTGCCGGTCAGGCCGCCTTCGGTAACATGTGCCGTTCCGGTCGCATGTTCGCTCCCACTAAGACCTGGCGCAAGTGGCACGTCAAGGTCAACCAGGGCCAGAGGTGAGTTTTTTTTCGTCCCCACCACGGGGGAAAGAAAGACGAACAAACGCATCTTAACACTTAAATTCTCCAGACGCTACGCTACCGTCTCCGCCATCGCCGCCTCCGGCGTTGCCCCCCTCCTCCAGGCTCGTGGCCACCAGGTCTCCAACGTCCCCGAGGTCCCCCTGGTCGTCGACTCCGCTCTCTTCGAGAACGCCGCCATCGCCCGCACCGCCGCCGCCGTCTCTCTCCTGAAGACCGTCGGCGCCTCCGACGACGTCGAGAAGGTCAAGGGCTCCAAGAAGCTCCGCGCCGGTAAGGGTAAGCTCCGTGGCCGCCGTTTCCGCCAGCGCCGCGGACCCCTTGTCATCTACGACCCCGAGGTCGACGGCAAGGAGCTCGTCACCGCTTTCCGCAACATCCCCGGTGTCGAGACCTCCCCCGTCACCTCCCTCAACCTCCTCCAGCTCGCCCCCGGTGGCCACCTCGGCCGCTTCATCGTCTGGACCTCGGCCGCCTTCAAGTCCCTCGACACCATCTACGGCACCACCACCACCCCCTCCGCCCTCAAGAAGGACTTCCTGCTGCCCTCCAACATCGTCAGCCAGGCCGACCTGTCTCGTCTGATCAACAGCTCCGAGACCCAGTCCGCCCTCAGGGAGCCCAAGGGCTACGCTCTGACCCGCCGCTCCGCGGTCCAGAAGAAGAACCCCCTGAAGAACAAGCAGGTCATGCTCCGCCTGAACCCCTACGCCTCGGTATTCGGCAAGAAGGCTGCCGAGAAGAAGTAAATTCTCTCTCGCGCGCAGGGTGTTTGACGGCAGTGGTGGAACGAAGGTTTCTGAAACGGACGGGGCTACATTTTAGCATGGTTTGTGCTTGAGGCGTAATGGCAACTAGGAAATGTTGACCTCAATTCATCAATGGACAAATGATTCCCTTGAACACATCAACAACAAAAGTTGGTCTTCTGGGCCTGGACCGTGACGACTCATTCCACGTGATTATGACTTTTCTGCTTTGTATATCTCAGGTTTACGTAGTGACTGTCAGGTAGCTACAAAAAGTTCTCAGCATTCTATGGTGCCTGCCTGTCTTCTATGTTCAAGTGAGATGCCGTTTGCCTCTTTATTTGTTGGAAGTATACTGCTAAGATCATCAAGTTCGTCACGTCCATCCACCTCTTAACATCCCATCCAGGTACCGAGGTTACCCAGGCTCTCAACCTGCTCATCTTGGAGAGCAACCAAGTCTCCAAGCAGCTCCTCGATCTCCTCTACCCTCCTAATCCTCCAGAACCGCTGGATGGCCTCGGCAAGCCTCTCCGAGCATCTGTCCACATTCTCCTCCGTCTCGGCCGCGAAGCAGAGGCGGAAGTACGCCCAGCCCCTCTCGGCGCGGATCCCAGGCGTCGCGCTGAACATCATGCCGGGGCTGACCAACACGCGGAACGGCTTCTGCGTCGCAAAGATCATGAGCGCCGTCGCGAGCTTCTCCCCGTCGACCAGCGGCACCGCCCTGCCCCCCTTGGCCATCCACAGCGGGTGCGTCTCGAAACGCATGCGCAGCCAGATGAACATGCCGCCGCGCGGCCAGTCAAAGTCGTACAGCCGCGTCTTGCTGACGACGCCCCACTCGGCGTCCTCGGCGTTGCGCGGCGTCGACTGCTTGAGCTGGACGGCGCCGTCGTCGAGGATGGACGACATGCGGTTCATGCGGCGCTCGTAGACGCCCCGGAGGCCCTCGAGCCACCGCACCCAGCCGTCCATCTTCCAGCCCTCGAAGGTCTGCTTCTGGCGCGAGGTGAGGGCCGCGAAGGCCGACCGCACGGCAGGGGGCTGTTCGCCCATGACCAGCTCTGCGACGGTGGATTGCACGAAGCCCGAGGGCTGTTGGGTGGTGACTTCGGTGATTCTGCGTCGTTGTCAGTATTTTGCATCTTCGTCTGATGGGGGGGGACTCACCTCAACAGACGCTCAATGATGGCTGGCTGAGCAGTGATCCATCCCAATCGGCATCCAGGGGCGATGGTCTTGGAGAAGGTGTCGAGACGAATAACTCTGCCGTCGACGTCGATGCTGAGGAACGACGGGGTCAAGGAGTCCAGGAACTGATATCCCGAAGACTTGACCGGCTTGTAAGTCGATTGGACAGGCTTCGGGGGTGGCAGACCGCGGTGCTTTGCCTCATCCTGAGCCGCAGACGGGTATTGCAGGTACCAGTACGGGTCGTCCTCGACGATGATGACATCGTACTTGCTGCAGATCTCATAAATCTCCTTGCGGCGCTCGACGGGGAGCACGCCACTGGTCGGGTTGTGTCCCATCCTGATCTCACAGCATTAGCACAAACCCACGCCCTCTCACCACCCAGGACAAAAACTCACGTCACGGTGTACATAAAATGCGGCCTCCGCCCATTCGCCTCATCCCAGCCCGCCAACACCTCCTCCAACCCGCCGGGCCCGTACGCGATCATGCCCACCTGATCCATCTCCACGGGCGCGACCTGCACGCCGCGCGGCAGCGCCTGCGTCAGGACCTGGCTGTACACGAACACCTCGCACAGCATGCCCTGCCTGTCCCTGGCGTCGTTCTTGGCCGGGCTCCACGGGTTCGTCAGCAGCTCCAGCGTCTTGGAGAACCCGTCCGTCGACCCGCAGCTGAGGATCACCTCGGGCCCGCCCAGGTACGGCACGTTGGGGTGCAGGTGCTCCCTTGTGAACTGCCGCACGAAGGACCGCAGCGGCGGGTACCCCTCGGCGGTGCCGTACTGCAGGGCCGTGGCGACGTCGATGCGCCGGAGCGGGTCGCGCTCGGCGTCGCTCCCGGGGACGGTGACGTGGCGCGCGGCCTTGACGTCCTTTTCCGCATCTCGTTTGGCGGTGGCGGGCTTGCTCCGGACCGGTAGGGCGGCGGAGCCGTTGGGCGCGCTGAATGTGGCGGCGGCGGTGGTCTCGTCGGGGATCGGGGACGGTTCCCACCGCTCGGGCTTCGCGGCCTGCGCTTCTAGGGTATCGAACGGGAACAGGCTCGAATGAGGAAGGCCTATTTGTGCCGAAAACGGGGCACCAATTGGTTAGCGATTCATGTTTTTGGGGTTTGACAGGATCGGTGTAGGTAGATTTGGCGGCGGCGCAGGAGGTGCGTGACAAGGAGTTGGAAGCACGCAACGTAAGGTGTGTATCACGGCATATATTGCGGCATTCCCTCCCGCGCTTGCACCGACCGCATGTAGAGTTCATCGACGACGACGACCGCCGCAGCGTCCCAATTCAAGTCGTGGCAAGAAGAGAAGCAAACACCGAGCAAACGCAGGCTGCGTGCGAATCACTCACCTCCAGCAAGCTGCCCAATGCCCGGAATCTGGAAGTACTTGTAAAACTCCTTCATCTTGCTGGGCTCTCTCTGGTTGGTGACATCGGAGTAGTGGTGCTCCAGGTTGAGAGGCGGCCTCTTCTCCATTGCGGCGGCGGCGGACATCTTCGACGCTGGCGGGCGATAAGGCGTGAACGGCAGAGACGTCGTCGGTTGCATCGGCGGCATCGGGGTGATCGCGTGTGTGTGTGTCCCCGACAGGACAGGAAGTTTTGCTGTTTTTGCGTAGGCCAAGATCCAATCTCAAGAGCCCGTAACCAAGAAAGCTCGAGAGAGTTCCCACGCTGTAAAGAGACGCGATCGATCTGAAGATAAGATGGGAGTGTAGGAAAAGAGTGAAAAGATACCGGAATCGAAACCGCAGAAAGGGCCCGCGGGACCCATTCGACAAACACAACCCCGGGATTACAAATCGTCATCCATCTTGAGAGAGAGAGAGAGGAAGCGTGCCCCGATAAGGAAGCTCAAGCTGGGCTCCGCCGACTGGCCGTTGATAAGACGCTTGACCGGGGTGTGGTTTACACAGTGACAGGGATCTCGGCTGTGGGAGGACCGAAGCGAGTTCGGACTGTCACCGAATCCCTGGTGTCGGCCTCGGTTTGACTGGCCGGGCGGACCTGGCTTTCGGTGTCCAAACATGCTGAACGAAGGTTCGGTTCATCCCATAGTCACGAAGTCAAGGAGCTTTCAAGGTGAACCAACTTCGACCCAGCTTGAACGATAAACAATCTGATTAGAGAAGCAGTTTGCGCTCCAGTAAAACTCTGGTGATGTGCCTGATATGTAGGCCGTAAAAGTACATGAGGGAATCGTCATCTAACTTTCATTTTCCCGAGTCCTGTTCGCAAGTTTGGATGTCATTCCCTTACATCCCATAACGCCATGCTCAAATAATACACAAAAAAGAAATTAACACACTCGTCATCCGCCACTTTTTCCACCACCAAACCACTCTCACTCTTGGGGGATTTTCCCCGCCCTTACAAGTACGGCATCCAGAGCGCGTCGCACTGGGCCAAGTTCATGGGGTTGACTGCCTTGGCAACCAGGTCAATGACCGTTTGGTTGGCAGGCAAGTTACCAACGGGGCTTTGTGCCAAGCTGACTGCACGCTTGACCACCGAATCGCTGTTCACCTGGACGGAATCCCGGAGCTGGTTCTCCGTCATCTGAACAGTTCTGTGTGAGCTGGTGAACCAGAAGATCATCTCATCGCGCACGAAGAGGGTGAGGGCATGCTCCAGCTCGTACTCAGGCTCTGTGAGGCAGCGAGCGATGGCCATAAGAGCGCAGCTGAAAATTCCCTCCGTCGCCAGTGGTCCCATCAGTGTCTGGAGGTTGGGTGTCAGACGGAACGGCACCGGCTCAGGGTTATGGAAGAAGGGCTTAGCGGCGCTCATGTAGGCCATGAGTTCTGAGCCCCAGATGTTGCCGGATCCGCGAGCAATGTTGATCTTCTGCGGGTACCGGTTATGCATGTAGAGGATGTAGGTCATGAAGGTGAGGGCGGCAAGCTGGTAAGAGAATTGCCTTCGGAACAGCCAGAACTCTGTGAAGTCGGGGAAGGCTCTTTGGAAGTACTCCAATGCCAAGTTGTGAGGAACCCATTTCTCTTGGATGGCGTTGAATACCTCAAGTCGTGCGGTAGCGCTCTGCTCAGCGTGCTTCGAATTCTTAGTGTCGAGAACACCGCGAAGCTTTTCCATGGTGAAGAGAACAGGGTCGTCCTTGGACATGCCGTGGCGCCGGCAGTGGTCTTCGTATACGCTCTGGAGAGTGATGTATGAGGTATCCTCCTGAACGATGCGAATGTGAGGCGCAAGAGGGACCATCAATGGCAGAGTGAACTGAAGGTCGCGGCGACGACTCTCCTTTCTTCTTCCCAAAGTCTGGTTCAGTTGTCGGAAGAGCTGCAGGATGCGCTCCTCGCGGCGGCAATGTCTGGCTGCCGGGTGCTGCACAGTCCAGGAGTGAACGCTTCCGTCATGGCCGCGCATTTGGATGCGACGGTACGAAGCGCTGATGGACCTCACCAGATCAACGTTGGGCAAAAATCGCTCAATACGGATGAAATCCTGGTTCTTGTCCTTATGTTGCAGGTATTGCCCAGGAATCTCGACGTCGTCGAATCTCTGGTAGCGGAATTCCGAGAGGTGAGGCGAGAATTGCTCCAGGGACACCCGTGTCGTTCTGCGGTCCAGCTTCTCTTCAAACTTGTTGCGCCAACGGCGAAGCTTGTGGATGTACTCGTGCATTGTCGGCTTGACCTCCACAAAGTCCGTTTCAAACGACTTCTTGATGTGAGGGGGAAGAATCGTTTCGGCAAAGCGGGTGATGTTCGTCTCCGTAGCGGAAGGCAGCTTCACGTCCTTCGCAAAAGAGGAAGGCATGCGGCTGACATACGCCAGCGCATCGTTGAGCAGTGCGACGATGAGTCGGTAGGCATCCTCATCGGGAGGGCACTTGAAGTGCTTTTGGATTTGGTCCACCATCGTCTCCATAGACAGAGCGAGGAGAGGGAAAGCTGTCTTCAGGGCACTCATGATTTCCTCGGTGAGTTCCCAAGGAGGCTTCTTCTGGCCCGCAGCGGATTGCTGGTCTGTCTGGCCATTGGCGCCGTTACCCTGGGCGGCAGGAGTTCCGTTGGCATCATTACCCTCGGTCTTAACGTTGGCATTGCCATCTCCGCCGCTGGCAGTGCCGGGTCGTGAGCCAGAGGCGTCGGGCTTCGCAACACCGTCTTGTTTGGGTTGTTGAGGCGATGCGCTCGGCTTGCCGTTGGAAACCGTCGATTGAGCACGCTGGCGCGCCTTCTCCTTTGCCTCCTGGTTCTTCTTGATAACCAACATATCTTCTCTGTTGGTGCGGAGCTGGAAGTACAACGCCTGGGGGTAGGATCTTGCAATCTTAACGAGAATCTGGTGTACCCTTGGCGCCTCCTTGTGACCAAGACCTGTGAGAAGCTGAGGAATGAAGGTGATCCAGTACCAGACAGGAGTCTCGCCCTTGAAGTCGTCGAAACCAGCAGCGATGGAACCATTGGCATCGTCGAGGCTGAGAAGCCACAAGATGCGAGCAATGAGCTTGCGTGACTTGGCATTCTTGTAGCTTCCAGCGGCTTGCAGGTAGGACGTGAGAGCTTGTCGTGCAGAGTTGATGTCCGACGGATCCTCCTTGTACTTGCGCTCGTTGAAGTAACCCCACTCAGCCCAGGCCTTCGCGGCGGTGATGTCGAAGTACAGTGCCGTGCCGTAAGCGGAGTCGGCCTCTTCCTTCTGTTTGAGTTTTTCCAGGAACATCCCCTTGAGCGTGTAGAACTCGGCTTTCTGCGGCGGGTTGAAATAGTTGAGATTGGTGTTGTTGATGACATCCAACCCGCTGGTGAGCTCCTCGGGGTTCTCATAGTGGCATTTAGCTTGCTCCCTCAATTTAAGGAAAGCTTCCTGGATCTCTATGTTGGGAAGAGTATAAATCCTACTCAGCTGGGTGATGCAGACTTCCGGCAGACTGTGCTTGCGAGCAACGTGCGCGAAACGGTTGATGATCCAAGCCGTCTCGTGGTAACCGCGATAGGCGAATGAGGCACCACTAGCGTTCTGGCCCGAATTAGGGGGCAGCAGGGCCAGGTACGTGTTATTGATGAGGCCGAAGATGTGTTGACGCCAAGTGACGAGATCCTGCCAGGCTGTGATGTCGTCCCAAACGTTAGGTAGACGGTCACGCCAAGCACCGAGCAGGAGTTTGAGTTCTCCAGATTTGACGTCAAGATTAGAAGCGTTAGTTCCCGCCAGACTGTTGCAGATGACACTGGCATCGTGCAACTCAACCAGCTGCTGGAAGTTCTGAAGCAGCGGAATATGCGCTTTGGTGAGTTGCTTCGGCAACTGGTGCCATTTCCTAATCGACAGCTGGATGGCCTCGTCGCACGACTTGGCGAATTCCTGGGCGTTCTCCTGCTTGTTGTAGTACTTCAGGAGCGACATGAAGGCCTGGAAGAAAGCGCGACGAGGAGTGGGAGCATCCATAACACCCTTGATCAAGTTGTCCAGAGCCTCCCGGTTTTCTGGGGTCTGCCACATCTCGGTGTTGTTCCTCCACGCGCATTCCAAGAGCAAGTCCTGGAAGTTCTCGTGTTTGGCGAAGTCCTGAAGAATCTCCCATTGCTGCAACTTTTGGGCACACAGCACCCAGTGATCCTCCCAGAGCACGTACTCTGCTTGGGAAAAGGGTATGACACCAGTTCGAGCTTTGATCTGAGCGGCCTCGTACATCTTCTGAGCCTTGTCCCACATTCCGGTTTGCTCGTAAGACAGAGCGGCGTTAGTCTCAACAAACTGGCAACGTCTGCGCCAAGTACCGTAAAACAGATCGTCTTCTTGCAGCGACGCGTACAATTCCACAAGGGCATCGAGGTTGCTTTCCCTCACGACCGCGGACTCGATCTCGGGCTTGATCGCAGCGTTCTCGAGCTGAACGAGCGCAGTATACCACGCATCGTAGGTTTTGGCTTCATACTTGAGAACGTGCGGTGGGATCCTGCAATCAGGCCAGGCCTTTGCGGCGCCTTCAAGCAGAGATTGGACCACGTTCGGTCGCTTGTCGATCTGGCGGCTATGGTAGTCCTTCGTTAGGAGCGCAACCATACCGCGCTCGAGATCAGTGCGTTCCTCCCTCGTGGCCGCAGACCAGTAAATGGGGAAGATTGCAACCCACAGCTGGTGGGCCAGAGTCGAGTCGACGTGCTGAAGTTGAGTCAAGGGTTCAATGAGATCGCGAACCTTCACGTCACCGATCTCGACCATGAAGCGACGGTGGGTGGCCATTAGGGTATCGAACTTGTCATCGGGCATAGCGGTGGGTTCCCGGTTGTCCTTGGCGTGGATGGAGCAGAGAGCGTTGATGGACATCGTCTTGAAATCCTCGTGGTGAAGCTGAATGCTGTTGTTCAACTCTACTGCGCCGAGAAGCAGGTGCGATGCTTGAGCCAGCCAGTAGCTTTCGCCTAACGTATCCCAGTTTTGAGCAGTGAGGACGTAGTTCAGTCGAGCGCTAGCGGTCTTTGAGAGACTCTTATCGAAGATGGCCATGAAGCGGTTACGCATGTCGACATCTTGAGCCCTGGTGCCAATGAGGAAAGCATGCTCCATCCGGACTGTCAACTCAGTTCTCGTAATCTTGGGATCTTCGTAGATGCGAATAACCAGCTCCAAGAACTTCGTCAGCATGGTCGGGTCTTGCCGGTGCTCGAAGGAAAGCATCTTGTGAAGAACGGCAGTCTTTTCCTTCAAAGTGGGCCAGGTGCCTTCGGAACGGAAGACCCAGCCCTCCACCATGTTGAGAATCTCTTCGCATAGTGGAATGTGCATCGACTTCTCAACAAGTGTCGCCAAGACGCTGAGGAAAGGGCGTCTGTTGTCTCCCAAAACTTCCATTCTCAAGGCAACGACTTGGATGGCCTTGAGCATGAGGGCCGTGGAAACCTCGAGATCATAGCTCGACATCTCTCCTGTTGGCGCGTTGGGGTCCTGAGGCCGAGCAGGCTGTCCAGGTTGATGATTAGCGACGGCGGTGTAGTGCTGAACGTGCTCACGCGCGAGCTTGCTTTGCAGAGCCTTCATAAGCACAGCGATGTGCTGGTCGATGACGGCAGGCTTGCGGTTGCCCAGAGACCACAAGATGTTGACACCAGATCCGTAGTTGCCGGCAGCCATGGCTTCACCAGCAATTGTTGACAGAGACTGAACAATCTCAGAGGTCTGGGCCTCGGATTCGCCTTCGGCATCGGCGTCATCCATGGGGACGTCCTCAGGAACGGCGTCGAGAACTCGCTGGATTATTGACTTGAGGTCACGGTCGTCGTCGTATTTTTTGTCTGCGAGGTGGAGACAGTCTTGAAGCTCAGGGTTTTCGCTCTTCAGGCATTTGTCCAGGACCTTCTGAATCTGGGTCATATTCTTTTGAATCCAGTCATCCGACTTGAAGTTCAAAATAATGCGCACAACTTGAAGAGTGTTGATGATGTTCGTGATGAACTTCTCGTCGAACTTCTCCTTGTCGCCGGGGTCTGCCGACAGAATGTTCTGCGTCTTCTCGCTGGCCAAAACAACTTCAGTGACGTTAGGGAAGAGATCCACGTCCAGGTCACCCCAGTACTGGGGCTGAATGAGGTTGTAGAACAGAGTCATGGCCTTCTTGCAGAGTTCAGTGGAGGCGGGCGGCATGGCTGGGCCATTTGTGGTGACTGAATCCCTGGCCCGTGTGGAGGGAAGTTGGTAGCGCTCATTCAGCTGGGCAATGAACTCGACGAGGTACTTAACCATTCTCTGCCGAGCGATTGGCGGAATGACGTACTCTGCCCTCTCAGGATGGGCTTGCCTAGCAGCAGGGGGGGAGGACGTAGGCTGGTCGCTGTCGAGCTTTCGCTTCTTGGACTGCGGCGATTCAGATAGAGAACGCGATACGGCATCTCCTTTGCCCTCGACACGCCTTTGCTCCCAGAGCCAAATCAACCACATCATATTCAAAGCAAGTTTCTTGGACTCGTTTGACGGATTGGGAGGAGCTGCAACCTTTCTCAAAGACTGGATAATGAGCATAGCGTATTTATCCCTAGTCTCATAAAACAGTTCCGGGTGCTTGACGAGGAAGTGGAAAATGCTTGTCATCTGCTGCACATTCTGGCCTTCGTCGGCAAGGATCTTTCGAGGCGCCAACGCCCAACCAACGGCATTTCTGTCGTTGACTCCTTGGGTACCAAGCCGCTTGGGCAAGACGGGAGCGATCAACTCCAAAGCTTGGGTGACCAGAGCCCTGCCCTCGTTTTGGTTTGTCCTCAGTAGGGAGAGATACACCTGAGTCACGATCTTGACGGGCGTTTCATAAAGCGCGATAAAGTAACCGATCACGACATATGCGGCGTGCTTGTTGATGACATCGTCAAGACGGATGAAAGTCCAACAGCTCTTAATGATGTCCTTTCTCGCCTCCTGGAAGATGTGGGAATGGTACTTGACCAGCATGGCGGACAGCTGGAGAACTTCAAACTTCGTGTGGTCGATGCCGGGCTGTGCAATGTCGTCGTGATCATGTTGACTCGTGTCCTGGTGCGTCTTCCAGATCTTGGCAGTGATCGCGTCGATTATCGTCTTGTCCATGAATCGACCCTTAGTCTGAGGCGGCTGGTTCCAATGTCGCTGGACATCCATGGCAACGATGGGGTTGATGATGTAGTGCAGCAAGAAGCACTTCATCTTCTGGGAGACATTCTTGGAAGGGTATGCCTCAAGACACTTGAGAACGGTTGCCTTCCAGAAATCCACCGAGTCGCTGCAGATAATGCTCTTGTAGATGTACGCGATCAGAGGCTGCGAGGCGCGGAAATCGTCCGTCGTAACCGAGTCCACCAAGCTGAAAAGGGGCTCCAGATCTCGGGGGTTGCGACCCAAGGACTTGATGAAGATCGTCATCAACTGGTCTGATGCTTGACAAGCGGGAAGTCTGAGGTTGGGCGGGAGGGTGTGCGCTCGCATTTGCTTCTCCAGCTCCTTGCCGACCTGCTTCAACCAATTCAAGTGCTCCTTCTTCTCCAACCACGAGTCTGATCCGGGAGTCAGAGTCAGAGAGTAGAGAATGTGGATGGCGTTTACGACAGCAACAAACTTCGTGTCCTTATTCTGTTGAATGGTGCTGTTACAGAAGTCGATCAGGGCTTGTACGTTGCCAGACACCGTCTCTCGTAGAGGGGCGCTGTCCGCATGTCGGATCACCTGCGATAGGAACCGTCCGTACTTGAGATCCTCAAGCTTTGGCAGAAGAAAGTTCCAAACCTCATTGGGATAACGGTTGATGAACTTGTACAAAGGTGCACGGAAGGGACTCTCGTGAGTACGTCGCAGCTTCTCCTCAAGCTCCAAGGACAGGTCAATGAGTCTTTGCTTAAAGCCCTCCGCCTGAGGGGGAAGGAGATGGAAGATGTTGAAGACCGCGGCGACGATCTTCATCTGCTGGTTCTGCTCGAAGAAAGTAAAGGCGAGTGGTTGCAGGACCTCTGGTGACGCCAGAATCTTGACGTGGTCGAGCAGCCGTGCACCAATCTCGACCTTGAAGTATGTAGTTAGAAGCTTCAAAAGTCGACCGAGGTTGTCGAGTCCATGGGTGGTAAGCTTCTTAGCATCTTGTAGACTGGCGAGAACAGGTCGAAGGCCACCCTGCAAGAGATCTTTAGGTAGCTTCTGGTGGGCTTCAAGTGTGGTCTTGAGGGCGCTGTTGGCTGCATCAATGGTAGCCTTGGAGTCGGAGTACAGGCATTTGAAGAAGACCGAGACGATCTTAGAGCGAGTGGGGTGGCTGCCTTGCTTCAGTGGTGCAAATTCCTCAAAGCTGGTAGCAGTGCTCAGGATGTTGATGCATGCAACACGGAGGTTGACAATGTACTCGTGTGTTCGGAATTCTCCGGGCTTGTTGGCGAGAGACTCATCACTAGCATCAGCTAGAGCCAGGGACTCCATAAGTAGTCTGGTCAGATTATCGTCAAACGTAACCCATTCTTTCCTCAGCGTCATGTGATACGTCATCGCGTCAATGTAACCGATCTGTATGGGAAAGGGCAAAGCACGAAGAGGCTTGGAGTAGATGGGTTGGAGGAAGCGCTCCTTGTAAGGCTCGATCAACTCCCACACAGGACAGTCGACTGCCTTGGCAATGAGTTCCAAAGATCGCTTCGCAGTCTCACGAACGTGACGGTTCATGTGAGACAGCTCCGTGTTGAACTGCATGCAGATCTGAGCGAGACGAGATCTCTGTGGCGGCTGACCTGGAACTTGGTTTGTCGGGGGAAGTGCATCCTCCTTCTTGATGTTCTTCGTAATTCTCTGCAAGAGCGTCTCCAAAGTGACTTGCGCAGACCTTCTGGTCTTCTCGGGGAGATCTTGCGGCATGTCCTTGATGACGTACATGAGAGCCCTGATGAACTCAGTCTGCTTGCTCAGGATCCACTGGTCGCCCAGATCCAACTCTGTCAGGAGAAAGTTGATGCCCAAAGAGCCGCCAGTCTTCGTGAACCACTCCTCCTCGTAGCAGCCATGGCAAAATGTTGAGCTGAGGTGGTTGAAGAATGCCAACCTTGCCACATGCTGCTGGGACCCAAAGATGGTAGCAGAAGAGTCGTAGACCTCACGGATTGCGCGCTGCGCAGACTCTCGCACCTCTGGATGATCCGAAGCCAACGATTCCACAATAGCGTCAGAGAGTACCCGGGTATCAATGAACAATGGGCCCTCTCCTGCATTGGGGTTGAACGGATTCAGAGTTCGCTTCATTTCCACCAGAGACCGGCCGACCTCGATGATGGTGAAGTGCTTGCAGAGGTTCATGAGGAAAGCGTTTGCTTCTTCCTTGAATTCAGGCAGAGACTCTGCGAACATGACTGCTTTCAGCAAACGCCGGAGGAGATCGTCTTGCTCATCCTTCTTCGGAATTGACCTATCCCTGTCAGAGGTCTCAAAGGCCGAAAATTCGATGTCGATATTCCTCTGAAGCATGTCCTGAACCTGAAGGCGTAAGATTCTAGGCAGGTCGTCCGGCAGGTTCTCGAAACCAATGCGTAATTTGAGCTGGAACTTGATGAAGTGGAATGACTGCTTCTTGTAGTATCCATCGTATTGACGAGACTGGTTTGCCTTGCTGCCCTTGGGCTGCTCCATCAACTTGCGAATGGCGAAGTCCACGCCTGTTTCTGCGGGGAAAGCTCTGTCCTTCTTAGACCCAATCAGACGAAGGTCGAAGCTTGTGGGGTCGTCGGCGTGGTTCTGGTAAGTCAGGGGCTGCGCATCGGTCATGAACTTTCGGTTGCGACCGCCAAGCTTGCCGAGGATACGCATCGTCGTATGCGCGTGGAAGTGGCTGTAAGGGTGGGGCTTCAGGTGATCGAACAGCGCTGTCATGAGTTCATCAATGACAGGCGCCATGATGGGATCGAGATAGTCCGCTGTGAGGTTATCGACGCAAAGCTCCAATGTTCGTAGACCTTGGCCAACGAGATCGGTACCGGCCCGCAGCGCAACGACCAGCGGACGCATCAAGAAGCTGAGATGAGGTAGCAGATTACTCAGTCGTGCTGGCACTGTCAAGCACAGCTCAACATAGAGGTCCCGCTCAGCGGGCTTCCGCGCAGCCAGGAGGAGGTTGTTGAGTACATCCAGGAGCATTTCGAGCAACGGCAGAATTTGCTTGTAGAGGTGTTCGAACTTGCCACCACCAATACTTCGGAACAGCGATCTCAGAAGGAGAAAGTAGTTCATGGGCTCTTCCGCCTTGGTGGATAGCTCGATGGACTTGGTGACAATGTCAACAACGTGAGGAAGCAGGACTTGTTCGTTCTGAGTGGCGAACAGAGTGACCGCCATAAACGCCAGCTTGAATAGTCTCAGGAGAATCGATGACCTCTTCACGTCGGCGGAACCAACCTGGTCGATCCTTTCCATCAGAAAGCGCAACAGCATGCCGCAAAAGCTAGGCGAGGTAGCCTCGCTGGCAAGGAAGAATTGCGGAATGTGGAGCAATGCGGTGTGCTCAAAGATCATGTCATACAGATGAGGGATCTCTTGCTGGAAGACTTCGTGGAAAGTTGCGGGGTCGATGCAGTGGAAGACGGTGGCAAACGTCTCGAGTAGGTCCTTCTCCTCCTTGCTGCTAGAAACCATGTAGAAGTTGGCCATGTACTCGACAGGTGACATGTACTGGGACTCGGTGGCTGGCTTCTCGATTTCGTAATAACGGAAGACATACGCTCCCTCCCTGAACAGCTTTACGATGACGTTGACTTCTTCGGCGGTAAATCCATAAGCCACGTCTTGCCAGTGCGCAGGCGCGTTCGTGAGATCGACGTTGGCATTGACGTTACAAGTCCTCAACTGATAGAAAGTGTTCTTAAGACCGTTCATGAGGTTTTTGAACAAGAACTTATTGTCGACGACGGGATCCTGTCCTCTATCCCTGGGATTGGAGGTCTTGATTGGCATGGCAGTGAAAATGTCTGTCTCATCCCAGTCCGGAGGGTGTTCCTTTTCCGCGAGGTAGCTGTCCTGGGCTCCATCAGCGGCTTGTTGGGCGTACAGTTTCGAAAGCTTCACTGCATTGGGATATTGTCGGTTCATGGCCACGAATTTGTCGCCGATGGCGTTGAGGATCATGATCAGATAGTGCCGTGCGTCGACCTTGTTGGGCATCTTTGCGATGCACTCCGCCATATTCAGGAGGAGCTTCGCACTCATGGTTTGAAAACTCGTCCCAGGGAAGTTGTCCTGAAGGTTCTTGGTGTAGACCTCGACCGTCTTGCGAATCTGTTCCGGCGTGAGACTATCACGGACGTGGTGAATGAGATCCGCCAGCATGCTGTAGGCTAATGGCCTCATGGTCTCGTAAACAGTCAGTCCGTCGCCAATGAGTGTCTTCTCGTCAAGGAGTTCATCGATCTTCGGCAGGAAAATCTTGCGAAAGTTGAAGTTGATAATATGCCTAATGGCAACAAGGAGCTCCTTACGCGCGCTTGACTTCTCTCGCGGACAATCCTGGAGTAGCCGTACCACGATCTCGGGTAGGGTCGGCAAGAAATCGGTCAATTGCTGTGAATACTGTCTCAGCAAATAGGCGAGGAAGCTCATGGTCTTAACCTGGGCTGTGATGAATTCTCCAAAAGCAGCACGATTCTTAATCAGTGGGCTGACTCCAGTGAAAATCTGCCCCTTGGCCTTGGCGTCGGCGTGAGCCTGCTTCTGTGCGCTTGCTTGAAGGCACAGGAACCCCTTAATCAGAGGTACGAAGGCCTTGACATTGGCAGCAACTGTATTCCGATAGACCTGGAAGACGGAGACGACGATGATCGGGCATTCTGACAGGACCTTGAACGACTGCATACCCTTAAGCAATAGTCTGTTCTGTTGTGACGGGTCCGGTCCGAGGTCTGTGACTGATGCCACGGGCGAGCCGGGTCGAGGAGATTGGAAATTCGTCTGTGAGCTTCCGGGAGTTGATGGCGCACCGGTGCTCGCCGTTGTCGAAAGAGATGTGTTGTCCAACTGCTCGCGGACGACCTTCTCCATTTGCTCAAACAGCTCCTGAATGAGGTTCAGGAAGGCCTGGACTTTGCTGCCCAAGACCTTATGCTGATGGCGCATGACATCAGAGATGATCTTGACGCACAGAGTCGCATTTTCCTCGTTGTCCGTCCGCACCAGTTGCATCAGCAAGTCGACGACTTCTTCGGCGAAGGGTTCGAATGGCTCGACTGGGTTAGGCGTCGTCGGCAGTCGGTGGAGGATCTCGAGGATGCAATTGCGGAGTTTCTTGGTCAATGTCAGCGTAGGTCGCACCGCTAGCGTTACACAGCAGCTTACCTGCTCCGGAGAGTTGCTTTGGAAGATGCATGGTCCTCTGAGGGTGTTGATGAAGATGGGGACGACCTTCTTTAGGAAGGGTGCGTAGATCGGACCGGTCGTGTAGTGATCTAAGCTGTCGCGTAAGGTAGTCGCCGCTTCTACCTTTACTCTAGCATCTACCCGAGCGATATGTCAGCGAGAATCCTGATGGAAGTGATGCGCCCTGCCCACGGCGGGGTCAAGAGTCCAGATGCAGCATCGCGGGGATGTGCGACGAGAGGGGCGGCCGGATCGTACCAATTTCGGGGGAGCTGAGCCGCTTGACGATATCATCGATTGTTGTGCTTGACATCGCGGCGTCAATGGCCCCTTCGGGACGCGTGATTCGTTCCCATGCGTGGGAGGGGAGGTATGGAGGGTCGGTCGTGTCGCAGCGAGGCTGAAAGTTCGTGATGCGCGCGCCGGGATTCTGGAGGGGTATCCGATGGGGTATGGGTTGAAGGAGAAAGAAATAAAATCAAAAGTCGCTTTGGAAAAGAAGACAATGAATTAATCGGAGTTCGGTGTTGCCTGCAGCTGCCTGTGGAGTTTCGTAGTGGTTGGGCAACCCAAAATCCCAATCGTTCTTCAAGGTCGCGGCAGCTTGTCTTAATTGGATTTTACGCTCCAGGCTCGACCGAACGTGAAATTTCCCAAGGCCGTCGCGAAGCTGGGGGCAGCAGCCGCCAAATCATTTGGCGCTAGGGCTTGCAAGAATAATGATCCGGCCCAAGGTACCCACTCGGAGCGCGTCCGGGCCGCGACGGCCAATGCTTATCGGCTTATCAGCATCTGGGGGAGCTCGTGTGGAGGCCGGGAATCCGGAGGTGGGCCGGAGCTGCACTTCACTCTTCGGCCACCCCCGGCTTGTCTAACCTCCTTTGTTCTTTGTGTATTGCTTGCATGTTTGGGTTCATTTCACAGCTTGAGATTTTACAAGCCGATTTCATTCAACAAAGATCCAGGCAGATTACTACGTAAATTCATGCAGATTTCTGATCGTTTGCTTTGTAGGCAACTACGTCAAGAGTCTTGATAACTCAGATAACGAGTGAGTAATACGTGCATCTTCCGGAACCATCTTCTTCGCTTTGGATTGACGGACTGAGCTTATAAAAGTCAAATAATTCCTCTCCAGATCTATCATCTGAGCCACACCTTCTACAGACAGGATTATCACCACTTCAACTCATCACAGCAGCACACTCTCATCATATCACCATATTCAAGCACACCAAGCTCATTCAAGATGAGTGGCGATCACACGGCCTTCTTCTACGGTAAGTGTTTCCCATCCTTCTCTGCTCCGATGAGGCAATGAACTAACACATCGAACAGGCACCTTGGTCAGTGACCATCCCGTGTGACTAGGCGAGGTCTTCATTGAATCTAGCTAACGCTCCCTCCAGATGGAGCCCTCGGTCTTCTTCACGGTGACACAGGGCAACGGCAAGCCTGTCCAGGTCATCAAGGACTTGTACACCTTCACCCCGGCCGTCCTGAACGACCACACCCGCCATCGCGTCAACTACGCCGACTACCCCGGCATGATCCCCGAGAAGGGCGGTTCGGTGCTCGGCGTCTACGCGACGGGACTCACGGACGCCAACGTGTCGAAGCTCGACTTCTTTGAGGGACCGGAGTACAGCAAGAAGGTCGTCACCGTCAAGGTCCGCGGCGAGGACGGCAAGGAGGAGGACAAGCAGGCCACGGCGTACATCTACAAGTTCCCGGACAACCTGGAGCGGGTCGAGTGGTCCTTTGAGGAGTTCCGCCGGGACAAGTTGCATGCTTGGACGCGCGAGGACTACGTCTTTGAGGGTGAGACATACCATTTCTTTTCTTCCCATCACCTTGATTTGCTTCTTCTCAAAATCCGAGGGGTTGGGCGGGGAGGGTTTGCTGGCCAATCTTGGGACTTTTGTAGACGCCGTTTGCTAACAGATGTTTTCGAATTCGAAGGCTGCGACGACTATGCAGAGTTTGAGAAAATAGAACACGAAGCTGCACAGGGCCAAGACGAGCAGGAGAAGGCGGCCAAGCAAGCCGCTGCTTAGAAAAGACGGTGTTAGAGAGCATGACCGGTTTTTCCCCCATTGGCGGCAAACGGGATTCTCTGATGGGTTCTCAGCAGTCAGGCGGCAGCTGCAGGTCTGCGACTGGGCCGTAGGGCGGTGTGAGGCAACATGCTGTCAGCACCACGCCTTCCTGAGTTATTGGAGAACAGCTGCCGCCGGCTCGACCACCAAGGATGGGGAATTATGACGCTGCAGATAGATGAAACATGGAGCGCGAAGTTCAGCGCAAATAGATCACGATACCTACATTCCATGCCTGACGACTGCCGCCACATGCAGCCTGCTCGCGCGGGGCTTCGAATTGCGTAGACCCTAGACAGTGATAGTGATAGCAATGTGATGTTGTTGACCATATCGTCGTCATCGTCGTCGTCTCCTGGCCGAATGGGGCGCCAATGCAACCGTTCAAGGGGATGGATTGCGAATCGCGGGGCTGCCCATGGTAGTGACTAAGGCGGCAACAAGATGTGGACTAATACCCGCTGGCCAGGCAGAATACTGTAAGTGGTTCAAGCTTATGCAAGCTTGTTGAGTGGTCAGCCCAAGCTTATTGATCTTGTTGAGTTGAGCGGCTGAAAATCATGCGATGGAGCGAAGCGCGGCCACCGAAAGGAGCAGCTAGCACGACAGCAAACACCGGCGCATCGTGAGGGCGTGTAAAGTGCCCCCTCGTGAACAATGCTGGCCCACGTTGTGGCCACTGGGACGGCATGGAATGCCGGTCGCGGCTGACTCTTCAGCGCGGGAATCCAGCTGAGCAAGGATGACAGCCCAGAGGCATCCGATGTAGTCTATATCGGTGTTCTCTGTTGAACAGGAGGGGGAAAACCCGGTTCAACCACGGAAGGTATCCCTCTCGGGGAACACGATGTACGACTCACGAGCCACTGTGGCTCCGGTGTTCAACACGAGGTCTGTGATCCCGGCAGGCAAGAAAGGAACATTATTCGTACTAGCCACAAGCTGTGGTCGGAAAGTGGCACCAGACAGGGGCGATTGCGGTGGCGTCAGCTGGGAAATATTCGGATTTGGCTGTGGCTCAGAGGCGATCATTCATGCTGAGGCGCCGGAAATGGTGGTTGCTAGGATCCCCCGAGGTTATATCTGTGGCTTCCATGGCTTTAAAACGGTCTCGAGGAGGGAAGCTGGGAATTAGCCAGGGGCGCGGACCAAGGCCACAAGTTCATGTCGGGGAATTCATGCGGCGCGGGAACGGTGTCGTTTCGTAGCCGGTACGGCGTCGGGCTGTGTTGTCTGGCGGACGATCGGTGTCGCGAGTACGAGACTCGGTTCTACCAGATCGTCTGAAGGTGAAGGAGATGTCTCTCTGCACGTTCTGCGCCCCCCTCGGATCGCCAACCAAAACCGCGCTTGTCGACAAGTGCTCAATGCTCCAACCAGCAGCTGCGCTTGCGTCTGCGTCTGCGTCCTTCAGGGGAGGCAGCAACACAGACGCTGACGAGCCAAAATCGCTGCAGACGAGGGATTTCTTGATCGTCTTCGGACGATTAAACTGGACCGGGCCTAGGATACAGATTAAGATGGACAGACACAGGGTGAGGGAGTACGTAGTGTAGGCCGCGGCGCCGCGTCTCCCCGTGATGCTGAACCCAAGTCAAGTCCAAGTCCAGTGTCTCCTCGGTTCTTTCTCCTCGATGAGCCGCTTTCGCGAGCCCTGTGAGCCCACTCGGCCGTGGAGTCCGGGCCACTTCCATCCGGTCATTGGAAGGTGGGAACGGGGTGGCGATCAGCAACGTGACAGTGGACAACAGCCGGCAGAGGGCTCCCATTGCGGTCGGGCAAAGGCCGCGAAAAAGGGCCGGGGTAGGGTTCAGAACGCTACGCTGGCCGTGGGCTATGGGCCGTGGGCTTTGGGCTTCTGGGGTGATGGAACGTGCCAGAGTGACAGCCGGATGGCCAGGGCAGGCCGCGTCGCTGGTCGCAGAAGCAGGCAACGTCGGGCGTGGTGGCCCCGGTGCAAGCAAGAAGCAAGGTAAGACTCATCAATCAAGCCTGAGCTTTTTCGCTTGTCGCTTGTCGAAGAGCTATGGCGCGCACTTGTCGTCGTCCCGTGGCTGTCATTCGACTTGACTGACGACTGACTGGCCAACGACAAGGTAACCCGGGGGAATAAGCGTTGACATCTGTGACAGGTTCTCAGCTTCGACGACATTCCCGCCGTCATCCAGCGCGCTTACCCCAAACGCTTTGGCGGACGAGGGGTGTCGTTGTGACGACTGCGTGGTGGACAAAGAACAATGACTGGTCCCGACTGTCTTGGAACATTGTGAATCGACACGCCATGACTCTGGACGGCGGGAACGGAATGGGCAAGGCAGGGCATGGCACCACGGCGTGGCCTCCGCTTCCCGCTTCCCGCGATGATGTGGTGGTCTGAAAGTGTATCCGTACAGGAAACAAACGGGCGAAAAAGCTTAGCTTCTTCGAGCAGGAGCCATATGATCCCTTCAACGACACAGTTGCCAGGTGATAAAAGGTGACGACTATTGGTGTTTGATTCGCTGTCAGTTGTTCGCAGACAGAAAGCTCAATGTCCGAAAGGGGAAGAGGCGAACTTGGGGGTCGTGAAACTGCCTCTGTTTCACATTCCTCGCTTCTGCGCAGGGGGGGCTCTTTTCCAGCTCCAGCAGTTCCATCAGTTCCAGCTGCTGCAAAAATGGTTCCCCATCAGCGCAACGTAGCATGTGCGCCAGTCAATTCAGGGCTCCCTCAGAGATTGACGACAGCGGAAAATGCGCTCGTTTGTGGGCAGGCACGAGGGCTTCCAATCGTGGGATGGGGGCCGGGTGAACCCCCTGACAAGCGAGGAAAGAAATCCCCGTCGCGAATCCCCCCTGGCACCTGCACCTGCACTTGCATTTGGGCATCTGGTCAAAATCCCCGCTAGGCCCCTCCGATTCAGCGGGGAACCAGATGGCCAGAAGCAGGGGCATAGCAGGAGGGTAGCAGTGTCAGGGGAGAGAACGCTGGCCTGTGTGCCTGTGTCCCTGAACATCGACATGTGAGGTCTCGGCACTGGGAGAGAAGAAAAGAATGATAGGCAAACATTGAAGTGGCGCGTCCAATGAGTGACTGTCGCGATCCTCGTCGTTCCTTTTTCTTCATCGTCGTCGGTGGAGAGGACCGTTGATCTGTTCAAAAGGCCCACATCTCACCGTCCTGCGCCGACCGAACTCCGGCATGCACGACGTTGACCGTCTCCACTATCAGCCGGTTGGTGGACTGCGAGGTACACTGCCACCACGGTATGGCCGGAAAGTGACTTATGACGTGTTAAGGTCGTTCTTTTTAGGTAGGTGCGCCACGAGGAACAGCAGCGCAACATCGCCAACAGCCGCAATAAAACGGTGGACACACACGATAGCCACAGCGGTACTCCCTCCTCCCACTTACCTTTTTTGCCATGCCATATGGATATCACCACAACCCACAAGCCTGCTGTCAGTTCAGGACCAGGGCGGGTATTATACCGAGGTCGATTTTGGGCTGAGTTCGCCATCCGGAGGCACTGACTGAGGATCCCGTAAATTGAGTGTAGGGTACGGATACCACTTAATTTTTCTGCTTCTATTTTCAACGGGGATCACCCATCACTGACTCGGGACAATCTTGTCGATCAACGTGTTAAAGCATTTTTGTTCATGGCTTGGCTGGGTATGTCGAGTGACAATAGACAATGCGCACAACGGAGGAAGGGATAAGGCCTTTACGAACAGTGACAGTGACAGTCGCACATTCTTTTGCGAACACCTGGCCGTCGATCTGATGTCTCTCAGCATCTGTACTCTGTAATGCGTATCCGTATGCCGTCCCTCGGTGTGCGTCGGTGAAGCTGAGCTGGCAAAGGTGGGCGCCCGTGCCAACTGGACGTTTCCCATTCCAGTCTCACCGTCACCGGCTCGACATGCCCGTTGCAAATGTCTCGCTTTCGGATGCATTGTCTGTTTTGCCGCCCAATTTTTGTTTCTTCTTTTTTTCGCCATCCTTAGTTTAAGACAAAATTTAATGGATCAAACGGTGGACTGATGATCCAGAAAAACAAGTGCCGCCCGGGCTCTGAGTCTGGAAAAGGAATGCTATGGAACTTGGAAGCCCGTACTTCGTACGCTATGGGACGCATCCAGCATCCAGCATCGCGAATCGACTGTGCCACCTGTGCCCCTTTCTTGCCTTGCGCTCTCTCCGTCCCCTGTTTTTCGAATGCTGGCCTTGCCGAAAGCCGTGGGACTGTCGAAAAAACAAGGACCCCTGCTCATCGTCGACCCTCTTTCCGCCCACAAGTCCGATCCCTGACCCTGACCATTTTCTTCTCTCTTCAACTCATTGGGCTGGATGAACGGGAGAGGCTTCACAGCGCGACAGCGGCGGCGACACCATCAAAGTCCAGTCCCCAGTCGTTCCCGGGCTTATTCCGCCCCCTAGGAGGTTAGCAGTCGGCGTAAGGAACGACCACCTCACGCTAAACCCCTGGATTCAGCGGTCGCCTAGGGGTCTCGCGGAGCAAGGATTTTTGGGACTTCACACGAGGAGCGCCGTCCGAAGAGGCAGGCAGGTCATTAACCAATGTGGTGAGGCAGGGTTGCGCCGCAGCGTGACGTATCCTGTTGCGAGGGTAGGTGAGGGATCTTAGTGGCCGCCACCGAGGCCTTGAGCGAGGGCCGCGATAGTTGGCGACCTCTCGGTTTCCAAATCCAAGGATCGATCTGCCCTGATTGGAGGCCGCCTGTTACCAGATACGGGAGACGATCTGGAATGGCCTGGGCTGCTGAGCCGATGAGGCTTTCGCCATTCGTGTGTTGATATGCCATTTTCTGACTTTGGGTCCAGTCTGTGCATACGGCCAGCCCGTCGTCAGTCATGTCAGTCAGTCAGTCAGTCAGTGTCAGTCAGCAGCATCTGTCTTCTGTCTGCCAGAAAAAGTAAATCTCCATTTAGCTTGGCGAGGCAACTCGCCTATTATCCGTGGGTACATATTCGTAGTAGAGTGGGCTAGAGGACGGGATGACTGCAGTTGTATCCGTACCTCGCCTCTTCTATTCTAGACTCGGATGGTCAGAAAGGGTGGTATGCGTATGTGCAAAGCCTTACATGATAGTACCTTAGTATGGACGAATGCCTGGGTTTAGTAAGTAACCAGAATTAATCGGGGGCGAATCTTTTTGGTTTTTCTGCTGACCTCAGAAACCAGTCTTGGCGGCTATTTGGATATGGAAGGTATGGATGGATGGATGGATGAGCGTTTGTTTCTATCTCAGGTGTTGCAACTCACTACTGCATGTTGTGTTCGCATCCGCAGATGGTGCCTTGCAGTAGCCTCCGCCATTTGGTGCTTCTCCTGTCTTGAAAGCTGCAGCTCTCGCGCTTCAAGCCGCTATTCGCTATTTGCTGATGCTCTAGTCACGACGGGACGTGTAACTGGTAAAAGTGTGGTCTGGAAGGAGACACATGGTTGCACACATCCTCCATCTTCCTCCCGTTTCCCGTGCCCCTTTCCTGATTTGAAGGTGTACGTACCTACCTTCTGCAAGTGGCTAAGGTACAGCTTCGAGGTACGTACTGGAGGGGCAAGGAACGTGCTCCATTAGCGTCCTCCGAGCAGCGAATGAGAAGTCGTTGCTGTACAGGAGTGGTAAGAGGTACGTACTGACGTTGCCTGGTGGGTCCCTGGTCCCTCACCGCGCACTTGGTGGCTGTTCCCTGTTCTGTGGATTCTGTGGCTCCCTGGCCCCTGCCTTCTTGTCCCGGACCTCGTCCCCTCCACGTCCCTGGTACCCTGGTACCGACTAGTCCTTAGTGCTTCTTTCTCGGTGTCACTTGTCTCTCTTCCCAATTCCTCCCAGCCATTCATCCTCCTCCATCAACGACAGCTCGAAAAATTCCTCTCCAATCCCTCCCTATACCACATAATCTTTGGTCCACAGATGCTTCCTCCCTCTCCCCCGCCTTTGGCTGTCCTTGGCTTCCTCCTTAGACCACCTGCAGTCTAGTCAGGGGCATCCACCTCTGGAAAAACACGCAAGATGCGCCTCTCTGCAAGGTCCCCGTCCCTCCTAGTTCCGTAAGATCCTTACGGTCCAGGAACCTGACATGGCATGCCTTACGCCGGTTTTCCATGTACCTCAACCGCAGTCGCCCACAGCCAGACAACTGCCAGATGCCATGCCCGATCATCCCTACTCACCCCTGCCTGCTCACCCAAATGTTTAGTCTGGTCTTTTTGTGCCATGTCGAAACAAGCCGAGGGGCTCCTCTCCCGCCTATCACAGCCTCGAGCCCATGCCTCTCCTTCTTCAACGGCTGGCCCCTGTCCCCCTCGGTCGATCCACCACGCCTCGAATCCCTATGGGCTTCTGACCGTGACTGGGCTTGACTGGCCGACTTGCTCAACGCCTGGCTAAAAGAGCGCCATGTCTCTCCCGTCCCAAGTGGACCAACCTATCCAGCTCTACAGAGTACATCCTCCGGTCCGACCTCTAGTCTATCCTTCTCCAATCGTCCTGGGATTACCGCCCTTCTCTGCAGCCGCGCTACTTTCTTTTTGCCTCTCCTTTCCATTTTCATCTCTAGTCACTCTCTAAGCTCGGCATATTCTGCCCGTGGGCCTGGCCTGTCACTACTCTATACATCCCCATCGTATCTTTTCAGCTCTGCCTTCTTGGTATTATAAGACCCGGGCCTCGTCCTACCTCGAGACACTCTTTTTCTCTTCATCCTCTTGGACCATCACGTCTTCTCACCTTCTCTGGGCTTGGAACAAGTTTGTCGTTTCGACATCTTACCTTCTCTCATCTATCATTCAACAAGGCTAGTCCTTACTTTTTTCAACTTTCCATCAAATCAACCCAACTCGCCTGGTGCACTACCATCCTTCACGGAACCAACAACAACGAAACGAAACTTCGAGACCCTTCGATCGACTTTTACGATTCTCAACCTTCTCTCCGGCCACTTTGAAACATCCGCAACGTCCAAGCTCCTCCAGCAGACAAAGCGAGAAGACACTGTAAGTCTACGGAATGCCGCAGCATCACCGCATCATCAAAGGGACGGCACGAGGCCTTGGCCACTTGGCTTGCTTCTATGCCTTTGTTCGACAACGCGGCCCGTCGTTGTGCTACGCACAATGTCATTCTTCGGGATGCTCGTCGCACTAAGCTTGTTACGGTTGTGACCAGTCGCTTCGAGTCGGGCCTGTTCAGGAACATATGCGCTGTCGTCGAGAATCTGCTGGATCGATGTGAACCAAGTCAACTTGAAGCTGATTTAATTTATATAAAAGGTGTCAAGACAACCATCGACTCTGATCGACAGCAAACCAACTTACAGTCACAACGACAACCCACACTGAGACCCTATCGTCTGGAACGTTTAGATTCTCCACAACTCAACAACACTCACAATGTACGCTCAAGCTATCGTCGCCTTCGGCCTGGCCACCCTTGCCAGCGCTCACATGAAGATGAGCTCCCCTGTGCCCTACGGCAAGGCCGACCTCGACAACAGCCCCTTGGCTGGCGATGGCAGTAACTTCCCTTGCAAGCAGCGTTCTACCGTTTACGATGCTGAGGGCGCCTCCAACGTCTACGCCCAGGGAGCCGGCGGCCAGCTCGCTTTCATTGGCTCCGCCGTTCACGGAGGCGGCTCTTGCCAGGTCTCCATCACCTACGACGCCAAGCCCGACAAGAACAGCGTCTGGAAGGTCATCAAGTCCATCGAGGGAGGCTGCCCTGCCAAGAACGCAGCGGGTAACCTCGGAGACAACGCCAACCAGGAGGGCCCGGACAAGTACGACTTCACAATCCCCAAGGACATGCCCGCGGGCAACGGTACCATCGCCTGGACTTGGTTCAACAAGGTCGGCAACCGCGAGATGTACATGAACTGCGGCCCGGTTACCATCACCGGTGACGCCGGCTCGCAGACCGCCTACGAAGCCCTCCCCGACATGTTCACTGCCAACCTCAGCCCTGACTGCCAGACCGTAGCCGACAAAGACCTACAGTTCCCCAACCCTGGAACTGGAGCAGCACTCGACAGGTTCGGCGACTCCAAGAATCTCCAAGGCCCCGAGGGTAAGGGCTGCGCTACTGGCGGCGGCTCTGGTGGTGGCAACACTGGCTCTCCCGCTCCCAGCAACACCGCAGGCAACGGTGGAGGCCAGGCTACTTCTGCTCCGGCTGCTTCTCAGCCTGCGGCCACCAAGAGCGCTTCCATTCCCGGTGGGGTTTTCATCACTGTTCCTGCTGCCACTGCCACTGCCTCTGCCTCTGCCTCTGCCTCAGCCTCAGCCTCTGCCTCAGCCTCAGCCTCCCAGGCTCCTGTTGCTACCGCCCAGCCCAGCGCCGCTCCCTCAACTGGCACTGGCTCTGGTTCCGGCTCTGGCAACGGTACCGTCGCCGGTGCCCAGACCGTCGGCGCCGCCTGCACCGACGAGGGAGCGTGGAACTGCATTGGTGGTTCTTCTTACCAGCGCTGCGCCAGTGGTGCCTGGTCCGCTGTCCAGCAGCTGGCCTCCGGCACCTCTTGCACTGCTGGCATGGGCTCCTCTATCAACATGGTTGTGACCAGAAACGGTCGCAAGCGTGCCCTTCGCTTCCGTTCTCACGCCTAAGCTGGTCGATGGCGTACACTCTTTTATGAACGGTTTGGCATTTTATTGGATATGATACCTCGGGATACATTGGACACTTTCATGAGCAACATACAGCCTACGGCACAAAGACTCGCGGCGTTCTGTTTTCTTCTCGGACATTTACGATTTTTCTGTATATACCTTGTACACATTTTCTGTTTTTGCATGCCCCCAAAAGGCTAGATGTTTGTTTGGATCGGCAATGGAAAAGAAGCATGAGATCATCAATAGCAATTAGCATTACGACCACTGAGACTCGCTTTCTCGTCTGAATGCATGTGACATTAAACGTGAGAAGGATTTTCCCCGGAGGACTGATGTTTTCAAAACGAGCTGAGCTCTCTCACCTGCCACACTCCCGCCAAAGCTCCCCTTTCAAAACCCTCATATCTAGCCAAAGCGCGGCAGGGCCAGCCACTGAGGGTTCAGAGCTTCACTGTCCGAAGTGGCCACTCTGACACATCACCGTGAAGGTCGACGGGGAGGTCCCTGGTGATGGCCCTCAAGACCTCGTGGGGTTCGAAGGCTGGACAGGGAGCTTGACATAACTTCAACCTTACTCGGGGAACTCTGGGGTGGCAACTACCAGAAACGTGTGAGGGTGCGAAGCCGCACGAGAGCCGTTCCTTGTCGAGCTGAAGGGCATGACACACGCTACATCAGACGAAGAGATTTCTTCGCACGGACGCTGATCGACACAATTCAGGAAACGTGAATGTGGGAGGTACGTAGACGCAAAGTGCGATATTGTTTTGTTTGCCGTTTCCCATCATGTACGACTGACTCGAACTTTCAGATGCGCATTTACAACCTCTGTCGGTTGTTGGAGTCCATCCTCAGTCCTATCCATCATCTCACTGATTTACATCAAGCCCCATTTCGCCATCCCTGTCCTTCGTGAGCCCAATATGATCCGAACGCCATGTGTAGTCCAAAATGTCGATGATGTAGCCGCCCACTGTCTGGCCTCGATGTGTTTCGTCGGATCTCGCTTTCGCAACGCTCATAACCACGTATCCCCGCGCCGTGGCTTCCTGCGGCCCAGAACCCGCCTGGCGAGCCCCGTTCTCGGTTCCGTATCGCCCTTCTTCAACGCCGACAGTTTCACCCGCACGACAAAGGGGTCCATTTCGATGCCTACGTGCGCGTGCCCGTCGTCGCCGACGTATCGTCCGAAGCTGAAGGTCGTCGCCTCAAGGCTGTTCGGTCCGTCGTACTCCCGCAGCATCCTGCTGGGCGCGACGTAGGCGAGCAGGGAGCCGATGGTCGTCGGGAGGCGCGGTAGGAAGTGGTTGATCGAACCGCCATAGAGTGCGATGGCCACGATGATGTTGAGACCCAACACTGTCACGCTGATGGCGAGCGCGACGTCGTCCATGAAGATGCGAGTGTCAGAGCTGCGGCGGGTCCCGGTGATCGTGACGGGCTCGGTGAAATTGTTAAACCACTCCGGTTTCTGGCTGAGCAAGAGGGCGTAGAGCTGGCGGTAGGTGAATTCGATGGGAGGGAGGAGGGCAGTGGTGTTCGGGGTCGAGAGCGGTTGGAGGATGTCGGCGGTTTCCGGTCGTATCTTGAGCAAATAGTTCATCCAATCGCTTGCGTAGGTGTTGTTGTGCCAATGTATTCTCGCATTATCGCGGACGAGGTTGTTGAGATAGATCGATATCACGTCGGTGTTGTTGGTCGTGAGGGGATCATCGAGCCTGGTCGACGGTTCGGATGCTTGAACGGCGTTGAGAACGTAGCCATCGGTGTCTACAGTGACGTCAAACATGCTCGTGGTGAAGATCGGTTCGCAGACAATGGACCAAGTCTCCATCGTGCTCTCATTCTTTCGTCTTATGTCTGGGCTTCTAAACCAGCTGAAAACGAGCGGTACCTGGCAGGGCGACAGTGGCCCTTGACCGGAGAACACTTTCACGGCCTCGGCAGTGCTTGGCCCGAATGGATCGACTGGATACAGGGTTCTGTCCAGGTTCAGTTCATCCATTTGAATGGTGCTGGAACAGTTCGACACGCCTTCCCGGGCGATCGTGTAGTTCATCACGGGAGCGAAGACTTTACTCTTCATCATGTCCATAGCGGAGCAGGAAGGCACCACTCCGAATCCTCTGGTTCGAGCTGTAAACGATTCTGTTCTACTTAGCTCGTCCGAAATGGCCGAGAACGGTTGGAAGTAGTACTCGTGGTTGACCCAAGGTGGGAGGGGAGTCCCTTGCGACAAATTGTTCATCGCTATCCAGAATGGCACCTCGTAAGTGATGACGTTTGCGCTGAAAAATCGCCAAGATTCGTGGCTCAGGATTGAGTCATTGTTGAAAGTCGGCTTCATCCTTTGGCGAAAATCGCAGGAAGTGTTGACAGTGATCGGGCGTTCGTTGAAAAGACCACCGAGGCCAACAGCGAGAAGATTCGAAAGAAGAGCCACCAGGCAGATTGCGACAAGAACAATGTGGCCCGACTTCGCTGCTCGCCAGAGTACGAATTGTGGGGGTACGGATGTATACCTGGAGTTGATAGAGCCTTTGCCGGGTCGTTGACCAGACCATAGGTCTCGAAAAGGTTGAAGGATGCAAAGAAGTCGATTGACCAATACCCAAAATGGTTCTAACAATGTTGCGAAGATGGTAGGGATGTAGTTCTCAAGGATCTGAAGAACTTCGAAGTTCGTTGTTGGTCGGAGGAGACCTACAGATAATCAGCCAAACTTCAACAATATCTTACCGATGTTCTCACCGTCGATGCGACGCTCCACCATTTTCAGGTACACAAGTGCAACGACTGCTCCAACCATGGACAATGTCACTGCAGCGCCAACCTCTCGTCGCAAAGCCAAGGGTTTGTAGGGCGAATAATGCCCCATTGAATAGGCAGAATCGGCATCGGGTAGGCTGATGCGCTGACTTTCGACAAACTCGGCCCTACTGTCGACGACTTGGATGACTGTTTGCCCAGAACGACTCTGGCAACCGCACGAGAGGTAGAGCATGGTACCGTCGAAGGAATCTCGAAGCTTCTCGTCGGTGAAGCATCCCATTCCGGTGAACTTATCCAGTAGCACAGAACTATTTTGGCAAATGCTGATGAGCGATCCCAACGAAGCTGGATCCATCGAGAGTCGACTTGGTGCCCTTTTGCCATGCCACCACAAAAGCACGGAGAACAGCCCAACCACAGCTAACAAGCCCTCCACCACCGCAGAGTATAGACGACTGACAATGATTCCATACTGCTCAAATTCCATGGTGCCCGGGGTCGTGCTTTCTTCTGAGGCGTTGAGCATACGACGGAATGCGAGAGAAAAAAGTAGCTGGTGCGTCATGTTATAAGCTTGGCCCATTAAAGTCTCGTTTCGGAATACATCAAGCGTTGTGATGTTATGTGTCTTCCAGGCCAAACCTATGGCAAAACCCACGAGCGGCGATGAAGGCCAATCAAGCCCAAAATGTCCAATCTGATAATGTTGCTCGAGTAAGTGGTTGAAAGGAAGATCTCGTTGGACAGAAATCTCGACAGGCGAAACCCCGGCGCCAAGGAGATGTTCGAATGAAGATGAGTTGAACTCAGTCGGCAAGAGCTTTTCCCTGGGACCTGTCGGAACAACGCTGCCCTCGACTGGCTCCTTGGTACTCGCGGAAACGGTGGCATTGACCTGCTGTTTGAAGTAGTTTGTCTCGCAGAAAGCCCCAACAACCTCCCGCTCGGTCTCATAACGAGCCCATACAGCCAAGAACTGATGTATCGTAGACTTGGAGCACGCCATGGACAACCAGTAATCAGCCCAGTCGCTAGGATGGTAGCCGAAGTACTGCATCTTGAAAGGCGCGCCGGGAACAGGGTTGACGTTCAAAGCAGGAACCTCGCTGGCGTTGCAGCCACGACCGTCAAGGAAGTCGTAATCCGGCTTGTTGTAAAAAGATGCGGCTGGCCAACACTCAAGTTCGGTCCAGTACTTGACTGTAGATCCCGTCCAGTTGGTCAATCTGGCCTGAGATGTGTCGCTTTCCACCGCAAATGGTAAAAGTGTGTACTCGGAAGTGGTGAAAGGAGGTAGAGACTGCTTCAACCAGGTGATGGCATAGCCTTCGTTGAGTATGGACTGGTCCATCGAGTATACCTGTTCAGATCCGGGGAGAGTTGCTTGGGAGCTAGACACGATGACCTCCCTTCGAACGTTGACTGGTCCACTGCCGAGTATTGCACTCTGAAGCGGAGTTATCAACCAGAAGATTATGACCATCACCAACCCACTGTAGAAGACAGCCCAGTGACTAATTTGCGTCAGCGATGCTAAGAGACGTAAACACATACTCCCTACCGTCTCCTAGCCGCCTTGATGGGCGCAAAGGCAACGAAGTCGTACGGATAATCTAAGAAGATCGATCGCATTGCCGTGGCGCCCTCCGGTCGTGACATTTCCAGCCATGGCTGGATCCGCTTTACATCCAAGTCGATCCAACTCCATAGCAAGCTGTATATGACGGCAACAATCGTGGGTAAGAAAAGATAGGCGAACTTCGCGTAACTGGGGATGTCGTCTAGCGTGGGAGAAAGGGCAAGTCCCCCGTTCTTCTTGCTTTGCTGTGCCAGAATTTCGATGATGACGGCTAATGTGAAGGACGCGAGAGCGAAGCAGAAAAGTACCGACGCGCTTAGAGTTAGCGGCTTCCATCCGTGTTTGTGTCCTGTTGGAAGTGTCAGCCGTTTTGACTCGAAATGCCTCCCCTATCGAAGCCAAGTATGACCTTTGTCAAGACTGCACTGCTTGTCTTTGGATTGAAGCCAAACAAACGAATCCATTAGGTTCTTCTTCTCATCTCCAGATCCATCTTGGTTCCCGAGAAGCTGTGCCTCGCGGACCACGGGCGACTTGAAGCCCATTGGCCCAAAGAAAGGAAACCGCACGCTTGATAATCTGCGTTCAAGTAAAAAAAAAAGTCTGGCTAGAGAGCCCGACCGAAAGAACCGAGCACACCTGTTATCAAAAACAACAGTGGAAATGTGGGAGCCAGCCACGCCCAACAAAGGACATGGATGACAGAAAGGAGACAAGAGAGGATGAATGGGATCGAAGACACACAGACACCAGATTTGGGAGATTGACCTCCTTAAGGGAGAGCACAAGCAGTCCTCCGTACCGACAACACGGGACGTCGAAACAAACCAGGAGTTGCGAACCCGGTCCCAACAGCATTGTTCAGCGCGGCTACTCGCCGATTTGCGTTATTCCGCCGCCTCACCATGCCGTTTCGGTAACCCAGTGACACCCCGCGCCAACGCGAGGTTACTTCGACTTGGCTTCCTGCAGTGGCTTGGTGTTGGCGTGGGCCGCGGGTAGGGGCCCCGAGGAATGAGAGGTTGTCGCTAAGCGCCCAAGATGATGATGATCGAAGGGGCGGGCCGGGCGGAGAGAGACCCAACCAACAACAACTTCGCCATCTGGGCGTTGCATAGACATAACTTCTCCAGCAAAACTGATTCGGAGGAGGAGATGTCCGGATATTTTTCTTCTCTTTGTTTTCTCATGGACATGTTGTTGCGTTGAAACCATCAGGGCCAGATGTGAAGAGAAGAGCACCCTCACAATCACATTCGGGGGCGATGAGGATTAGCCGCCGGGCGGTGTCCTCCGATTGGACTGCGGCCGGATTTATGGACCTTTTTGCGGACCCGTCGGGAGCTCCACAACGCCTTAATTTAGACAACCAGAACCACTTCGCCACCAACGACATTCCCTCCTCCACCAACTTACACAAATCAGTGTCTTCAGTTTCTTGAAGCTTCCCGTGCACTGTTTCCGCCGCTGCTATCACCAAGTCATCGGGTTCAGTAGGTATGGAATTTTACAAAATTATGAATGCATAGGACGCTGCGGGGTCAAACTGACCTGGGCTGTCGACGCCGCAGAGGTGCAGCGCCTATCAAACCAGTGGCGGTCCCATGACCGGCCAGACAATCAGACACTCAATGTGCTGATGTTGGTCGAGCAAAGGCCACGATTGCCACTGTTTGCTCCCGATCCCGAGGATATCTAGGGAAATTCGAAATCAACCCCAGACAGCGGATTCACATACTGCAGTCACCAAGTCCACGTTCTGTCCAGCAGGAAGCCGCCATGAGAAGTGCCACTGTCAAAAATCCGTCGAATAACTCAGGTATTTAGGTGCTGTAGCCTGAGTTGTGCGTGTATTGCTGCATTATGAAAACGTTGGCTTCTGCTTACTGTCAGTTTCTTTCTCTCCTGTCTGAAGTTGTGTTCTACAATTTTGCAGCATTTTGAACAAGCGTCAGATAAACAGAGAAGATTGAAAACCATCGAGAGTGGTACCGACAGAAGAAACCAGCTGCCATGGTATTCCGGACAATAAGTCTACATCTACACACCTCCTGGCTATCATCATCCGCGACGGCCTCCTGCGGAACTTCGTCAAGCACCGTTCACCCCGTGCCCGTTCGCTTTCCGGTAGTGCTGCGTAAAGTCATACCTCACATTCAAACCCCCCTTCATCAACTCCCGCATGAAGCCCTCGTCCTTCTGGGCCCGCTGGCACATCTGCATAAACTCGTCCCTCTCCACTCTCGTGTCCGGATCCGAGTCCGACACTCTCCGGAAGTTCTCCTGTGAGATCGGATCAATCACCGTCCTCCACTTTTCCCTCCTCCGCTCGCAGTATAAGTCCAAAATCCCCTCGTCCGCAACCCCGTCCCAGATGCCCGCCAGACAGTCATACAACCCGCCAACGTCCACGAACCCGCCCGTGATGCCCAGCCCGCCCCAGGGGTTACACAGATGCGCCGCGTCCGCCGCCAGCACCACCCTGCCGACCCGGAACCGCGGCGCGCAGCGCTGGTGCATGCGGTACGGCGCGAAGTTGACGACCTCGTACTCCCCCGGCCCCGGGTGCCCCGGAAGCATGGTCCTGAACTTGTCCTCGAGGCGCGCTCTGAGCTCGTCGTGCGAGAGGTTGGGCTGCTCGCCGTAGGTCACGCGGTAGAGCCCGTCGTTCGTGATCTTGGCCGCCATGAAGAAGTGCTCCGGGTGGATGATGAAGTTGGCGTCCTGCCAGCCGAACTTGCCCTCGAAGTCGTAGTACGTGTTGGTCGCCACGATCTGCGTGCCCCACGTAAAGCCCGGGTACTCGTCCCCGAAGAGCCCCTTCCGGACGGCGCTGTTGGCGCCGTCGCATCCGACGACGTAGTCGGCCTCGATCCGCTTGCTTCCCTGCGGGGTCTCGACGTCGACCCAGGCCCGGTCCTCGTCCTGGCCCAGGCCGACGACGCGGTGCTCCCAGCTGATGGTGCCTTCGTACTTCTGCAGGAACTCGTCGAGCATCAGCTGGTCCAGGTCTTGGAGGACGAGGCACGCGGGCCTGAGGTCCTGGCCGTCGACGTCGGAGAGCACACCGGCGTCGAAGCCGGTGATGGAGCTGTGGTCTTCAAAGCGACGCCAGACGAAGGTGGTTATCGACATGCCGCGGCGTCGGATCTCGTCCAGGACCCCCGCTCGCCTCAGTTCCGGGATCGCGGCCGGTCCGTAGTGGGCCGCGCGCGGTTGCTGGTCGAGGTGGTCCTGGGCCTCGAGGATCTGAACGGGGATGCCGTGCTTGGAAAGCAACAGCGCCAGGAGCAGGCCCGAAGGTCCGGCCCCGACGATCACGACCTGGCCATGTGAGAATGAGTCCTCCATTCTGAAGTCTGGTGGGGTCATACCTTTTTGAATGGACGGCTCATCTTAGCTCTTGGTGTTCACGGGCAGTTAAGCATAAAGCAAAAGCAGAGCCAGGGACTCATTCTCAAGATCCGGTCGTCGAGCCATAGATAACAGCTCGACAACAGCCGAGACCCCGCAAGAGAAACACAAACTCCCGGGGGTCAAGCATGACGGGCCATAACCCGTCGAATGCAACGGTACTTCGTTCTCCGTCGGGCATGACGAGTTGCGCGGTTCCATCCCAACTCGGGAGTCTCCATATTATCTCCATCTTCTCCAGCAAACTCCAACCCCGCAGACGTCACCAACGCGACCGGCCGAACTGCCTTCTCTTATCCCCGCAGCCAGCCCCTCATCGATCGCGGGGGTTTGGGGGTCGCGGCAGATGCATTGAGATATACCTAAGATCGGACGGCTATGGCTTTTTAGGCTTCCCATGTTATATATAGCCACTGTCGGCTTGATGTTTAAAGGGTTCTGGAAAACAACTAGTCTATGAGTATGCTGTAAAGTGTGTGTGTGTGTGTATAAGTGCCGACATGACACTACACGCATGAAATCAATGTCGTCATGTGTCACAAAATCGCCGCCCACCTGCTACTCTCGCCAGGACTGCGTTGACTTGGATAACCAACCGTCTTGGTAATTGATGACACAAGGCTTGGGACCTCGGAAACGGAAAGCTGTTCATATGCAGTTGGTACGACTTGCAGCGATTAGGACGTTTTTTTGAACGAATTCAGTCGCGGGCCGACGTGTGACTAGGTGTGACGTGCGGAGAACCTGACCCGTTCAAGCAGGTAACACTGCGCCGGCAAGCCGGATGCCGTGCCACGGTCGGCAAGAAGTCCGGGACTTTCAAGCGCCGATCCAGGGAAACAGTGAGAATGACGGGAAAGTTACACCCGACGACATACATCGAAGGTCAAATTGGGGATAAGCTCACAGCAGTTTTTGCCGAAGCTCATCGGCCGGAGACTCATCCCGACCAGTTCCACGTGCCCCGGCCAGCTCCACCGCCGGTGCCGATCGGCCCCACTACGAACCCTCCGCAAGAGCACCGGGATCGGCAAATCCTCAACTGAGGTATCATCTTTCAAGCTGTCTCAAAACCCTTCAATCAGCACTCAAAAAAGCTCAATACATTGTCGAAGTACAAGTGAGACCACCGACTCTCATCACCGCAACTCGTCGCAATCATTCAACCCCACCTACCCCGCCGACGTCCCACCACAAAATCGCTTCACGATGCCCTCACTCCACACCAGCCCACAACGTCCTCTCGCACTCACCCTCTACAACCGTCTCGAGCACCAGATGAGTCATCAACTAAGAAATGGTCTGGTGGTGTAGTTGGTTATCACGTCAGTCTAACAGGTTCCCGAGAAGACTCTCTCTCCTCGCCTGGATTCACTGAAGGTCTCCGGTTCAAGTCCGGGCTAGATCATCCAACCTTGGGCGATTGGTTTAGTGGTATAATATTCGCTTAGCATGTGAATGGTCCAGGGTTCGATTCCCTGATCGTCCATCTTTTTGGCCTTCCTGTGCTTTTGCTGTGGTTGAGGGTGAGGGTGAGGGTGAGGGTGGGTGTTGGTGATTTGATGTGGGATGGGTGGTTACGGGCTTACTTGGCATGCGGTGCTATCCGCGTGTGTTGTGGATTTCTTTTGCGGCTAGTTCTGGACTGGATGCTTGACGAGCTGTAAGAAGTGAATGAAGGTTTTGTTGGAGAGCATAGAATGACCGGCGTGTCGACATGTCGAGGTTACCGGTTCTCGTCGATTCCAGGCTTCTCCGACGCTCTTCTCTCTCGGCGCAGCGCTGGCAAAGCCTGCGAAATTCTGTGGCTAAAATAATGAACGAAACACGAGGAGAGAAACATGTCGAGAATCTATACTTCTAGAAGAGCGAAATGCATGAGGCGACGACGGAAGTGAACGCCGAACGATTTCTTTTGCCAGTCCAGTCGAGCGATGCTGATCGGGAAGCGCCTCTCGCAGTTGAATTCTCCCGAGGGAGGTCGTAGACCTTCAGTAGAAGTGGTGGCCTAGGACATTAGACTGAGCTGCTCTCTTACACACTTGTATGCGAGCTTCGCTTTGACCTTGCCAGTATTGCTAAAGTTGCTGCTACTCCGGAAGTGACCGAGTTACGGAAACGAGGGAATCGAAGAAAGCAACAACAAGCCGCTTGCTGACGCGAAAGGAAGTGAGATATCACCCATGAGAAAGAAAGCGCGAATCCAAACTAAGCAATCAACCAACGTCCCTCGCCAAGGCGTCAAGACTCGGACTTCGACAGCTGTACCGATCTCCCGGGACTCGGATTCAAGAACATCCACCTCTACCAAACCCCGGATCCAAAATACCACCGACCAAACCCGGCCAAGACGTAAGCCATCACTCATCGGCCGTCACCAGAGAAGGAGAACCGACCCGCTTAACCCGGAACACCCATCATCCATTCCCTACCGACCCGGGGGAGCCCGCGACAGGTGGTGGTGGTGACGTGCAGTGTGTTCCGACAGCAGCCCCAGCCACGGTTCTCACACGGCCAGATAGCCTCCCGAAACCGTCCCGGAGCAAGGGCCCTCGAGCGGCCTGCGTTCGAGTGTATTCTTCGTTTACCGAGCTTGCACCGAGGTCCCCCCCCCCCCCAATCCTCGCAACCCCCCACGCTCGTCTCTACGTTGGTGTCTGATCGTCATCGATGCCAAGTCCTCAACGTTACCTTAAACTTACATTTCACCGCACAAAAATAAAATCTCAACTTCTAAAAACGGTTGTAGGTAAAGATAGCTGTTCTTTCAATTGAGCAGGCCTCAGTTGTATCGTACCCCTAGAAACTCGAACCTCCCAAATAACTCCCATTCTCTCATGCTGCTGTCAGGGTAAGGGTCTCCAGGGTGTTGAACATGTGATTCTCAGAAAAATCATGCTTTATTTCTTGAGTAACAAAGCAGGAAGACACATTGTCTTGGTATCATGCCCCTTGCTTTCCGGCACGATTTCCCCACCACCCCGGAGCCATTTTTCCTATCCCGTGTCTTGTTCTGGACAAGTTGATAGATGCTTAGACAAAAGAAAAGGAATATTGTAACACAAAACCGTCGATGAGAGATGAAGATGATAAAAAAAGGTGAGTTACCAGTTAAACAATACATAAAAAAGTCTTTTCGTGACTTGACTCCTGAAACCCCTTTGGGAATATATATAATATGACATGACATCATATATACAGGCTATCTACCTAGCCAGAGAAGTGAAAGAAAATAATGTTTTTGACGGTCGGATTGGGGAGGAGTTTGAGAGAGTGAAGAGTCATGTAAAGAGAAAAGAGATGGAGGTCGACATTGTTCGAAATCTGGCTGCTTTGCTTGACTAACCCAAACTTTCGTTGTCGCAAAAGCGAAGGCATCATGCGCTCTTTTCCCTCCCAAATCTTGAGCTTTTCGTGACCTTCGGGATTAATCAACACACCCGTCACGCCCTTTTCGAGCCCACCTCTTGGGCCACAAGACCAGACCCCAACTTACGGATCGCGCTTACGAGATGGTAAGCACCATGGGACCAGCCAGGGTGATGTCATCGCTGAGCACGCCGCTCATCGGGGACTGGCTCGTGAGGGAGACATAGGTGATGCCGCTGAGACCCTGGGGAACGACGCAACCCTGCTGGGGGTTGAAGGGGCTGAAGGTGGTGCCGCCGGGCTGGAGACCACCGGTGGTGAAGGCGCAAGCCTTGGCCTGGGCGGCGTTGTCGGCCTGGAGCATGATGGGGGCACCAATGGCGACGGCGCTGGGCTGGGCGGGAGCCGTCATCGTCAACTTGGGGAAGGGCTGGAGCGCCAGGTTGGAGCCTTGAGGGCAGGAGGCGATGAAGGGCGCGGCCAGGGAGAAGACGGCACGGACGCCGAGAGGAGCATCGAACGCCTGGGGAATGGCGATCTGCTTAGAAGCAGCACGGATAAAGGTCTGGTGGCGGGCCTCGATGGTGAGGATAGATCCGGCGGTGCCGAGAATGCCCTTGTCCTTGACGAGGGGAGCAGCGCCGAGGTAGGCGGAAACACCAACGTTCTCGAGGACGGCGGCGGTCTTCACCATGGTCGCGGCGTCGGTGAAGCCAAAGTTGTACTGGCAGGGCTGGACGGGTTGAGTACCAGCCTGGGCAATAGCAGACTGCAGGAGGGAGACGTGCGACAACTCGGTGGCGCCGACTTGTTGCAGGTCGTTGACTTGCTCCTGAGAGAGACCGAGGGCCATGAAGTCCTGGGCGGGGAACTTTTGGAAGCCTTGTTGGTAGAAGGTTCCCTCGAGCCATTCCAAAGTAAGAGCGCTGTTGAGTCCGGTGTTAGTCACCCGTCTTGACGTCCTCGCATTTCTTATCCCGTCCCGGATCCACCATTGCAACTTACAATTGCAGGATATCAATATCCGTCAATCCAGCAGCGCCAGCACCGGCTTGTTGTCTCTTGGCCAAGTCGTAAATCTTGAGCTGGTCCTTGTTCAACTTGGGGCCTGCCGGCATAGCGGTGGCAACGGCAGCCAGAGCGGCAACAAAGGCGGTCTTCATGTTGAAAGGCATAGTTGTGGTTGTCGTGTGACTCTTGCAGCTCTGCTTTTCCTTCTTTTGACAAACTTGAATTCCTTTCGGTCGGCCTGTTTCTCCTGGGACGGTGATTCGGGCGGTAGTGGGGTGTCGATCGGTGCCACCTGGGACGGTCGATTGGGAGAGAGAAGAGAAAAGATTACAAGAATAATTAAATGTCGTCCGAGGGAGTGACAGTTGGTAGTAAGTGGTCTCGAAAGGGAAAGGAGGGTGTAAGCAAAACCGGTGGACCCAGGAAAGCAGACCAGCGCTTTTGGTGATAGAAGAAGACACACAGTGAACGGGATGAAGAGGAAAGGGAGAGAGGGGCAGGAGAAGCAAACGAGAGAGGGAGGGAAACAAAGTAGTTAAAGAAGGTTCACCACGACCTTCAGAGATGGATGGCTCGCAGATGCCGCATGCCGCATGGCCCTTTCGTCGCCCTTCTGGGACTCGGGAGGGGGTCGGATCGACTTGGGTCCTTGCTGGGGAGTGTCTGCGGCTAGCTTTCTTTCCGTCGTCGGTTCACACGGGAGCCCACTATGCGGGTAGCAAGATACGCTCGACCGCAAAGCTTCAGACCGGACAGGGGTACCTGCCTACCATTGGTAGACGGGGGGTTACATGATATGGAGTACAGTAAGCAGGAGGCGGCTCCTAGAGTGTGGCTGCCGCTGCTGCTATCTTACTTCAGCAGTATGTTGGTGTTGGGGTATGAGAGTATGTGCGCGTGTACGGGAAGGGGGGGATCTAGCGGAAGAGAAGAGGAAAAAGGCGTGGCAGACGGGGCCCCTTGCCAATGTCGTCAAGGGGGTGTGCATTGGTGAGAGATTCAAGGTGAAAAGTTCAGATGGCAGCAAGCCTCTGACTGCCTCCTTCCTCGGAGCAGCCAGGCACGCCAGGCACGCCAAGCACGGAATTTGCAGTGTATCCGGATTACGGGCGATGTTAGGCAGGGCAGAGTAGCAGCAGGCAGACAGGGAGGTATTCGTGCTCCGTACTATGTACTCTTCTCGCGCCGTGGTGTTTCGTTTCCGCTGCGGTCCAAACAAGCTCAGCGAATCGGCAGAGACTTGAGGCGACAAAGCACCAATCAGAAAGCACGGTCTGATGTGGGGAGAGGGGCCAGGCAGAGGAGGAAGGAATAAGGGGAAAAGATGGGATAATTTAGCGGCAGGGGACGTGGAAGTGGACGTGGACGGGATCCAACTAACAGCAACACTACTGCCTTCCTGCATAGGCGCAGTAGTATTGTAGTTAATCGAGACCTCGATTGGGATGAAGCCCGTTTCCAGATAGCGTGGCGACCCCTGCCGAGCTTGTTTTTGCGCTTCTTTTTCTTCCCGACAACCTCTTTTCCGCAATGCAAGGGTTCTAAACATGCAGGCAATGCCCCCGTACGAGGTCAACAACCTAGGAACAGACTGGAGAGGAGAGACAAGCGGTCGCCACCGTTTGGCATTGTAGCCGAACCAACTCTGTTGCATCCAACCCCAAAAGCCAAGGTCATCACCCAGGCCGGCTCACGAACGGGCCGTTGACCGAAACCATTGTGATACGTCTCCCACGTCAGAAACCCCGGTCCGTGGACGCCTGGACCGTCCTGTCACCGACACCTTTCATGACGCCTCATTGGCCAAAATCATTCGGCTAATATTGAGCCCCCTGTCTGTAAAACCTCGCGGGGCTCAAAAATGCAGGTAACCGAGTACGTACCTTTTCCATCTGCAGGGACGTTCTCTCGGTAACATCTCGTTCCTTTCCCTCAACCACGATTCTCACGCTTCATGGGCAACCTTTCTTCCAACCCTTCCCTTACCGGTCTCTCGTTCCCGTCCATCCCAGACCACCAACGCCAGACAATCACTCACACATTTCCGGTTGCCGTCCATCGTTGATGGGCTTAGCGCTGCATTTTTAACCAAACCCCCGGCGCAGGCAAGCCATCGCATCGCATCGCATCGCATCCCGTGCCGTCACCCAGCTGTGACACGGAAGGGCAGATCTCATTTCCACTGTCATCGGCCTTGTCTCTGACGTTGCCGACCGCACCAGCCAGAATTAAGGGCCACCGATCTCCCTTCAAGAGCCGCCAAGGGTGTCACGTTCCAACTTCCCTCAACCCAGGGCCATGATCTGCAGAGCCTGCCCTGAAGCACTCACAATCTGCCTTCGTCCGCCTGCTAATCGACCAGACCTTATCGACAAGTTCGCGATCTCAACGGAAGATGCACTGGCCCACGCCCAAATGGCCAATCTTCGGCACTGTCGCCAAAAGCCATGGGCCAAAAGCCCAAGAAACAATTTGGTCCTGACTCGAGGCCTAGTTCTAAGCCTGACTCTGACTCGGCCCCCCTTGGAAACAGAAATCTGCCCTCATTGAAGACTCAGACGTTTCCCCCCCTCCCGCAGAAACACCATCGCATCCGCGCAAAGAAACCCCAGAAACGGCTTCCTGCAGCCGGGACGTTATCAACATCTCACCGCACACGGTTCCCTGGGTTTCGACGTTCCAATCCCAAGGCCGGCACCACGAGTGAACACTTCTGCGACCAAGAGACCATTACACCAGCATGCATTGACCCTCGACGCCTCTGTGTCTCCATCAGCCTCTTCACTTTTCCGAACGCCCCCTCGACTGGTCGCTTATTTGCCCCTTAAACGACCGCCTGCTAATACACTAGCCACTTAAGCTTATCCAGGCCAAGGAACTCCTCCAGCCTGCCCACAAGACAAGCCTCGGCGTGGGGCCCAAGACATCCACCAGCGCCTGTGTGCGACATCGGGTGCATGGCCAAGATTTCCTACCTGGGTACGGTGAAAGCGTCCAATGGCTTGGCCAAAACTTGCCCTTCTCCTCTCATCTCGTCAAGATGACCACGGAAGCCAAAGAAGAGATCTCGACCCTGCTTCCCTCTGCTTTTCGGTCCATCCCAACCACAACCGGACGGTCACTAGCCGGTTTTCTCTTATTTCTCTTATTTCGGCAAGCCAAGGCCTTGCAGGGCTTACACAACGTTTCAAACCCACCATCGAGGCTTTAAACCATCCCATCCCGTCGCTCTCACCTCATAGCTCCAGCGAAATTTCGAGCCGCCGAGACTGGAACGATCCGGCGGACACCAGGTGGCCTCGATCAAATTCAAGCACGCCTTCATTCCGTCCACCCGTGACCCGAGTCGTGTGGGAAATGCCCACGCTTGCCACGCCTGCCACGCCCGTCAAACAGCCCGCTATCCCAATACCCGCATGCCGGCCAAACAAAAAACCTCCGAGAATCCGCATGCCGGACCCTGTTTCTCGAACGCGTTCTGTGTCTCACAAGGGATGACCCCCGTCCATTCGACTGTCTGCCCCTCCTTCTCAGCCCGGTGCGACATCATGACTCCGGGAAGCCTTTTCTACGCTATCCAGAATCCGCACTTCTATGCGCGCGCCTGACACAAACGGTGCACATTTCATCCGCATTCTCTCAACGGCTGTCTCTCCCAGCGCCCGCGGCCACCGGCAGCTTCCAGCAGCTGCTGTGTCTTCCGGACACTTCAACCGCCCCGTTCGGGCCACTGGAAACATCTCGTTTTCCTCTCGTTCCGCCCTCTCGTTAGCCGTTAGCAAGGCCTCCCCTTCCGGTCCGGCAGGAAACAAAAGAGACACCACCACCAGCCTCATGTTTTCCGACGAGCCGGGTGTCGTAACCACGTCAATAGACTTCATGCCGCCTGTCCACCGGATAAATGGGTTAGGTTGTGAGCAGATTGTTTCCATTCAGGTCCAACGAAGAACTCTCACAGACCGTGGCGATAAGGTGTATCCAGCCGTGCACACAAACACTGACGTTCTCGACCGACCGTGAGACGGATTGCCTTTTTTTTCACTTTGGTGATGGAAGGGCAAGGTGTGCGATCTCCCGCGCCAATCCAACACGAACTAGAACCATAAAAAAAAGAGACGACGATCACGCCGGAGCTTACTACCCCAATTCACCGGACGAAATCGCACCTTCTTCTCCTGCTATCCCTGAGATGTGCAGCAGCAGTAACAATAATAATCATCGCACAAGGAATCAGTAATAATAAGCCTGATACCGCACGCCGTTTGGCCCTCACTCCCTCCCGCGTCCCCTGATGATCGCCGCCGTAGATCTCTCACTGAACATCAGGTAATCTGAACTTTGCACGCGTTGCAGATCCCCCGTCGGTGCACCTCGACGGCAGGGATCTTTGTCTCTGTCTTGCTTTTCGTCCTTTCTGTTTCGTCGTTACGTGGGCGTGGTACCTAGATTCGGAGGGCTAAACGGGGCCGTAAGAGAGGAATGGCGGCCCTCTAGATAATGGCCGCGGAAGTTCCCTCTCGTAAAAGGGCTCTTCCCGGTCTCTCTCCCCAGTCTCCAGAGCTTGTGTGATGCTCAGCGTCTCCCTCCTCTCTCCGATCCACACGAACCCCCCTCCCCGGTCCATCTCCAGACCGAATCCCCCCCAGCATAATCCATCACGTCAAATTTCCAAACCGGCTCTCTTGTCAACCACCACTGCTGAAACCTCGCCGCCCCCCCTTGGCCCACGAGTAAGCGTCCAACCCGAGGGACTCTGCAACGTCCCGCAAGGTAGGCCTTGTCATTCATACAAAAGATGTGAAATATGGCGCGTGGCTCTCCCGCAAACGCTGGATTGCTTCATTTTCATCAACTTTGGTGTCTTGCCGTGCTTAGGTGACCCTTCCCACGACGCAGATCATGTTGCGCGTCCACTGCCTGTAATTGCATGTTCCATTTTGCTAACTCATGGGCGCTATTCTCTACTATTTCATCCACCGCCTTTCTCCCTCTCAATTGCTGCTGCTGTGCTAAATGACTCATCCAGGGACGAAGATATACTTCAATTACTCCAGTCCGCACCATGTATCGTCCCAACCCTCACCCAAACTTTTCTACACCGTCTGCAACGTCTCTCACCTCACGAGGACACGGCCGCCTATACGCTTTTTGGGCCGTGACCTTTTTGGGTGTCCTGTCATGAACACCAAACTTTCAAGACACCATCTTACAAAGCATAGGGGTTCAAAGACCGAATGGTCAAGCAACTATATATCTGATTAGCATGTGTGCCAACTTGGTGGTAAAGATCAACTTACGGTGGGCTCTTGGAGAGATCAGTCTTCAGGATCACAGGGACCCTGGTCATCTCCGTGACATCTTGGATGTACTCGCCTCCCTCCTCACGCAGCTTGAAGAGCTTAAGGTACTTCTCCTTGTTCGACAGCCGGGTCTCGGGAGCCTCAGGTGCGGGCACCTTCGAGTCGGACCTGGTACGCTGCAACGGCTTGGCATCGGACCGGGTCGGCGAGCCGGGGACGCTTTGCGTGGGCCTTTCGGCCAACGAAGCACCGGCCATCGCCTCGGTGACATCCGAAGCGTTGTCATCGTCATCGTCGAAGAGAGCGTCGACGTCGTCGGTGGAGATGGTGCCCGTCTCCGTCTGCTTGCGAGCAGCCTCTTCCCTCTCCTTCTTGACGCGCTCAGCCTCTTGCGCTTGGCGAGCAGCAGCCATGGCGTTGGCATTTCTAACAGAGGCGGCGGCCTTGGGCCGCTCATCCTCAGGTACGTATGCGGAGCTTGGCACGCCCTTCTCCCAGTAGAGCTCGAGCACCCTCTTCTCCTTCCTGAACTCGGCCTTCTTGAGAGGCAACTGATCGCAGTGCACACGCTTCTCGAAGCCCCATTCGGGAATGAGAACGTCAAATGCAGACTCGTACACGCAGATAACGATACCTTCCGTGATGAGATCGCCGTTGACCTCCTGTCTCTTCTTATCCATCTTGCGGCAGGACTCAATGTGAATGCTCTGCTCTTGGGCATTCTGAGCAGAGTCCTTCTTGGTGTTGCAAGCCTCAATCGTCTTAACAAGGCTCTCGAGGTCTTCCGTGTATTCGATCTTACCCTCGGAAAGGGCAGCCTCGAGTTGGCGGTGAACAATGATGTCGGCGTAGCGCCGAGTGGGACTGGTGAAGTGAGTGTAAAGCGGCAGGTTAAGAGCAAAGTGAGGCCACAACTGCTTGGCTGTCTTTCCGGCAATGAAGTACTTGGCGCGCTGCATTGACTTGAGAACAAGAGTCTCCATTCCCTTGCGAACGTCCGCATCATCAACCTTGAACAGGCTGTTGTGGAGGCTGCCGCTGCCAGAAGTCTCAACCTCGTAGCCGATGGCGTTCATGCGATCAGCAAAGGTCTGCAGACGGCGAGCGTTGGGCGGGCCTTGACGACGCAGCAGAGCCTTCTCAGGGAGAGCCTCAGCCAGGCGCTGGGCGACGAAGGTGTTGGCCTTGTGCATGAGCTCCTCGACAAGCTCAGTGCCGGGGGAGGAATCGAAAATGTTGTGCTTGATGGGAATGTTCTCGTCATCAAGCTGCTGCATGAGTCTCAGGGGAGCGATGGGCTCGCCACCAGCACCAAGACGAGCCTCGGTGAACTTTTGCGCGACAGCCTGTGGACTGTTAGAATCATGAACCGGTACCTGTGAATCCAATGGTACTTACATTGAGGATCTGAACATCCTTGAGCTGGATGGATTCGTGCTTCCAGTCTGCCTGGCCATTCAAGGCGGCATCGATCTCATCAACAGTAACCTTGGCGGTGCTCTTGATGATACTCCTGCCGACCCAAGCGTCGCCCTCAGCAACGGCACCGTTGTGGGGGTTAACGCGGAAGAGGACACTGACAGCGAGGCGCTCCTCGCCAGGTGTCAAAGAGCAAACCTCACCAAAGATCTTGGGAGGGAGCAGGGCGCAGGTACGGTTGACGAGGTGAACAGCCGTGCCCCGCTTCTTGGCCTCGCGGTCGACGAGCGAGTTGGGCTTCACGAAGTGAGTGACGTCAGGAATGTGAATGCCGATGTCAATCTTGCCGTCAGGCTGAGTCTTGATGTGAATGGCGTTGGCAAGCTCGGGCGAGCCGTCGAGGTCGAGAGTAACGACCTTCTCATCACGGAAGTCGCGGCGAGCAGCAAGAGCAGTCTCATCCTCCTTAGCGAGAGACCAATCCGCCAACCCAACGCTGCGCAGAACGGCATCAGAGAACTCGTCGGAGGAGAAGTTGTTGTCGCGAAGCAGGGCGTCGGTCTCCACCTTAAGGTCACCCATACGACCAAGCTGCTCGACGAGTGTACCGAAAGGATGCAGGGAAGTAATCGGCCAGCGCTTTATGCAGGCCACGAAAATACGATCCGCGTAATCCTGGTGCTTCTCGACGAAGTCGCGAGGAGCCTGCTCGGTAGGAATGGCAATGAGAGGCACGCGCTTGTCGGTAGGCTTGAACCAAACGATCTTGGGCTTCTCCTGGGAGCGGTTGTCCTGATGACGGTTGTTACCACCATCTCTGGCAGCTCTCTCCGCCTCCTGCTTCTCCTTGGTGGCCTGGCTGCTGGGTCGGAGCAGACCGAGAGTACCGGAGAACATCTGTCCAGCCACACGCTCAATGACGGCGACAATGTGTCCGGCGTAAAGGGGCTTGGCCTCATCGTTGATTTCCTCCTCTTCGACGAGAAGCAGGCTCTGTCCTTCGACCTCCACGTCGTCATTCTTCTTCTGCGTGGGACGCTGGCGCAGACTGCCGCGACGGCGGATGCCGCCCTCCTGCTGGGTGTTGTCGTCGTTGTTGTTGGACGACTGGTTCTGTCCGTTGGTCGATCCAGAACGGGTATCAGTGATGTCCTTGCGCTTCTTCTTCTCTTCCTTCTCGCGCTTCTGCGACCAAACCTCGTCGACGTCGAGCAACTCGACGGCGACCAGATCACCCTCAAGGGCACGGTTGCGATCCTTGCTACCGCAAATAAAGATATCAGCATCGAGCAGACCGTCCTGGGTGGAGACATAGGCGTCGCTGCGGTTCTTCTTGTTGACACGGAGGATACCAGAGACGAGCTGACCATCGCCGAGAAGAGCCGGGAGAGTGGCCTGGGGTAGATAAGGAGTGAAGAGAGTCTTTCTCTGCTGCTGCTGTTGCTGGTTTCCACCAAGCTGACCGCCGTGCTGACCGCCCTGAAGACCGACAAATGGCTGTCCGTTCATCTGGGCCTGAAGGGCCTGGAGCTGCTGAATCTGCATAGGGTTAAGCTGCTGACCGGGGTACATTTGCATGGGGAGCATCTGGCCGGGCATCTGCATAAGCTGAGGCTGACCAGGGTACTGGAACGCGCCAATGCTAGAAATAGACTGGTTGATCGAGCCGCGAGAGCGGTGACCAGGCTGGAAACCACCCTGCTCCTGGCCCTGGTTACCACCTTGGTTGCGCCAGTTGCCGTCAAAGTTGCGGGAGCCGGTTCTGGCATGGCCGGAGCTACCACGACGTCCGAAGTCGTTCTGGTTATCACCGGAGAAGCCACCACGGCCGGCGCCACCACCTCCGCGGCCGTTGACAGCCATGCTCTGACTGCGGCCGTGTCCTCCGCGTCCGCGACCGGCGGTGGTGCCCTGGGCAATTGGGGCCTCGGGTTGCGTCGGAGCGGGGGCGGGGGCGGAGGCGCCACCTTCATCACCAGGAGCCGGCGCCGCGGGGAACTGGAAACCCGACGTTGTGCGCTTCTGCTGGGCAATTTCAGCCGCCTTCTTTGCATCGGCGAGGGCGAGAGAGTGACGTCTCTGATGGCCACCTCCGGCACCGCCGCCTCGGCCTCCGCGACCGCCGGCATTTTCTCTACCAGCGGGGGCAGCGCCGGCGGCTTCGTTATAGGCCGCACCGGAAGCACCAGAGGAGGGAGCGGGAGGGGGACCCATTCCCATGTTGGGGAGTGCCGACTGATTACGGCGATGTGACATGGGCTGTGTGGGAGGACCGCCCATGTTAACATTCTGCTGTGGAAGCTGTTGAGGGAACTGGAAGCCGCCCTGCGGCGCCATGCCCGGCTGCAGGTTGAAAGCACCGCCGGGGCCGAGCTGTTGCGTAGGGGGCATCATTCCCATGTTCATGTATTGTTGCTGGGTAGCTTGGATCTGTTGCTGCTGTTGCTGCAACAGCTCGATCTGCTGCTGGATAGCTAGCTGTTCCACTGCAGAGAAGACACATTGTCAGCATTGTGCTTGTGATAATGACGGACAGGTGGCGAGGGGTAGCGGCAGGCCGGCCGAAGCTCGCGAGCAGATGGATACGAGACAAAGAGGGGATGGGATAGAGGGTTCAACTTACTGCCCGGATTGGCAAACATGCTCATCAACGGAGTCAGCTCGGAAGGGCTTCTCCTGTGCGCAATGTGAAGGCGACGGCCGGTAGGGCCTGGGACGCCGCCAGCAGGCTGCTGCTGCTGGGGCTGCTGTTGCTGCTGCTGCTCCATGATGAGCAGTCAGTCAGATGAAAGGATTGATGGAGATATTGTCGTGCACGTCGAGTGCGTCGGGTATGGACGGGGGGGAAGAGGACGGGCAAGTTGGCCTTGTCGATTGTTTGGTCGTTTGGTCGTTGGCGTCGATGCTCAAAGAGCTGTGTGGGATGATGTGGCACGTATTGACGTATGTATTTGCGGACTAAAGACAGTGGAGAACTGGGATGGATGTGGTTTTGGTTTTTGGTCTTGGATGTGTGGTGTGTCCAGCGGAGGTAGACGTGTAGTAGTGCGTAGCGATTCAAGGAGGGTAAGTTGTTTGTCTGGTTGACGTGGGAGGGATTGGATTGGATTGGATTGAGATGGGATGGATTGAGGGTGGAGGGAGGTGATTGTCGGCGAGACGAGCGAGGATGAAAGGGAAAGGAGCTCGCAAGGAGTGTGCGAAGTGATGGTTGAGGTGGAAAAAACGGGTGAGGCAGACAGACGTGAAGAGAAGACGAGGCAGGATGGGAATGTCCTCTCGTCTCTGGGAGCGACTGACGGGGGGTTTGTTGCGAAAGGCGAGTCGGGTCGGGGGGGGTGTGGAGTGGGGAGGAGAGGACGACCTGAGGAGGAGGAGAGCAGCAGCACTAAGGTACAGGACGGCGACAGTGGAGGGGATAGGCAGGAGCAACCCCAGGTGAGGTGAGGTCAGGTAAAGGTCGAAGTACCTCCTGGTCTCGCGGAGTAAGGCACAGCGGACGGCGGATGCAGCACAGCAACAGTAGATACTTTACTTTCACTGTCCGAACTAGCAGCATTTTACTCAGGTCTGCTTACCTGAGTGATTGGCAGCATTACTTTGCATCTTTCTGGTTCTTGTCAGGCCAAGCAAGTTACTTCGCAGGATGGTTTGGGGAAGTAAGAAAAGCTACTCGAGGTACCTTGGCACCCCATTAGCTACCTTCCTGACACTAGGCACCTCAAGCTACCTTAGCCTTAGGTAAGGTACCTAGGTACCTCCCTGCCTTACCTCGCCCCGGGCGGCAGGTTACGTAGGCAGGAGTCCGCGGCGCTGGTTTTGGCAGCCGTGATGTTGCCGCATGCCGACCTCACTTCCATGTCACGTCACGTTCACTCAAACAGAACAGTCAGCAACCTGCAAAGCCGTCTGTACAACATCGCCTTGACGATTAGGTAAGACGATGTACCTTCAGCGGCGCGAATCGCGGGCAAACACTCACGTACCTCGCCTGACTTGGGGTTTTCGGCCAGAACTCAAGACACTGGACTCAGTCAGGATCACGACTCCAGTCGAGTTCGACGGAAGTGGGGAGAGCCCACGCCGCCGCCAGAGAACCTGAAAAGACCAGGTCAGGGCTCCCGGGTTCAAGGGAGGTACCTCGGATACTTTGGTAGATCAGTCCCCTTGCCGTAGCGTGTCGCCCTAACGTACCGCAGTAGTGCTACAGCACCTCCTTGAGCCTCCCACACACCGCATGAGCATCCCTATGCCACAAGTCTGGCACAAGCCGACGGCCGTCGCGGGACATGCCACAAGTTCCGCCATGTACCTTGCCCGACCTGGACCTGGTCTTGGTCTGGAGGTGACTGCAGAAGAAAGACGGCGGCGACGGCGGCGGCTGCTACCTGCTAGGTAGTATGTACGCCTTGGCATCCCGTTTTCTTTGGACGTCTACTGCAGACAAATACGCACACGCACACGCATACGACGAAGACGAAGACGGGGATGTAGAAGTACGGATAGACAGAAAATGGAGACAGGGACGAGATACGTGTAGCGTGTTTCCAAGATGGATACGCAAACCGGAGACGCCTCTCTTTTGGCAATGGAACAGACAGGAAAAAGGCCTGCCAGGCGCGTGACTCCGTGACTCCTGGGACAACTCTTGGACAGAGAAATACGGCAACCCAATTGCTTCACCCCAGCTCTTCGGTGGAGTCTACCTACGTACCTCCCGGACCTGCTCTTGCTCCTCAATGGCATCACCCCAACCCAAGGTTGGAGATCCTCCCGTCTTCACTCAGACGATCTGTCCAGTCTCGGTTCGCGCTGGCGCTCGACGCTTTTGTCATCGGCAGGGCCAAAAGCAGGGCAAGGCAAGGAGAGGCGAGACAGGGCATAAATCAGACTTCAGTCCGCATCTCACTTGGAAACTTGGACCGGCCCCAAGTCCTGACCGCCCGGCAATAGAGCATCTTTAGCTCCAGTGTACCAGTCATGACCTGCCCTGTCTCACTGCTCTCTGCTCTGTCTGGCACTGGCAGCTAAAACCTTCAGGCTTCAGGCTTCGGGCTTCAACATCCATTCCACAGGCATTCGCACGTCGGGGAACGAGGGACGGGCCCACCCACGGTCCGACCAACCAGCGGGGGCGCTATACTGGAAACTGTTGAAGTCTTGAGCCGCCATTGGCCCAAACAGCTCGCTGTCGCCCCACATGTGCTGCAACCACCACGGCGACGTCTCTTCTCAGGTTCAGTCCTCCATTTTCAATGATTTTTATTTTATTTTTCCATGCTGTCAGAAGCTCTCCCCATGGGAACAGCTGCAAGAATCTGCGCGCAGCACCGGATAGCCGCGAGCTCAGGGTGACAGTGCAGCAGGGGTCTTTTTTCCCTCCAGCATCCCCCCATGCCAAAGGAGCCCCAAGTCGCCGCGAACGGTAACATTTTCCCACCTGCGGACATCATCAAAGCGCGCCTGATACATCGTGTTGTTTTTCAATGCTCCACACCTCACCACCACGCCGCACGCCGCCCAACCTGTGCTGAACTCGACAGTCCAGTCTCGGCCTGGTCCAATTGACGACACACCAACCACCAAGCAACCCCAAAACCGACCAGTCCTTTCCCCAGGGTCCAATACGTAGAGCACAGCCTCGTCTGGACTTCCGAGCCTTGTCTCCCCAACCGGCTGCCGCGGACGTCACTCTTCTCGACCGATTATTATCTTTATTTATTTTCTCGGTTGCCGGTGCGATTTTGCGTCCGACGCGTACCGACCCCACCGCCCGATGCCGTAGGCCTGGCCACCTCCAGCAACGACTGGTAACCACCTGTGCCACCAACCATGGCGCACTCTTCTCCCTCGCGGAGGAGCCACAGCAAGGACTATGTCAAGCAGAGTCCTGAACGTGGTTTCGTCGCAGACTTTCTCTCCGAGAACCGCAACTCCGAACTGAGCCATCGCGATGCGCTCGCCGCCGCCCAGCTCGAACATGAGCGCGTGCGCCTTGCCGCCTTGAGAGTCTACGAGGTGCATCAGTTGCAGGAGGAGAAGCAGAGGCTGGAAGCTGAGCAGCGGAGAATAGCTCAGCTCCAAAAGGAGGAAGAGGAGCGATTGAAGGCCGAGGCCGCAGTTCGCGCCGAACAGCAGAGGCTCAGAGAGCTCAAGGCGAAGCAGATCCCTCAACTTCCTCCCGAACCAGAGCCTGAACCGCCAAGGCCTGCTCCAGTGCCGGCAAAGAAGCAAGAGCAACAGGTGAATGGGACAACAGCACAACAAGTCAAGGCCGAGGCCCCTACCGCTCCAACGGCTCAGAGGTTACAGCCAACTCCCGTGACCAACGCTGCGCCGGCCCTTCAAGCCGCGAAAGCTCCTCTCGCAACACCACCACAGCCAGCCGCGACGCAGGCGACAGCTCCAGCGGCCCAAGCCAATGGCTTCCTGACGAAACCTGCGGAGCCTGCACCGCCCAAGCCGGCTGCACAGCCTGCCGCGGCCGCACCAGCAGCTGCTCCAGCCAGCGACCGATATCTCGAAATACACCAAGCATTGAAGAAGTTGCGAAAAGACGTTGAGGCTCTATCAAAACAACCAGGGAATCCGTTGAAGGGCAAATTGGGCGACATGCGCCGACAGATCAGGAAGTCCATCGGCCAGCTGACTGCTGGCAAGGGGGCAAACGTCCAACCCGTAAGAAACCCGTCCTCACTCTTATCCCTGCCAAGATACTGACATCATCCAGATGAACACGATCAACACTACGTTGCGCGAGTCCCTCGATGGAAGGATACAGTCGCCGCTAGTGGACGTCTGCAATTACGTCCAACAAAACAGGGAACCGGTCGAGGGAGCCGTCCACAACGGCGCGCAGCTCCCAGCCTTGTTCATCTACCTGCTCAACATTCTCTCCAAGGCAATCATAGGACAGTTCGCCAACGAGGGTGGAGCGAACCCGAAGTCGGCTGAGCCAGTCGGCATCGTCACCGCCCAGATCTTTTCTAACAAGGACTACCACTGGCGCGGTGCCTCCCTGATCGACGTTCTGATCGCCAAGTTCCGCGTGGCCTGCCCCGTCTTGTTCGGTTCTAGGGGAAGCGACAAGACCAAGCTGGGCCGCCAGGCCATCGGGTGGAAGATGGAGAACGGCAACTACATCCCCGAGCAGGCGCACAACGACAGGATGACGGGCCTCGGCGCCGGTTTCGCGGCTATTGCCCTGCGCGACTTCAGCAAGGCCTCCAAGACGAACCCGTACCCCCCGACGAACTACTGGAGGGCCATGGCCCAGATCGTCAACTCGCCCCCGCAGCTCGTCTCCAACACGCAGTACATCGTGCTCAAGTCCATGATCGACGGCCACCAGCAGCGCTTCATCAACTTCTACGGCAACGCCGCCATCGCCGCCCTGCGCATGGCCCTCGTAGATTTTCCTAAAAAGGCGCCCGCTGGAGCCACAGCCGCGCAGGCCCTTCAAGTTCTCGCGGACGTCATGAGGAGAGATTCCGGATTAGACTTGTCATAATAAAAGGGGATGTTCGGCGAAAAAGAGAAAGACAACCGTGTACACAAACGAATCACAAGGACCAACCGGCTTCTGATACCAGGAAAGGGGCACACATACACTCTGGCGTTTCTGGAAAAAACAGCAACTATACACAAGCCGCGGCGAAGAGTTGATTTCCGAGGGCGAAACTGTCAGGTCGCACCCGAAGCAATGCGTGGGCCGATGCATCAGGAACGGGGGCTTCAGCGGAAAGTAAGATAGGGTACTTTAGAATTGCGCATCGTCCGTTGGATGGACGATCTACCAAATCCTGAGCGAGAAAACCCTTCAGCAATAATGACTATGAAAACAAAAATGACAAGTCGCTCCGTGTAAACTCCCTTAACCCCATTCTGTAGATGTGTGTGGCTGGCACTCCAGTCCAGTGCAGTCCTCCTTTTTCTTCGTAGTTGAAACCAAAAGCCCACGAGCAACCTCGCGAGGACTTCGTCACAGTATTAACAACAACACGAGCAGCAGGATAAGCACGAAGATGAGCACCGCAATACAGCAACTGCTCAGCCTGTCCTCGTTCCTCCGCATGACATACTGCAACTTCTGCACGCCCGTCTGCAACCGCCCACCGACGCGATCCGCGACGCTGTCCACGACCTCGAGCATCTCCCTCTGCTCCTCCAGCTCGCGGCCCATATCATCCGCCTGCCGCCTCAGGTTCCCCACCGTCTGGAACACCCCGTCGAGGTGCGTGTCCTGCTGGCGCATCATCTCGAGCTGCTGCTGCTGCTCGAACTCGGCGTACCCGTCCTCCCCCTCGCCGCCCTCCATCGCGAAGGAGCTCGGGTCCGGCAGGTCCGAGTTCGAGGCGCCCCCGGCGGCTTTCCCCTTGGCGTCGGTCCCCAGCTTCTTGGCCAGCTCGTCGCGCATGTCCTCCACCTCGCCGCCGACCTCCTGGACGAGCCTCTTGCGGCGCGCGACCTCGGCGGACGAGAGGCCGAAGGAGGCCGGGTCGGACTCGACGGCCTTGACGGACTCGACGAGGTCGGCGAGGTCCTCGGCCAGGGAGGCGAGGGAGGATTCGAGGTCGGAGCGGGCGGAGGCGAGTTCCGGGGACGTCGGGGACGTGGAGAGGGAGCGGATGCGGAGGTAGGAGGTGAACAGGGGGCGGGTCGAGTCCAGCTGGGCGAGGACATCTCTGTAAAGACGCATTGTTAGTTTGCGGGTCACGCATACACATGCGCATCTACCGTCCTGGCTTTGCGCAGGAGCACCGGTGGACTGGACTGGCTCGTGACATACTGTTGGACTTGGAGGAAGGGATCCTCCTCGTTGGCGGAGGACATCATCCTGGCGACGGGAGTGAGGAAAGGCGCATCCGTGGACGCATTGGTTGGTGTTATTCGGTGTCTGTCAGAGCGAGCGATGGGCGCCTGTCGGTGTTGAGGTCGAAATGGTGAGCCAATCGAGTGGTAAGGTAAGATTTGGTTAGGTCGGCAGCGTACGGTAGTCAATTTACCTTTTAGGTAAACGCGGCTGGGATGACGTTTGCGCGTCTGTCTGTCCTCTGCTCTCCGAGCTGCTGCGGCCGGCGTTCTGGGCCCCTTAAGGTCAGCCCGTAGGTGTCCACTGGGCGGCAGGTGCTTGGAGGTACCTCCATACTTCGGGGTCGTGCAGTGACAGGCCGTTTCCGGATGTTCTTCGGCTCGTCAGCTTCCTCACCGAAGAGTCAATGGGAGGTGACCCCTCCTTCACCGAGAAAAATTTCCCCATACAGAGGGGTTATTTTTTATGTAAGTGGGATGCCTTCACTCACTTCAATCCACAGACGCTCATTCACACACACAACCACTCACTCACTCATTCGCCGCTCACTCACTGAGCCCACGTCTCAAATCTCGAGACGCATCGTTGACTGGGCAAGGGGGTCTCTACCCAACTAGTTTCAGAAAAAAGAAGACAAAAATCAGGAACATTATGATACCAGAAAAGCCCCTCCCCTGCTCCGACGAGTTCCCCTCGCCAGAGGCCTACGTCTCGGCCCTCCTCAAATTCGTCACCGAGACGGACCTCTTCCAGATCCTCTGCGGCGGCGTCCACGTCCTCGACTTCTTCACAAACACCCCGGGCCTCTTCCACCAGGTCCTGCCCTCAGAATGGCAGCCCTTCCTCCTCTCCATCGACACCACGCGCCTGCTCGACCTCCTCATGAGGGACGACCTGAACGACCTCCCCGCCATGGACCCGCCGCCGCCCGAGAGCTTCCTCAAGTACGTCCGCGACATTCGCCGCTTCTCCCTGGCCAGGTCCTTCGACCCCGCGCGCTCCTCGGAAGAGGCCAAACCCCCGCCGAAGCTCTCGCGCTCCGTGGCCGTCGGCATGAAGCCCAAGAAGGCGCACGAGGTCGCCCACTTCGCGCGCTACGTCGATTCGCTCGCCGGCGCCGTCTCGGAGCGCTGGGGAAAGGAGACGACGCACTTTGTCGACTTCGGCAGCGGGCAGAACTACCTCGGCCGCACGCTCGCCCTGCCGCCGTACAACCGGCACGTCGTCGCCGTCGAGGGCCGCGAGCACAACATCGACGGCGCGAAGGGCCTCGATGTGCTGTCCGGGCTGGCGAGCAAGGAGGTCGTCATGCGGAACAAGAAGCTGTGGGCCCAGATGCAGGCGGACAAGTTCGGGCCCGAGAACGCCAGGAGGAAGACGACGGCGGCGACAGACGCGGCACCCGAGGACTTCGATTTCCGGCCTATCAAGGAGCTTGCGCCGCAGTACAACCGCGCGATCGGCAAGGGCTCCGTGTCTTATGTGGTCGGCAGGCTGGAGAGCGGAGATCTGACGGAGGTCATCGGGCGCATCGAGAAGGAGGTGCTGCCCGAGGAAGAGGGCAAGGAGCTGAGGATGATGGCGGTGTCGATCCACTCGTGCGGGAACCTCTCGCACTACGGCATCCGCTCGCTCATCATGAACCCGGCGATCCACTCGGTGGCCATCGTCGGGTGCTGCTACAACCTCTTGACGGAGAAGCTGGGCCCGCCGACTTATAAGTACACGTACGCCCGCCCGAGTCTGCAGGCCCTCAACGGACGAGTGGTCCGTGAATCCTCGCGCTTCGACCCAGAGGGCTTCCCCCTGAGCGAGAAGCTATCAACCTACGAGGGCGGGATCAGGATGAACATCACGGCGCGGATGATGGCGTGCCAGGCGCCGCAGAACTGGACGCAGTCCGAGAGCGACGACTTCTTCACGCGCCACCTTTACCGCGCCATTCTCCAAAAGATCTTCCTCGACAAGGGCGTCATCTCCAAGGTCTACCACCGCAACCCGGACGCCGGCACTGGCGATGCCCCCGAGGAGACGCCCTTCAACATGAGCACGAACCCGGTCATCATCGGCTCCCTCCGCAAGGGCTGCTACCGCTCCCTCGGAGACTACATCCGCGGGGCCGTCACGAAGCTGACGACGAACCGCGAGTACGGGCAGTACAGCGCCATCATCAGGGACAAGATGACCGACATGCCCGACGACGAGATCAGGCGCTACGAGGACGAGTACCTCTCCCGCAAGAAGGAGGTCGCCGCCGTGTGGAGCCTGATGGCCTTCAGCGCGTGCGTGGTCGAGTCGCTCATCGTCACGGACCGCTGGCTGTTCCTGAAGGAGCACGCGGACGTTGTCCGGGACGCCTGGGTCGAGACGGTGTTCGACTACGGACTGAGCCCGAGGAATATGGTGGTCGTGGGCATCAAGAAATAGACCGGGGGTCTCGTTGGGTACCTACCATTGGCTTGGCTCGCGTGCATCTTTTCCATCAACCCGCATGATACCCGTTTCTTACCTGCAATGATTTTCTTCCAACTCGCTGACGGGGATATCTGGAAGTGGCGGCTTCCTGAATCGCTACCTGATACTACAAGTCCTAGTGGTGTTGTTGATGTCCGACTGGTGTTTCTCCATGTCTGCTGAGTTCGAATCTGCCTCGAGATTTGATATAGTGACAGAATCCACGGCAGCTTCAGATCTGTATTGGATCCTGAGGCAGATTCAAGTTCAATAACCCCGTCACAGCCTCTCAGGGTAACCGCCAAACCTACGACACAGCTGGTCCTCGAGGACAGCAAAATCATCGATGAAAGTGATGAGTCACAGCAGCTCTCATTCCTCTCAGAAAATGCGAAATGGCGATTCAGGAATGCCAAAACCAGCTGCCTCTCGCCCAGCTCCCGGAAAGGGCAGTGAAGCCGAATATTGTCAGACGGCCGGGCCCCCGGAAGTGTGCGCGGCCTGCAATGTCATGAGTAGCCGCACGTCGGCACCAGCCTGCTTCGTCGCCGAGAAATTCGGCGAGCCCGGCGGAAGGTCCTCGGTATGAACTCCGCAGGCCGCCATGAGGTACGCAACGACGTCGACGTCGCTTGCTGGTGCCATTGATTCCGGGCAGTGGGACAAGGGTTCGAGGTTGATCACTGCGGTTACTGCGGCAAGCGGACAAACCGCGGGGTTTTGTTCGCGCTCTTGATGTCATGCATGAACTTGCATCGGCCGGCTGGAGTTACATTGCGATAGGTTGAAGGTTTTTCCTCTTTCTTCCTGAGGATTACTTCAATGGAGGCACAGCATCAAATGCGCATCGACCGTCTCGTTCCCTCCGCTGTATCGTCTTACAATATGCAGGGAAGGGCCAATTAGCGGGGTAAAGGCAAACACCAGCCTTGAAAGGGCATGTCGACCGATTAGACTAGTGGGCGCAAAGAGTGTCTCAGAGCTAGCAGGATAGACGGGAGCTTTTAGATGGCGGTAGTCATAGCTTGAGATAACGCCAAAGCATCTTGTTCCCTATCTGTGGACCTCGAAACGGGTACGATCTGATCCGCAGATAGGAGAGCACGGACGGGCGAATGGAACTGTCGGAAATATCAGGAAGACTCGATGAAGAGACGTAAAACAGTGATTCGAGATGGCCAGTCGCCGAAGAAACAATCAAACCCGCAAAAACCTCAGTCTCAGAAGTAGAGCCCTCGGCAATGCTCCGGTCTCATGATGGATCACGGCACGTCGTCAGTGTGACCTGTCTCCAGCCAGTGGAGGCCCTCGTCCTCGTGTAGGCACTCACATCCCACGCCGGCGATGCACACAATGCCAGACCAAATCGGGTAACCAAGCAGAAGACACCTTTTAGGCTTGAACTTCAATCGACCCCAAAGTTGTTGCTTCACGCATCATCCGCCGCGCTGAACCGCCCCCAATTCGAACGTGCTATTTCCCGAAAGGTGCACGATGCTGTCATCAGCGTGCGCGGTGACGATATGTTTGCTTGACATGCCATCCACCTGCAGGTAAGACGACCGAGTGTCCGGCACAGCTCGTAGAGCTTGTGAACTCCCGTTGGTTGTCGGGGTGTCACAAGGCAAACCTCGGAGTCGTGGGGCATCGGCGCCAACCCACGCATATGTACGAAGTACGAGTCAGTCTTCCGATTCCAGGTTGATGGAGCACGACCACGACCAGCGAATTCATTTGGGAGTTGCGTGTGAGTGGACGACAGCGGCAAAAGATGGGGGTTAAGCCATTTGATCCGCTTAGAAGCGGCCGTTAAAGGGCATTTCGGACGTCGGTAGGGTCGCAGTGAAGGCGGTTGCTGAAGGGATCGGATCCTAGGATGCAGTTGAGGATGGGGGGTCCAGATGGAGGCCGGATTGCGGGAGGAGAGTTGTCAGTGACGGAGTGGGTTGGATGAGCGCCGAGAGGGGCGGGGTCCCCTGTCTTCGCCGAGGGTTGCACTCTTTCTTGGGGTTATGGCGCCAACAACCTGACCAGGTGGTATTTTTGCATCTCGAGTAGTCATCGGTTTGTCGATAATGGGAAAGCCGGACGACGTACAATAGTTTGCTGGCGACGACAACTTGTTGCTACGTTAAAAGTAGCCTTAGCTGGAGCAGGGGCACAGGCGAGTCCACTGGAGAATCCATGTTCAATTCGAGCTCCTTCGCGTGGCGCCGATTTGACGAGCCACTATGAACCAGTCAGAGGGCAGATTGATGCGACGATGGGAAAGGGTTCGTACAAGGTTCAGGAACCGTTGCGATCGGCGGGCCCGGCTCTTGGAGAACTGACGGCAAGGAAGACGAGAGACGACGCATTTCCCTTTTCCCCAAACAGCCATAGGCATGGCTGAATCTCTGGTCTGACGCGATGGCGTTCGAGAGGAGCTGAGATGGCAGGCGGGTGTTGAAATGATGCTGGCAACTCAAATGAAGCTGAGCTTGAGGACCGGCTCCTTGGGTGCCGAAGAGGGGTCCTAGTGTCCTCGTAGTGCGGGGGTAAGCTCCCTTGCTCTGGGATACCTCACACAGTCGGGTGACGAACGTATCGGTGGCTGAACGATGTCATCGCCAAACACCGTCGTTCATGTCGTATGGAACAACCTGCTGAGGATCCCAGATGCCCAGGTGGATGAGTTCGTTACTGGCGAATTGGCATCATCCCGCGTCGTTTGTCGAGGTAGTTCGATGCGATGCCGAGGCCAGCCGCATCCGGGATCAGGCAATGCCAGCAACGCCCGTTGGCACTCTGGTTCCCGCGTTCATGATGATGATGAAAGGTGAGAACTTGGTCAAACGCTCGCTTGCCCAAAGCAGACGATCCCGTCACTCCTTGCCTTAGCAGATGCTTCAGTGGCGTCACTAAATAGCTTAAGGTAGTGAAGGCTTCCGCATTCCAGTCGCCTGTTCTGCAATGGAGCTGAGAGACCACTGCGAGGGTCGTAAATAGGTGATAGGCTGAAGCGACGACCACCTCGGAGAGACCAGAACCCCCAACCCCCACGTTCCTGACCCCACTAGTCTCCTGCAGGCCGCCCGAAACGGCCTTCAACTCTTCTCTTGTGTCTACCTTTAGCCCTCCCGCTCTTCATCATTCAAGTTTTTTGGTCGTTAGGGTCTATTTAGCTCTGAGGTGAGCTTGTCGATACCTTCTCTGGACTGAGCAGAAGGTCAGGCGGCCGCGGTCAAGGCGTAAGGATGCCGGGATTCGACTAGCGAGCGCCTCGGTCTCAGCAATCGTCACGAAATATCACGTCTTTCTACTTTTAGTTTGCGAGATGGGTTTCAGGCACTGACATCCTAGGCAAGACGGAATACGCGATCCAGACACACGTGTATTGGACATGAATTCTTGGTGGTCCGGTGGAGAAAAGAGAGAGCGGCTCAACTGCCATCAATTGCCCACTTACACGGTATTCGGCCAAAAAGTGCGAGCCTGACTCAAGCGCCCGCTGGAGTTGCCGTCTGTTGAAAAACATCCTCACGTCCGAGAAGAGACTTCAACTCGGATATCTCCAGGCAGGGCAAGGGGCCTTATTAGATCCAGAACACACTTGCCGCAACCAGATAACGTCGTGAAACCACCCAGGAGAAGACCCCAACCCCCCTACTCTGCACCATAGTACATCCATCGTCTTCACAGTCTCGTCTCGCTCTCGTGTAGGAAAGTGCGTGTGCGCTGACGAGACACACACCATCCAGCGTGCAATCAAGGGTCGAATGCCTCCCCTGCTCAACCCCGCCATGTCATGCTGCCCAGGCTTCCCACCCTCCTGCAAAGTGCAGCCAGAGGTGACGACCCGGTCTGCCTGGGTTGAGGATGTGTGAATGACAACGGCCTGGGTGAGAAAGAAGAGCGTCGGTGAGCTGAGATGGGCAATGTGGAAATGAACAATCCAACGCCAGCCCTTGCGAATTTAGCACGGTGATCATCGTCATCATAGGTAGTCACCATCATCAGCATCAGTCTCTTACTAACCCGGCCAACTGCATGTTGACCGAGGTGGCCCTGCGTGATGCATTCGGACGGAACGAGGAGGCATCCCAGTTTGCTCCGGGGCTGGATCTACAAATGAGAGAAAAAACAGCAAAAAATGTCCATGTCCATCCATCTCGGCGTAAAGCTGCAGTGAACCACTCAAGCGGAGTTGAGGGGCCTACGCTACCCGCTCTTAGGCCCCGGCCAACAACACTACCTTACGGACCTGATGCTTGTTCAACTCTTTCACCTTATCTGCAACCCAACCAAATCCGCAAAGCAGGCAAACCCACGTTTTACCCCGTCAGTGATTTTTTCTTCCTCTCCCTCACCCTGGCGCTTTTTATTTTCTCTATGGTTGGCTCCCCCATTTTTTTTTCTTTTCTTTTCGCCGGCCCCGGCATGTGGCCGCACGGTTCGTGCTCTAGCGTCCTACTATCGACATCGACGGCCGCCGCACGCCGCAGCGCCGCAGCGCAGCGCCTTCTCCGCACCTTTACTTCAAGCCAAGTGGAAGCTGCCTTGCCTTGCCTTGCCTCTGCGTTGAGGTGCCTACCTTAGCTCAACTTCAGGGTCCATATGAACCTAATTCCTCTTTTCCCCTTCCCTCCTTCAAAACCTTCCCTTCCTGCTGCTCCTCTCTCATTTCTTTTTTTCTATTTCCCATTTCCTGCTACGCCATCCATCTCTAGTACCTACAAGTGTCTTAAGACTTAGGAATCTTATACGAGGAGAGATAGTATAAGAAACGAAGATTCCCCATCCAGACCCGACTATCGAAAACTCAACTCTGAGACTTTGACTCTCCCAAAAGCACCGACCAGCCTTATGAAAACCTGATCTGAACCCGGCAGATAGGCTCTTCCTCCGATATCCTTCCACGCGCACAGCCGTCGACGTCTGTGCCCTACAGCACATCGAGATCAGATCTCTGCTCCTATTCTTATCAACTCCCACAATTCAGAAGAAAGGGTTGAGGAAAAGAAGAGTCTGAGGGTTCTTTCGGCTTCAAGCCCAGAATTCTGCGCGTAGGCGTCATCATGAACGCCCAAGTCTCGTTCCTCGTAAGTCAACAGTCACAACGGCCCTTGTCACTTTCTCTCTGAATAGAGTCACCAAAAATGCGGGGCTGCATGGCTCTTGCACTTCACGTTCACGCCATCCCCACTGCAACGCTACCTCACTTCGCCGACGACGAGAAACACCTTCTCCGGGGTCAGCCAAGCATGGCACAATGTCTTGGGTCCAAAGCCAAACTTGCTTGACTAACATCCAATGCGCTGTAGGACGGCACTTACACTCTGATCCACATTCCTCTCGATCTCTACTCGATCTTACTGCAGCCCATCCTCCGCGTTCTTCTCCCTCAGACCCAAACCCTCAAGGCCTCCAAAGGCGAGCCCGAACATGAGTTAGAAGGCCTCAATTCCGAAAGCCAACATGGCTTCCTCAACATCAGCGTCACTCCCATGGAGTGCTCTATCGTCTGCCACAGCTCCTGGGCAAAAAACGTCTTCGAGCCTGCGATAAAAGACCTTCCGAAGGAACTCGCAAAGTCCGTCTCGATATCCAAAGACACGTACCTTGTGCTCTCCGTTATCAGCGCCGGCATGGATGCCGCAGGCCGTGTTATGGAGCTGACGTCGCCCCTGGCTCTTGCTGGCATTCCCATTTTCTTCATCACGACGTACTACTCTGATTTTATCCTGGTGCCAAGCAAGGACAAACAGACTGTCGTCAAGGCCCTTCTGGCGCGCGGCTTCGAGCTCGCCGAGAATGAGTCCAACTTTGTCAGCCCTGCCGCCTCTGTCCATTCCCGTGGCGGCAGCCAGAACAGCGGTCCTCCGCTTACCCCACCGCCGTCAACCATCGCAGAGCTTCAGGTTCGCACGTTTGATCTGCTCAAGAAGCGCAGTGTCGCTCCCTATGTTGAGGACGACCTCCTTCTCGTACAGTGCTCTGGCCGCGAGACTTCTCAGCTCGGGGGCGAGTTTTCCCATACTCAGCGGCCGCCCCTGAGCAGGCAGATTACAGGTAACAGCCATCGCCAGACGTGGCTGGACAATATCGACGCGAAGCTGTACACCGCAATGATATCAGCACTTGCGGCACGACCGCGCTTCCTCTCCATCACACTGGCCCAGGAGGACCCTCCGTCGCTGTTGCTAGACAAGTCCCTACTAGGCCTCTTCGGTGACTCCCTCGTTGGTGACACCAACTCGAACCTCGTTCCCATATTCCTCGACCTCGAGAGCCTTCCGTTCGAAGCTACGGGCATCGTTTGCGGCGTGGCTGGCACCCTGGTACAGGACATGCGCACCGGTGACAGCGCGGGTTTGTCATATCTATCCACCGCCAGGGCTGGTGCTGTCATTCTTTCCTGTGAGCAGTCAATACGTGCGCTTGAGATCCTCGAACCTAAGTTGTTCAAAGCCTAAGAGGAAGTATACGAGTACCACCGCTGGAATCAGCCCATAGTCTGGGTTTTGTCGAAAACTTGTTGGGGGACCGAGAGAGGAAAAAAAGGAGTTGAGGGGTCGTGGAACCGCCTCGGTGGTAAACTTAACGACGCTGGATGATAGGGATGACTGTACTAGCATGGACTGGCTGACGGTTGGCAATCTGCTTTTGTTTGAAAATTCCGTTGGCATTTTGGCGTTTGCGAAGGACGGCCCTCTGATCTTAGATACCAACTTTGTATGTCTTGCGAGAATGGCCGGCGTCGGTCCAGGACCAAATTTCAGATGATTCGATCTCGTCTTCCGTCATCCTCCCAGAGTCAGTGATCTGAAGGAAGCGCGAGCATGTTGCGCGTATCCAACAACATCGCCAGAATAATACCTTCTATGAAGCTACATGGTATACGCTCTCCAAAAACCGCTCACTTCCCGCCCTTCTTCTTCCCAGCCTCCTCCACCCACCCGGCCTTGACGAACGCGTCCCTCGCACAGCTGTTAATCAACGCGAACCGCCGCGGCCCCAGCTTCTGCCCGCCGTACCACCTCGTCACCACGACCATGACGTCCCACAGGTCCATGAGCTGCATCAGGTGCAGCAGCCTCCCGCCCGCCGCCGTCTCCCCGTCGTCGTCGCAGTCCTGGAAGCTCGTCCCGTTCGGCCCCCGGATCCGCCACGCCGTCATGTTGTGCGTCGCCGTCCGCGCCTTCTTGTCCGTCGCCAGCAGGTGCTGCACGTACGCCGCCGCCCGCTCCGGGGACGTCACCGGCGCCGCGCGCGCCACGAACACCGACTTGAGCTCCACGAACGGGTCCGATATCACCCACGGGGGCTCTTCCGCGAGGTAGTCCGGCACCGCCGGCGCCGCCGAAGAGGAGGTGTCTTCGTTTACCTCCCCCTCCGACCCCGCCTCTGCCGCCGGCGAGGGGCTCCGCGCCGCGGCCTCGGCTTCCGCGCTCGCCTCCGCCCACCTCTGGTACTCCTCTATCGCGTCGAAGAGGCAGACGGCGCCGGGCTGGTAGGCTGTGGCGACGGCGTCGCGGAAGAGGGCGAGGTCGCGGGCGCCGGCTCCGCGGGGGGCGTTGTCGCCGGCGCTGTGGGTGCCGAGGACCTGCGGGGGCACGTCCGGGTAGGACTCGGGGAGGCGGAGGGTGAGGGAGGAGGCGCCGGGGAGGGCGAGGACGTAGTCTGGCGGGGCCGGGGTGAGGGTGCCGTCGCCGTAGATGGAGTTTATGACCTCTATTTCGTCCTTGAGGTCGTCGGACATTTTTGGGGGGTTGTGGTGTGATTTGGGTAGTGGTTGTGGTGGCGGTTGAGGGGAGCGCCGGGAGAGGTTCCGAGGGGTCGTTGAGTAGGTGCAATGAGTGAAGTTGTGTGTGAGAGCGGCGCTGGGTTGGTACACCCGCAAGTTGCTTATTGCAACAGAAGTGAACGATCTTGAGAGTGGAGTTCGAGGTTTATAATGTCCCTTATCTGAAATCAACCTCAACAAAAGTCGAATTGGCCGGTGAGATGGACTCATGTGGTTTCTCTCAGCTTGTTTCTGCAAAGGTCATCTCAAGGACTCACCACAGTGCTGTGTGGGATTTTGGGTCATGTATGGTCCGTGCGCATCCAAATACCCAGGTGGTGCACCTTTGTCTTTTGCTCCACTGAGCATCTCTACCACTTACATAAGACCATCGAATGTTTTGACTACCTCCCTCACCCTTCCTTTGGACGATCATCTTAATTGGCCATTATGACAATGCTCAAATTACTACTGACGATGATAGGTATACTAAACGAGTACCACGCCTCAGCATCAAGCAATGATATCTACCTTGCAATGAGGCTTGCGAGGCAACTTGCTGACCACAGGAGCTCACCAACCTATCAACAGGAAGATAACATGCATTGCATTGTTTCCCCACTTGTCGCTTGGTTCCCATCAGGCTGCGCATTGCGGCTGTTTTCAATGGTGTCAGACTCTCATATACTCTGCCTGATCTTCCTTCCTTACCTAGCGACGGGGTTCATCCCAAACCTTCACCCAACAAGGCGGCTCCTACCATAGACCGTCGTCGAAATGGCAAGCAACGTCATAATGGGAGGGAGCGCTTTCAATCACAGAGCCGAAGGAAACGGGAACAACAACCCATCACAATCCGACGCGCCGATGGATACGTTGTGTTCGAACTGCCAGCAACTCAATCTGTCAGTCCAGAAGTTTGTTCCCGGCACAGCTGCTGACAGCACCCTCCCGGGTTTCCTTGCGACATCAGTGGATTTTGCTGGTCTACAGCGGCTAGATCTGGGCTATGTTGACGACATCTACCGTAGACGAGATCGATGCTCGTTCTGCTGGCTCATATTCCAAGGAACCCACACTCTTCAAGATACCACACCACCTACTGGCGACCATCTCGGACTTGATGGCTTGACCAAAGAAGGGAAACGGGTGCGTTGCCACATCGATTGGCAGCTTGACGGACGACTTGTGGGAAACTCAAACCTGGACCAGAAATCTCGACCACCTACTCGCCGCATGAGAGTCTTCAGTCCAGAGAATTATTGGACTGACACTCACATCATGCTGATGTCTTCGGAAGTTCCATCGCTTGCGCAACCTAGCTTCTTAGCTCGGAAAGCGTCATCATCTACCGTCGACCCAAAAATTCTGAAGAAGTGGCTCCGTATTTGTAAAGAAAGTCATAACTGCGCTTCAGATGAATCCATGACTTTCACAGACCGATTGAGATTCATCGACCCGGAGCAAGAAGCGCTTGTCAGCTTCTCAGAAGGCAAGACTCGCATAACGGAATATGCAACTTTGAGTTACGCATGGGGTGGGCCTCAACCGTTTATGCTGTCAACTTCAAAGTACAATTCTCTGATGGCGCCTGGAGCACTCGGCCCTCGAACGAGCGGTTTGTCAAGAACGATTCGTGATGCCATGTTGCTGGTCAAAGCAATTGGCCTCCGATATCTATGGATCGACGCTATCTGCATCATACAGGATTCCGTTGAGGATAAGTCCACAATCATCCCGCTCATGGACAAGATATTCCAAAACGGCACATTCAATATCTGCGCCGCGTCTGGTTCCAGCTCACGCGAGGGTATTAGAGGCTCAATTGGCACACCCCGTGCGTCTAATGGTACTCCTGTTGTCAAATGCGCAGGGCTCCATCTCATGGCGGCCAAGACAATAGAAAGTCGCATCCAGCACACGGCGTGGAACGAAAGGGCGTGGATTTTCCAAGAGCGCATGCTGTCCAGGAGATCCATCATATTCGTCGAGAATTGCACCTTCTTCCAATGTTCCCAAGCAACGTGGTCTGAGGAGGTCTGCTCGGAATCTTCGTTGCTAACATGGACCTTGGAAATGGTTCGGTCGCCCTTCGAATCGGTCAGCAAAAATCCTGTCCGGCTTTACTTACAGTACGTCGAATCGTTCACCGCCAAACAATTGACGTTCTCCGGCGATCGGCTCAATGCCTTCCAGGGGATACTATCTATGTTGGAGCCTCTACTTGGAACTCCCTTTCTTTATGGGCTTCCTGCAGCATACTTCGACCTCGCTCTTCTCTGGGAAAGTAGAGCTGAAGAACGCCGAGATGCTGATTGTTTGTTCCCCAGTTGGTCCTGGTGCGGATGGGCGGGAAGTTGTGCCTGGCGCATTTCGATGATCTCCGGTATCCTCTTAGACTTGCACGAATGGTTGCTGTCTCATACTTGGGTGGTGTGGTGGCATCTTTCCACCCGATACGATTCGGGTTGGCGCGCCGATGGCTTCGCACCTTACGTTGCTGATGAATTTCAGCTGGTCTGGTCATCAAGCCAATGTATTCCAGGCACAGTTACTCCTCGATGGCAAGGTTATGTGCCCTCTGATGGAACCTATTACGGTCGTCACTTGCGCACGGCAGATAACGAAAGTTCCACGGTTATGCATTCCGATTCTAGGCCAGTGTACCCGACGAGTACTGTTAGAAAGGTTACATGTCTGTACTTCTGGACATATACGGCCTTCTTTCAACTATCCAGACAAAGCCGGACTGATCCAACCTTCGCCTCGAAGCTCGAAACAGGCCTACACAGATTCAGTTTAATGGATTCCAACGGTGATTGGTGTGGAACGATCGTGTTGAAGGAGAGCTTTTTCAGCAGCGTAGGCGATATTCTGGAGTTTGCCGCCATATCCGATGCTCGCGACTTCTCGATGGAAGAGCTGGACACTTGGAACTACTACGTCCCTGAAGACCGTGAGGTCTCCGAGTGGCAGCTTTACTACGCGCTCTTCATTGTCTGGAATAGGGAGCATACCGTGGCGGAGCGGGTTGGGCTGGCGAAGATATACAAGAGGGCTTATGACGTGGCTTCCTTTGACCCGGGTAAGGCGTGGAGGGAGATAATTCTTGAGTAGCACACTTCAAGATCCTATTGCGTCTACTTTATGAATGAATGACGAAGGAAACAAATACAGGGCTGTTCTTCGAATTTTTTTCTTGTCAACGGTTCTCTAGGAGGTACATTTCCCAATTTCAAGTATCGACATATGGATGAGAGAGCAACGTTCGTCAATAGAACCATGAATTCAGTTGCATCTGTGGCGTAACTTTTGAAATCGAAGACGCTTGTCTGTATATTTACATTTATGGACGAGCTTAATCGCATGGCACTGAGGCCGGTGACATAAAATATAACGGAGTATGAGAAGACACAATATTAGGCAACGACATGGCGGTGAAGTCCCTGTCATCTTCACACTGTCAACACGAGTCGCCGGAAACCCAATAACAGCAGCGACATATGTAATCGTGCTCTGTATCCAATAATCAGTGAACATCGTGGCATTGTAACTCGGGTTTTCGCGTGGATTACAACATGAATACACATCTGCGTACATCTGTGGTGGTCACGACGTCGACGCCAACACCACTCCTCCTCAACCGAGCAAGCATCCTTCCACAATCATACTCAGAAGAAGAAACGTAAGATCCTAGGCCTTCAGCTTCAGATCCAAGTACATTGAGGACCTCTATATAGAACGTCAAGAAATGGACAAGGATATTAAACGTCGAGATTAGGGGGTTCACCCTTGGACGGGGCAAGATAACTGCGTCCTGTTCCCTATGAGCGATGTAGAGGCTTGTGGTTTTGTCGTTTGGGCCAATGTATCGTGGAACTTTTGTCCATGTCCCGAAGTCCCTCACGACCTGGTTGGCCGGGTGTGCTCAAGATGGGGATTCCGGTCCGAATACGTAGAGAGAGAAGGGAGGGGAGGGGGGTTAGAGGCAAATCACGGGTAATCCCTAGAGTTCTTCAACTGAGTGGCAAAAGGGTTCACCGCAAACTGTGGTTTCTGGCAATTCATATAAACGCTCTCACTCGTGATACTTCCGGGCACTGGGCCTCTTCGACCAAGACGAGCACATCTGCCGCCATGGAAAGTGATACGAATCCCTGTCCACGCAGAGTTTCCTGCTTTGCTGTTTACAATGTTGAGATGTACTATGGTCTCGCGAGCTGCTTGTGCTTCGCTCGTTCAGCTCTCGGCTTCTTCGTCTCCTTATTCGCACACGTATATCCTGTGTGGTATCTGCAGAAACACGCAAGCATTTCGTAGGATTCTTCGCATGCCCACCACGCTCATCATCAGACTTGGTTCAGATTGATAGATACCGAAGCATCTTCATTGAAAGCACACGCGCCGACAGTTGTCAATATGAAAGTTAGAGTGCCGACGGATTCCAGTCCCTTATATAAGTCAGATGTGTCAAGAAAACCCACAAGTATCGCCTCGGTCTGTATACTAAAAGCTGGCCTTTCCCACGTGCTCCCATGTCGTCGTCAATGTCTTCCTCGTGGCCAGAATAGCGAGATATCATACATTGCAAATGTTATAAAGCTGAAGCATTTGGAATCCAGTATGACGCCGCCAGTGACGTACACGTTGAGAAGAGAGATGCCCCGGAGACAACACCACAATTGACCCAGGTCATGCTTTGGATCTTTAAATTCTGTGAACAGACATACCGTCAAGCACCATCACAGCTGTGCTAACTCACGCCTCACCATCGTCCACATCCGTCACCTTCTAAGTATACCGTGGCATAAGACGCAATGCAGACGAACAAGCGTGGCAATCTAGTTCCACCTACACGTAATGAGCACAACGCCGGACTGGCCACTGATGGATCACGCCTGCAATATTTGAGTACCTGACAAGAATACAAATGATCTGTTACAGATCATTAGAAAGATGCAGTACCTCCCGTCTCATATCTTCTTCAGAGACTGCTCACAAATTCAGACCTCACATAGCCTCATCATACACAGCGTAACCGTGCCATGAATCAACATACTTCCATCACACTGGAAGATGTGTCTCACTATACTGACATACGTTGAATATAAATCATTTCACTCGGCGGCCCCTTACGACCCAGGCAGCACCAACATAGCACGGTTGCTTGTGTCCACTTGAATGTCACGGCCCAAGACAACCGCTAAGGTGCCGACTGTCCATCCTGTGGCGCTTGATCTCTCCATGATCCTCATGACCGGGACTAACCAAGTAACTCGCTCCCCGTCCTCGATGTCCGTCTCTGTCGCCCAAGTATACAATTTCCTGACAACGACAGGATTTCTCGAATGTGACCTCTTCGCACCCTCATCGAAGGCAACATAATCCTCGCTGTACACGGCCCCAAGTGCGTCGACCTCTCCGTTTCTGCAACGGCAATTCGGTTGAAGATGACCGTTGGCCAAATCATTGAACCCTTGTGTGTCCTGCTATATTTATGTCTTCTAGCTGGCTTAACAGTAGAAGTCCTCTTGGCAGTGTAGCATCCGAACAGATGGTCTTGCTTGTGTCAAAATGACATTGTTCCATATAAACTCCTCTACCTTTGTGACGGACAGCGTCCTTTTGTTTTTCCTGGCGTCCTGAGTGCCTCTGCACTTTGGACGGAGTAGAACGGCTAGACTGGACAGGTAACATGGGTCAGATAGAGTGTTGAGACAATTTTCAATCGAATCATGATATTACAAGTCTGCCGACAGCGGCAAACAAGGTTCTCATGGAACTTCACCACAATCACATCACAGAGGGTTTGGGTCAGTTTTAGGATCATATACAGATGTGATATACTAGCCGAGACTACGAAAAGAGGAATCACCATGCAAGCCGCGTCTTCGCCCCGGACCTGTCTATTGAAGCCGAGACCTACCCTACGGCGCAACCAGACATGGACTAAACCGATATTACCCACGCTTTGCAGCGCTTATTCGTCAACAACGGAGGCAAACTTGTCCAACATCTGCTGCTGGATCTCCTCGTACTGTGATGTAATTGTCAGCAAACCAAACATTAAAATCTTCGCAGCTGAGACGTACCTTCTTGGAGATAGCCTCCTGGCCTTCGGTGGGAACCTCGAACTTGAGTTGACGCAGCTTAGATTGCAGGTCGGACGTAGCCTCACGAACTCTGGCCCAGCTCTGACCCTGAGCAATAGCCTTCTGCGCCTCGTCGTGGAAACCAACCATCAACTTCATCATCCACTCAGTCTTCCACAGAGGGCAGAACTGGTCGTAGTCTGAGTAACCGTTCTGCTGCAAGAAGTCCTCCTTCAGGAGAGCGGCGATATCCAGAGTAATCTTGTCGGGGTCAGACAGCGCACTCTTTCCGACCAGCTGCACGACCTGGTCGAGCTCCTCGGAGTCGGACAAGAGCTGCTTGATGCGGTCACGCAAGCGGGGGAATTCGGGGTATTCCTTCTCGTACCACTTGTCGAGGACCATGGTGTACTTGGAGTAACTGAGCGACGTGTTGATGGAGGGGAAGTGCTTGCGCTGGGCGAGCTTCTTGTCGAGACCCCAGAAAACTTGTACAATACCGAGAGTGGAAGTCGTAACGGGATCGGAGAAATCACCACCAGGGGGACTGACGGCACCGACAATGCTGACACTGCCGGATCGCTCGGGCGAACCAAGAGACTTGACGCGGCCGGCACGCTCGTAGAAACTGGCGAGTTTGGCACCGAGGTAGGCGGGGAAACCTTGGTCAGCAGGCATTTCTCCCAAACGACCGGAAATTTCACGAAGAGCCTCAGCCCATCGGGAGGACGAGTCAGCCATCATGGCGACGTTAAGACCCTGGTCACGGAAGTACTCGGCCACAGTGATTCCGGTGTAAATGGAAGCCTCACGAGCGGCGACGGGCATGTTGGAGGTGTTGGCGATGAGGGTGGTGCGCTTCATGATGGGCTCCTTGCGGCCGTCGACCTCGATGGTGAGCTCGGGGAAATCCTTCAAGACTTCAGCCATCTCGTTACCGCGCTCGCCGCATCCGACGTAGACGATGACATCGCTGTTGGAGAACTTGGACACAGACTGACTAATGACAGTCTTTCCGCAACCGAAAGCACCAGGGATGGCAACAGTACCACCCTGAACACCGGGGAACAGAGCGTCCAGCACTCTCTGGCCGACGACGAAGGGCTCGTTGGCCTGAAGCTTCTCGGTGGTCGGACGGGGAACTCGCACAGGCCAGGACTGCATCATGGGGTATTCGGTCTTCTTGCCCTCGAACTCGACTTCGAGGAGGTTCTCCTCGACGGTGTAGCTTCCCTTGTTGGCGATCTTGGTGATGGTACCGCGGGCGCGAGGAGGGAACAGGATTCTGTGGGTGGAAATGAAGGAGTTCTCGTTGACGGTACCCCAGACGTCACCGCCGGAGATGTGGTCGCCGACCTTCAGGGTAGGGACGAACTCCCATTTCTTCGTGCGGTCGAGAGCGGGAACGGCGATACCGCGGGGGATGTAAATGGTCTTGGACAGATCGCTGATCTTCTCGAGGGGTCTTTGGATACCGTCGTAGATACCGTTGAGCAGACCGGGGCCGAGCTCGACGGAAAGAGGCTTTCCGGTGCGGACTACGGGGTCACCAACAGTGACACCAGCTGTCGTATGTCAGCTGGGTAACTCTGTGTAGGAAATGGATATTTTGCGTACCAGTCTCCTCGTAAACCTGAATTGTGCATTGGTCGCCATTGATACGAATGACTTCACCGACCAGGTTATCGTGACCGACTCTGACCTGTGACTTGTCAAAAGGCCATCCCAGATCCCAGTCAAACAATGCAACCTACCAACTCGTACATGGCAACACCAATCATGTCCTCGGCAACAATGACGGGACTGTGTTATGGTTAGTCGTCGGGCGCGGCAGATCGAGGTAAGGGGGCGAGTCGGGGAGCTTCAAACGAACCCAGAAATCGAGAAGATCTTGCCTGCACGAGGACGTCAGTCAAAGCCATTATCGACAAGCTCCAGTAGAAAGAGCTGCTTACCCTGAAGAGAGTCATCTTGCTCGTCGGCCTTGCTGTCTTTCTTCTGCTTCGTGGGAGTCCTCGGTCAGCTTCCAATGATCGAGGTCGGGTCGGTGGGGCAGGCATATGCCGCATAACAGAGGACGGGCAATCGGATTGCTTACAGGAGGCATGGTGGGCGTTTCGACGCGAGCAGGGCTCGGCTCGTGGAGAGTCGTCACAGGAAGAAGGTCGGTCGGTAGAGCAGAAGGATCGGGAGTTGAGGGGGAGGGCGGGATGGATGGTGGTTGACGAGGTGTTGTTGGAGGAGATGATGGTAGAGGATGAGCAGAAGCTATTGCCAGAGCTTCTACGACGTCCACTTGGCTGCTCGGGTGCGGCTGCGGCTCCAGTGCATGTCTGGCTGGGGCAGTCCAGCTGGCACTGGGATTGGTGCGGCCAGCCCACGCCTCAGGTAGCGCATGTAAAAGTGGGACCGATGATGTATGACCGGGGTCCGTGCCTGCTGAGGAGGAGCCTCCTGTCGTCTCCTGTGTCGCTGGTGCTGGTGCTGGTGCTGTTGTCGCTGAAGGATGGATGGCGCCTGTAGCGTCAATTGGAACCTGCAGATAGGTACTTCTGCCGCCACTCGTCGCTGCAGCATCTCGAGGAATGGGAGGTGAGACTGGTGATACCGGCGACGATGCCGAAGAGGAGCCATCACCACTCTTTTCCTCTCTGCTTCGGGCAAGCAATTCGACCAGAGACGGCCGCGCCCGGAGCCGAGGACGCAGTCCGACTTGCATGCACTTGGATTCAGGAGGTAGAATGAGGTGATTCGGCTTCTCGCATTTGTAGGTGTTGTGTCTTTAGTTTGAGTTTAGTTCGAAGCGCGTGACGAAAGCTCCGAGGTGTTACACTTGATGACGGCCTTTGTTCAGGGAAGGAGTTGATAACTACACTGCAATAACCCGGACACTCGCCAAGCGAAAACCCGCACCTCAGGTTGCGGTCAAGGTTGGGCTTGCGGGAGTTGCACTGCCACGACTCCGTCCCAAACACCATTTCCTTCTCCGCACGCCGTTGTCCGTGAGACAGAGTCGCGTAGCTCTCTAGATGGTGTATCAAACTTCACCGAAAGGCTCTGCCCTGAACAACACTCGACGATCATCGTGGCCAACTTGCTTCACACATAAACAGTTACTACTATTCAAATCTAACTACGTAGGCAAAACACGTTGTTCCTCGAAACGTTTCTCATAACTGGTCATGTCTGATAGACAACCTCGGAGAAACGACAAACTAGCTAAACGCATAGGCGCCAGTTTTCCATTTCCCTCCAAAAGCACGCAGTGTTTGCGTCGTACATTCGTTATTATCGTCATTATGCCATTATCCAACGGATCATCATCGTGAATGACCGCCGGACTACCAACCAGACATACGCCGATATGAGCCCCCATTTCGGAGCTCCATTACTCTCGCAAATACTCTCTTTCGTGCCACCAGCAGGCTATTTGCTGCTTTCCAGTGGCCTTCTTCGTTCTCTGCTCTTCCTCCTCTCAAACATGTTCTATGCTCGGCGGAATGACCTGTCCGCTAACCCGACCGTTTTGAGCGGTCCGGCACAGTGGGTGCTTTTATCTATACTTGAATGTAATCCATGCGGTGGCGCTCAGTTATGTACGATGCTGGCTTTCTTCATGTACGATGGAGGCATGTCTTTACGCACACGATCTCCAATGTCCAATCTTGAGACGTTGTTCGACCCGTTATAGCTCAGGCCGTGGTCTCCAAATCGATGAGCTGCTCCTCTTCGTCATGCTGCTTTCGCGGTGGAGAAAGACTCCTCTCCCACTCGTCCATGAGGTTGTTGGCAGTGCGCTTAAGATTGCCAGGGGAAAGTTTGTTCACCACCTGAGGGAGAAGCTCACCCAGTTGAGTGGGTGACAGAAGGGCTGACTCGGGGCGGGAGTCAGATCCGGCCGAAGTATCAACGGTGATAGGCGACTTCTTCTTACTGGGTGCGTGTCAGTACAGTACGGGTCAATGCGTGGGCGATCTTCTTACAGTGGTGTCACGTTCTCGTCGTTGTTCTCGGACATTGAAGCTATTCCTTCAGCTCCACCAACGGTCGAGCCGCTCCAGCGAGCTGACTTGGCAGACGAAACAGTGGGCGATTCCCAGTTCGACCAGTCGTCATCAAACGAATCAAACGTCAACGGCGTCCACGAGAAGTGCTTCGCCTTGGTGGTCGTGGACTTCGCGGCCGGCTTCGGGTTCGGTCGTTCTTGAAATGGTCTGGCTGACTTCGTAGGGGTGTCGACGGGCGAGTCAAAAGCAGAGCTCAATGGCGCTCTGGCTCGAGAGTTGAGCGCCTTGATGGTGTCATGGTCGCCGAAAGACCCTACCCTCTTTCCGGGTTCTGTCGAGCCAGGGCGGCTGATACCATGGATGGGCTCGTCGCCGACAGTGGCCTGACGGATATCCTCCACAAAACTCCAGAGACCTACTCTGAAGTCTTGCGCAATCTGCTTCACTCCAGGTGTAGCCGTGTTGTAAGTCCGCGGTTGCCAGGAAGCCCTCTTCGGCAGTGCCGCATGTGTCGGGGTCATCACTGGTGAGCGGAGCTCCAACGACCTGACGCTGGAGGCGTCCTCGTGGACAGCGAAACCTTCCGGTTTCGTGGGCGAGAGCAGCGACAGGGTCCTTGTGTGCCCGCCACGGAGGACTCTTCGTCTGTATTCTCGTGGGCCGGTTTGTCCCTGCAAATCTCTCAGAAGCGCCTTCCTCCTATCCAACTCAACACTCCGTTTCGAAGCCGCTTCATCATCATCTAGTAATGATGGCTCAAACTGCGGAGCCAGAGGGCGCTGGGGCAGCTCTCTCTTTCGCCGAGCTGACTGGGCGGTCCAGTCGTGCTTCAATTTCGCGAGTTCAGCTTCGGCGCGCGCCAATTCCTCCCGGATCTCCAAAACTCGACGCTCTTGCGCTGCTATCGCAATGATGAAGTCGTTAGGGTCGGACGGGGAGGTGACAGCTGAGGTGTCAGCGGGTGTGGGAGGGTAAGACGCTGTCGCGACTGAAGCTGGCCGGGAAGGGTCGCTGGTGGGAGGAGCGATTGGCAGTGTAAGCGACAGGCGATTGGTGTTACGCGATGCATTGGAAGTCGAACGTGCCGCGCGTGAGAGGCGTTCTTGTGTCGACGGTGTCGGAGGGGGCGGCGTCGTGGCTTCCGGGGTTTCCATCTCTCCTATAAGGGTCTCGACTTGCATGTCTGCGGGCTTGAAATGGGTCGGTCTTGGGAGCAAGATGGGCTGGGGTGTGAATGCCGTCGTGGTCGTGGCGGGCGAATCGGCCGGCGGGCGCTCGACCACAGAGGAACGACGGCGAATCTCGTGGACGCTCTGCATCTCGGCACGAGCAAAACGGTTGCGTGACGCCTCCCGAAGCGATTGACAGTTGGCGGTGTATGCCCGGCGGCGCTTAGGCAAAGAATGAGAGGGAGAGGCGTTAGCGGCCTTCCGAATATGCCTTTGTCTCCAGGCGGCGGAGGAGTGAGCGTGGTTCGTTCTTCTGGCAACGATAGCCTTGTAGTTGTTCAAATGTTTTTGGTGGTCATTCAAGAGAGTGTGAGAACAGGTCGAGACGAAGCAGATTTGTAGTAAGAAGATGGCTGTCATGGAGAGGGTGGAAAGAGGGTCATTATTGACAGGCAGTGTTTGTTGTTGCAGAAGCAAGCGAGAAAAGCCCCAGCAAGAGTGGTGCCAACGATTAGCAGGAGCCGGAGACTGGAGTGAGAAACGGGGTTGGGGGTCTGGTCTCTCCTGGGTCTGGGTCTTTGGTTCTGGGGGGTGTCCAGGTTCAGGAACCAGACCTCGTCGAGTCTTCTCTGGGTCTCGGTCGGGGGGTGACTGAAAGAGGGTTGCAGGCGCAATGGAGGCCGCGATTGGACAGCGAGATTGGCTGAGCTGGCGTGGCGGACGAGGGTATTTTGCTCCTTAGATAGGGGGTGCCGGGGCAGAAATGTAGTTAAGCCAGTGGGTGTGGCCGCTGTGGAATCTTTTATCTCGCCTGTTTGCCGTGCCTGGGAAGGGTTGAATGACGGATTCGGGCACAGATTCCCAGTTGGAGGACGACAAGGACTCGAAATGGGGGATTGTGGTGTTGATGTAAAGATTGCGACGGACAGAAGGATGATGAGAGACGGGACTGCGACTGGGAGGGCAGAGGCGAGGCCCTTGGTTGTGGCTCCGAGCTGTCAATGCTGGTTCTGCTTGAATTGGATTGCTTGATGCCTGCTGGGTTGTTTTTGATGATATCGGTCCGGCAATGTGAGTATGAGTCTTGCGTGTGTCCGTAGTTTGATACTGGTATCCGTAGTGGACGTGGCCGTCCTGGGGTCAAGCAGGGGTGACAAGGAGACCGATGTCAGGACCCAAAGTATGAGGTAAGGTATGAGCAAGGAAAGGCGAAGCAAGGTATCCGTAAAGGAAAGGACTGAGACCGAGAGTTCGGACGACAGACGAGAAGCAAAGGCGAATGAGATGAGATGGTATGGATGCCGAGAGTATCTGTAAAGTTGAAAGTATCGAGAGCGGCAGCAGTAGTCGCAGCGGTAGTTGCAGCAACGGGAGGCGGGAGCCAATGAAAAAAAAAGGCGGGATGTGAGATAAAGTAGCAATGGGTGGGAAGAAGGAACGATGTTTCTGGTTGCGCAATTGGGATTGGGTGGGAAGTGAAGAAGAAGAAGAAGAATCCAATCGAGATAGAGAAGCGGGTGTCGAGTCGAGCAGACACAATGGAAGGTGAGGTGAGGTGAGCGAATGTACGGATAATGCAAGTCTTTGTTGGCTTTGGCCCTTGGGTTGTTGGGATGGGAACCAAACGGAACGGGAGCAGATGGTCTGACCTGGGCTGTTGATGACGGCAGTATGGTGGTTTCCTGTGCGGTTCGCATTGCTTTTTGTCTATTACACCCATTATTTACATCCATAGACCCTGCTGTTACTTGGAGGCTCCCCTCTTTTTGTTTTGCTTTATAAAGCCTCATAAGTCATGTCGTGGTAAGGTTTTTAGCATGGCATGGCAGGCCGGACTTGTCACAACAGCCAGATCTCACTGGCACATGTTTCCCATTGTTTTGGCGTCCGCCTCGCCCGATCAACCAGACGAAACGAAACTCGACCATTGTCCAATGTCCATGTCCAACGATCCAAGTCCATGGCGGAAGGTTGCAGCAACGCCGGTGCCGATCGACTAAGATGAACGTTTTTTCAGGGGCTTGCAGCAGCTTGCGGCACCATCTTGTGCGACAGCCTGTAGGAAGCTGCGGCTCCTGCAGCAAGGAGTCAGGAACCGATGGGCGCCCCGACAACAGGCGTGAGATGGGCGACGGCGTCTTCTTGGTGCCGGACGGGGAAGTCTTGGAAAAATGGCCCGAGGCATTGCGCAAGAAGAGGATTCCCGGAGTTTTGTTGACAGTTACTGGCAGCACTGGACTCGATCCCTACTCCCTAGCAGCGTGGCATGGCCGTCGCCGGCATTGCCTGGCAGAAAGGATCCCATGTTTGCCAGTTGGATTGAATCCAGTATCACAAGGGTTCGCAGGAAAAAGCTGGGATGAACCGTGGCTTGTGTGGAGAGCACCCAATTTCACAATTTCGCAAATATTAACGGCCAATCACAACTGCAGTTTGTTTCCCCAAATCTCAACCGGCCCCACGTGATTGCCTGTCATGGCGACGACGTCCTTCCCCTTCCTGCTGGCTGCTGCTCCTTCCAGAACATCTCATCCGCCCACCTGCGTTGTGCGTTCTATTTATGCATTTTTGCTGTGCATTAAACACACACCCATGCACAATCGCACCACCCACAGCACTCGCAATTGGATTCGAGCACGGCCAGGGTCGTCCTCTCCACTAATTAGACGACAGCGCGCACCACCCAGACGCGTGACGCGACTTCCTACAATCGATTTGATCGTCTGCATGAAGCTCTCACGAGGCACAGCTGACCTGCCTAGGTAAGCCAGCGACCGCCCAAAGAAGAAGTCGCCAGTCAATCACCTTAGGCATTCACTGCCTCATTTTCTTGGGTGTCAAAATCTCTGTTGCCTGTCTAGTGACACATACACGTGTGTGAACTGGTCTCTATTTCACCCTTTGATCGCGTTCTTCATATGTCATTGACAGACAGCTTTCAAGTTGAACTACTTTTCCTTCCCAGTTCTGGAGAGAGAACCGCAACACATCTTAGGATGCTTGACCCGTCACGATGACATTTCCTTTTCTTCTTGTTTGCGACCTGCTAGAGCAGGCTCATAGACAATCCAAACTAGGCAATGCCGCCATCGACCAATGCGTGACAAATTGGTTCAAACAACATCGCCGCCGTATCGACGATTCAGCAACCAGCGCTTCCGCTCTCCTCTCTACCCTGCTCCCCGAAAAGCGCACCGATCGAGTTTACAACATTCAAGCCGACTCGCTGTGCAGCATCGTTGGACGCATTCTACGTCTCAACCAATCGCGAACCCAGGAGTTACGCCGATACAAAAAGGCTGGCCTAGGTCTGGACTTGGCGGATTGTATCGAGGGCAGCATCAAAGAAACCGTATGTACTCCCGGCCCTCGGTTGAGTTGCTTCCGAGCAGTTAAGATCGACGCTTGAGAGTTCGTGTGCTGATAGTAACACAGCCATGCCCGTGTTACGATCCAAGAAGCCCTGTCACCATCGAGGAAATCGATGCAACTCTTCATAGCATCGCAGCGAGATGCAGATTCAGCTCTCCAGCTGTTCAGGCGTCTCAGGCTCATCCGAGCAACAACGACCGCGATGAGCTCCTTCGCTGGTTGTACCTTCGCATGTCAGCAAGAGAAGCCAAATGGCTCACCCGTCTGATCCTCAAGAACTTCCAACCAGTCATACTGGACCCAGGGCGCGTGTATTACTGCTATGACCCCTCACTTCCCAGGATACTCAGGATCCAAGACAACTTCACCGCCGCCCTATCTCTTCTGCAGAAGTTGAAGGATGACCCTTCTTTGCGCGATGAGACCGGGAGCAAGAGGCGTGAAGGCCTGTTGAAGCACCTAACACCTGTTCTGGGCGTCAAAGTTGGTCGACAGTCATGGCTCAAAGGACGCAGTATCAAACATTGTATGAATATGGGTCATGGTCGGATGAGCTGTGAAAAGAAGGTCGATGGGGAATACTGTCAGGTCCACATCGATCTGAGCAAGGGACACAATTGTATTCAGATCTTTTCCAAGAGTGGCAAAGACAGCACATCAGATCGTGCAGGGTTGCATGGGTAAGTCGTAGATCTCCTGACTCTAACTACGCAAGCTCATGACCATACAGAGCTATCCGTGACTCGCTGAATATCGGAAAACTCAAATGCAAGCTAAATAAAGGCTGTATCTTGGAGGGAGAGCTTGTTGTCTACAGTGACAAGGTATGTCTATTGACATCTGGAGCTTTCATCTACTGACAACAGGCAGGAAAACAAGATCCTTCCTTTCCACAAGATCCGCAAGTACGTGTCTAGGTCAGGCAGCTTCCTCCATACGGAGGCTGACTCGCAGTAAGTACCGACCTTCCAACATGGATGATAGCCTAGCTAACGCCAGTAGACGACACCACTATGAGCATTTGATGATCATCTACTACGATGTTCTCCTCATCAACGACGAATCACTTCTCGGCGTTCGACACAGTGAGCGTTTCAAACGTCTCACTGACTTGGTAGACTGTCGTGAAGGTCACGCCGAACTGGTCGAACGTCAAGTCATCTGCCTCGACCAACCCTTGGCAGCATCCCATCTGAGAAAGGCGTTCGCCAGGTCTATAGCATTACGAGATGAAGGCCTAGTTCTGAAGCCGGACGACCCTTATTTCGACTTCAGCCAAAATCGGCGAGCCTTTTCTGGTTGCCCCATCAAGCTTAAGAAAGAGTACATCGGCAGCTTTGGAGATGTGGGCGACTTTGCAGTTGTGGCCGCCCGATACGACGCAGACAAAGCAAAGTGCTATGAGATTCCTAACCTACAATGGACACACTTCTATCTCGGTTGTCTCGACAACAAAGAAGATGTACAGAGATACCAGGCCGCGCCCAAGTTCACTTTGGTTCACCAAGTAGAGCTCAACAAGGAGATGCTCAGGACGGTGGTAACTTACGGCAGGCCTGCCCCGGTGCCTTTCGAGGACAATGACACTCTGATACTCGACATCGCGCCAGGAATCGCCCAGCAAAAGATGCCAACAGTGGTATTCACTGAACCCCTGGTGTTTGATGTCCGTTGTTTCTCGTTTGATAAGGAGGGAAACACCGGTTTCTGGCAACCTAGGTTCCCTCAAGTGTCAAAAGTTCACTTTGACAGATCCTTCCTCGACACGATCTCTTTCACCGACCTACAGAAGGTAGCAGAGGACGCAACGACTACCCCGATCATGGAGGACAGTCAAGAGATGCTCACCTGGATTGCTGCGCTGGAAGGCGCAGACCCGCGCGGAATTCCCGTCGACGCTACCAGCCAGTCGACAACCACCTCTCTCATGACACCTTCCCGAACCTCGTCCGTCAGACCTTCCACCTCACCAGCTCCATCACCTCGAAGCCCATTGATGCCGCGTCGCTCCCTTCCATCCTTACTGGAGATGCCGGAAACCCCTCCCCTCACTCCACCAGCCTCATCGGATCCTGCAGCTACAGCCATCGAACCTGCAAAACAGCCCATCAACAACATAGCAACAGAATCTAGCGGTACATGCAAACGTACCCACGAAAACCTCAGCGCGACCCCACGCCAGAGCAAACGACCACGGGTTTGCTCCGAGCCTTGCGTCGAGAAGCAAAAGCCCACAGGCCAGCAAGCTCGTCAACCGCTCGGAGAGTTGAGCGTCAATCAAGCGACTCCTTCCCCCCTCGCCTCTCAACAGTCTGCATCGCGGAAGCAGGTCGAAGCAGTCGCAGCACCGCTGGAATCAACGTCGATTGCACCTACAATGCCTGAGCAGCAAATCACCGACACTTCATCGTCTGCAGAGGCGGCAACTGCGGACCTCACTATCACTTCCCCGCCTCAGCCCGCTCCTGCCACCCGCACATGCGAATACGCAGGCACTCACTGCATCCTGGCAAACCGCACCGCCGCCCTCCTCTCGCCCTGTATCGCCAATCAGCTCTGGATCACCGAGAACCTACTCCCGTCCCATGGAATCCACCAATGGACGGCGGATCTCCAAGCTTGGGCCGAGATTCCAAGGAAGCACGGCGCCCGCAAGATCTGCTTCGTCGAGCACAACCGCAAGGAATCCACGAGAACCTTCTTGAGGGCCGTGGAACAGAACCCGCAGTACTCTGCCAGCGGTAAGCGCGAGTGGATCGAGGTCTACGATTGGCGTCTCCTGGAGGATGTCACTGCTCTGGAAAGAGTTCTGAGGGGCTCAGGTTCGTCGTCCTCAGTCAAGCGCCCCGACCCAAAGCGCAAGTGGTTCGTTGGATTGGTTTAGCAGGGTTCGGCATCGCCAAGGCTTTATTACTTATGTTTAAGTATACAATCAGTCACAGTATGCGTCAATCATCATAGAGTAGTCAACGGAATCACGTTTTGAACAATTTTTGACCATTTTCAAGCCGGCATTCTATGCCTTTGCCTCCTCTTCCTTGTACAGTCCCTTATAACTCTCCCTCAGCCTCATGAAGAGGTGCTCATCCGCAGTCATGACCTTCCTCTCCGCGTAGGGGTTCGCGTTCGGCGTGCCCTCGGGCGCCACGAACCCCTTCACCCTCTCGCTCGGCACGGGGTCGAGCGCGACGGAGCCAACCGGGTGGCAGAAGAAGGCCATCGAGTAGCGCGGCCCAGCGTCCGTCTCCCCAGTCGGCGCAGCGTCGCCACCGAAAACAACACGGTGGACGGTGCTCCGGAACAGGCCGTTGGTCCAGTACGACAGCAGGTCGCCGATGTTGACGAGGACGGGCGGGAGCTCGTCGGCCTCGGTGCCTGGCGGGGTGACGGGGACGGGGGCCCACGAGTTGTCGCGGGTGAGGATCTCGAGGCCGGCCTGGCCGCGGAGGCGGAAGAGGAGGGTGACGGAGCCGTAGTCGGAGTGGGCGCCGGCGCGGACGTCGTCCGGGTCGGCGGAGGCGGTGACGGCGGAGGAGGGCGGGTAGTATAGCATGCGGAGGATGGTGCCGGACTCGCCGCGCTCGCGGAGGTGGGCGGCGGAGAAGAAGGTCGGGGGGTCGACGTCCAGGCCGATGCCGAGGAGGTGCAGGAGTTCGAGGCAGAGGGCGTGGCACTGGTCCCTGAAGGAGTTGAGGAAGGGCTCGTCGGGCTGGATTGTTGCGGGCAGGGGCTGTTGGGCCTTGCCGTCTTTGAATTCGCCGAAGTTGAAAGCTCTGTTTTGACGTGTTAGTCGGGTGCTTGTGAGTGTCTTGTGAGAGTTGTGGCGGGTGAGGGCTTACTCTTTGTAATCTCCAACCTACGCGTAGTCAGCCATCATTTGGTTCATGTTGCTTCATGAGATTTAGAATGACTTACTCGCTGGTTCTTCGGATCCAGTGTCTCAGAATGCATGCCAGACCAGCCGCGGTTGTTCTGCTGGATGGTGCATGCCGCCTTCTCCTCCACAGGGGCCTTGAACAGCTTCTTCGACTATTCAGACTCAGATTAGAGGTCGACACTATATTGCAACCGAGAACGAAAGACTCACCAGGTCAAACGCAGCGTCGATATCGCCGAGGTTGATGTACTTGCCGGTGTTGCGGATGTAAATGAAGCCGTGCTCTACCGCGGCGTCGACCAGCTGCTTCGCGATGGCCGTTCTGTCGACGCCCGGCGCGGCGATGTCGATGATGGGGATGTTCGCGTTAGGTGCCATGTTGTTTCCTTTCTTACTGCGTGACTTGAATTTCACAGACAAAACAAGACAGGAATGAGAGAAAGATGAGTCGAGCGAGCAATGAATGGCTTGGAGGGGCGAGGTTCACCCGAAGTCGCGCGAAGTGGGATGCGATAAGCGATAAGAGTGGGATGTTGGAGGGGCGGGTAGGACCGCTCGGGACGGGGCCGGACGACTTGTGTAATGTCTATTACGCAGCTTTTGATAGCGGACTTGCGGTTGGAGATAACTGTAATCAGATTGCGACGGTGAGGGTTATATATTCAAACGCTTTGATATAATGCGTTAATAGGTAAGGCATTGGGAGGAAGGATGTCGCCGATGACCGACGCCTTGGTAGTGACGGTAATTCTTACCTAGATGCACTAACAGGGAAAACGGCGGCGGACAGCAGAAGCTAAGACAATGGCAAGGGAATAGAGTTCCGTCACAGGAAAGACGTCTGTGCCTCAAAGACGAAATGTTCCAAATGCGGGGTTGAGGAGCGTCTTGTATTCAAGTGAAGAGGCTCGGACGGGAGCTCAGTCAATCGCAAACCGAAGAACTCCGAAGACTCTGGCCACGCGAGTTGCCGTGTGGCTTAACTTGGTATCAGACCAAAAGTCCTTGGTGTTGAATGTCTGGAGATCGTTATTGGCCCACAAGCTGGTTATTCATACTAAACCCTAGGTTAGCTCAATTGAATGGCAGTTTGCTAGGATGCGGTAGCTTCTTCGCAAAGAGCTTGAGCTATGAACAAGAAGCCTTGCAAGCCATTGTGTTGGGGTTGGAAATAGCATCATCAACCTTGATAGGTGTCGAGGTAAATCGATCTCGATTAACGCCGTCAGTTCTGGTTCCTCTACCTACCTTAGTTAACCCGGGATGCGGTATTTCATGAGAGCATGCAGTTATTGGTGCTGCTATATCAAAACTTCTCTTCAAAACTTCATCAATTGCTCTGTGCTGTAGCGATTCTCCAATGCAAGGGTAGGCGGAATGAGCATCCCTGGCGGGACTCAGAGATGCGCAATGAATCCGTTAAAGAGCGGGGGGCTGGACAGGCGGGGACGGAAGTCGAGCAAAGCTTCTGGTGGTGCCGGGAAATGGGACGTGATGCGTTGCCGGGGCCCTTTGTATTTTAAACATATCGTCAAGTACGGAGACTATGAGCTCGAGACTTTGGGGTTTGCTCATCCAACGTCTTCTAAGATGGGTTTTCTTGCAGAAGTTGGATTGTTGTAGTTGCAGGTAGATCAAGGAAAACGAACTGGGAAATAAAGGCGCATGATCGCTGCCCGTTTCCTCAGCCCGTCTTTTCTAGCCGGAACATGGTCCTGTCTTTAGCAACTTCCAGACATGAACTTACTGTGATTGGATTAAAACCAAAACCCAGTAAGTGCCTGTCTGCTGTCTTCCATAAGGTAGGTAGGTAAGGTAACCTGGAAGTTCCATCCGGGCAGGGTTCCACCCGACCTCTCCCGTCGTCACCGGGGCGGGCTCCTGCCCGTCGGCGACGGATGTCGCAAGCCACAGACGGGAAGAAACACCGCCACAGGTCACGAAACAGCTGTAACACAGGCAGGCGCTAACCCTACTACTTTCCTAGCGCCCCGAAACTCAAGGGTTGGCCAACTTGCTCCCCCTGTACAGCGGTACGGTACCTCGCACCTATGTTCCTGAACCCCAAACTGTCCCAATTTATCTCCCGTCGCCAGAGTCCTTTTTTGAAAGCTCCCCTCTTCTTTTTTTTTGAGACACGGCTTGTCAGTGTCATTGGCCTTCCAGTGGCCTTCTTCTTTTTCATGACAAGCTCAGTTATTCCTTTCGAAGTCATTTGAGCTTCTCCAAGACCGCGTCCGACCACTTTTGCTCTCCTGAGAGGTCTCGCGACCCAAGCTCCACCTACCCGATCTTCCCCCCCCCAAACGGCTCGTTGTCAACTCGAGCTCGACGAGCTACGCGTGGTCGCGCAAGGTCCGACAAGATGCCTTGTGAGTCCATCCTCTGCCTCTGCCCCAACCGAAATACTTCCTTTCGATGCGCTCGCTTCCTACATCATCTACCTTGCCCGGAACCTCACCCTCCCGTCACATGCGTTCAAGGATACCTGCGTCATACCCGCTTCCTCCCCATTTAGCGCTTGGGGGTATCCGATTCCACGCCTAAGTGGGCATCCCGCACGAAGAATACAAACATCAGTCGGCCGAGAAGGAAGCGGCTTCTTACATCTTCTGCTGGCGCCGGAGCTCCTCGAGCTTTGCGTTGTGTCTGCGACGCTACAACACCACACACATCTGGCCTCAGTTCGCGATACCACGGCAGCTACACACTCTCGCTTCCAGTCATACCTCTCTGCGACCTGGCCTCACCACCTTGCATCTCGCATCTTGTGGCATGAACATCACTAACTCAACATGGTAGTTCTTGTGGAGGATGCCTGGATCAATAACCATGCATCGTAAGCACGATCTTCCCTAGATTCGGTCTACACGCGGCTAATATACTTTTGAAATACAGAACCCACAATGTCTCCGAACTCGATGACTGCGCGATAGCAATCGATGCGACATACTACCTTCAGCTCTTCCTCGATACCCCGCCCGCTCACGAACCGCTCCTGCCCGCTCTTGGTGGTATGACCGGCATTGAGTATCACCTCCGAGCGGATATTGAGCAATGGAAGGCCAACAACATCACCCCCTTCTTCATCTTCGATGGCCAGTCTCTGGCCGGTCAGGAGGAGGTTGCCGTGCAGCGGGGAAAACTTGCCAACCAGAAGACGAACGAAGCCTGGAGCTTGTATTTCAACTCCGAGGCGGAGAAGGCGGTCACGGCGTTTGGTCAGAACAGCGGTAGGCATCACAGCCTGCGCCGAAATAAGCGATATACTGATGACAGCAACTATAGGTGCCTTTCGCATCCAGAATCTCTACCCCTTGCTTAAGTCCATTTTGAAGGACAACAACCTGCACTTCCTCGTGCCCCCATACAATGCATCTGCCCAGGTTAGTGTGCAACACTGGATGCTTTGTAGGAGCTCTGCGCTGACCAGCTATTAGCTCGCCTACTTCGACATGATTGACTCGGATCAGTGCGCTGCGGTCATGGGCTCTCAAGAGTTGCTCCTGTACCCCATCCGCGACACTGTCATCCGCTCAATAGACTGGGAAGCGAAGCAGGCCACCTCAGTATCCAAGAAGAAGCTTCTTCATGTGCTTAACATCGCAGAAAGCATGCTACACGACGCTCTGTTGATGACAGGAACATCTTTTCTGCCCCCTTTCCCCCCACTTCAGGACGTATCACTCTACCCTCGCCAGTCTACCGTCAACGATGCCGTGAACCTGCTCAGAGCCTCAGAGAAGTCTGTCCAATCGGCATGCAGCTCGTATGGGGACGTTCTGAAGTCAAAGGACCCCAACTGGCTAGACAAGTACAGAAAGGCCAGGATGGCCGTCCACCACTTCATTTACGTTTCAGAGGACGGCGAGGTCAAGGTTACCGACTACGAGCACATTACTAGTGACAACCATCTTTACCTCGGTTTGCAGCTCCCCGGAGAGCTGTATCACTATCTCAACACCGGATTGATTAGCGCTCGCGTTCTCGATTACATTACTTACAGCCGGATCATCGTGACGCCAACGTTGGATGGCGTTGCCTCGGAACAGTACAAAAAGTTGATCACGAACCAGCTTATCCCCTTGAAGGAGCAGAGCATCGGCCTCATCATTCCTAGGCTGCATCGCGGTCTTCAGCACAAGCCCATCCACGTCAAGGTGTGGTTTGACGACAATTTCTCCCATGAGATCACCAAGCTGCTTCAACCGTCTCCGACTGTGCCTGCTGCTACATGGGATGTGAAGGACAGTTCCTTCAAGATCGTGGATAACATCGACGAACCTGCTGGTTCCATCGCTTTCGAGTTTAGCGCACTTCTGTTCCCGGAGTTCGTCAAGGCGACGTTCCCCCAGGAGAAGCGTATCACCGGTATCGACTCCATCCAGAATGTCACCGCAGTGGCTATTTGGAGATTCCTCCATCTTCGCGGTTACGTCGACGATTCACACACGCTCACCAACTGGGGTAATGCTGTTGCCAGCGCCATCTGGGCTATGAAGGACTCTCTGAAAGATATCCAGCTCCCTGACGGTCTCAACATCTTTGAAGCTATTCTAGCCGCGTTTGAGCTCATCAGATTCGATGTGCTTAATGCGCGACACCGACACGAAGAACTCAACGGAGCTCCGGTTGCTGGCAGTGATGAGGACAAGGCCAGCATCGTTCTTATCAGTCGATGTGCTTCACTGCTCAAGCTTCGCCATGAAGCCAACGGATACACCGGTCCTCTTAACAAGAACCTTCTTTTGTTCCGCTCGCTATCTAATGCGGTACGCGAGGCCGATCGCGATCTTGTGGAGGCGATTGTGGCGTCCATGTTCTTGTACGCGCAATCGAAGAGAGACAGAGACGATTATTTGGAGATCAGCACCACGTGAGCACACCTGCCGATGTGTTTGATAGAGTTACTGACGTTTCCAGGTTGCCATTCCTCTACACTCCAGACATTGCTCTGGGCATCGCCGTCAAGACATTCATGGACGAAATCCCCGCTGGCGAGAGCAAAGAGAAGCGTCAAGCCAGACTTGCTGACTTCTCTGAGAAGTTCTTCCCTTATGCTACCAACTTCAGGGATGATGTGCAACTGGCGTTTGCCTTCTTCGATGCGATTAACAAGGGTGTGCAGACTCTCAACAAGGAGGTATCTGCGGCCGATAAGGCCGTGTGGTCGACGGCAAGCAAGTATCTAGACCAAAAGCGGTTCTAGTGCCGGTATTTTCTGGTCTTGCAGCGAGGCGTTGGAGAAACAAAAAAAAAGAATTAGCAGGCCGAGGGGAGAGATATGTCACATGCCGCTGTATAGAAACAGTGCGAGGCTACTCGAGACAGGATATGAAGCAGTTGGTCATTCATAGCTCGAGGCACCAATAGCCACCGGCACTACTCAACCCATCAGACTTCTAGTTTGCATTACAACCTACACAGAGTCACAGGTTAGCTGTTCTGTATCCACAGGAAGAAGTAGAAGCGGTTTATCCTGGAAACCTGTTTGAATGTGCCTGAAGCTATTGACCCTGCACCTTGGTGGGCCGAGCAGTCCCAGCGAAGACCCGACTGATCTCAATAACCGTTCGTTAGCTACTCCGTACTCTTTCAGAGTTGAAATTGTATCGTCTGGTTTGAAGCGCGGCAAACTGATGTCAGTAAGTTCGTTGTAAGAGTTCTTTTATGTATCTACTGCAGGCCATTATCAAGGACGGCCGCGAAAAGAACTAAACGTCTGCCTCTCTACCTTGGCCCTGCTAGTAGTCGTGATCGTACGCAACCTCCCAATGTTCCCTTGAACACCAGCTGCTTCCCAATGCCTGACAAAATCACTTAGTAGCCAAACACCGATGCCATGTCTTTGGTATCTCCTGTCAGGAGACTTGATGTTCCTGACTCCCCATTCCCCTGTAAATGTTTTCCATCTGCCTCAGTCCTTGAATGCAGTTAAACTCCCCTCATGATATTAGCCTACGTTTGATCGGCTGGGGCACGGGGACCTCGTCGATGGTAGTCTCTTCTTTCTTGAGGACCCGTTCGCCCATTTGACGGATCTTCTCGAGCAGGTGGCTGTGAAAGGCAGAAATTGTTAGAAAAGCTTACTTTGAAAAGCGAGTTGAAAGAGTGCGAGAAATAGATTCCAGTGTGCCTGGCAGGATTTCCTCCTCATCTGATGATTCCGCAACAGTGACGGAACGTGGCGAAGGTGGACATTGATGAGTTGTAAGTCCACTTGGACTGGTCTCCCAGAAGGGGGAGACGTCGTCAGACAGACATGTGTACCGGAAGTGAGAAGATGGAGACGGGGGGCCATACTCAATGGGAAGGTGGTTCTTAACGCCCTCAGTCACTGCCAGATCGATGCGCGCGTCTCGGTTTTCGTCCTCGTAGTGCGCCTCCTGGATGTGTTCTTGAATCCGCTCGCGTCCTTCGTCCTGTTCAGCGTTGCGCACTAAGAACCCGCAGCCTTCTTCATCGCAAACCCAGGTGCCGTTGGGTCCTTTCGCGTCGGTTGTTGGGAGGTTCTCTGCTCGAACAACCACCTTCAAAGCACTAGGCGAGCCGTTCGTATCAATCTCGGAATCGTCGTCGATGGAGCTGCTAGCGCCGTCATCCACGTTATCATCTTCCATTCCCTCGTCGTTTTCCGAGTCATCGGGATGAGAGATCTTGGCTGCCTTGGACCCTCGAGAAACGGTGTCGGGCGTTCCGTCTGTGGAGTCGAACCTTCGTTTGCTTCCCTTGCTACCGACTAGACGAAGGGCTGACATCTTGCCTGCCGGACGCCCAACACGCTTGGGTGGGGGAGTTGCGAGTGCTGCCATGTCGCGTGGTTCGTTGAGTTCAGCCTTCACAGTCTTCGCCTTACGGCGTGTTAGCTGACTTGGTACTTGCTCCAGTGAGATATTCTCAAGTTGCTTGCGAGGACCAGCGGCGATGTCTTGCAGTTCCCCCCAGAACTTGGAACCACCCCACGCATCCTCATCCAAGCGTTCCAGAAGCTCCTGGGCATAGTAGCTCAATATCTCGGATGAGCCCTTGTAGTGCTTGATGCTGTGTCTGTAGTAAATCTTCGACGAGACCTTTGAGAGCGAGCTTTTGCTTAGAGGTTCCAGTTCTGGCCGGAGCTCCTCAAGGGCTTGCAAGATCAAGTCAATGTTTGACTGTTCGCCTGAGGGTTGGTTCTGCGCCGGTCGTTGGGGCAGCGTTAGAGGCACGGCGTCAACATCCATTGCCTCAACAGACGCTGCTTGGGTCACTGCGGGAGATGTCGACGGGGGACTTCGTGATTGTGCCTGTGTCTTGGCCCTAGACCTGGATCTGATGCTGACCTGAGAGGTATTGCTGACGTCGGGAGTGTCGACATCATCACTGGCAACGCCAACATCCGGTCTGGAACGTTGTCGTCTTTTCGAAAGGGCTTTCTGCGCAGGGGGCTCATCAGATGCGACAGGCGGGGCAATGCTCTCCGTCTCTTCCGGGAGCTCTTCCTTGATAGCCGCGTTTGCTGCCTTTTTCTTTCTGGACTCCAAGACGGTTGTATGAATGTCCTATTGAGAAGTTAGCGGTGCAATCGGGCCTGTTCGTAGCAGTCGGCACTTACACGATGTCGTCCTACCATCCACTTGAAGAATACGGTTGGAGACCAGTCAAAATTTGGGCTATCCTCGTAGAAGTGAGAGATGAGGAAGGGAGCGTGTTCATCGCAGCGCGACACAACCTCGTCATATGTTGCGCCATCACCCACGGCTACGGCGTACTGCCGTTCGTTAGCACGAGCCGAGAGGTGCTGCATCGGCAATTTACCTTGAAGAGCAGAGTCTCTATTGTGAGCTCTTTCGGTGACGCCTTCCTTCCCCTCTTCTTGCCTTTCTTTCCAGACTCGGTGTCCTTCTGGTGTTCCTCGATCGCCATCATTATGCCGTAGTAAATCGAAATGCCTTCAATCGTGTGATCGAAGATCGGCCTGTACAGGGCGGAAGGCGGTTGAATTTCATACCAGCCGCATTCGCCGCCAGCCCAAGCGCCATATGTGACGACCTCGCTGTCGATACTGCCGATAGCATATCTAGTGCACAACTTGGTCTCGATCAACGCGGACTTCGTGGCGGGGTTCTTGGCTGCGCAAGATTAGCTAGGGAAAGCGACAGAAGCTAACAGAGGATGCAACCTACCTCTTTTCTTTTGCTCGCCGTCAATTAGGACGCGGCCGCGAACAGTGAAGGGGCCTTTGGTCCCGACGGTAAATAGCTCGACGGTCCTGCCTGCCCTGTCGTAAATCGTCGCATCCTCCAAAACGAAAGTTTGTAGCGCATCCGCATCTTTTAGCGACCGGTCGAATTTCTTGAGAACATTGAGCTCATTGGTATAGGCGTGGCTGTCGTGGTCCAAAGTTCCGGTCGTTGAATCGGATGTCCTCCTACGTCGTCCGAACATTGTGCCGGCCTTTCTCAGACCGCGATGCACGCAGTGGATTGAGCAGCTGTCATTAAAATTGTGTGAGCAGATCGCGAGAGCCCGTTCGCGGTGTTTCGGTTGCAAGGTGAATTGAGGTTGAGGGAGAGTACGGTAGCGGGGCGACGAGTTGCGCCAATGTTGGTGAATGGTGTCTGGAAGTAAGGAAGGGCGCGCGGGACGCGATCTCATTAAGCAAGAAGGCGCGAACATGCGCACCTGCCCTTCAACCGTGCTGCGGGGCACTTTACGCCTCTGCTGCCCCCACCAGAGCTGGCAGGGCACCCGGAGCACCGACCGCAGGGGATCTGCTGGCTCAATGACCCAGTGGCAGGGGCTCAAACGTCCGAGAACCAATCGATAAGAAGATAACGCGCGCTGGAACGTCCCTTCCAAAAAAATTTCCCAGAACTGCAAGCGACGAAGCGCAGACTGGAGCGCAAAAGTTAGAGAAGGCGCACCTCATCCACCCCACCAGCTTCGGTCCTGCCTTTCTTTTATTTTTTCCTTCTGTTCCATCACCTTGTTACTCGAGCGGATGCGAATTGCGTCTAGTATATTGAAGATGGCGAAGGACACCGTGCTCGAAGGCGTCTTCGGTAAGCCTCAACCCTCGTTTCCCCTTCTTCCGACACCTTGTATTGGTTCTACCCTCTTCAATGCCTCGTCGCGCAAGTTGATTCCTCGTCGCTGACAATGTTAACACCACTCAGCCATCAACAAGCCGTACGGCATGAGCTCCGCGCAGGTCATTCGCGATGCTCAGACGCAGATGAATCCGTCGGCGATGTTCAAGCCCTTGATCGAGAGGGAGATCGCCGCTAAGAACGCAACTCCCTCGCACGAATGGAAGCGCCGCCGCCAAGTCAAGAAGGACACCCGCGTGAAGATGGGACACGGCGGAACGCTCGATCCTATGGCTACCGGTGTTCTCATTCTCGGTGTCGGAACGGGAACCAAATCCCTCGGTTCATTCCTCGACTGCACCAAGACATACGAGACCGTAGTGGTTTTCGGCACAAGCACAGACACTTACGATCGCGTCGGAAGAATATTGAGCAGGAGACCCTATGATCACATCACCAAGGAACAGGTCGAAAAGGCTTTGGATGGTTTCAGGGGCAAGTTCGAGCAGATTCCGCCTCTCTACTCTGCGCTCAAGATGGAGGGCAAGCCCTTGTATGAATACGCCCGAGAAGGCAAGGCCATCCCGAGAGAAATCGCCGGTCGCGAAGTCGAAGTCACAGAGCTTGAGCTTGTCGAGTGGTACGAGCCCGGATCGCACAATTACAGATGGCCTACCGAGGAAGCCGAGACCGCAGAGAAGAACCTTGCAGAGCAGGTTTGGCGGGTGAAGAAGCAGCAAGACACCAACGGCGGCAGGAAGTTGTCCCCAGCGGAGGAGAAAGAAGAGGAGAAGGCCATTTCCGAGCATGAGTCTTTTAAGAAGAAGTTTGAGGAGCGCCAGGATAACCTCATCCGAGACAAGCCTCCCAAGAAACAGCGCCCGCCAAAGAGTAAGGCTCTCATGTCTGGTGCTCTTGGACAGCTGCCTGCCGGAAAGGGCTCCAACCTCATAGCTCCACCACCTTCGGAGGATGAGCCCTTCCCATGGACCGATAAAGGCCCTCCGGCCGCCAAGATTCGGATGACAGTCACGTCTGGTTTCTACGTCCGCAGCTTCTGCCACGATCTGGGGGCGAAGGTTGACTCTGCTGGTATCATGGCCGAGTTGGAACGTTCGCGACAGGGCGACTTCGAGGTTCGCACCGAAAACTGCCTGGAATACAGCGATCTCGGCGAGGGCGAGGACGTCTGGGGCCCCAAGCTCACTAAAATGCTGGCCTCCTGGCAAGAGAAGTACCCTACCGGAGCGCCGCAACCGCAGAACCAGCGCAATGGCAACCCACAACAGCAAGATAACTCTCGCAACAATAACCAGCAGAAGAAGCGCAAGTGGGGCGATGACAGAAAGAACAACGAGGACGACAGAAATGCCAAAAAGAGAAGAAACTCTAGCTCGGATGAGGGTGAAAAGCCCTCCAAGGCGCCCAAGGTTGAGGTCAAGACTGAGGAAGTGAAGGCGTCCCCTAAGGGCTCTCCTAAGGGTTCACCCAAAGGCTCACCCAAAAGTTCGCCCAAGGCAAAGACCCCAACAAAGGCAGAGGAGGCTGAGTGGGAGGGAATCAAGGACTGAGTCCAAGTCCGCATAGACATGAGCTCTATACACACAGAACATGGGCCTGATGATATCCGACTATTTGCAATTGGGAGAGGCATGGCGTAATAGGGCATGATTTTACAGGACCTCAAAAGCATTCCAGGCTGATGCCATTAACTTGCTGATGACATCCAGCTTGGCTATCCATAACGATGGGAGTAGATTCTTGAAGCGATCGTACAATTCATTCTCTTGATTGACATTAATCTTCTTGTATGGGGTTGCCGTTTTGGGACACAGCCCTCAGTGAAGTTCCTTTGTTTCCCGAAACCTCCTTCATGGTACCTTCGAGGTTCCTTTAAGCCATCCATATATGCACCAATATAGTATACCTCCCTAAGATTCCAAGGTATCCTCATATGACCAAGTACGTATAACCAAAGAACCACCCAAATGCTAGTCATATCGTCATAATAGTCGCGGTTATCGCACCGCTATGCATCGTACACTCGTCCCAACCCAGTCATCTCATAATTGCGAAGATGGCGTTGTTAAAGTCGACTCCCTCTTGTCCGCCTCGCCTCGGCTTCCCACGGGCCCCTCGGCCTCCGCGGTGCCCTTCAGCTCTCCCAGCAACGACCTGACTCTCTCGATCCGTCCGACAGCCCCTTCCAGCCTCTCCAACCTCCGTTTCTTGTCCTGGTCCCGCTTCTCGAGCACCTCAACCCGCTCCTCCAGCTTCGCCCGCGCCCGCCTCTCCGTCGCGACCATCTCGTTCGCCTGCTCGAACAGGCTCACGCTCAACTCCTCCACCTCCTGACTCGTCGTGCTCAACCTCGCCTCGGCCTGTACCCTGAGCTTCTGTTCCCTCGTAAGCGCCTCCAGCAGGTCCTCCGTCGTCGCGGGATCCCCCGGCGCCGGCGGCGACGGCGCTCGCAGATTCGGCGTGCTCTTCATGCCTCGCGGGCTCAGCAACTGTGATAGTCTGTTGGCGCCGCCCGAGAGAAACGAAGTGCGTGTTGGCGAGGGGGTCGGCGCGGGGGCGGGGATGGGGGCGGGAGGGGTTTGCGGTTTGGAGGACTGGATGCGCAGGCGGGCGAGCTCGTCTTCGTAGTCGGCCCAGCGGTCGACGGCGGCGGCGGCCTTTTGGTTGAGGAGGCGGACCTGGGCTTCGAGGTCGGCGATGCGGGCTTGGGCATCGAGGAGGGAAGGCGGTGGTTCGAGGACGACGCCGCAGGACGGGCAGGAATGTTGTTCGGAGCGGTCCGTCGAGAGGGAGAGCGTCGGCGGCGGCAGAGGCGCGGCGGTCATGGTCATGGTTGCGCTCATGGCTTCGTTGCGGTTGTTGCCCACTCTCTCTGTGCAGCCTGGTCTGACGAAGTGTTGCCAGGAGAGTGAGAGTTGTGGGAAACCGTCGAGATATGGCTGGCTGCCACGAGTCGGACAAGCTTTTCGTCGGGTGGTCGGGCTGTTTTCTATGGAGGAGGCAGAGAAAGCTAGCGGCAGCTAGAGTTTGGAAAGTGTGACGTCGCACCGCCAGAGGTTCGTTCGGGAGGGATAGAGGATGCGAGGGGTGGGCGCACGATCGTAGGTAAGGTATAATTGGAAAATGGAAGTGATAGTGTCCTTTATTCGGGCCTTGTTTGCGCTTTGAGCCTTTTCGAAGTCTCCGAGGGTTCCCTACGGCGCAAATGTGACTGATATTGACCTGTCTGGGCTAGAAACAATAGGAAGGAAAAGAACAAATTAACGTGTTCACCACAAATTTCTTTCCCGTCTGCTGCCTGGGTTGTCTCGCGGCGCCCACATGCCTACCTCATCTTAGCCACCGGGTTTATCATGTGTGGGTGGTATGGATGTCAAGTGTGACACCTGTGACCTATCAACCGCAACCCAACGCGATGGGACGGGCTGGGCTGGGTTAAACTGCGCCTCCCTGCTTTCGTCGCAATTGGGGAGGCTCGTTCAAACGGGCGGAGCGACCAACGCCGCCGGCGATTGGCGAGGCACTCAATTCGAGCGACGACCGTTCTCCACTCCTGTTCCAGCACCCTCCTTGAGAAGCCTTTTTCTATTCAGTACCGAGATGGCAGGGAGGACGAAGGCCGGATGTTTTTTGGCACTCTTTTGTTGCGTGTTCTCATTCTCTTTCTGCGGGGCATCGGACCTTTGATTCCATTTGATGAAGTATGATTTTAGGCCTTTTTTGGTGTGTTTCTTAATCTTATTACTGCCGACTGAAGAATGTTTGCTCTCGTTCGACGCATGCTATCAAAGACGAGTAAGGGGCAATGTCTGTCGTGTATCACAACTGTGGGCGCAAGCCTTGGACTTTTTTCATCCCCCTTTTCCCTTTGATGCCCGAAAATCCCGTTGATAATACACGATCGTCCCCTTGCATGAAGACGTCTCTGACATCGGACTGGCCACATTGGACACCTCCAAGAGTCCTTCTACCGCCCGTGCTCCGACGCCGCAGGGAACACCTAAGGCGCCCTGCCGAACGTGACATGCAAACCCCCTCCGGACGACACTGACTGCTGCTGCGATGGTAGGTTCGCAGTGGACCTTTTCCTTCCCTTACTCGTCATGCATTTCATGCGCAGCAGCTTCAGAAGACAGAATAAAGCTATGCGCGCCGGCCCTCGGGTTCGGTCCAAGACTCTGAAACCGCCAAAAACCCGCTGTCATGTCGTCATACCGGACTCCCGTTTCGAAACGCGACGAGAGCTCTTCCTTGTTCGGAGGGCGAACACCGGCCGTCGGCCAGCCTCGTCGGCGAGGCGGAGCAAAGAAAAAACTCTAATTCGGTATGCGTTGCGCGGCCTTGCGTTGTCCGCAGTCGGCAAGTCAATGTCGTGAAGTTTTTGCTCCAGATAAAGGCCCACGGAGGCGAGTCCGTCAGTTCGGCTTCGCCACCTTGCGCGGCTCTCCGATGCCCGTCTCCGGGTCCTTGTACTCCTTCCAGCTGACCGGCACCATGTCGTTGCCAGCCTCGCTGGTGGCCATGATGACGCCTAGCTCGTTACTGGCCGTAGAGAGATAGTAGTTCGCCTGATCTCCCAGAGAAATCTGTCACCCAAAGTCAGTCTCTCCTTCTCGTGGTGTATCATCACGTGCGACTTACCACCTGCGCCCGAACAATGTCGCCGGGCTTGAAGCTCTCGTAAATCTTGACCTTGTCTTTCTCCGTCGCTCTCACGTCCTGCGATCTGATGACGCCCTGCCACTCCGTTTGCAGGACCGTGTCGCCAACTTGCTGGATCGTGACGATAGCCTGCTTCGGCATCAACCGCACAACGCGGCAGAGAACCACGTTGCCAACGTCCGGAAGCACCTCGCGCTTCTTATCACCGCTGCCTTGCGCCTGCCGGGGGGCCACGGAGAGCGTCGGCATCTCTTCTGTGGTAGGGGCGGTGATGCGGTTGAGCCGCTTCGGTGCCGTCGGTGCCTTGGCTGAAGGGGTGACGATCACCTTGCCCATCAGCGAGGCTACCACTGTGCCATTGTAGACGTGCGTTCCGGGGCCGGCGTTGTAACGGGAGGTCGGGCCCAGAGCCTTGCCCGGGACGGCGGTCTGGGGGATCTCATCCGTAGCCATCTTTCAGGTTGTATCGACTTTTTCGTCAATGACGTATGAGATTGCTTCGTGTTTTCGAGTGGTTCGCAGCTCTTATTCGTACTCGTTCTTCAATGCTTGCGAGGTAAGCTGACGAATAATAAGATCCCGAATGAGCTGATGCGGTGGATTTTGATCCCCCTGCTCCGAGTGAGATTTTGATGAGATTCCGCTCGTTCGGTAGCTCTGAGGCGTATGAAAATCCGATAGTCCGAAATTTTCAGTGAGCTTCCTGCGGCCAAGCGGTCCCGCGGAGACCGTTTAGACGAATGGTGCGCCGGGGCCCCGCTATCCGGAGTGCTCCCAGCTCTGGCACCCCACAGAGCTCAGGTCGTCAGGCCACTGGGAAGTCGAGCTTCCGGGCGGTCGCGCAAGGCAGAAATAAAGTGAAGATGCAGGGTCCTGGGTCCATCTTCTCAACCAAAACATTGGAGCATTGCGATTCCGCAGCTCAACGATACTTATTCTCCGGTCTTCCCGCCGCCATTTCGTAACAGTGCACCCTCCTCTCCTAATTGCCATCGCGCATTGTCATTGGAGTCACTGCATTCATTAATTAATTTTCCCTTCAAGGTTCATATTGGGTTGATTATAGACTTATTCGGCATTCACAATGGTATCAGTCAGGGGCTTGTTCACGCTGGCGCTATGGATCGGTCTGTTGACCCCCATTTACATGCTCCTTGAGAAGAACTTGGAGAAGTTCTACATCTTCGACCATGAGCACCTGCACGACCTCTCGAAGCGTGCGATCGCGACGCACGGTAACGACACTAGGTCTGTCGTCAACTACATCGTGACCGAGCTCAATGGCCTCGTCCCCCAGAACGTCAACCTCGATGAGGAATGGGTGTTCAACAACGCCGGAGGTGCCATGGGCGCCATGTACATTATCCACGCCAGTAAGCTCCCACACTACTCCCTCGGTATCAATGTCCTTACTAACAAGTGCTCTCCTCCAGGTATTACGGAGTACCTCATCGTCTTTGGCACCGCGATCGGAACCGAGGGCCACAGCGGCCGCCACACCGCCGACGACTACTTCAACATCCTCTACGGCACCCAGCTGGCCTACGTTCCCGGCGTGTACGAGCCCGAGGTCTACCCCCAGGGCAGCGTCCACCACCTTCACCGTGGCGACGTCAAGCAATACAAGATGGACCAGGGCTGCTTCGCGCTCGAGTACGCCCGCGGCTGGATCCCTCCCATGCTCTTCTTCGGCTTCGCGGACGGTCTGTCCAGCACCCTCGACTTCCCGACGCTGTGGAAGACGACGAGAATCACCGGTCGCGAGATGATTTCCAATCTGCTTAAGGGCAAGTTCTAAAGGACAAATCTTAGAAAGGGGGCCACTTCGAGTGATGGCTGCATCAGGAGTAGCTCCCGTCATTATGCGACGATGCGCCATGATAGAGATGAAGAAGAAAATGGGCCTATGCGAAGGCGAAAAGAGCGCGATTGCTTCAAACATTCGCATTGGTCATGTCGACCAGAAGACTTATCTACATCAATATTTAATACGGCAGAAAAGCCGCTTCTACACAATCATCATGAATTCGCCTTTCAGTTTATTTCGGGGTACTAGTGTATTCAGCAGTTAGGTTGCATACGAGCGCATGCGATCTGCAGGTGAGAGACATTCAGCAAGCTCGCGCTCCAATAACGCAACGCAACGGCTCGGCACGCCTTGCGGCCCCGTTCAGCTGAGGAATGGCGTGAGATTCGCGCTGGACCCCTGGTCTGCATGTTACCGATTGTTTTCTCGTCTGTCGTCTCCGTGTCTTCACCGAGACCACCGAAACATAACTTTCTCACCGAATATCTTCCGCTTGGAAAGTCTGGCCAATCCGGACTGCAATTTTACGCGGCCAAAGTCTCTTTCTCGGAGCTGCCACAGCATACGGGCGTCGGGCATCCAAAAGCTTGGGGGATCGCCATAAGTATCACGCCATCCCAAAGGACGTCCTACCTCTTCATCCAGACTGGGCCAAAGGACGCGGCCTGCTTCAAAATCTCACCTCGGAAAACGCGGAGTCCTAGAAGGGATTCTCATGCTGAATTGCCCGTTTGAACTTCGTGACGCTTTTCCGTTGTCGTCCGGGGCCGCTCAAACAGTATTTCGTCGGGAATACGCGACGGCAGTAGTGCATCCATCAACTTCCCACATAGAGCTCCTTCGGCAAGTGGATGCTCGCCAGATGCAGAGGACGCGATGGAAGACGGCGTCACATCCGCACTCACTTTACAGACCATATCTCGATTTACATCAGCCTTCGAACCATGGGCAGTCAGGTATGAGGAACGAGGCCCTCAACATATCCAAAATACCGCATCAACATGAGGCAGGCAGGGCAAACTCATGGTCTGGAATGCAGTCAAGCGGATGGTGTTGCCATTCCCGTGTGCGCATGTGGTCTCAAGGCACATGACAATGTGAAGAGTATTATGCCTCTGTCCTGGCTCTCGACACCGCGAAGAGTCAGTCCATTCGAGCCTTCCTAACTTGGGTCTTTCGCTCAGAAGTCACACAAGGCCTCCAAGCACTATAGTTCAACGGTCTACCATGTTGCTTTTGTCATTTCTGTCTGGCTTCTCGTGTGCTCGAAATCCCTTCGGTAAATAAGGCTCAGGCTATATTTGCCAGTGTGCCTTTGCAACGAGAGTTGTGATGGAGTGAAACGATTTGCAAAGTTTCGGCGGCTGTCACCCCAAGAGTCGGTCGCCCACTCACCAGAACTCGAGCAACTTCACCGCGACGGTTTTTGAAAGAGATCCTTTCGACGTGTACTGTTCTACCAAAAGATCTGACTTCGAAGCTTGCTGTCTTGATGAGTGGCTGATTGCATTTTCTGGTCGCCCCTGCATCTACATTTCACTTCCTTCGCTCTTGTCGTTCCGTGTGTCATCAGCTCCCATCACCACTGGTTTTATTTTTGTTCCCTCCTACTTAGTATTTATTCTATTTAGACGTCTCAATATTCGCCTTCGGTTGGGTTACTGAAGCGTCTCTTGAAAAGCTAGTGGTGGTGGTCTAGAACTGCATTTTGATTGAATAGTCATGGGCTGGCGTAACCTGGGCAACATGCTTCTCTCATTGACATAATCTTAAAAAAGTCCTCATTCAGTAGAGTCATGTTTGAACCAACTTCAGCTATTCTCGGCAGTGATTGGCACTCAACTTGCATGTCGCGACAGTCCGGGCATCAAGCTTAACACACAGACATCGGAATACCAGCCGATCAACGACAATAACTTCCACAAGCGAATGAAGATATTTGGATAACTGAGGGAAGAGTGCCTACCGGAGTCAAGCGGTTCCATCTCGTCTGGTCTCCGGTACACTGTTGCCCCTGAGCTGGGACCCTTCCTGCCCAACGGGCTGCCGCCCACGTCTTGCCTTCCTCCACGATCTGCAGCGCGAACCGTCCGTTCTTGCAATGTTTGAGAACTCTCTCATCCCATCCCTGCAGCTCTCTTACTCCAGGTTTTGGAAGCAGTCAATCTTTAACCTTTTCCCCTCAAGATAACGACGTTCCGCCATCCCTGCCTCCCGTATGGCTTTGCTGCGGTGTTTCATACTTCAGACCACGAGCCACCACATTATATACCAGTCATCGCCCACGGGCTTATCAGTGCGAGCGGCATCCTATCTTCATCAACTAAACTAACTATTTGCGCTTACCGTCGCAGGCGAGGTCGCAGTCAATATGTCGAACCGAGATAGGATCGAACAAACTGCAGGCCAGTCCACCGAGGCATCCTACGACATGAAGTATTACGAAGATGTCTCGCTAGACGAGAAGAGAGGCATTCGGAGCCGGCCTGATGCTCCGACAGAGGAGGACCTGAAGACGCTGCGTCGGGTTTCGGATCATATTCCCTTCAAGATATTCACAATTGCCTTCGTCGAGTTGTGCGAGCGCTTCTCTTACTATGGATCCATCATCGTTGTAAGTAAAATCGTATCACCAAGTCGCACTTGCATGAACTGACAGTTGGACAGCGTAAGTTTGTTTTCGCGCATTCACTACCGCGAGGTACTGACTAGACTAGTCACCAACTTCATTCAACAACCTCTCCCACCTGGGTCTACGACTGGCCGCGGTACCGACTCTCCGAAAGGCCAGCCGGGCGCTTTGGGAATGGGTCAGCAGGCTTCGACAGGCATCACGACTTTCAATCAATTCTGGCAATACTTTATGCCCCTCTTCGGTGCCTGGGTTGCGGACAAATACTGGGGGCGGTATAAGACTATTTGCATTGCCATCGCCATCGACCTCGTTGGTCACCTCATCTTAATATCTTCGGCCATTCCACCGGTCATCACCAAACCGAAGGAGAACTCCCTGACGGCTCTTATGGTTGGCATGATTGTAGGTTAACCTCAACTGAAGGTTCCAAAAACCTGACTGACTGTCTTTCAGGTCATTGGCTTTGCAACTGGAGGTAATTCTTCCTAACGGCACGAACCTGTGCTGCGATGTTGTTGGATATTGGCGTGGATCATTACTGACCAATGTAGGTTTCAAACCGAACGTCTCTCCATTGATTACGGAACAATTGGACATCGAGCATTTGACCGTTCGTACTTTGAAGAGCGGCGAGCGGGTAGTTGTCGATCCAGCCATCACGGTCAACCGCGTCTACAACTGGTTCTACTTATTCATCAACGTCGGTGCACTCGTTGGCCAAATATCGATGGTATACGCCGAGAAGTATGTTGGGTTCTGGTTCAGCTTCACGCTCCCGACTTGCATGCTCGCGCTTTGCCCTTTGGTCATGTGGTGGGGAAAGGGAAGGTATCGAGACCAGCCTCCCTCAGGATCCGTCCTGGGCCCGGCTTTGAGGACGTTTTTATATGCACAAAGGGGCCGCTGGTCGATCAATCCGGTTAAAACTTGGCGAAACATGCACGACGGAACGTTCTGGGAGAGCGTGAAGCCCTCTAATTTCAGCGATGCTACTCGACCCAAATGGATGACCTTTGACGACGCCTGGGTGGACGAACTGTAAGACCACTCTACCCCTGCTGCTTAAACGGATGACTGACATCTCCAGACGCCGAGGGTTCGCAGCATGTGCCGTGTTCTCATGGTACCCGATTTATTGGCTCTCGTACAACCAGCTGAACAACAATCTTGTCTCTCAGGCGGCAGTGATGCAGCTCAACGGCCTTCCTAACGACATCCTTTCCAATCTCGACCCGTTGGCTCTATTGATCTTTATTCCCGTATGCGACTTGCTCCTCTATCCTACTCTCCGCAAGATGAGAATTCGATTTACTCCCATCAGAAAGATCACCTTCGGCTTCTTTACCGGATCAGCCGCAATGGTGTGGGCTTGTGTGCTTCAGTACAAGATCTACCAACGCTCCGTGTGCGGTGAGAATGCGTCTGGCACTCTGCCCAATGGCGAGGCGTGCCCCAATGTCGACATCAACGTGTGGGCTCAAACAGGCGCCTATGTTCTCATCGCCCTCTCAGAGATTTTCGCTAGCATCACGAGCCTGGAGTATGCTTTCAGCAAGGCCCCCAAGAACATGCGTTCCATGGTTCAAGCGGTTGCGCTTTTCATGTCCGCCATTTCAGCCGCTATCGGTCAGGCTTTCACCCCGCTGAGTACGGACCCCTACTTGGTTTGGAACTACGGCATTGTTGCGGTTCTCGCCGCTGTTGCAGGTGCGATTTTCTGGATTCAATTCCGCGGATTGGACGCCGAGGAGGACTCTATGAACGAACTACCCGAGGGCCATGTCGGCGCGGGGGCTCCTTCCGACGGGGGTGTGCTGGGTATGGAGTTGGGAGAAGTCTCGCAGGTCGGTGGTAATAAGAAAGGATATTGAGTTGGGTTTGTCGTGGCGAAGTATCTTAACTCGTCGGGAGGTGAGAGTGGGGGAGACGAGTGCGGCTCATCGCAAATGAGTATCACGGGGTTAATGGGAGTATGAATCCAGTAGTTCCTAAGGTGTTTTTGCGTAAAAATAGAAAGTACATTGGCATTCAGATCCTCAGGTGAATGCAGTGAGTTCGCGACTGCTCTGGGTGAGGTAGTTTCCAGTGACAGGGGAGGGAGTACGTCGTTGTCGCCAACTGGGAGGTCGGTGGCCTTACAAGGACATCAGTAGAGAAAGCGGCAAGCAGTTCTGAGAAATACTTAAATGGCGATAAACACCCACAAACTTTTTCATGTCTGTTTCCCGGAGAAGAGAGGACGGCGCTGGTTGGGTGTACTCGCGGGCCCCTGAATGAGGGTCTGCAGTTGAGGACTCAGGGGTTCATATGTACTCCTGGGCCACGGCCAACAATCCAGTCATCATCGAAGAATAGTCAGAAAGACACAGTGATACTCTTGCGGCTGGAAATAAGCCAATGGGCCGTGAGAAGAATCATGATGTTGCGATGATAGATGTGTGCTGCGCAGGAGCAATAAAAGCTAAGCGGAAAACGAGTCCCGAAGATACCTACCTGGAAACGTCCCCAGTCCTACCGAATCATTGTTCGAACAAATTGGACTAAAGAACCGTGATATTTGAAGATTGGATGCAAAAAAAGGTGTCAAGTAAGGGGCTCGTGGTGATGGTGCGATAACATCGAATACAAATGGCTTACTGCGTCGAAGCCGCAGAGGGAAATGATGAAACGGCCAAACTACTTTGGATCACTGTAACGATTGCAAAACACTGTAGCATCATTGAGAGAACCAGAGGGATACTGGTTTGAAGGTATCTCAGAAGGCCCCGTGCTTATCTTCGAGAACTATCCATGCTGTTGTAGATAGGGGAAGGGCCTTATCGAAGTCAAACCCCAAAACCCAAGACTATCACACAGCACCTTAGCACTCACAGCACTCACAGCTTCCGTAGCTCATTCAAACAGAGGCTTTCACCTATCTCCCTACTGCGAAGGCTCTTCTGTGAGAAAGTGGGAGTGTTCCCACTGCTAGGGGCCTTCAGGTGAGGGTGGGCATGAGTGGGCGCTGTCCTTCCTTGATTTACTCGTCACGGATACAGGCCGAAGTAATGAAAGGCGGGAACAGCAGGAAACGAATGAGATCATACCAGTCAGATGTACGAGGAGTTCGTCGATATCGCCGGTGGGATTGAGAGAATCTACGTCCCTATCACTAACTCTGCCATCCCTCTTCAGTGAACCTAGCCACACAAGCTCCGCGAGACACAAAACCCAAAGTGACTTCACAAGTCCCTTGACTACAAACGAACCGACATGGAAAGAGAAACCAAGCTTCCAGAACGACCTTCTAGAAAAACCCAACTCCCGCGGGAAAAAAAAGTGGTGACGGCGAACGACAACCCCCCTACCCCTGTCTTATCGTCCCGACGGTGGCAGATGAGAGAGCTATCCGTAGATTGAGGAAGTGGACTCCTCCTCTGGCCCTCTTCCCGAGGTCCTATTTTCCCTTATCACTGACATCAAAAACGGGGGGGCCACCTGCCTGCCGGCCCTGCTATGCCATGCCTCTCGGTATCCGTCTGTACGGAGTACTGTAAACGGTTACGGTACCAGTCAGTCCAGTCCAGTCCCAACAGGGATAATGAGATCTGATAGCTCTGAACCCAAGGTTTCCCTCCCCGATCTAACCTCAAAAGCATCAGCAGCAGCAACCTAAACCCACTTTCTCGATTCGGGACGTAGATGAGACGAACCAAGAACCAGGGCTGTACAGGAGGCCACGAACGACGTGAAAAGGATAGACTTTGCGCGGCATATGGGGCTTTACCAGGAAAACGTTGAAGAATGAAGTCATCTCATGCAAGTCCCGGGACCCCATGTGCGCATCGGCGGCGCCCCACGATTTTTTTCGGGAGGTTTCTCGGTGTTGTTGGTGGTGTTGGTGTCTAGACGTCTGTCTCTCTCCCACGCAGACAGGAAAACCCCCACGCTTTGAGCAAGGGGACGACCGCCGTGGCATCAAAGTCACGTTTCTGCGGCCTGCGACACCACGGGCAGACATAAATATGAGAACCGACGCCCGCCACGTCTGGGCTGGTTCGGCCACCTCATCCTCGTCTCGTTCACGCTCATGTGACGAATATAATGAAGTAAATACGTCCATCTTTTCATGTTGAATCATGACCTATTTGATCTCTTCCTCCGACGCAATGCTTTCATTGACAAACAAACACATCCAGAACAGAATCGCCCGCGAGCTATGCATTACTCGCGCCCTTACTTTTTTGTTGACCATGCAACGCCATGCCAGCCCATGAAAATGACTCGAGGAAAGAGCTGTCATCGCCTTCTCATAAAATAACAGCTGACCGAGGCAGTCTGCCTTCAGCCTTCCCTTCCCACAATGAGGGGCACGAGAAGACCGAGACATGCATCCTGCCGGGCAGCGCAAAATCGATACCCCAAACGCACCTTTTTTTCCGAACCGAATTCCCGTCATTTTTTTGATTTCCTACTTCACCCAGGCGCCGCAGCATGCAATGTGTATGTCGTGTGTGGTGTGTGATACGCTTCGAAGTCGCTCGAGCTCATGGCCGTCGAAACCAAGTGGTGACGCACTTCTGCTGTGCTTGCTTTGTGTTTAAGCGAGCCACTCCTCCTCATCTCTCTTGTTGCCTCTCATAACCAGGCCGTCATCTTCGTCCTCTGATTCTTCGTCTTCTTCCTCGTCTTGCTGCACTTCATGTTCTGGCTGGCGAGCGGCGGGAATATTTGTGCCCTGAACCGGTGCGGCCTCCTCTTCGGGTGCTTCCTCCTCGTCGTCATACATCCACGTCATGCCGTTGGCCTGCTCTTCCAGGATGAAAGCCTCCTGTGCATACTCCTCGAGACCCCGGGGGCCTTCCCACAACGCGTTTGATTGGGCGAGACAGTTGTCCTCTAATTCGACGTCGCCAAAGTAAGGAGGCTGTTTCTTAGGATCCTCATGACCCAGAGAGAAAAGCTTTTCCAACGCCTCCAGCTGCTGGCGATAGCCATTAGGAATCTTGACCTTGAGCTCGATCGGGCCGCGGATGTACTTGACGGGGCGGCCAACACCTCTTGCAAAGACCTCGCAAGCCTCGCGTGGTGTGAGCATTTCCCAAGCCAAGGCGATGCGCTTTGTCCGCCACTTGGATAGACCATCCTTGAAAATCTGCAAGATTGCCGGACCGACATCGTGTTCGGCATCAAGCCACGGCAGCTTCACGTCCTCGTGAAACGGCGCTTGCCACTTAAAGGAACCGTCCGGCTGGAGTTCCATGCAGAAAAGAGGATACGGCAGGGAGGTGAAGTTGTTGTTGTAAATGCCGGTGTAGACGAAAGTCGCTGGCAGCTCGATCTTGCGGACGTACTCCTCAACTTGGTGCTTAGCAGCCCAGAGAGGCAACGAAGGCCATTCCGAGTTGTAGGCTGCGTGATCCGGCATGGAAGAGTAGATGTAGTGGTGGACTCCAGCCTTCTTGGCGGCATCGGCAAGCGCCTTGCCGATTTGGAACTCGTCTCCATAAAAGGTGGTGTTGATGAAGGCCAGCTGGGTGTCACGGAAGAGATCATTGATCAGATCATGGTTGACGCCGACACCAGAGATGGGCCCATTCGAAGTGACATCTCTATTATCGGGGGTCGGCTTGTGTCTTGTGTACAACTCTCCAACAAGGACAGTGACATTGGGGTTAGAGTTAACCTCAGTAGCCACTACACCTTCGAGGTTCCGTAGCTGAGCGCGGACGTGGTAGCCAACAGCAGTGGCGACTCTGATGAAAGAAGCAGCCTGACGACCGCTCGCGTTGATAACGGCGATAGTCTTGTTTGGGGTGGGCATCGGGCGCTTGAAAGGTCGGAAAGTCAACGAGTTATTTCTTGACGCGGCCAACGGGGAGGACTCTGAGTATGACGAGCGAGAGTGTTTGTGCGTCCTGACACCGGTATAGATTGGAGAGTCGCCGTGGTAGTGGTGATTTGAGTGGTCCTGCTGCGGTTGTGACTGCTGCTGGTGCTGCTGCTGCTTGGCGGGACGGATAGGGATTCCGACCCCGTTGAGTTGGGAAGGCATCAGGGTGACCATTTAGAAGTCTCCGAGACGAACTCGCTCTTGCGGGGAAGAGCAGGAACTGAGAGCGGCAACCGAAGGTTTTGAGTTGCGAAAACAGGTGGTGCAAGGGCTTGTCGTCAACCCCGCTATTTCCCCCAGAGATTTCGCCGAAGGAGGGTGTAAGTGCGGTCTTGGTTTGTGGAGAAGAACTCGGGGAGGGAGAGTGATGTGATGGGTGTCCCGAAAACGGCGCGGCAGGTCGTAAAGTCGGGGTCGGGGTTGATGGGAATGTTTTAAAGGCCCGTCTCAATCATGACAAACCGATACGTAAAATCGAGGTTCGAGCCTATGGCAGGCCGGAAGGCTATCGCGAAAAAGGAGAGTACCGAACGGGCCAAGTGCAGGTCTCTGCGCAGGCGGGCACGCGAGTGAAAGAAGACTGACAGACGGACAGGGACCGAAGGGTGCGAGTGATTCGAGACCAAGACCGACGTGACGAAGTGACGGGGCGAGTTCTCGTTAAGCAATGATTAAATGCTGTTGTGGTGGTTCCTGGAACTGGACTCGAATCGGAATGATTCAAGAACCCTGAGGGGTCGGCTGAGAAGAATGGCGAGATAGATAGCAAACACCGTTATCAAAGCCAGCTCCTCTTTTGGTCGATGGCGGGGTTTACCCCAGCAAATTGGCAATGGCCAAGCTTGCAGATGCAGACGCAGCCCGGCAAGATGGGCGTAAGCCTGTCAAGGCCGAAGGTCGATCAAAGATCTGGGGAATGAATGGATTAACACTAGGCTGCGTCCGTCAGCGGAGGCGGCGATGGTTGTATCCGTCCGGGCTGGAAAAGGATGGGCGCGTGCTCGAGTAAGTGACTTGTTCGACAGAGGGTTGCCGATACTGATAAGGAAGATTCGGGGTAAGAGGGTTATCTCAAGGGATGTCGCACGCCGTCTCGTATTTGACCGGTTGTTCCTGAGATAAGTGCCCAAGTCGTTGGCCGTTGGCAGCTGCAGAAGCTGTCGAATGGTGGAGGGGCGTTTAATAAATGAGATGAGGCCCCTTTGAGGCGTGTAGATAGCAAGTGCGCAGGCGTGTAGCTGAGGTGAGGTGTGAGGTGGTAGATAAGTGCGCGAGTGTTGAGTGAGTGAGAGCAACGCAACGTTGGCTGAAGTGAGTGAGTTGCGTGTGAGAGGGGTGTGTATGTGCGTGTGTGTGTCCCCTGTCGGTCTCAGTCAAGTGAGCAAAGTGCTGTAAGTCGAATTGCCCAGTCAGGCGAGTTTCGTCAGGGTGATGCGAGTGTGCGTGCTTCTTGGACTTGTTGTCGTCGTCGGACTATCCACCGATAATCTGCATCTGAGGGCTCACGACGCAAGGTATGGCCTAATCTGTCCAATCGGGGGAAAAACAGGCTGACCGTGCCCCTGTATGCGCGGCGAGCGTCACTGGCTGGATTGCCTCGTGGCCTTGTCGCTTGGGATGAGTCGCTGGGCTAGAAGGCCGAGTGAGCAGACTGGGAGTTCGGCGTGGAGATCCGATGCGAAGCTGGCTGGTTCCGGAGGGGTCCGCAGCAGCGGTGTATGGGTTGGCGAATGTCTCCTTCTGTTCTAGAGTGAGGTCGGTTGTTTGCCAGGGCGCAGTGGACGCGATGGACAACGAGGGAAGGAGAAGAAAGATCCACGGTGGGTATTGGCGGGATCAGATGATGTCTCCTTGGGGGCCTTGGGTCGTGTGTGTTGTGGTGCCGCGGTGGCCTTCTTGTTATGTCGTTGGGCGGCTCTTTTGGCTGCAGAGGACAAGGAATTTTCTGCAGTGTGTTTGTAGGTATGGGGTCGGCTTATGTGAAGTCGAACCTTATGAAGTGAGAGGATCGGAGGAGAATGTCCACCGGCTGGCGAAGAGTCGGGCGATTTCGAATAGGAATGGGCCAAAAAGAGATGGAGATTACTCCAATTCGTTCTTGGTAAAGCAGAAGCGGGCAGAGACCAGATGACCTCAGTTGAGGAGAGGTATCAAAGCTTTTGATACCGGTCCTAGTCAGTCCGTGTGTTGATTTGACCAACTAGAAACGGACAAGGGTTGTCGAGCTGTTCTGGGCCGTGCTGTGTGGTGTGTTGGCTTGATGACGACGGAACGGACAGAAGACGACGTGTAAGTTGGAAAGAGGGAGGAAGAGGATGGGGGAGATAAGATCTAGAAGGATCGAGTCAAAAAAGAAGTCGGGAGGGAATAAGAGGGGTCGGTCGTGTGAGGGTGGGAAAGTGCGGACGAGATGGGATTTGGTGAGGTGGTTTAGAACCAATTGGCAGTGGCAGTGGCAGGGTCGAGGTTTAGGTCCAAGTTTCTGGTCAGAACGACAACACTGGACAGGACAGGATTGAAGAGGCGGCAAGTTTAGAATTCCTGGGCTGGTTCAAGTGCAACAGGACAAGCAAAGTCAAAGGTAAAATCGAGCACTGAGCCACGGATGGATGGATACATGGATTTGTATTTTAATTATTTGAGGAAACTGGATCTGGTGGCCAGGGCACGCACAGCGCGGGAGTTTTGTGTGATTTTACATGGAGAGTGAGTGTGTTGCCGTTTAGTTCCTTTTCTGTTAATAATTGAATCTTCGCGCCGGCGGCCACGGGCACGAGGACGAAGACGAGGGTTGGGTTGGGTTGAGCTTGAGCACGTTGCGTTTTTGCCGGCGTCTTTGATGCAAGCGCAACAACAACGGGTCCCCGTCGAGCGGAAACGACAGCCATCAACCCATCCATCCATCCAGCCAGCCATCCGTCGTATGGGGCCGCAACACGGAAGCACGCCCGTCTTGCTGGCTGGGCCAAGGATGACGGGGACGGGAGGGCAAGGATGTTGGGAGGGGAGCATGGCGGGACGAGGGATGGAGACTTGTCAGAGACTCCAAAGGTACAGAAGTACATGGAGTCAGAATCAAGTGAAGGAAGGAGTGATGCAAATGATGAGGTGGGAGAATCGAGTAAGAGGAGGAGGGGGGATAACTGCCATTGTGAGTGGTGCAATTCGGATACCTCGACCGGTACTGTGTCGTTGTGGGAGCACGTGTACCTTGGCCCGTGGCCGCCGTCCCGCCGAGCATGACTCTACACCTACGACGGACCTTACAGTACAGGTATTTTACGGCGGACGGCCAGTGACCGGCGCGGATCGAGAAGTTGCTCACTGAATCGAGGGAGAAGAGTACCTTACTACGGTATGTAAAGGTAAAGGTACGGTAACTGTCGTACCGTCTCTCTTGCTGGGTCTTCCCAGGGCTATATCCGCTGTACTTTTGTAGTAAGGTAGTTTTCTCTCAGAGACTCAGAGTATTCTCGCCGTGTCCAAACGAGTCCAAGGTTGGGCTTATTATGTAAGAGCTTGAATCCCGTTGGCTGGGCCTTTCTCTTACCCAGTTGCTCTTACCTACTGAGAAACGTTGTTAAGCCTCTGGGCCTGCTCTCGCCATTTGTCCCCAGTCTTTGTGCATTGCTGCTGCTTCAGAAAATTTTTCCTTATCTTTGCCGATTTTTTTTCTCCCGCTTTCCACCCGTACGTACCAACCTTACCCTTCCCTTCCAAGGCCGACCTGCTTGTGCCTCATCCCGTGCCACCTTACTGTGAAGTATGGAGTACTCACTGCGTACACTTACACAACCAATGCCAACCATGGCGGACCGTCGGTTACTTTACCCAAGAAAAGGTACATTACCCTATGGACCTTGTGGATGCCGCATTCAGCCCACATGGGTCGTCGCTACGAATCTGCTTCTACAAGGTATCAACCACACCTTACGCCATCTTGCACACACAACACACACGACTCACCATTGACTCGGGCCTCCGATGGTTGACCGACGACGACAACGACGACAAAAACAACAACCGGTATTCAGGGACCCTGACGTATCACTATCGACCTGCCATCACATCATCATATCAGACCGAGACATCCGTCCGCCGTCGGTGACCCCCTCGCAATCTCACTGACCGACTACCTTACCTAGGTACGGTACAGGCCCAGATAAGGCATAAACGAGCACCTTGATAACCTCCAACAAATTTCACCTCCAAGTTCCGACTCCTCCACGACCATGAGGTTGCTATTTAAGCACTACTGCTGCGCATCGCGCCGGTCAACCCCCGGCGCAAATCAGAGTCCCCACACCACGCACTATGACAGTATCAACCTATCCCTATGCAACTGGCGCTGGCACTGGCACTGGCACTGGCGCTTTTGTCGGTGATCGGAGTCCATCCCGATGTCTCAATCCTCAGAACCACCTGCAAACTTTTTCTGGCAACATGCTCCACATCCCGGAAACGTGATGCACAGAAATCTGCGCGGCCCACGTCTGAATACCTCCAACGTCCGATCCTCACAAACGCTGTTGATACGGCGGGTTCGTAACCTCATCTTACAACTTGAGAAAACACTATGCTCAGTGTCGCGGCCCAAGACCTCACTCTGGGACATCATCGCACGCTCGGCTAATACTGGCCCGTTGTCTTTCTTCTTGGGAACACCACGCCCATGATGAGATAATGGCTTTAAGCCTACCTTATCCGTATACCTTCGCAGTATTCGTACAGATACATGAAGAGCACACACCTGTGAGGTGCATGGGCCATTGCCCCCAGACGGCCGGCCCCACACCCGTCTTTCAGGGCAGTCAGGAGAAACATCGAGATATCGCAATCCCAGGTCCTCATGGGGAAATCTAAGGCAACGTCAGGCAGGCACATCGCGCTCTCACCACACAACAACGAGAACCACCACCAAGATAGCCTCATCCTGCATGTCTGAGATTAGCCTCTTGGTCGACTAGTAGTGTCACCCTCGCACCGGCTACAGCGTCTACTGCGGTACGTGCCTCTCCCAGGGCCAACCTAGCACCGCACAACGCCGCCGCTTCCTCTATCGCGAGGTCCCCTTATGCACGTCGGCTACAGAAGGATCAAGCTCTCATCGACATGAAGGCTTATCAGACGCAGCGCCGATTCGTCCCAGATGTCTTGCGTTGACTGTGCCATTGGTTCCGGTAATACTGATTACCGTCATCATCGTGGACATGCCTCTGAGCTGTGCTACAAGCACTACGACGGATCTGGATGCAAACCAGCAAGACTTGCGTCCGAGGCTCAGGACATGCGCATGTTCACGACATCTGGATGTCGATACCTGGCCAACAGCCGACTCCCATGGCTATCGTATTGGCAGTTTAGCAGTTGGGAAACTTAGTCGGGTCTAGGCCAGCCCACGACGTTCAAACGCAACCCAGCGGGTCATCCCAGACGCGGAGTTTGAGGCGGAAGCTGCTGCGGTGCTGAAGCCTCGTCGTGCAGCAGCTGCCACGGTCCTTTCACACGGCCAACCTCAGCGATCCGGCCCGCCGCCTTGGGACGACAGTCGACCGCCTCTCTCACTCCCGTTCGGTGCGCGTGGGCAGATCCGAAGCGGCGAGACATGGCGAATTGATGGCTGGCGGACAAAGATAAGCAGTTCGCTGACCCGGCTAATGGGAAAAGTTCTACGTCTGTAATGGGATTGACAAACAAAGACAAAAGTCAAAAGCTCGGGCAACGATGCGCCAATGGCATTTCAAACCATCGAGCAATGCCGTCCTTGCTAGCACCGCATTCTTTTCATTACGTACAAATGGACCCAGTCCAACGTCTAAACCGTCCTCTATGCCGTCATTCACCTAACCAAATGGCGTTCCGTCTGCTTATGAGCCAACGTTTCCCCCTCCCGTCGGAGTGGACATCTCCGCGGAGGAGTTTGGCAGCCACCAGAGGGCTACCGACGGGTAATATTTCATCACAAACTTTGTCTCGCCCGACTGTGTTTCTTTCGTCAACCAGTCGCTCCTTGCGTAACCCTCCACGTCGCGAAAGTCTTGCGCTCAGCAGTCAGTTCAGCTCGGGAAGAGGAGCACCTCCGGATACTGGTCTAATGCAAACAGTCCCCGCTTCGCTGCCGCCGATTTGCGGATTTTGCGGGGAAGATGGTCCATGCCTTGTAGGGCACCGTTGCACGCCAGCTTTTTGATGTAGAAACGTCGCATCCTCTACACCAAGCGACGACGCGACAAGATGCATGGCGTGGAGTGCGACAAACGCCGGGAGAAGCCAGAGCCGCCCAACAGCCCTCGTGCTCGTCGTCTACAATTTCGTTTGGTTCGACACGCCCGCTCGCCGCCGGCCATTTCTCAAAAGGCGGCCCACCGGCTTTTACGTCACGGTTTCGACCCTGTCTCGCTCGTTGAGAAATACCCCTCGTCAGGAACAAAAATCGCAGGGTCCGATTCCCCGGAGGACGCCCGCCGTCTTCGCACGCCATCGGTCCAGCCAGTGTTGGAAGGGAGCCCAAAGTAGAAGAAAATCCGGGGTCACAATGTCCAATTGCTATCGATATGCCCAACCTCGCAACAACTTTCAAGTCACCTGAGCAGACTCAATTTGACCCCTGCCTGCTTGTCTGGTGGCCAAGCCAGCACCCATCCGTACAGCTGTTTCCCCCACGGGCCCATCCTCGTTGTGGGCACCGATATCGCGTGTTGAGGGGTTCAAAAGGTCCTATGTAGCTTCGCATGTACTTCGTACTCAAATAGCTCACCACACGGCCAAGTCGTTTGCTCTTGCTAGGCCCGAATAGGAGCTTGAGCCCAGAGCTCGCGGAGCCGCAGCCCCATGCTATGCGCCCGTTCCAGGCCAGCTTCCTGCGCGCGCACATATGCGAAACGCGCGTAGACCTGGACTCAGCTCCATCAGCTACCGAGCCGCCCTGGCAGCGGCATATGTATGGCCTGTGAAATATGCAAAAAACCCTTGCACCTCACCGCAGAAAACGGGATAGGACGGCGACGGCCTCCGATCCGACCCTCCTTACCCCTCAACCTTGTTGTCCCAGGTTCGGCTCCCATGTCCCGGGTGCCGAGAAGTCGAAGTCGTTCGGCATCGGTCCGCGGTCAAACCACGCCGGCTGAACGGCCTCGAAGTCGCCAATGGGGTCGTTGTTGGTTTGTCCCATGATGTTATCAAAGTAGCGCTGTTCGGGTTAGGAAAAGAGCCGATCCTTGTCTCGCGTCTGTGGTGATATCAAAGACTTACCCAGTCCATTTCGTTGCTGACCTCGATCCACCCACGGTCGAGCCCGTTGTCGCTCGATCCCAAGTTCGGGCCGACAAGGTCCAGAGGCTGGAAGTGGTTCGCTAACTGGTTCGTGACGTTCGAGGGGAATGACGTCGTATCTGTGATGCTGTCAGCGATGCCGTCGCACACCAGACCGTTGGGGACTATCTTGCCGTTAATGGAAAGATTTGTGAGAAGCTGCGTGTCGTGGCTCGACATTGTCTCTGATGCCCCCTCACCGCGCCGCACCGAAGCCGGCGCCGGCACCCCGTCATCCTTTGGCGGCGAGTTGGGCGGCGATCCGAGCTTGTTCAGCATCGTCTCCAGTATCTCCGCCGTCTTCTTGATCTCGGGCACCTCCCGGGCGATGCTGACCCAGACGCCGTACGACCGCTGCAGCATTTGGAGCAAGTGCTCCCTCGTCGGCCGCGGGTCCATCTTGTCCATCCATTCATGCTCGTGGGCGCCGTCCCAGAACTCGTCGTTGCCAACGGACAGGTAGATGATGATCGCCGCCAGCAGAAAGTCGTGGACCGCGAGCGACGAGACGAACCACCCGTTCTGCGAGAGCATGTTGCCCGGCTGGCACGCGTGCCAGATGGTGTTCTGGAACTCGAGCTGGATCATGGCGCCCTCGACGCACTGCCGCCGCGAGTAGTCGTGCTCCGTCCTCGCCGCGGGCTCCAGCAGGAACCGCCGGTGCAGCACGCACCGCGCCTTGTTGTACAGCGACGCCAGCCCGAACCGCTGGATCACCTGCATCGGCGGCGTCGTCACGCACTGCTCGAGCGGCTTCACCATCATGAACGGCGGGATCCGGGCCCAGGCCTCGTGCAGCAGCGCGTCGAGGCGCATCACCTCGGCGTACGGCGGCGGCGTCAGCAGGTGCGCCTGCCGCGCGACCTGGCCGAAGACCCTCATCAGCCCGGACTTGATGATGGGGTACGTCATCTCGGTGTAGTCGGTCATGGGCCGCGCGGGGGGCAGCTCGGGGGTGTCGGGGGAGAAGTCCTCGTCGACGAGGTTGCGGGGCAGCTCGACGTCGCAGTCGATGCCGTTGAGCATGCTGGGGAGGCCCATGTGGAAGGAGACGAGGAGGTCGAGCTGGACGGCCATGTTCCACATGCGGCGGCGCATCTCGCCGTCAAAGGCGGAGACGTTGGCGAGCTTGGAGGGCTCGCGGTGGAGGCCCATCTTGAGGAGGAGGCGGAAGCAGACGGAGGAGAGGACGTAGCAGTTCATCTGGGCGGCGCGGGAGATGATGAACTCGGCCTCGACGTAGAGGATGAAGGGCGGGATGGTGGCGATGGAGGGCTGGGTGTACTTGCCCGAGACGAGGCACCAGGCGGCGGCGGCGCGGAAGGTCTTGAAGCGGTCCATGGGCGGCAGCGGGGAGTCGCCGGTGAGCTCGTGCGGGGCGAGGAAGGTCGAGTAGAAGACGCCCAGGGACATGATCATGAAGAGCAGGGCGAGCCAGTGGATGGAGACGTCTGAGGGGCTCTTCCAGAACTCGGCGTACTGGCGAGCGTAAGTTCTCATTTCAGCGGCAGAGGAAATGTGAAACACGACTTACTTGCTTTACAAAGGTTGGTCTGTGGACGATATCTGGTATTTGAGTTAGATGTGGTTCAGGGAAGGTCGGAGGGGGTTTATTCTACTTACGTTGTGAGGGGCTGTTGGATGAGAAGTATCTCATGACGAGACGATCGACGACTTTCTTCTCTGGGACGAGTCTCATCAACTCTTCGCGATTGCGGGGCATATTCTTCGAGTACAGGAGGACATCAGGCGACTCAAGTTCGTCAGGTTGCTCGGGGCTATCATTCCCCCAGTCCTCGTCAATCTCCGGCTCCTCGAAGTAACTCTTCATATCCTCGATCTGACATTCATATTAGTCTTAAAACACTTTGTTCACTCATCACCTCTCAAGGCACAAAAACAAACGTAACACATAAAACACTCACATCCTCAAGAATCGCCATGAAATGCGTGGCCCCAACATACGTCGTCCCCCTCTCCCCCTGCACGATCTGGCCGCCAGGCTGCGCGACATTTTCGTCCTTCGGCACTGGCGCCGGAGCAGCTGACGGGAGAGAACCGCCATCGTCCATCATGGTCCGGACCATGCCCTCCAGCCGCTTCAGCCGCGCCGCCATGCCCTTGGTCGGCTTCTGCTTCTCGGGCTTTGGGGCGTAGACGCAGCCCTCGGGGCGGGACTTCTTGAGGCACTGGCCGCAGGGCTCGGAGCGGTCGCACTTCAGCTTGGAGGCGCGGCAGGGACCGCAGGAGAGGAGCACGCGAGAGCGCTTCGCGGCCGCGGCGGCGGTGGTACTCCCGTTTCCGGGCCCGCTGCTGCCGCCGGTGCTCGGGCCTTGTGGGCTTGTCTCCGGGTCCATTGTGAAGAGGGTGTGTGCGTCTGTCTTTACTAGGTAATTTATTGGGTTTTCTTTGACACCGGGACGCGGTCTGATATCTAGGTTAGGTTTGGTTGTTGAGGTGGTGGGGTCAGGGGTAAGGTGAGGTAAGGTATGCAGGTGAGAGGCACGGAGCCGTGTTAAGGTTTCCGGCGCCGAAGTCTGACGTCTGCCGGCAGTCCGGATGGATACCTTATACTGTAGGAGGGCCGGGTGAGCGGATCACGTAAAAGAATTGTGGGATGCAGGCGTGATTGGCATCTGTGTTTGGAAGCAGGTCAGGTATGCGGGCATAGGAGGAGCGAGATTTGGATGGTTTCTGATTTTCCCTTTGATTTGACGGATTGCTCCAGGCTAGGCAACGGTGCTGACGGCGCCATCCGTCGCGCCGTGTGCGGAGATAGCCGGTGGCTAACGCCGAAATGTCTTCGATTTCGTGATTGACCGCGCCCGGATGATAATCACACAATTTTATTGTCCCATTCCTGCTTTTTAACATGTGAGAGAGCGATGATAAGACCATCGTAGCCTTGATGGCTGTATTTGCCCGTCTGAAAAAAAAAAAAAAAACGGTGCGTGTGTTGGGGGGTGGCAGAGCTAGGTCGAAGAACATCACGACCTGCTCTGTTGGCCACTCCATGTCGACGCGTCCAGATGACGTCCCAATAACTCGAGAAGACCTCCCAAATTTTTCCCCATGTTTTCTTTTGTTCCCTCCAATTGAATTCGCATCGTTCCGTACCAGATAATGTTTCGACATGAGTATTGAGGATAACCATTTTGGCCGCACTACTCAGCGCCGCGCAACGTCTCGAGACAAATTTGTCCCTCATTCTGCGCCAGGCAACCTCTCGATGACGTATTTTCCGCGGCCAGCCTTCAGAATCTATAAGAAAAGTCAGCGCTCGAGACCTGCGAACTTTGGGTTTGATTGAACTTGCCGGCACACCGGGCACCTTTCTCAACCTCTGCTGGAGACCTCTATCATTCGTTCCTACGATATAAATGCGCGATTTCAAGACCCGGTCCACCAGGCAATCATCACCATAGGTCTAAGAAGTCGGTTATTATCTATTTGAACGATGGGTAGGGATATGGTGTTCTTACGCCCTTGTGTGTGCACTTCAAACGGGTCCATCTGGGATCGCGCGCCACGCGTAGAGCAATGCGAAATTTGGGGCCGAGTTTCTCCAATTCAGCCTGCGGCGTTCTGGTAAGTATAATGTTCAACGTTTAAGGAGCGATTTGAGGATGTTACAAGAATGCAGTCCGTGACGATTGGTTCGCAGGACGCTGTCGAGTGTCAGTCTTGTTCACACAAGATTCTGCGTCGAAGCCTACCGTATAAACAGTCCATCATGGCCTCTAGGGGCTCCAATTTGTTCTGAACGGACCTGTTGATGAACGAGGTATCCATAAGAACTGCAGACACCAGTTAGATCTCGCAAGATGTGTTTCTCCCGATTGAAACCTCCCTGAATATGGTGGAGTGAGACTCTCGTTGTGCTGGAAAAAGAGCTGCGATGGCACCTGAGGAATCTCGCGGACAACCGTCTCTCCATCAGGTCCTCCGCGGGCGCCCTTGGCCTTGGCGATGGCATCCTCCTCCTTCTTCAGGTTCTCCTTGCGTCGGCCATCTTTCTTTCCGATTATTCGCTTGACCTATGGAGCAGAAACTTGGTTAGCACCAGGAATTCAATGAAGTCGCATCGTGAAGTCGCGATGTCGAAGGGCATTCGAAAAATTCCTTATCGATAAGGACGTTTTGCGGCCCGTGTTGCGCATAGAAATGCGGGTGGCGAAGGGGACTCACCTCGGCGAACTTTCTTGTCTTCTTTTGAACACCCATTGTGTACTGCGATCGTTGGGCGGCGAATGCGACAGTCGGACGTGTGTTGTTGAGTTGAAGTTCTATTTTTTTGGGCGAGGCTGCGCGAGGCTGTCAGTCTGCCGTGGTTTGGCGGGGCCGTAGGGAGGCAGCTGAAAAAAAAAAAAGTTTTCGGTGTAGGCTGTGGTGTGACTCGGTGTACGGGATAGGAATCAAGGTGAGGAAGAACTGAGGCCCGTGCGCTTGAACGTGAAGGGGTCCCGCTGGGCGCATTTTTTTTCAATATTGAGTGGGGTCTGATCCCTGCGAGTGACAAACCACCGAACCGGATACTGGCCGTCGACGATCAATGTGCTTGCACTGTCCTCCCAGCCTTTTCCTTTTGCACTCATCCATCAGACGCGATCGCCTCAACTGTCGAACAGTTTCATTATCAGAGAGTCAACGAAGCTAAACCACCATGTTTCAGTCAGTCCCTGTGTGGACCACAACAACAGGAATGAGGGGGAGAATGAGACTCTCAGGGACTTACGGTTTGAATGACAGGGGCCTCTCGGGCGCTTTAGCGTTACAATTTCACCCCGGAAAAGCAACCGCTCACTCAGTTTTTTCGATGGGCGTCAGACTTATTGGCGCGGTGCCTTGCAGCAGGATTTCTGTACGTGTCCCGTGTGCGTGTGGTTTTGCGCCTCATGCATATGACCATCACATATGATCCGACAACCCGATAAATGTTCAATATGGCGCTTCTCGGTGAATCAGTGTGGGATACCGGAGACAGCAAAGATAGGGGACTTCCTGTGGGGGCATCATTCGCATTCCAACGAGTGGTTTCCCCGTTTCCGCGACCCGTCAGTCCATGGCCCGGTTTTCACGAGGGAATCCGAACATCTTTCACCGTTTGGGTGGGCTTTCTGCCAGGTACGGAGTACACAGAACGCTTACCCCGGACGAGGGCTCGTGTTGGGCGATGGAGTGCGGAATGCAGCCACTGAAGCGCATGCTGAGGGCCGTTTATTAGCGGGATCAACGCTTGATTGGCGATACGAGCGTCATCACGACTTGCGACAGTGCTTGAGGAAAGCACGCACCGTCTGATTTCCCCAGAAATGCAGCCCTTGCAGCCAGTGGCCATGCCTTGCATAAAACCCTGCACTGTGAATGCATGTCTCTGTCCAAGGAATTACACCAGAAGACCAGAATAAACAACCTGGAACCCGCAGGACCTGGACACACAGCAGCACGTCAAGGCAGAGTCCTCATTACGGCAAATAAGGACGCCACACCGGGCACCAGTGGAAAGGAACGCCGGGCCCAGTCCGCTAACACGAACCTCTCATTGCTGCTGCGTCTGTGGCCTGTGGCCTAGGTTCCTCTGGCTCCCCTCAGGTCACAGGGCAAGTGCGTGCTCTGTGGCCCTGGGCAGCTCATCGCGACAGGGGAGGACCCTTCCTCCTTTTCTTCCCCAGGCCGCTTCCCTGCTGCCTGACCCGCTGTTACTTACCCTCTCCCTCCCCATCACGCACCCTCATCCCTCCCTCTCTTGCTCCCTCATCCCTCTCCCTCCCGACGCCCACACAGTCGACAGCCGGCGACAGCAATGTTCTAGCCCGCGACGGAACCTTCCTCTCCTTTCATCATCTGTAGCGCTTGCTCTGCATCTGCAATTCTCGCGATATCTTCAGTCGACTTGTTCGCCAATCCTGGTACATAGTGCGCTCTCGACCGAATTGGACCAAGGAAACCGCGCCATCCGACCCAATCACGAAGACGACGGCTTCTATTTTCAACCGCTGAGCAACAAACACAGCCACACATCCATCACTCCTTCGCCCGCCGACAATCCGCGAACTTGATCGTCCGTCAACAATAATCATCTATCCGCATTGTGTTTTCGATTCCACAATTATCTTCAATCTATTCGCAAACGACGACTTCGAATATACCCGGGCTTCACGATCCGACGGCCATGGCTTCCTCGCGCACTTCGCTGAAGCGCACGCTTCTCCTGTCCACCTTCACAGCCCTCTCGCTGTTCTCCGCAACGGGTCTCGCGCAAGACAATAGCAGTGGCGGAAGCGCAGCAACCACCGCCCAGACATCGCAGGCCGCGGCCACCACCCAGAGATCCTCCGAAACGCCAACTCGTACCACACAGAACCAGGTCTCCATCACGAACACCGGCAATGTCGAGACGACCGCAGAGACCTTCTCTGCCCCGAGAATCACCGGAGGCACCACCGCAGCGTCAGGAGACGAGCTGACCGGCTTTCCCTCCCTCACCAACCAGCCCCTCACGACGACATATCCTCCTCCGACTGTCCCGCCTACCAACAATGCTCCCTTCATGCACCGGTCGACCGCCCCTCAGGGAACCGTCTTCATTGCCGTTGGTGCCATTCTCGGCGCTTTCGGTCTTGGTATCTTGGTCTGGCGCGGCATCATCGCCTGCCTCCTGCATCGCTCCGTCGCTCGTGCCGCAAACGCCCAGCACATTGCCAACGACAAGGCCAGCTTCCCCGCTCCTCCCGCCCAGTTTTACAAGTATACCGATCAAGAATCTACTCCGTCTCTGGGTGCGAATGGCCGCGGTGTTCGTAGGACGCAGCGCGGTCCCATTCCCTCCGCTACCCCGAGCCAGTCCAATTTGTTCTTCTCACCTACGGCGGCTGGCGGCGGCGGCGGAGGCAACAACCGCGATAGTGTTCGCGACTCGCGCTTCCTGCCTTCTGGTTTCTATGCCGCCGGCACGTCGTCTCCCAGCCACGCTCACGGTCACTCAATAAGCTTGACGAACCTGCGTCCCGACTCTCGCGGTCAGTACGGTGGCATGCAGTCCCGGAACACCATGAGGGAATCTACGCCCCCCGAGTCACCCTCGTTCGGCGCCAGACGTGACTTGAGCACGAGCTCCGTCAACTTGTCTTCGGCCCCCGCCAACGGTCAAAGAGCACCCAGCGCATACCTCGAGGACCTGCTCGACGAAAACCCCAATGCCTTCCCGCCCGCTCACCCGGGATCTCGGAACGCCAACAACAACTCCCCCGGCGGACGATTCTAGCGGGATTGACTTGTTGGTTTCTTTACGTCGACGTGCGGGGAAAGTGATTTCGCCCTGCGTCATATGAAAATGGCGACATTCACGGCTTGGGTTCTACGGGGGCACATCCACGGCGTCAGGGGTATTGAGCATGTGCATTTTCTTGGTTTCAGAACGACATACTTATGTTTAATTTTCGACGAGCCGGATCCTGTCCTGCAAGGACCGGGTCTTTTTTTCTACAGTCTGGTGGAAAACAGTCAAAAAAGCAAGCCGGTGGCCCCAATCGGGCACCGCGCGCGGGCGGTATATTAATTGTTTCCTGTCTGTCCTGTACACTCAACAGGCGCCCGGAGCATTAGACTTGGAGTCACGGTGGTATTTGTCCACCATGGACACTTTGTTCCTTCGTTTCTTGCGCCTCGCTAGTACATATATTCCCGTTCAATGAGGAAACTATCTCAAACAAACAAGTTTACAACGGCCTGCGTGTGACGAAACTGTTTTAGTCCAATGTAAATAAAAACAAGAGTTGACGCTTGTCTGGGTCCAGCGCGATGTCGTTGCTCGAGCCCCAAAAGCATCCCATCATCCAACCGCTCAGACGTTCATCCAAACATCGTCGTCCCTGACGACCGCCTGCGGGATGGGCAAACTCTATCACGGCCGTTATGTCATCCCAACCTTGTCACGATGTTCCCGCGGGGCAAAAAAAGAGGTAATCAATTAGACTTTGAGACGCAACGCGGAAACTCGGACTGGACCCCAGAGCCGGGACCTCCGGACCGAGCCCGGATCGAAGAATAAGAAAAAAAAGAAAGACTGTTCCGGATCTCCAACGTGACTTACGTCGTGTCCAGTTCCGATGTGTTGGACATGCAAAACCGTTTCGCCTGGTTCTCACACGTCGGTCGGTTATTTTGGCGAGAGCGCAGAAGAACACTTACACTGCATGCTTCTTCGTTTTTGTTCTGAACCCGCTGGATCTTGTGACACGTACGCTACTAACAGGCAAGTCGTGTGCGACCGAGATATACAACCGGCACGCGCTTCGACCCCCCGGCGCTGTTGACGTTGTGTCAATGTCTCGCGAACAAGACGGCGGTGCGTACCCGAGACAAAACATGAGGGTAGGTACACAAAAGGACGGACGTAAGCGAGAACCAAAGATCTGTGTGTCTCTTTTCTGGTCTTTTTGATCTACTTTATATGAAGATTACGACACGATATTTAAGACTATATGACTAACACCCACCAGAGACTCGGGATATGAGAGACTCGGGGTTGTCGTGGGTATGTATGAATACGCTGCTGAACCCGAAAACGCCGTTGTTCTGATGGATACTATGTATGCTTCTTTTTTCCCCACGTACTAACTGACTCTTGTAGTCCAACACCCGACGTTATTTGCCATCGTTGGAGATGACGGTTTGAAGTTTAGGCTTGCCGGCTAGACTCGCCGACCTGGTCCTTCAAGCCCATCTCCTCGCTCGCGCCGCGGATGTCCTCGAGGCGGATGCCGCTGCGGTCGCACATGCCCCTGAAGATGCCGCCCTCGCGCTGCCACAGAGCAAGCGGGGTGTCGAGCTCTGCGATGCGGCCGGCGTCCATGACGCAGATGCGGTCGTAGCCGATGATGGTGCGCAGGCGATGGGCGATGCAGAGGAGAGTCCTGCCGCGGAAGCCGGTGGCGATGGTGTTCTGGATCTTGTCGTCCGTCTCCATGTCGACGGAGGAGGTGGCCTCGTCGCAGACGATGATGCGGCTGCCGCGGACGAGGGCGCGGGCGAGGGCCATGAGCTGGCGCTGGCCGAGGGAAAAGTTGAGGCCATCCTCCTCGACGACGGAGTCGAGGTGGATGCCGGAGGAGTCCTTGGTGCGGGGGTCCGAGAGCTGGGCGTCGGAGGGGACGAGATCGGCCTGACGAAGGGCGGACCAAAGCTCGAGGTCGGTGTGCTCATTGAAGGGGTCGAGGTTGGAGCGGACGGTGCCGCGGAAGAGGGTGGGGTCCTGGGGGATGATGGCGAGGCGGGAGCGGAGGTCGTGGAGGCCGATGGTGGAGATGTCGACGCCGTCGATTGTGATGTGGCCGCCCGAGAGCTCGACGAGGCGGAACAGCGTCGACATGATGGACGACTTGCCGGCACCCGTGCGGCCCACGATGCCTATACGTTCACCGCCGCGGACGTGGATCGAGAGACCCGACAAGACGAGAGGGAGGTTGGCGCGGTAGCGCATCTCGACGTTGTCGAAGATGATCTCGCCCTTCTCCGGCCAGGACGGGCGTACCTCGATCGTGTGTAACGGTGCCTCCTCCTCGAGCTGGGTGCCGTAGTACTGGATGCGTTCCACCGCGTTCATGCCGTTCTCGACCTCGGCAAGCTGGCGCACTGTGAACTGGATCATCTGCACGATACCCAGGATGTAACTGAGGACCAAACCGCCAATGCTAGGCGGCACGCTGAACCTGGACGTCACAACGAGGATGCCGGTAGTGAAGACCAGGAGGTTGCCAATGAGATCGAGGCGCACCGAAAGCCAACGCTGATTTGAGAAGGTCAGATAATACGCGGCGTTCATCTCGTCAATGGATTTACGAAGGTCGGCGATGAAGTGTGACTTGAGGTCATAGGCTCGAATGCTAGCGACACCACTCAAGCCCTCGCCGAACTTGGCGAACACGGTTGACCGGAGCACTGACTCAAAACGCTTGACCTCGCGAGCTGACGCGCGGTAGTATGAGGAGGCGAGGATGAAGAAGACGAGTAGCGGTCCGAGTGCGATGGCGAAGTAATGGAAGAAGGCGATAATGAGAGCAAAGACGGAGATGATCATGGCCAGGGTGAAGAAGTACATCCTCATGGCGTCCGTTAGGTTGTTGTCCATCACATCGACGTCTCTCGAAAATCGGTTGGTAATACGGCCAAGCGGGGTGGTGTCGAAGAAAGACATCGGCGCGCGGAGGACCCGAGTCACAGCCTGACGCAGCATCACCTTACTGGATTTGGTACCCAGAATCGACAAGAGCAAGGAGAAGACAAACATGAGCAGCGCCTGGAGAGCACCGAGACCGGCGTATACACCGATGTACTGGGCGTCCGATAGAGGGTACTTCCTGCTCGTCCAGTACGACAACCATAGACTCGTCATCAGATTGGCTCCCTGGGAAAGGAGAAGCAAAAAGATGAGGAATGGCGCGTTGAGAATGCTGCCGGAAGCGCGGATGTAGTCGCTGTACACGTTCCAACCAACACTGGCTACGGCTCTCTCCTCTTGTTGCATGAGGGCGGCGCCCTTCTTGTTCTTCTTCTTATCCCCCTCGGGTGCCTCGTTCAAGTTGGTCGGGGGAGTATCATCCTTCTTTTCTTCCACGGCGGTCGTCTCCAACAATTGCTGGAAGCCCTTGTGCTCTCTCATCAGGTTGTCAAAAGTGTCAATGGCTTGGATCTTGCCACCTTCCATCCAGATGACCCTGTCGCACCGGTTGAGAACCCAAAGCTGGTGAGTTGCAAGAATTCTGCATTTGCCCTTCAGGAGACCGAGGATGGCGTTGTCGAAGATGTGGCGTCCAACGTGGGCGTCGACGGCGCTCAATGGGTCGTCCATGAGCACGATATCGGAGTCGAAGTAGATGGCTCGAGCGATGTTGAGACGTTGTTTCTGACCGCCGGAGATGGTGATGCCCCTTTCACCGATTTCAGTCAGGTCGCCGTTGGGTAGCATGGCGAGATCGGGCCGAAGCGCACAGCTATGAAAGGTCAGTACAGGTTGATTCCACTCAGCATGAACGCCGACTTACGCATTGATTACTTCCTGGTACCAGGCCTTGTCCATGTCTTTGCCGAAAAGAATGTTGTCTCGTACCGTGGCATTTTGAATCCATGCGTATTGGGGGCAGAACGCTCGAGAAGCTCCAAGGACAACTTCACCCGAAGTTTTCCTCATATCGCCTGCCAGCGCAGCGAGCAGCGAGGTCTTACCGCTTCCGACAGAGCCAATGACCGCCACGAGCTCGTCTCTCTTGATCTCAAAGCTGAGGTCTTGCAATTTGAAGGGTTCCCGCTCTTCTTCGACGAGGGTACTCGCGCCGTCTCCGGTGCTGTCGCCTGACGAGGTTGCGGGCTCTGTTTTCGAAGCATCCTTGGGCGGTACGGATTGCGCAGGTCCCTTCTTGCCCGCCCTGCCGGCCACCGTCTTCTCCGATTCTTGCGTCGGGGTTCGTTCCCAGGTAAAGCTGCTGTGGTGCATCTCCAGCGCATTGTCGCCGTCTGGTTTGTAGACCACATCCTCCTCCTGTTCCTCGGCGAGCATGAACTCCTGGATACGTTTCAACGATGACCAAGCGTCAACCACCTGGCCAAGGACCAGCGGAAGCAAGTTGAGCGGCAGACGGAGACCGTTGAACAGGGCGAGAGATGAAAAGATTTCGGCCGGGTTGAGTGCGTTATTGGTCTTTGCGTATGTGATGAAGGAGAGCATAGACGCAAAGATCGGCAATGACAGACTGACAGCGTTGATGCCGTTTCGAATAGCCAACAGGATCTGGATGGCGTGAATTTCGCGATTTCGAATCTCCTTGAGACGTTCAAGGAAGGCGCTCTCCCATCCAAAGTACTTCACAAAGCGAACGGACTGCAGAATTTCCTGCGTCAAGCCGACTCGCTGATCGGTAACCTTGTTGATAGCTTTCCTTCGCTTGAACAAGCTTCTGATGGCTCTTGTTAGCAGCGGGATTCCAGCAACGAGAAGCGCAAATCCAGCGAGCGCGCTGTAGCTCAGGTTGATGAGTAGGACGACAAGTGTGATAACGCAGGAAATGGGCCCTGTCCAGGTGAGGTGGAACAGGGCGCAGGCTTGGTCGATGCGATATGTGTCAACGCTCATCAGGTTGACAATTCGTCCGTTGCCCCAGCCAGTGCCGTCTCCAGAGATTCCAGGGCCCTTGGCATCTCCCTTCTTGCCCTTCTTTTCCTTCGTCTTCTTCCCCTTCTCATCTGCTTGTGGGCCCTTGGTCGCATCCTTGAGACCGCCGGCCTTAGCACGACCAGAAAGTGACATGGACTTTTCGAAGATCATACTGATAAGAACGCCTCTCGACTGGCCACCGATCATCATGCCGCGATAGATGAAATGGTTGGTCCCCAAACTTTGGAAAATCTGCATGAAGGTAACTCCAAGAACCAGGCCAACACCTTTGCCAATGGCGGGTGGTGGTTGTCCCTGCTGGGAAGCATCCCAAGCATCGTTGGCGAACTGGATGAGATAACGAAGCGTGAAGGGAGACATGACCTGAAAAATGGTAGACATGAGCTGGAGAAAACCTCCGAGCCAGAACTCGAAATAATATGTCTCATGCAAAGCCCAGAGAAGAGGGTGTTTGTCTCCTCTGTCGACGCGTTTTTGGAAGGAAGCTTTCATCTTTGCAGTCATGACATCGGCGGCTCTGTCTGGGTTGACTTCCCAGATGTCGTTGGGTTCAAGCTGTCGCTTGTACCCAGTCTAGAAATATGTCAGTAATGTTTCCTGTAAGAGAAGACGACTTCGGCGTGCGGGCTAACCGCGGTCTGATAGGTTCACTCACACTCATGAGAGGCGCCATCCATTGGAAGGTTAGCTGGCTGAAGAACCCAGCTTTATGTTCTCTTGAGACGATCCTCTCTTCGGGTACTGGGGGAATGCCCCCCCATCTCAGTGGATTCGGTGTCTTGTACCATGGTTTGCTCTGTGGTTGACGATTTGCTGTTGTTGTGGCGACACTGGTGTCGGTGGCATGGCTTTTGGTCGACTTCAACTCCGGCCTTCCCCTTTTCTCATCAACATCGGAATCCTCATTCTTCTCGTCGGTCCTGTCGATGTCGATGACGAAGGCGGCATCCTCTTCAGGTTCCTTGGGTGGAATGGGCTCAACGGCAGCGGCTAGTGGGTCGGGTGCCGTGATGTTGGTTTTCTCGTCCTTGTCGGCCATGTCTGGCGGACAGTTTCAGGGAAATCCAGTCTGGTTCTATGTTTCTTTCCCCTCGACAGAGAGTCACAAAATGGCGAACGCTTATTTATTTATGCGAGGCCAAGTATGTTGGAAACGCGAGTGAACGGGTGATATGGCTGGTACGGTAAAGTACACTATGCCTTAGTGTGATGCCGGGGATAGAAAGGCTATGTCCGTCATCCGGGGAAAAAAGATTTGGTACGAAACCATGAGAGGCGTCACCCTGGTTCCACTTGAGAACAACGAGGGAAGGCTACTCGAAACCCGTTGAAGTGATGACGAACTCCGTTGGGATTGGGGTAGTGAATGGGGGTGAGGAGGAGCAGAAGGCAAAAGTACCAAAGATAGAGGAGGAGACGAGAAGGAGTCAGAGTGTGAAAGACTAAGGTACGTAAGAAGAAAGCAACGAAGGACGGAGTCTTGACGGAGTCGGAGAGTAAATGTAATGATGAGTCCCTGACGGGAGTGCGGGTTAGCAAATTTGAAAGGCCGGCAGGCTACATGACAAGTAGATAGGCAGCCCGGACAATGTGTATACTATTCGCCTTGTTCCTCGGGAGGGAGATCCAGCACCGGATAGTGGAGGTGAAAAGACACAACGACTTGAGTCCAGGCGAAGACTGCCCCTGCAACCTGGCTCAAAGTGGGAAGTGAGAACGAGCTGGGTACGACCATTCTCGATGGCATGGGTGCTTGGGATTGTGTTGGACTGGATTGGTTCCGAGGGGGTGAGAAGGAAAAATTGATGGGGACCGCAGACCAAACGGGCTAAGACGGGGCAGGCAAGACAGGGATGCCACGATATGGCTAGCACTAGGCAAGAAGGTGGCCACGTCCGGCAAGTTCTTTCTTTCTTTCTGCGACTTCGCGCCTTATTACCATGCAGTAGGGCGTTGGATGTCCACGTCCGCGGGCAGGTATTATTTAGTATTACCAACCACTGGATCGGTCTAAGCGGCCACTTGTTAGCCGACCCGAATGCTCACCAGAAGACCGGCCAGCTCAATCTGCCCTCTAACAAGCGTTAAGCATAAGCCAATGGAAGTTCCTACAGCAAATCGCCTTCGTACCTGTCATCTCGTTGTTGAAGAAGCCACTCCGGAAGACGACGGCTCGAGACTCGGACTTCTCATTGATTCCTCCCCGGTCCTCCTTCCTCTTGCTCCAGACAACTAGGCAACTCATCATTCACAACGTCCGAAACGAACATTCCATTATGACGGTTGCGTACTCCGATCGCTGCCTCGTCCTCTAGCAAGTCTATCTTGCGTTCAGTTTGTCGGCACAATGAAATCAGCAGCAGGTGCATATGGAATGTCTGACAAAGCAGACCAAGTCCAGAGCTACACGCCGAAACCTACCTCTGTTTCAACAACCGTCCAATCGGTCACTCAACTCCCAGGCTTATCGTCAATATTATATCAGCCTTCTCGGGTATGGCAACATTCGCCGCAGGAACAGGGTCTGTGGTCAGCATATCGAAAGTCAGACGAACACACGTCTTCATGCCTCGTCTGAACATCAGTCCCTAGGGAAAAACACAGCTTTCCGTTCAAGTAACGAGACTACCAGCACGACTCGAGACAAAGCAAGCGCCCCATAGGATGAGCATCGCATTTCCTCGAGTTCATAGCTTGTTCCACATTTGATATTCGTCGCCGTTGTCAAGTCTCAATAAACATAGGACTCTCATTGAAGCGAACCCCGCCGAAGATGGCCATCCATCCTGGACACCACAGACGAACTCAAGGAGCATGGTGTCTCCTGCGGTCAAAGCCGACCCAAGGGACCAGTGCTGGGGCCGGCAGAGACCCTGCCGGCCGCCTGCGTCCAGCGCCCATCCCTGGAACCAACCACCCTCGTGGAAAGATCGTTGGCGCACACTCGCCCGCTGCGGTGGACGGATCCATGATTCATCAAACACCGTCGGGGGGAACCACTAAGAAAAAAAATTGCTGGGAAAATCCGACGGCGCTCGCGAAGCTCGTAAAAGCACAAACAACCCCGAAGCCTGTCGTCCAAAAACCTGCGACGATGCCAACCCAATCACGAACAAACACACGTACGTCTGGGCAATCGTCGGAAGACTTCAGTCATAGCCGTTAGGCAAGGTTCTCCTGTGCTCAAGTTGCTTGAAGGATCTGTGAATAAGCTACTCTTGGCGATTGAGTGAACGACCCCTCGTCCTGGTCGAAACCGTCATGCCGTTGACTCAAGGAGAAGAAAAAAAAAGACAACTCCACACCACCTTGCAGGCCCCAGTTCTCCCCGTCATCTTGGCAAAGAAGTGGGAATGGGCAGACAGCCGAAACGGTCCCGAGAACACGAGGGCACAGCGGACTTAGTCGGCAAGGACTTAAGCCCCAAGACAGTCCGCCCCATCTGTTGTCAGACCTCTTACCACAGCATCAAATGCCTAGAGATCAAATCATGACCGCAGGAATACGCGTAATGAACAGAATTCACCGTCGCTATTTTCGCCAATTCCGGTTGCTCTGGCTCGATAGCCGCACTCAAAGACACCAGGCACACATGTTCCTCTGGACTAAAACACGCCAAAACATCGGATCAATGCTCAGTGCGGCAGATGCACGAAGGAATGGCAGTGATTGAGATTGATAAGTCTAAGAAAACGCTTCGGCGCGTGAACGGCTGCCCTATCTGAACCGATTGTCAGTGGCCGAACCGACCGCCGGCTCCACCCTTCGGAATCGGCCCCGGCAAGGCAAGCGACCCGTCATTCAAGACCAGACCGACAAATACGACAGGCGAATGCTGCAAAGGAGCTGTCTCTCCGTCCAGACTGACCACTCATGTCCTTGTAATGCTTTTATCGATACACGTCAGAACACTTTTGTTCTGCAGTCTGCCCATGGTACTTACAAATCGGCACGCGAGCAAGCTGAAGTCGACGGCCGAACGCCTCCTCCCCCGGCCCTGCATTAGTGTTGACTGCTCGACTCATTCTTCCCAAGCAGGACTCGGAGTTCAAGAGCTTCCAACCGAGCTGCTTACGGATCATACACATAAGACTACATGTTTGTTCTGCCGCGCGCTCACGGCCGAGGCGCCTGAACGTCCCGCGCGCGAGAGGAGTCAGAGTCGAGTTTGCTGCTTTTACGAACTTGATCAGCAGACCACGCGTGGGCGTCACGTCGCACCCATCCCTAGGCAGATCTTGTCCACGTAGCCAGCCGGACTAGTCAAGTCCGACCAACCTTAGCCTGTAGTAAACTCCCGATTCGGAGCAGGTTCTTCGGGTTTGCCCGCTTGACTGGCCAAGCCCGCGCTCTTCCTTCCGGGCTTAGTCGAGGTCGGGCGATTGCAACATCGATTGCAACATCGGGACTTTGGTGTTAACAGCCATACACTCCTCCGCAGGCATAGTTACTGGCAAGCTACTTCAATCGCAACTAAGCAGCAGCCCTTTCTGGATCAATATGACAGGTGTTTTCTAAGGTTTGTATTTCGTGAGTGCGAATGATATTTGCTTAAGAAAGTGAAAATACCATAAGGCGAAATATTACATAGCCCTGCTAATACCTCAAAAACACATATCCGTATTATCATTACAGAGAAGTGCGGGCGTAGAAGATTGTATTCATCTCGTATGAAGGTGTCCACCCACATTGTCAACACTTCCTGCCTCGACGTATAATTACCTGCTGTTCCAGATTTGCTTGTATCCAAATACTAGCCGTGAAAAGTTGTTGCAACATGTACCAGCAGGGGCGAGAAGTTATTCGGAGTATCTCAATGAGGCTCACGGGAATATCAATATTGGAATTGTCGTCCGTATCGTCACGATTCTGGAAAACACCTTTTAGGTTGTTGAGGCGTCCTCAAACTACATCATATACGAATGATGTCAACGAGCAAGTGACCAACGGCTGAACTTTCTCCAGAGATGAGAACCAGAGGTAGGAGGAGCCAAGGCAGCTTCGTGGACTGAAACCGTGCCTTCACGGCAATGCACTTTTATTGACATCATATGACTTCGTCACCATATCCCGTCATGCCCGTCCTCGCCCGGAAATGTCCCGATCAAACACGTTCGTTCCTCGCATCCACGGAGTTGTCCCACGACGAATCCATCTTTCAGAGCTGCTGCCTGCCCTAGTGCCACGCCCCAGGGCCCATCCCAAGAAGCCGTTTACTTGGAGCTGAATCTTGAATAATGACCACTCCCCCGCGACTGATGCCAGTATCTATCGAAGGGTCGATATGAAGATCCAAGCCCAACTATGAGTCTGAAGTCGTTCGTTCCGGCCTCCGTACAAGGGCATGAACACACACCTCCGGCGTTCATAGTTGATGACCCGAGCATACCTAGTCAGCCTGAGTGAACTCAGGGGGCCGAGTTTCCCGCTTATGTGTCATCAGCCATTACAAAACGAGAAATATCAACAAATGAAGGGATCGAGGACATCGATGGATGAAGTGATATCCAAGGGCCGTCAAGCGCAGGAGAGACATATGCTGATATGAATGGAAAGATATCTCGCAAGGAGGAAACAGGGCATGACTTGAACAGCGCCGACCCGACACTCTTTGGAGTTCGGATACCGGAGAGGACTTCACAATCCACAACACGCCGGAATCACCGGTCCAAGAAAATTGGGATCCTTTGGTTGATTCCCTCCGTGTATGCAGTTATGTCACGACCTCCGTGAACGCGGATCAGTGATTTACCAGACGCTTGGCAGGCTACATATCTGCCCCAAAAAATCAATCTCATCCTTCCACTGATAACCTCATCTCATCTAGAGCGCGGTCAACTGGGGAGAATGTATTTCAAAGAATACAGTCCGCTGGTTCCACGGTGCCGAGAGCCTCATCGGGCGTCTTGGTCGATATGTTCTCTTTCATTTCCTTGCCCCCAGTCTGTAGAGCAGCTGTTCATCCAAGCTCGTCAACGTCTGTCTACTGTTGCTGTTACCGCTGCTACCTGTCGTCATCGTACTCGCCGTTCCGCCGGTTACACCCGTCACCCTATCTCCGCATGAAAGGCGTTCGAGAACAGCAGCAGCGGCAGCAGCTTATAGCCCGAAACTAAACAGCGCCATTCTACGCGCAGTTTACCCTCATGCCTGGACGACAGCGATGCCACTGAAGAGTCAGCAGACGAGAAGCAGTCGAGCCCCAACTCAACCCGATCAAACTCGAATGGGCCGTTATTGAAGAGGGTGTCGGGACCGACTGGATGGAAGCCGTGCTCGCCCGTTGACAGCAGAGCTCCCTATCGAGATCCTGAACGGACGTCGTTAAAATACACGCATGGCCGGCATGGCTGAAGAGGCGGTCATCAGAGATCAAGTTGAAGCTGGATAATCACACTTCCAGAATCGTTTCAACCCGGACCGCGGCTTTCGAGGGCGAAATCGCGTGGATGGGATGCCTACCCGCTGTCAACAATGAGAACTCCGAGAACGTAGAGTCAAATGCGGCTTCTCTCATCTCGAGCCAAGCACTTAGATATTGATCGTGAGAAGCAACAAAAAGGACGCCATCTACTCAACGACACTGCCGAGCTGATGTTGGAGCACCAATTACTGTAATGTCCATGAATTTTGCGTGCCAAGCATGGCGACGACCTACTGGGATACTGAAAGGAAAACTATGATGACAGACAAAAGACGCTCCATGGAAACCCTCCCTCGCGTCAGTGAAAATCCACCTCCCGTTGCCGTATGTCCTACCACGCCCGTTTTTTGTAGTGCTACTAGTATACAACTCCAACGCCCGAAATTCTAAACGCGAAAGGAAAAGAAAGCAAGAGGGCGTCACCCCCCCGCTCTATCTACCATAGCCAAAGCCAAGGCGTACAGTAAGAAAGGAAAAAAAGCGACGCCTGCAGACGTCTCGTCCAAAGCAATCTTGTAGCTCCAGCCTCAGCACAGGCGATTGAGAAACCTTGAAAACAGTCTAGTCAGAGTCGGCGCCGGACTCAGTATCGTAGTCATCGGCGGGGAGACCCAATAGGGATCTATCCATGTCATCGAGGTCTTCATCCTCCCCGGGACTTCCGGGCATGATCGTCTTATCGGCATCATCCGCATCATCCATAGTAACGTCTCCTAACGTCATGTCGCCCAAAGTATCGTCACCATTGAGGTCGCCATTCATCTTGGAAGGCGAGTCGGTGGCCCGTAGACCACCCAGGGAGTCAATGCCGCCGTCCAATCCGTTTGCCTTCCTCTTCTTTCTAGGAGGCACGACACCTAGAGGGGCTCCTTCGTGCGCTGCCCATCTAGCCAACCGGCGTGAAGTGCGTCGGAATGCTGCAGCGTAGGAGCTTGCCTCCTCGCCAAAGTCGTCAGTCTCCGTGCTGAGAGGCACGATGCCACCGAATCCCTTCTGACGGAAAGCGCCAACAGTTTTGTCGCCACCTGACATCAACTGTCGTTGCGGGCCATCTTCACCCTCGCTGTCCTCGAAGGGATCCTGCATGTGCTGAATCCGATTGTATGCACGGTAGATGGCGCCATCCTGGCGTCTGAACCTTCTCGCCTTGTGATGCTGTCTGCGAATGCCACGATCGAGAATGTACTCAACTCTCTGGTTTCTGTTTCTCTCGACCGCAATTTGGTGTGCCGTGGGAGGTCGAGGCTTACGAGCAACGATGCTCTCGCCGTGATGGTGGCTGGGACCGGCTGGTGAGGAGCCTTCGAAAATCTGATACTTGAGAGATGCACCTCCACGACGGGCGGCGCTCCCTCCAAGACCACGTCCCAGCGCTCGAGGCGGTGGCGTTGAACGGGTGCTATCCAGGTCCGATTCGTGCTTCGATGGGCGGATTCGAGGTAGAATGGCTGGGCCTTCCTCGGCCATGATGCGGGACGTTCTCGAACCGCGCTTGGTCTGGCTGTCGACAAGATAAGCCTGGTCCGCCTCAAGAATCTTAGCACGCATCTTCTGCTTCTCCTCTCCGAACGCGATCTCAGAGGGAGTATCGACGTTCTCCTGTGCTTCCTCTTCGGGAGTCATCTCCTCCAGCTCGGGGACGCCCTGATTAGCTACATCGACGCCGTAATCCACACCTGCACCAAAGGGGTTCTCTTCGCATCCCTCTTCAGTAAAGTCAGATTCCAGGTAGAACCACATGATCCAAAGAAAAGCGCGGGCGCGGGACTCGCTTGTGAAGTTCGTCTTCATGACCAGGTCGTGGAACTCCCGGCCGGGAGGGAAGTGAAGCTCAGCAACCTTGGCCGCGGACTGACATATTATGAACAGCAAGTTCACCGGGTTGGTGCGAGGCGCGTCGAGCGACTTGATCTTATTCAGCGATGAGGGCTCTTCACGATCCTCAGCACCACCCTTCAAAATGGACTTCAATCTCGGGGCATCTTGGAGTTGTTTGTACGCATGCGCATCTTGGTTGGCTTGCAAGGAAGGGATGGCGTGGTAGGTTCGCAGTTGGGCTCGCATCTCCGGGAAGACTAGGAAAAATAGAGTCAGCAGATGCTCGAGATGCAGAGGGTTGTGACTTTAAACTTACAGTTGAGCGTCGTGTTCATCCTTCCGATGTTGACGAGGAGACAGACCATGGCCATACCTTTGGCGGCATCCCGGTCGCTAAGGAGCTTGTCCCTAAGCACCTTACTGGTCTTGCTGCTTCGCGACATAGTGTCGATGTAAAGGTCGGCAAAGTTTTGGTTGCCTTTCTCAGGCTCGTAGGAATTGGTGAAGACGGCCTTGTCGTTGTCGAAAATGGCTCGGAGGAAGTCGTACTGGATGTCCTTACGCCAGAGCGGCTCGCCGTCCTCCTTTTTCAGATGTCTGATCTTGCCGGTGACGGCCTGCGCTGCCTCCTTGGCCTGCGAGCTTTTCTTACCGCGACCCGAGGTCTTCTCGGACGGCTCTGGAGTCGCGTCCATCATGCGGGTGTCGTCGTCTTCGGTCATTGCTTGCGAGACGAAAGACTTGCCCTCATCGGGGCGAGCAGGAGATGTAGGGCCCTCTGCGTCCGACATGGCGCCTGCCGCGGTGAAACTGGGTGAAGCGGGCGCCACGAAGGAGGAAGGTGCGACGAGACCGGTCGATCGTTGAGGTCGAGTGGTTTAATAAAAGTCCGGAATAGTCGCGATCTTTGGGTAAGGTGTGCTAAGGAAGTCCGTAACACGAATGCGGAAGTGGTTGTCGCGATCGCAAATGTTCGACACGCGCAAGCCTTCGAGGTTGTGGGGTTGGAGGAGGTGAATTGGTTGAAGGGGTGGGCGAAGTGACAGAATGTGGGATTGATAAATGAAGGTTGAGCAGGCTGGAGACAGATAGTTTGGCCTTTGCCCACCGCCCAGACCAGCTGATGAGATTCCACCAACTCACCTGGGGAGCACAGAGAGCAAGGAGCTCACGATTTGGGGGAGCGCGTCAGGCTATCCCCGACCACTAAAATTCCTGGTCGTTGCCCCTAGTCGTGTACGTACCTTACCTTGCTAGCCTGGGGCCACAGCCTGGCAAGCCTGGCCCTTTCTCCGGACTCAACTCCACCAGGTTTTCGTCACCTCACGATGGCGTCTCTAGATTCCTTGGGCGTACTTGTGAAAATGTATGCAAATTTGAACCACGCCCTCGATCGTCATTTTTTTGCAGAGTAAAGCGAAACGACGTCATTTATCCCTAGTTTGACTCGATTGATGTGGACAAATGGGAGTCACCATGGGAGTGTTTTGTGCTTCCCTCTCCGGAAGACAATGATTTGAGAACGAGGTACACGAGAACCGCTGTGACCATCGAGAAAGAAGTACGACTCAACTGAGAATAAGGCACAAGTGAAAATATCGTCATCATTCCGAGTACATCAGTTCACACTCAAAACGGGCAATCGGGTTAACTATCGGAATCTGTTTTTTATTGGGACTTCTCAGTCCAGACTGGCTGTCTACCCGGGGAGGCCTTGCACGGCCGCTTCGCCCCGAACCCAAGACCGAAGTCTCTGATGCCTCCAGCCCCCGGCAATCCTTTTCCCATTGCCGGAGCTGAAGACCACGTCCATTTGTGGCCATTAACCGATTAAGAGCAAGAACTTTTCTTACCCCTCCCTGTGAATCCCTAATCTGTGCCGGGAGGGCCTCTGGTTCCCGCTCTCAAAACGTTTTGAAATTATCCGTTCTGTCGACCGTCCATCCGATCCTTCCATTACCAGTCCAGTCTATTCCGCCGTCTTGTCCTCTATGTCACTGCCCTGCCCTGTTTGCCCCAGGGGCAAGCCTGTCGTGACGTTGAACCAGACGATTGAGAAATCCACTTTTGTCTATGTATGCACGGCGAAATGCATGACCCTTCTATCATCGAAAAGCGAGAAATTGCCCTTCGGGAAACGCTGGAAGAAAGCAGAAACATGAACGTCGTAATGCGTAGCAGATCCAGGATCCGTGTTGTGTATCCGTAGATCCGGCCACGCGGTAGTACACCCGCATGTGGGTGTTCTTCATGCGCTCTGCCGATTCTGAAAGCTTTTCCCAATGTCGGTCTAAGGGTATCATGGAGTTTCGGTCCAGCAAAAAAAGAAATGCTCTCTATCGATGCCGATGCCTGCCCGAACACCCGATGATGCTTCTCGTTGAAAACTGAGAGGCACAAACGTCGGCTCTCGGGGTCATGCTGCCGTGTCGAAGTCCAAATGCAGAGAAAAGCGAGACGATGAATGCGTACGATGTCGACCCATGCGCGCAAACCAAAAGAAAAGAGAAATTGAAAAATCCGCAGCGAGTCGTTGACGCTGCGTGGCGTGCAGCTGTGGGTATCAACTTATCACAGCTGCCGCTCGTCGTCGTAGAAAGATGTTTACCACCAGGACGAGTTGCCGCCAGGTCCGCTGGGGTTGCCGTAGCCACCACCACCGTAACCACCGCCGCCGCCAGAGTAGCCACCACCACCACCGCCGAAGCCACCGCCAGGGGCACCACCGAAACCACCACCGCCGCCGCCGGAGTAGCCGCCGCCGCCACCGCCGCTGAAGCCGCCGCCGCCGCTGGGAGGGCCGCCGAAGCCGCCACCACCGCCGTACTTGCGGAAATCACGGTTGGCACCAGAGCCACCGCCACGAGGACGACCACCACGGCCGCCACGGCCACCGCCGTAAGAAGACTCGCGGGCAATGGTCTCGAGGAAGCTGGGAACCTCCTGGTTGGCCTCCTTGAGGAGTTCGATGAGGTCGCGAACGACACCGCGGTTGCCGCGGTTGAAGAAGGCGGTGGAGTGACCAGTGTTTCCGGCACGACCAGTACGACCGATGCGGTGGACGTAGTCGTCAATGTCGGTGGGGAGATCGTAGTTGACAACGTGGGTGACGTTGGGGATATCGAGACCACGAGCAGCGACAGCAGTAGCGACCAGGATAGGGCAACGTCCGTTGCGGAAGAACTCCAGAGCGCGCTCACGCTCACGCTGGGTACGGTCACCGTGAATGGAGGTGGCAGGGAAGTTCTGGTTGATGAGGAAGTCCGAGAGAGAGTCGGCCATGCGCTTGGTCTCGACGAAGATGAGAGTCAGACCGGCGCCGTGAGTGTGAAGAATGTCGAGAAGGACGGAGCGCTTGTCGACATCCTCAACGTACTCGACCTTCTGGGTGATGTTCTCAGAAGTGGAACCGACACGACCGACGGAAAGGAAAACGTAGTCCTTGAGGAAGTCGCGAGCGAGCATCTGGATGTCGCGAGGGAAGGTGGCCGAGAACATGAGAGTCTGGCGGTTCTGGACGTTGGGCATGTCCTCACCCTCGACAATGCGACGAATCTGGGGCTCGAAACCCATGTCAAGCATGCGGTCAGCCTCGTCCAGCACAAGATACTTAATGTTCTGCAGAGAGATGCGGCCACGCTCGATCAAGTCGACAAGACGTCCGGGGGTAGCGACGAGCAAATCGCAGCCGCGCTCGATTTGGCGGAGCTGGGAGCCAATGTCGGCACCACCGTAGACGACGCAAGGGCGAACCCAAGAACGGTAGGCGAACTTGCGGGACTCGTCGTAGATCTGAGAGACCAGCTCACGAGTGGGAGCCAGGATCAAAGAAGTGGGGTAAGCCTTGCGCTGACGACCGAAAGTGCCAGGGGCGTTGCCAGGGATGGCAGAGGGGCCGTGGATGAAGGCCTGGGACAGAATGGGGAAGAGGAAACCACCAGTCTTTCCGGAACCAGTCTGAGCGCAAGCCATGAGATCGCGACCGCCCATGACGATGGGGATCGAGTACTTCTGGACAGGGGTGGGGATCTTGTAGCGGGCCATCTCGATGTTGCCGATGAGGTGGTTGTCGAGAGGGGGGTTGCTGAAGGTGAGGACGGGCTCAGGGACATCGTGTCCGGAAGCCTCAACAGGGATGTCGTCGTACTTCTCGAAGTTGATACCGGTGTGCTGCTTGGACGGGTCGTCGGCGGTTCCGAAGAGTTCGCGCTCGACGCGAGGGTTGGCAGGGCCGGGGATGTGCTTTCCGTCGCGCCACTGGCCGTCGCCAGATCCACGAGCCTGCTGGCCTCCGCCGCCGCCGCCAGCGTGGCCACCGTAGCCACCACCGTAACCACCACGGCCACCCTCGCCGCCCCAGTTGCGACCGCCGCCGCGAGGGGGATAGCCCTGCTGCTGCTGGGGAGCAGGAGGGGGGCCACCAGGACCACCAGGACCGCCCATCGCGGGCCAGTCACCACCCTGACGGGCGTCGAAGTTCTGGTTTCCACTGCGAGACGTTAGTGATGGGCCAGATGTAGGATGTAGCGATGACCGAAGCTCGATCGAGAGGTTTGACTTACCCAGCTCCAGCCCAGGCGCTGTTGTTGATGCCGTTGTTCATCGGGGGAGGGCCACCAGCGGGAGGACCGCCACCACCGCCGCCGCCACCCATCTTACGCATGTGGGGAGGGATGTAGGACCGAGGCTGGTTCTGCTGGTCCTGAATGTTCAGGCCAGCCATGTTGAGTTGATCAGCCATGATGGATGATTTGATCGGATCGTCTGTCGAGGAAACGGGGTTGTTGTTGTGTCGACAGGAGGGTATCTCGAAAGGCGAGTAAACTCGTAGTATGGATGATGACTCTCGAAAGACTGTAAAAGTGCAGAGAGAGCAGATCGAAAATGAAGGGAAACCGGTCCGTTGTCGAGATGAAAACAAACAGGCAAACCGAAAGAAGGATGATAGAGAAGGAAAAAGTGAAAGTCGGGGCAGGACTTCCAAAGGTTTCGTCTCAGTCGTCTATTAGGCAGGCGCGTTCCGTGCTCTGGGGCACTTGATTAGTTCGATGCCTTGTAATTCCCAAGATGCTCAAAGGAAAGACAAGAGAACAAATTTGTGAGAGAGTTGTGTTGAGGGGGGGAGGATGAGGATAGAAATCCCTTTTTGTGGTGTGGGAAGAGTTTTGTGGGAGAGGTTGTGGGAGGGAAAGGGGATTGGAGATCGGAGGCAAGAAGTAGGGAAAAAAAAAATTGGTTTGAGATTGTGTCGGAATCCACCAGAAAAGGCCACACACCCCTGCAGCCCGTCTCCGTTGGCAGTGTGCTGTGACTCTGGCTGCCCGCTGGCACGCCGAACCTACCCTCCTGAAAAAATTTGGGGGGGCGCCTTCCTCCCTTCTACCATGAGCGCGCTTGCCTCCCGCTGCTCTCTCTCTCTTTTTTTTTTTTTTTTTCGCCTTCTGCCCACCTGCACCTCAGTTCCATTTCCTCGATAAGTTGCACGCCGCTCAGGCTCTAGGCTTCCGGCTCTCAGCCGCTACTACCTCTGGTACAGCCCGCCTCCCAGTGAGTGGGTAAGCAAGCAAACAGGGCACCGGATTGGCCACCACCCAGACGTACCAGCATGTGCGCTTGCTTTCTGCAGTGTGGATGGATGGATGGATGGATGATGACATGTGAGGTGACAGGCCACGCTGCGTCGCTGCCACACAAGCCAACGGCCATGCAATTTTTTTTTTCTGGGTTTGGTCTTTTCATTCCGCTTGGGCAACGTGGGAGGGAACCAATCTGATGACGGACTTTTCGCGGGATACCGGAATTGGGAAGAGACACTGCGGTGAAAACCAGGTAATGGACAAATACAACTTACCTTACCTCAACGATGGTATTGTGCCAAACGTCACCTTCTCTACCCACGCATGAATGGGACCCTGAATCTCGAATAAGGTATCCGTATTCCGATGGTACTAAGGTAGGTGTAGTCGGCTCGTGCGCCCAACCTAGTCTGGGGAATTCTTCTGTGAGCCTGGAGGCACTGGTGACGAGTCGATTTGGTTTATGTCGCCCGCCAACTCCAAGAGCGAGTGAAAAAACAAATATGTTTTCCGAAGGCTAGCAGGAAGGTGAGAGAGGTTGGTGATAACCTATTGGGGTCAAGGTGAGTTGGGTGGCAGGGGTCCAGACTGGACTGGTTAGGAACAACGTCAAGGGATCAAGTTCGGGGTTACAGGGTGCCCCGCATTGAAGATAGGTAGGTGATGGGGAAATTGTTGCCAAAGTGGCGATTTGAGAGCAGAAAATATCTCCTGTCAACCAAGCCCAGTTTCGTCTCTAGACAACTGACCGTGGTCTAGGAGGCTTTGATCCAAATCAGCGGAGGCGAGAGCAGTCCGGAAGCAGAGGTAGCGTCGCGCTGGCTTCCTTCACTACGGTTATCATTCGGTGGCCCTAGTTTACAACGTCTCAGATGGACAACTCGCTTCGAAACATGCCTCCGAGGCCAAGACAAGGACGGACCGCACCTTGCTAATTCAGTCTTTCACCTTACCTCCCATTTTCTGAATTCCATCCCTGGCCAGCGACTAGCAGAAGAAGTCACCTACTACGTAGACCGTCTAGACGGGAGTCCTCACTAAATCCATCTTAGTAACCCCTTGTCCGCGACGCAACCCCCACCTCCAGCCCCAAAAACCGCGGATGCTCACAACTGGAACATTGAAACTCAATCTGGATTTGGCCATCCGTTGGATAAACTAGCTTGGAAACTGAGAAGCGTAAACACCATTCCAGCCAAACACCAACAGGCAATATGAGGGCAGTAGACGGTATGACTTGGAACCTGGAAGCCGCTTGAATCCAGGCAACTTACGTCATCTCTGGAACGATGCTCGCGGGGTACACAAGTGTCCTCCACTTGACGAGCGCTGCCTCAACCTCAGGCAAATTTCCTCTCAGCAGCAGGCATGGGAAAAAAAAGAGCAGCACCTCCAGAACTCCTTCCCGGCCGCCGAACGCATTTCATTGTCTCTTGCGTCTGATGCATCGGAGCCGCCGAGCCGCCCGTTGCAACCAATAAAGGAACATGCGTTTACTTTCGTACTAGTCAGCTACGCAGTAGGAGAAACATTCGTCGCCCTCGCACCAGGGACCGCAGGGCAGACGAGTCAACATCCAATCCAGCTAGGCTGCCTGTGTTAGTTCTTCTCATCACCCTCTGTACGTATCTTATCATTCGACCGGCCGCCCGGTTGCCGCTTTTCCTCTCAACTTCTTGAGACGCCAGAGAAGATGGGACGAAGCCAGACACGTTGTCGGTTCCTTCACATTACAGTAGACCGAACGAGTCGAGAGAAAAAGTCTGAGAGAACAACGGTAGCGTTGAGGCAGCTCGGTACGGCTTCTCTCACGTTTCAATCATGCCCCATCCCTGTTGTGCCGCTAAAACCGTAACCCTCCACCCCGACTCAGTCCATACCTTTCAAACGCTGCTATAGCGAAAATCACACCGCTGTCAGGCAAAGTTAATCTGAGAACCGGAACACGTTCTTTCCCAGAAGAGAATATGAGGCAAAACCCGAGCACATTTATATAATGCACTAGTCCCAGTGCCGGGTGCCGATCAGTGCGACCTGGCAATATCCCAGGCCAGCCGGGTCGTTCCGTCGACAAAGCCGACTGAATACTACTACGCAAGACACACCAAGCATCTGTCAAACCGCCTCTCTCAAGATAGAACTGATATCTGTATCAATTACCAGCCCGGTCTAGTAGTACAGTTGTTGCTGGCCTGGCCTAGGTATTTAGTGCTGCTCCCTGCACGTCATCAAAAAAAAAAGACCTCTTTTCGTCACTCATCCACGCTCCGTTGCTCAAGCAGCCTTCACCACCTTGTCGTCGTCGAATTCTATGTCCACGATGCCGTCCTTGGTGACGGCCTTGACCACCATGCCCTTGAAATCAATCGGTAACCGTCTCTTGAGCTCGTCCGTGCACATGTTGAGGATCTTGATGCCCTGGCCGAGCGTGATGTCGGGGTGGTGGTGTTTATCGAGAATCGACAGGCAGTAGTATCTGTAGGAGTCTTGTCAGCTGTCTTCTTTCACCCAGTGAGGGGCACGAGGATGGCCCGCGTTTCTCGGTCTCGGCGAGCCGCCCTCGAGTTCAGAACGTACTGTGCGTAGCCGTGAGCGGCGTATGGCAGGGACGCCAGCGAGGCGAGGTAGTCGAGCCAGTACAGCGCGGGCTTCTGTGTGATGGGGTCGACGCCGCCCAGGAGCAGGTTGACGTTGTACGGCTTGCGCGAGCGCAAGCTCGAGGCGAGCTCGCCGCGGACGAAGTTGGCCAGGCCGGAAGGAGAGAGGTCCGTCTCGTTACGCATCGAGTAGAGCTGGGAGTTTGCTTGGATGTAGTCGGCGAATTGCACTAGAGATCGTACGCAGCTCGGGTCAGGAATCTTTCTCACAAGCCTCAATCATCCATATTAACGAGAAACCTTCCCCTCCTCAGCTAGCAAGTGCGTGGGAGGGGAAGCTTCGATGGGGGTAACATGAGGGGGAGGGGTGGCAGCTACTGACCAGTGTCGCCCGCCTCGCCAGAGTACGCAATCATTGTGTGCTTGTTGAGGGCTCTCGTCTTGTCGTCGGCGGTCTTGAGGACCGTGGCGCCTCGCATGGCAGCTTTGGAAGCTGCGATGATGGTGAAGTCCTTGCCCGTGATTCCGAGTAACACCTCCCTGCGTGACGCAATTCATATCAGTCTTTGCGTTCAACCATCACGGAAGCTGGAGGTAGTATAACCGTACATTTTGGCTGCTGTTGCTGTGTCTGGTTCGTTGTGGGGGATGGGTGGAAGGTTGAATGGTTTGTTCGTTCGTTCGTGGGAGTATGGGTCGTCGTCTCGTCAGCCTTCTACCAGAGGTACGTCGAGCTACCCCCGGAACGCGCAGTCAAGCTACAGCCTGAACGGAAGGGCCGCCTAGCGCAGTTCTGCCCCATCAGACCGCCGCCCGCCGCCGACCGGAAAAACCACCCCTGTGAATCTTTCTGCAATTGGCTGCAAGATACCCCACACTGACATCTGATTCTCCGAAATACGTACCCATCCAGAACTTTTTTTTTGAGTGGGCATCCTCATCAGGGAAAAAAAAAAGTTCACTTACAGAGAGCCCAGGCGGGAACAGGACCATTTCGCTGAGATACCCCTAAGAGGTCACCCGCCGCGTGCCCAAAATGTCGTCCTTCTTCACAATCCCCGGGTCGAACAAGAAACGCAAGAGGACGGCCGCCCCCGAGGCCCCCAAGAAGCGAATTGCAGCCTCCAAGACCGCGAACAGGGCCCCTCCAAAACCAGCAGCGGCCAAGGGCAAGAAGGCCGGCACTACGGGCGCGAAATCAGCAACGACAGCCTCCAAGAAGCGAATTGAGCGCGACGACGACGACGAATCGATCTCGGGCAGCGACTCGGACGATGAGAGCATAGTCAGCGCCGGCTCGGAACAAAACAATGGCTCGGAGGAGGAAGACGAGGACGAGGTCCCCGGAGAGACGGCCGCAGAGCGCCGGTTGAGGCTCGCAGAGCGGTACCTCGAGAACGTCAAGGAGTCAGTCGACCTGGCGGGCTTCGACGCCGCCGATATCGACCGCGATCTGATCAACGAGCGGTTACAAGAGGACGTGGCCGAGTCCAAGGGAAAAGTCTACCGTCAGCTCGTGTCGGAGCTCGCCTTCGACCGCGCGACCTCGTCCTTCTTCCGCAACAACACCGAGTCCTTCACCTCTGTCGCCGTCAACTTCCCCTACGCCTACACCACCACCAAAGACCTCTACGTGCACAAGTGGAGGATACAGGACCTGCCGCAGGACCAGTTCCCGCAGACCACGCGCAAGAAGCCCAAGAAGCCGCCCGCGCCGCCGCGCAAGCGACCCGAGCTGCAGACCTGGCTGAGGGGCAACGTGACCGCCGCCAAGAACAAGTCCTTCCAGCGCCACTTGGAGAAGATCCTCTGCGTCGCCGCGTCGCCGGACGGCAAGTACGTCGTCACGGGCGGCGAGGACCGCAGGCTCATCATCTACGACGCCGAGACGCTCAAGCCCATCCGCGTCTTCACGCACCACCGCGACGCCGTCACCGGCCTCGCCTTCCGCCGCGGCACAAACCAGCTCTACTCGTGCTCAAAGGACCGCACCGTCAAGGTCTGGAGTCTGGACGAGCTCGCCTACATCGAGACGCTCTTCGGCCACCAGGACGAGATCGTCGACATCGACGCCCTCGCTCAGGAGCGCTGCGTCAGTGTTGGTGCGCGTGATCGCACGGCACGCCTGTGGAAGGTCGCAGAGGAGACGCAGCTCGTCTTCCGCGGCGGTGCCGTGGACAAGAAGGCCCGCCCAGACGTGGACCCGCGATCGCTCCCCCACGAGGGCAGCATGGACCGCGTGGCCATGATCGACGACGAACTCTTCGTCACTGGGAGCGACAACGGCTCGATCGCGCTCTGGGGCGTAACCAAGAAGAAGCCCATTTTCATACTCCCCATGGCCCACGGCCTGGAAGAGCCCCTGCGCCCAGACGAGGCCTCGGCGGATCACAACCCCGACTCGAAAGTGGTGCCGCCGCCTCAACCACGGTGGATTACGGCTCTCAAGACAATCCCATACTCAGATGTTATCCTCAGCGGAAGTTGGGATGGTTGTATAAGAGTCTGGCGACTAAGCGAGGACAAGAGGAAGATTGAAGAGGCGGGTATTCTCACATCAGAGGCTGAGCGGACCTCAAAACCGAAATCTAATGGCAAGTCGGCGGATGCCGGCGGTTTGAAGGGAGTAATCAACGATATTGCCATCTTTGAGCGAGGTGACCGCGGCCAGGACGGCGTTTGCGTCGTCGCTGCGGTTGGCAAGGAGCACAGGTTCGGCAGATGGCAGATGAGGAAGGGCAAGGGTAAAAACGGAGGTTACGTGTTTGAAGTACCGAGGGAGGTGAAAAAGCCAGAGGTGAACGGCAACCATAATGATGCATCGAATTCGGAAAGCGAGTAAAAGTATAGAAGCGTTACCTCTTTGGGAGAGAGAGGGATGTCGCTAGGAAGTGCACATAGACGATCATGTACCACAATGTACGATCTACGAGCTGAGCCTCTACTCTCCATCCAGGACAGGAAAATTGCAGCCACTCTTCGGGAACTTCTCTTTTATTTCTCCATCGACCTCCGAAGATGCTATGATGCAAGTCTATGGGTATGGAATATCAAGGCTATGCTATGGGATGTAACTACCTCGACAACGAACGCCTTGCCAATCCTGGAACAAAATCAGATTGAGCTGAACGGTTATTCAGACCGCTCCAATGCCTCTCCATGTTCCTCATGCACCTCATCTTCCACTCCGACTACCATTTCAGTCGGTTCTTCGTCGTAATTCATCATCAAGGGGTATCGTAGGAACTGAGTCCTCTTCCGTGAGATCCACAGTCACATGGCGTGGCTTGCGGTATTTAGAGCCGCCCGGTGTTTGATCGTAGGTCTCATTATCCTCGACGCTGGGCATGGGGACTTCCTCCAGGCTTGGCTGTCTAACCTTCTGGTGTGAAGCAGGCGAGTACTTGGCAGGAGCACGCCGGCCGGGAGGCGTTCTCACGGATGGGGATTTGACAGGCGGCGACCTAGCATGTGACGGCTCAGTAGGTAACATTATCGGCGCCGCAAACTGTGAGCTCGTATGCACTGCGCCTGTCGGCATGGCGCCTGGGCTTGATTTCTTCGAGAGTTCTTGGTCTTCGACTGTGGTTTGCAGTCGTTGAGGTTGAGTAAACCCTTCGAAAACACCATGATCCACTTGGCCTGATTTGGAGGGAGAAGCTTGCAGTTCGCTGAGGAGCTGTTGGGAGGGGGAGTCGCCTGGTTCATGCTGTTCAGATGCCCGCCTCTCTGCACGAATAGGCATTGGCTTAGATGGTGATGAAAGTTGGCTCAGAACCTGCTCAGCCTCCTTGAGACCTTGCTTGAAGCGACTGGATGCTGGCTCCATTTTTTTGACTGACGTTTCTCCAGACGAAGACAGTACCTGAGACAAACTGGCGGCTTGCGATTTGTCGGCACTGGAGGTCATTCTGATTTTGTTGTGTCGAGGGCTTGATCGCACCTGGCATGGCGAAGACGCCGCGCGGTGAGGCGGTCGAGAGCGAACTGGTGTTTTCGGCTGCTCGGGGGGATTTGACTCCAAAGCCTGGACTGCATCGTTACTCTCGCCCCCTGGCACTGAGCCAGTAGCAACTGTGGGCTTATGAGGTCCATCCTCTTCAAGAATAGGAATGCCTCCATCGGTTGCTTTCTTTGCGGGGGAACTACTGTGATCCTTCAAGGTAACAGAAGGGGATCCTTTGATTGTAGACGACGGGTTCTTGGGCACGTCATCAACGCTCGTTGGAGTCCTTGGGGTCGCTGGTGGGCCGCTAGATTCTTTCTCTGGTGATTTGCTCGAGGCAGGCGGCAGGATGTTGGATTTCTTCCTGGCTCTCTTTTCTGCAGCCAGCTTGGCATTGCGTTCGTTCTGTTCCTTTCGCTGCTCGATGATGATGCTGCGAAGCTCGCCCCGCATCTCGAGCGACGAAATATCCCAGCCCAGATCCTCTTTGCGGACTATCCGACTGACAACATCGTCCGGACCCTTCAGGAACTCTCGCAGGTAGCCAAGTAGAAAAGCACCGCAGCTTGCGTGATCAAGTTGTTCCGGGATATTCTTGGCGGTCATGCCAAATTGGGAAGGAGGTTGAATTTCCAGTCCTCTCTTGTCCAGCGCTTCACGAACAAGGTAATCCTTCAGGTTACCGCAAGTTGCCGAATGACCAGTGGCCAAGGAATCAAGAGTAATGACCCTGGCCTCAGAAGGGTCCTTCTTCCGAGGTAGGGCTCCTGAGCTTTTCTTGACAAAAGGGTGTGATTTGGCAGGCATCGTGTTCGGTTCACTTGTTTCCGTCTTCGGCGTGTCCTGTGTTGCGTTCGCATCGTCCAAAGTCATATGCTCCACCTGCTCTCCAACTGTAGAAACCAAGCCTTCTTTTGGTGTTTCCTGGAGTTGTGCACTCTCGACGTCTTCTTCTTTGATCTCATCTGACTTGACCAGTTTCGACGGATGACAGATAATTGCGAGATACCAGTGCGCTTGCTCGTTGATAGGAACGATAATGTAGTCGTAGGAGAAGATGTCGACCTTTGCAGTCCATGTCTTGACGCCATCGTAGTTGATACCTCGTCCTCTCTTCTCCGTCAACTTCGGGTAGAAGTACGTGTTCATGAAATAAATCCTGTCAGCAGCCTGCTTGTTCTCTTGTTCCAACTTGATTTGGAGATAACGAGAGTAGAAGCCGATAAGGTTGTCGTTCATGAATTCGCCCTCTTCAAGTCGAGCGATGTCGTCCTTGTAAATAGTAGTTCTGTATTTGCCAGAAGCAGGGAAAATCAACGGCTTGTGGTCATCCCAAATCTTCTCCCAATCTGGATTTTGTGTTGTCCATGGCACGGGTAACAACGACCTTGGCGATGTTTTCCTGGGTTCAGGGTCTGATGGACGAAGAGGGGTATCTTTCATCTGTCTTGTGGACCGTCGAGGCTCAGCTTGACCGCTCGTCTCCATATCGAGAGCGAAATATGGAGACGAAACCTTTTTGATGGTGTCTTGTCCCGACACTGGAGTCGTAGAGGTCAAGCCGCTCCGAAGTGAGGTTCTGGACCGGTAAGGTGTGTTTTGCTGGGACGAGCTTGGTCTTGCCCTACTCCAAGGGGTTTGTTCAGAACTGTTGGCGCTGTTGGCTTCCTTATTCTCAAGATATTTGATGTCGTCAGGCTGTGTCTCTGTTCTCGGCTTGCGATTGACTGTAATTTCCCATTGCTTTTCCATGACCTTTTGAAGGCGATCACTGAGATCATGTCAGCCTTTGCGATCTCCTTTTACAGACTTTGGATGACTCACCTGTCGTCTTCTTCAACCTTGCATTTGAGAGTGGATGTCTCCGTGAGCGCGGCATTTGCCCAGAGCCCGAAAGTAAGTGCGTTACCAGACTCTGCGAATTCAAGAACAAGAAGGCCTCGCTTGCTGGGTCTTTTGACTGCGGCAATGGGCGGCCCATACGTGGTGTGTTGAATTCCATCACAAAGATTCAGCTTCACCTCAAGCCAATGGTAGTCGTCTCGTCTTGCGCCAGTGGAGTCGACAGCCATGAGAGTGAATTTGTTGTCAACCCGCAGGGACAGCTCTGGTGCGGCGTCAAGGCCGGCATCAAACCACTTATCCAACGAGGCTGCGACGGCTCGCTTCAACCTGAAAACAGGTGAAACGGATTTTCCTCCCTTCTTGGAGAAAGTGACTGGCGATATGTCTGCTCTGGTACCACGACTGCCAGGCGTAGTCGGGGATATCTTTGCGTCGTCGTCTGAAATAGGATCCATGACAATCCGTCGACTCTTTGCTTTCTGTGCCGGCTTGGACTGAGACTTGGCTAGTTCCCCGATTCGTTGTAGATCGCCATCTGAGATGCCCTCAGAAGCACCCCTGGTGTGATTTGGCAGCTGGTAGCCTCTGTATCCAAGAACCTTGCGTGTGATATCGTTTCGCTTCTTGGGCGGCTGTTCCTCATCTCTTCCCAGTTCGTCTTCGCTCAGCACTTCGTACTGCGCTGGTGAGGTCTGTTTGCACATCAACTTTCTATTGCGGGGTCGCTTTTTCGTCGTCGTTGCACCGTTTCTGGTTTTCTTTTCTAACTGGCGAAACTCAGAGGCGCCCATGAGCGGGTCGTATTCTGACCGGTGGCTCGCCGTATCGCCATCTCTGGACTTCTGAGACTCTGTCAGATCTACAACTGAAGAAGCTTTCAGCGATGGCGATCTGTCGCGTGAAGAGGCCGAGGGCAGCGCAACAACGAATTGCGCGCTCGAGTACTCATGATTGGACGGGGATTCGGTTTGGGCCACTGTCTTCTGGCGCTTCGAAGACCTCGTTGGCTCGATATGAGTAGTCAGGGACTGGGCTACCCTCTTGCTGGAACCGCCATGCCCTTTCGAATTGAGGTCGTTTTTCGGTTGAAAGTCGCCAGTCAACAAGCTCCTCATTGAGCGGCTCTGGACCTTAGATATCAGCGAATGTAATCAACCCGCGACCATTTCGGAAGAGATTTACCATCGGGTTTGGAATAGGGACTCCGCTCCTCGGATTCCTGCCAGAGACAAGGTCAGTGGTTTAGTTGGTAGCGTGGCGTCGGGTCGGGGAGTACCCGTATGTAGGAAAAGAATGGCGGCCGGAATCAAGGTATCGTCTTCGCAGCTTCTCGGTCCTATAAGCCCATGATCAGCCGTCGACCCATAGGTGTCTGGCGCAAACACTTACGAAGCTTGATTTGCAGACGTAGGCGACTGTGTCGCAGATTGTATGGCGATACCTTCCGTGAGGGCCTTCTCGCCACTCTTCTCGGTCCCGTTTGCTGTCCCTACCTCCTGCGCGGGCGTTTCTCGACCTATCTCCTCTCTGGGTCTGGATGTCGTCAGTCTCGTGTCGCGAGCCTCTTCAAGGGCTTTGGATCGGGTGATCGAGCGAGGGGAGGCGTACTTCTGAGCCGTTGCATCGCATGAGAGCGGACAGACTCGGGGAGGAGAGGTTGTGTCGTCGGCAGGCGGTGTCGTTCTGTGCTCCTGCTTCATTCACGAAAGTCGGTTAGTAGTGGGGTCCCGGTCTTCAAAGGTAGTTGGGTTGGTTTGCCCTCCATCTGCGGGTGCTTGTCGAAATTTTGGGGTTCCAGCGCGCTGTACAACCATTGTGGCAGGGGAGGGGGGTCCGCTGACGCGCGCTGGCCACAGCGGATTGGTAGCCTCGCCCGCGACAGCTTCGGTGGGCTCCACTCCATTAAAAACCCAGCGCGCTGGAGCGCGACATCCGTGTAGAGGCACTCCCTCACTTCCCCGTCAATTGGTGCAGTAAGCTAGCCGCTTGGTAACCGACATACGGGTAGACGCTCGATGCAAAGATGACACTCACTGAAAAAGTTGGCCAACATACCTCTTGTGTATGGTCTTCCTCATCTGCTGGGACGGAGTCGCTGATGACTTCCATATTGGGCATGATGCTGTGCGGGTTGTGTGGTGGACTCAGGTAGATGTGAACTTGCTGCTACTGAAGATGTTTGGGTAGAGTCAACAAGGCTCATAGGCAGGAAGACGCGGGGAGATGGCAAGAAGAGATATGAAGCAAGCGGGAGTTGCTTCTTCTCACGAAGCGAGCCACCGGCCTCTCCTTCTGCGGCTCTTTACAGACATGAGCATGGAAGGTCTCGAAAGGGTCAAAAGAGGGGAAAGAGGAAAGACGCCAAAAGGCCCTTGACAGATGCTGTATGGGCAAGGGAGCATGCAGACGGATCTACCTGCTCAATGCTGCCTCCCTTTCACCTCTTGATCCTTTCCCAAATTGATATCAGGAAGGCGCAATTATTATTACAGAGGGTGTCGGTGAGAAGGGCATATTCTCACCCGAATCCAACGACTTACCTCTAAACCTCCAAAAGCAACTTACAACAGGCCATCCTCGTGGTATCAGATTGCCGTACAAGGATGATCCACTGCTAAAACCGGACCCTCAGTCCGCACCACCGGTTCGGCTCCTTCCTTTGGGCAAGGTTTTGGGCGTGGAGGGTACCTCGGTACCCTGGAGGGAGGTAGGTCCCCTAACAGCTCACCTTAGCTGCTACCTCAGCGGCCAATCAGACTGCTAAAGCCACCTGGACCTTTCTAACTCACGGTTCCATCGCAAGGCTGAAGCTTGTCCCCAAAACGTGGCCTCCCATCGGAGAAAGCTACGATTTGAATCCTATAAGGACTTACCACCACCGTCTGTCCCGGCATCCATGCAACCAAGTTGACAATATCCAAACCTCTTGTCGATCGCCGCGCCGTCAACCGGCCAAGATCCCTCGCAAAAATGTACAACACCCTCACCCGCGCCCAGAACGCCTTCGGCTTCTTCACCACCGTCGCCTTCGTCGTCGCGGCCTTCATCGCCGCCACGGACTTCGCCGCCCCGCGCGCGCCCACCGTCCGCGAGCTCAAGACCACAAACATCCAGGTCGTCAAGGGCCGCCCGCACTACTACTCCCCCAAGAAGGAAGAATATGCCATCGTACGTCTCTGTTCTACGCGCACCATCAGCGCTCCCGGCCGTGTGCTGACACGTGAATGCCACAGATCAAGTTCTCTCTCGACGCCGACCTTTCGGATCTCTTCACGTGGAACACGAAGCAGGTCTTCGTTTACGTGACCGCCGAATGGCCCGATAACTCTAAGAAAGCCATCCCCGGCGTCAACGCGACCAACGAGGCCGTCATCTGGGACCAGATCATCACCGCCCCGAGCTCCGACCACCTCGCCAACATTGGCCCGGCTGCCATGCGCAAGTTGAAGAAGAGTGCCGAGGGCAAGAGCATCGACCCCAATCGGTAAGTACACATCATGCGACAACGGCTCAGTTGCCAACAAGACAGCTAACAACTGTGCAGAGGCAAGCTTAAGCTTAAAAACCAGAAGCCCAAGTACCAGATCACCCACCCTTCGGGCAAGGTCGCCGAAACCGACAAGGTCGTGTTGAAGTTGCACTACAATGTTCAACCGTGGGTGGGCATTTTGACATGGAACCAGAACCGGGATCTTGGCTACTGGAAGGCCCTGAAGGGTGGTGTCAGCAAAGCCTTCAAGTTTCCTGCTCTGAAAGTCAAGGAGAAGAAGCCATGAAGATACTAAAGAGTGTTTAATCTATGCACTGTAAATCAAAGATTGGGTCTGAAATCACACGTCTCGTATCATTTTCGGTGTCATTTGCAGGCAAATCGTGATACGTTGTTCTTCTCATGTAAGGTGCTAGTTGTACAACGGTGTCTACGCTAACCGGTGACGTCTTCATGCTCTTGAGACATCAAAACCCCCCGATATATCGCGTTCCCTCGTCTCTACACATTCGTGTCGTAACTCTATTCCTAGGCCTTCTTTTTGGTACCCGACGCCATCTATCAGAAACCATGCCGCTTCATCAGATCGGTATTCGCTATCCCAAAAAAGAGAACACAACCAACATAGACATATTAAGCCTGCTGTGTTCCAGCCGCTCCATTTCCGCCACGGCCGCGGGGTGCACCACGGCCTCGTCCACCGCGTCCACGTCCACGTCCTCTGCCTCTAGCGTCAAGGTTGGCGGGAGGCGGCACGTTCGCGTACATTCCCTGCTGCGGGGTCTCATGAAGCGTCGAGTGCCCAGGATGTTGGACAGGTCCGCCACGGCCTCGACCACGACCCCTACCGTTCTGGAAGCCATGTCCGTTGACCTCGTGTCCCTCCACAGTGCCGTTTGCCGGGCGGTAGACAAGGTTACTGTGAAGCAAGTTGGGGGCGCTTCCACGACCACGACCGCGACCAGAGTGGCCCTGGCTGCCGTTAACAGCACCGCGCCAACCACCTCTGAGCGGACCCGGAGCCGCAGCATCCTTATACTGCGGAACACCCGTAACCTGAGTCGTAACAGAACTGGCGGCAGGCACAGGCCGTCTCTGCATTCCAGCCTTGGAACCGGACACAACTTGCTTGTACGTAGTGTTAAGCACCGAAGAAGAGTAGACAGTCATGCCGCGGAAAGGCGGGCATCTGTCACCCAAAGTGGTGCCACTCATGAAAGTGAGATCCCAAACCACATCCAGCAAAACGTTGTTTGCCGTACGGCTGAGTCCCACAACCGTTCCACGGCTTCCAAGCGGAACCTTGCCGGAAGAGGACAGGAAGCTAACACGATCGCCTAGAGCAAACTTCTGGTTGCTGAGGAAGAGCTCAGAATCGCTGGGTTTCATGATGGCCGAACGTGGGACGCCCTTCATGTTCTTGACCTCCACGTCATGGGATTGAAGGAAGACCTGAGCACCCGCCTCGGCAAGGCGCATAACCACAACAGAGTCTAGCTGCTCGGCCTCCAGCGGAACTCTCTCGAACTTGCTGGTCTGGGCCGCCTTCAACCATGCGCCAATCTCCTTCACGCGCTGGGCGGCGACCTTCGGGTCCTTCCACAAGTCGGTGTCGTTGACATCACTGGATTGAGGGTTTTGCTGAATGGCGGCGAAGAAGTCGGGGAAGGCGGCAATGTATCTTGCCAAAAGTTCGATTGCTGCGTTGCTGAATTCCCAACCCGACTCCGATTTCTGAGAGTAACCAAGAACCTTCTGCTTCTTGGCATCGAACTTCAAGTTGAGGCCCAGGTTGACTCTCAGCCCACCAACGGTATTGATCTGATAAGATGACAAAATCTTGCTTAGAATTAGGGGGTGTAGGTTGAGCATCTTAGCAACAGCATAAGACGGGGTGTATCGGTTCTGGCGCTTCATGTCCTGGATTATTGGCTTCGCGAATTCGGGTTCCTTGTTTTTCAGCACGGAAACTCTAACGTTGGCCTTGTTGTTGGCGTGGCCTGTCACCTCCAGGGCACGGCCGTAGTTGTATTCTCCGAGGAAGAATGCCTGAGTGCCGACGGGGTATTCCTCTTCAATCGGGAGAGCAGCTTTTTCAATGAAACGCTCGTCTTCGTTGACCACGTCGTCGACGATCGTCTGGGAAGCATAAACGCTCCTCATGCTAGGGTTCAACGCGTACTCCTTGATGAGGGCACCTTCATCCGTCTTGATCAAGCCCTTGAGCATATGGACATGAACGAGAGACTCTACTGTGCCAATGGTGAAACCGAGACGCTTGGAGTGCCAGTTCTCGATGTAGGCGGCCTCCTTTGCGAAGAAGTCGATGTCCTTGGGGGTGTGATGCTTTTGAATCACTGAGCCAGTCTGTTCGTCGAGCTCGTAGTCGAAAAGCTCGTCAGAAACCTTGACAATCTTCGCTTCTTGGAGAAAAGGGTACCCAACGAAGCATCGCTTGCCAAGTTTCTCTTTGGCGGCCTCCACCCTTGTTCTCATCTCTGATTCGGTGAGAGTGATGATCATGCTGGGGTTCTTGCTATCCGCTTGGAAAACGTTGACACCGTAGTGCTCGACAAGTGTTGCCGTGTACGGCAACGTGTGCAGTGTTGGGAACCCGGCGAGTGCCTCGATGTTTACCTTGGCGCCTTCAACAAGACCCTTGCGGTAGCTCAAGCCCTCAGTGTTGGGGAGCTCGAAGATGTTCTCCACGCAGTGACAAGGACTGATGTCAGGGAAGACACCCGGCAGAGAAGATGGGTAGGTGTAGGCAAGGGTTGGATCGTAGGTGAACTTCAGAGAGACACCGAAGCCATTCCTCCCCTTCTGATCGGCGGAAAGCAATTCGTTCTTGGGTCCCATCGCACTCAGGAGACGTTTCTCGTCGATGAAGGGGATCTTGACAACTGCCTCCCACTCCATCTTTTTTCCGTTCATGTCTAGCTCGAAATCTCTGGGGTAGAAGTCGATGATGGGAGATTGCGGGTTTGTCATTAGGTCCCAGTAAACTTCGGGAACAATGGACTTGCTTCGATCGGGCAGCACACCCATGAGCTGCTCATATGGTCGGAAAGGTTGGCCCAAGGGGAACTTCAAGTTAGCGCCGAGGCCCTTCACAACGTCTGCAGTATCTGTTAGCATGACTCCCGTAGATGGCAAATTTTCCACACACCAGATGTCAATGGAGAGTAGTGGTACTGGTAAAACCAGGGCCATGAGGCAATTCCTCGGTAGTAGTAATACAAGACCCATTGGAGACCTTGAACATAGTTCTCGCAAAGCTTCCTCAGTTCGTCGTCGTAGGACTCGGGTGCCCACTCGGGAAACTTCTCCAGATAGTACTTGGTCTTCCAGGCCAGGTACTTCTGATCGTACAGTTCTTTGTAGTGACGCTGAGCGTCCTCGGCTGTGATGTCAACGACGAGGGCCTTGTCGTAATTTCGCATGACACGGTACAATGCGAGAGTTCCCTCCTCTTCTTCGTCATTAGCGCTCTCGGCCGCACCCGCGGGGAAAGACAGAAGAAGATGCCGGTGGCCGTCGTCATCCTCCTTCGTGCTCCACTCGATGTGCAGAGTGTCGGCGACATCCTGGACAAACTTGCGGTCCGCGGCATTGAGGCCAGTGCCAAGGTCGAGCGGCTCAGGTGAAGGCTTGTTCACGTAGGGGCGAATCTTTTGCTTCCACAAATCTCTCTGGGAAGACGTCAGAACGAGTCCCTTGCCCTTGGGCTTCCTGCTGTCAGCGCCATTGGGTTCGGCATTTCTCTTAGATTGGAACCACTTTTCGTCGCCGACGTCCTGCTCGAACGAGTTCGTTTCATCCTTTGACAGCTCGTCCAACAGAGTTTTGAGGCGCCCGAGGTTGATGACGCCGCCTTCGTTGATGTAGCCATCGCCCCGAGGAAGAACTTCCTTGTAGATGCGGAACATGGCAGCGAGAGCACCCTCATTGATATGTAAGCGCGGAAGATTCGGAAGGAAATCGTTTCCGACAAAGAAGGCCATGAGGATGAAGTCGTCGATGATTTGCTCGAAATCGTAGGGAAAGCTCAGACGACCAGGCTCTTTGAGGTCTTGAAATTCCAATTCAAGATACTCGCGAACCATGCACAGATGCATCAAGTAGAAGTTCTGATGCTCCAGCTCCTTGGCCTTCTTCGAGTTCTGACGGCCAAAGGTAACCTCTTCTCGAAGAAGACAGAAGTGAGGGTCGTGGCTGAGAAGACCCAACATGATCAGATCAGCATCCAGACCGTACAAGCAGTGGCGGATGTTGGCGTCATAGTCGGGCTGCGCCTTGGCGTTCCTGATGTACTCCATGATTTTGTGCTCTCCTTCACCGGGCACTTCATGGCCGGACAAGACGACCTCACAGCCCTGCCAGTCGGCGTCCTCGGAAACCTTCTTGTTGACGAAGTACTTGAGCTGCTGGGTAAGTTTCGCCATGAACTCCGTACCGGGAGTAATGCAGTTGCTGTCGAAGGGGGGCTCCTTGGGCATCTCGACGCCCTCGCTGATCGCCTTGTCACGGGCTTTCTCGGCATCGAGCGCGGTTCGGAAACGACGGGCACGCTGCTGGTTCATCTTGGCTCTCGGTGCAACTCCATCAATGGCCATGTAGAACAGCTGCTTCGGCTTGATTTTCCCAAACAAATGTTCGATGTAGTTGAAGATGCGAATGAACATCTCCTCTTCGCTGAGTCGGTAGGTTGCATCGTCGCCGTCCTTGTGTGTGCAGTTATGGATGATTCCGTTCATATCCAGCTACAAACTTGGTCAGCTATTCGTATATGAGAAGGGTGGGCGGAGGGTAGGCGAACGTAGAGACAGTCGAACTCAGGGATGCGATTCTCGGCGATGAGCTGCGAGATGGCTGGATAACGCTCGGAGAGCCATCTGAAGAACTTGGGAACACTGTAGACGAGAAGGTTAGCGAGCTGGCCTTCGCCGCTTTTGCAGGACTGGAGGATTTCGCGAACCCCATGATGTGGCAATGGTGAGTGCGCGGAAGCTACGCGCAACTGAACAATGATGGAAAAGGGTGTTTTTAGTGATGTTGTTGATTGGAAGAGACAGTTCTGTTGCCTCTGTCCGTTTTGGCGCTGAAAGTGATTCGGGTTTTCTCTCCAGACACGAGGGAGATCCTGACGCAGGAGTCCAGGTGAATCAGTCGCAAGCTAGTTGCGACTTGAGGCAAGAAAAGAAAAAATGAACAAGTGAAAGAATATTAAACACTTAGCTACTCAAGAGCCAACGTGTTTGCGATTCTGCCAGGTGAACAGGGAACTCGGCTGTCGAGCTGTGTGAGGGCGAAAGGATGGGAAAGTTGGGTTGCGGTGATGCGCAGGTGAAGCTGGACAGATGGACCTGACCAGGTTGATATGGGCGCAATCGATACGATGGATTGGATGATGCAGGAACTTCCGCGCCCAGCTTTCGGGCGGTGGCGGGGCCTATGGAGGTGGGATACCTAACACTGTAGCACTCACTAGTGGCCACAGCGGTTCACTCATCAGTCATCACTGTTTCTGGTTGTTTTCTGGTGTGACTCTGCGACCTGCGCCACAATCAGGGACCCCGCCAGTTGTGGCAGCATCCAGGAGGTTCACACTTCCAGGTTTGCCGACTGGGGCTGATGATGTCTCCAGTTCCACCTTTTGGACCCGACCTCTCCTTGTCCCCGGCCCGCGCTAACTCCTGGATGTCTGCGCCTGTGCTGCAGCACTAAAATTCAATCTACGCGCTGCGCGTCTCCCCCAATCCTCCACCTCGCGTCAACATCCTCCACCTCCATTTGCGCCAGCGAAGAACTTTCCGACATCGCGTTGCGCATATCATCACAGCAGCTCACAGTCGAAAGATACGATACCCGAAGACTCTGCCGCTCATTTAGTCCATCAATCGATACTACGCACATAATGGCGCCTGCTCAGGTTGTTGACGACGTGGACGGTAAGCTTCGCAAACGAGCTCAAAGAACTCCCGGACTAACCCCTTCGCCAGTCGACATGGTCCAGGATGAGGATGATGATCAGGAGCAGCGCCTCATCAATGAGGGTGAGCAGCAAACTCTAATATTCTTGATGTCGTATACTGATTTGGCAACCAGAGTACAAGACCTGGAAGAAGAACAGTCCCTTTCTCTACGACATGATCCTCAGGTACGACTGACCAAAACCCTTCCGGTTGCGACTCCGATTGACACGCCATGCAGCACGGCTCTCGAGTGGCCTACCCTGACTACACAATGGTTTCCCGATGTCAAGGAGCCCGAAGACAAGAACTACCGAATCCACAGACTGCTCCTCGGCACTCACACGTCCGAGGGCATGCCAAACCACGTCCAGATCGCAGAGGTCAAGATCCCCAAATCCGCGTCCCCGAACCCCGCCGACTACAACGAGGAGACTGGTGAAATTGGGGGGCATGCGAAGTCATCGAATGGCGGACCCTCCTCCGTGGAGTTCAACATCGTCCAAAAGATTGATCACCCTGGCGAGGTCAACAAGGCTCGATACCAGCCTCAGAATCCCGATCTCATTGCGACTCTGTGTGTCGACGGAAAAGTCCTCGTATTTGATCGCACAAAGCATAGCCTACAGCCCACAGGCAAGGTCAACGCCCAGGTTGAACTCATTGGTCACAAGCAGGAAGGATTTGGCCTGAGCTGGAACCCCCACGTCGAGGGCTGCCTGGCCTCAGGCAGTGAAGATACTACTGTCTGCCTCTGGTAAGCAAAATTGTTCATCACTGGTGTGTATAACTCAAATCGCTGACGAATCTTTCCTCAGGGACATCAAAACCGTACAGAGTGGCAGCAACACGTTGAAGCCCGCCCGGAGATACACCCACCACACGCAAATTGTCAACGACGTTCAATACCACCCGATTGCCAAGAGCTTCATCGGAACTGTCTCAGACGACTTGACGATGCAAATTATCGACGTGCGCCAGGCTGATACCGATCGCGCCGCTGTGGTCGCCAAGCGTGGCCACCTGGACGCAATCAACGCCCTTGCCTTCAACCCCACGTCAGAAGTTCTCGTTGCGACGGCATCGGCGGACAAGACATTGGGTATTTGGGATCTGCGTAATGTCAAGGAGAAGGTTCACACACTTGAGGGTCACAATGATGCCGTTACCTCCCTTTCGTGGCATCCTCAGGAAGCCGGCATTCTCGGCTCCGGTAGCTACGACAGGCGCGTCATTTTCTGGGACCTGTCCCGCGTCGGAGAGGAGCAGATGCCTGATGACCAGGAGGATGGACCCCCGGAGCTGTATGTCTCTCTATTATTCACGCAAACTTCAGTAGCTAACGTGATTGTTCACAGGCTCTTCATGCACGGTGGCCACACCAACCACCTCGCAGACTTTAGCTGGAACCCTAATGAACCCTGGCTCGTTTGCAGTGCCGCTGAGGACAACTTACTCCAAATCTGGAAGGTAGCCGACTCCATTGTCGGCAAGGACGACGGCGACTTGCCCTTGGACGAGATCGACCGGTAGAGAAGGTCCCTTCCGCATCCGGGAGAATTCGCGTATGGCGAGGACGTTGTCGACTTGTCCTTGAATGAAATCGACTGGTAAACAAAATCCGGTTTCGAGAGTTCATGTACTTTAGCGTAATAGCTTCTTTTTGGCCGATACCAACAAGGAGAGGGGTCAAAACGGTGGTGATTCAGGGTTTTTTAAACTGGCGTCTATGGAAATACATTTCAGATTCCCAAACATCTGGCTTTTCAGTCTTCCAACGTCTTGTTGTGCCAGAATGAATGCGGGCGTCTTTTTGGAGCGTCTCTCTACTACTTCTGAGTAACCAACCCCGTTCCTGACTTCATGTATCAAACCAAATCACAACTGAGGCAATTTTTCGCCAGAGTTTCAGATGTTTCATCAGAGCAAAAGCAGGCAATTCAAGAACCGAGTAATCATAAAACTGATAATTCACGCTTGAGCGACTTGGAAGCTGCAAATGCCAAATACGCAGTCAATGTATGCATCTACAACACCACAAACACGCACGTTTCACGAATTGCTTTTCTCGTCAGAAACATCCTCCGAGAGGAAAAGTGCACTCAACGGGAAAGGGGGGGTTCCAAATAGAGAGCTTGCCTGAGTGATTCGCATTTCAAAAAGTTGGATAAGATTATTTCAGAGGGAGAGAGAGAGAAGAAAGAAGAAAAACAGACCAAAAGAAGCCAGCCGGCCTGCCCTGGATGGAAGAGGCCCCTTAGTTCACTCCCCGACTCCCACAACGCTGCCGCCCATTCCAAGCCGTATATAAACCACACATGTCGAAGTAGGGGATGCCACGCCTGTAAAACGGGGACTGGGGGGAAGAGACGCGAACGAGGACCAGAATGCTTTTTTATGTGTTTGGGAGGGAGGGAAACAACAGACAAGAAGGCCAGATGAATATCGAAAACGTAGCAATCAGCAACAGCAATGACACAAGATGAGAGAGAGAGAGGAGGGAGAGATGGAAAAACGACAATAATTGAAAATCAACACGACAACTTCTTGAAGGCCAGCCAGGTATACCCGTAACACTCCCTTCGCTATGCACTCCCCTGAGGACCGCCCAAAATCCGACCCGAGCCGCAACCGCAACGTCCAAACCAAGGAGGCCGTAATCAACAATCCGTAAGCCAACCCTTTTTAAACTGACGCTTGTCAGCGAGAAGCAATTCCAACAGCGGTGTCCGTCCGTCCGGTAGTGTAACACTCTTTTTGTCTTTCCAGCCCTGCAAACTTTTTACCCGCATCCCTTGGTATACCGACAACCAACCCCCGTCCAAGTTATCTTCCAAAACCTATGCCCACCCCTCCGTAAAAGCAGGCGAAATTCCAGAAGGTAATTGCCAAAGGTCAAATGTTCTATGTTCGTCTTGTTTCCGAAGCGTGCTTCGCAGAAATAAGTCACATGCTGAAACGACCAATAAAGCTAGCTCGTGTAGCAGCCAAGGTTTTATTGAGATTTTCAAAAAGGAAATCCAGTTTCGTTGTTTAGGCAGGAGACTTGCTCGGCGGCGCGGCTCCTCCGTTCTGGCGGGCGTCTCCGCCGCTGACGGAAAGACCTCCGATGCCGCTGGAGAGGAACGCGAAAGGATCGTTCTCGTTTTGCGAGTAGAAGTTGTTGGACGGGCCAGCAGACGCAGGGCCGTTAGAGGCCGACTGGAACGCAGCCTCAGCAGCTCGGCTGTCAAAGGGGCCAACAGAGTGGGAGCCGGGGGCCGGTCCGAAGTGAGTGTTGAGGGAAGGGTACGGGGCAGCACCTCCACCGATGCCCGAGGGAAGAGCATATGTGCTGGGAGGGCCGCCGAAGTGCTGACCTCCGTAGCCGCCGCCAGAGGCGAAACCACCGCCAGCCGAAGCGAAGGGGCCGGGGCCAGGAGTGCCGCTCATGGAGCCCTGGCTCATGCTGTAGTTGGAAGGGGGGTCCATGGGGGATGGGTAACCACCGGAGTCTGCGACAACAGCGGCACCAGCACGGCTGGCACCGCAGCGCAGACAGCAAACGTTCTTAGCAAAGTTGTGGTATCCGCAAACCTCATTGCCGCACTTCCAATCACCGGCGCGGAAGGGGACGACACCGCTGCCGCCCATACGGCCACCGCCGTGGCCCATGTGTCCATGGTGGTGCTGAGGGGGAGGCATCATAGCCGGGGGTCCGTAACCGTATCCATAACCCATGTCGCCAGTAGGACCGGCGCTGACAGCAGGGAAGGAGCAGCGGAAGCAGGCGGTGCGTCGCTGGAAGTTGGAGAAGCCACACGAAGGGCAAGTCCAGTCGCCGGGACGGGGGCGGTTCTTGCTGGGCGGGAATGGCGTCAGAATCTCGGCGGCGCGGTCCAGGACACGGCTGGAAGACGGGGACACTTCGATCGCCTTCTCGTTAAGAGCGCGACCGTTCATGCACAGACTCTCAGCGGCCTAGTAGACATTAGCATTGGTCCCGGTAGCTTGAATCTGGTGGACACCTCTGCGCCAGAAAACTCAATTGGCGATATTGTGACGCCAAAAGGTGTGTGAAGGCGCAAATGTGACAGATGGGTTACTCACCTCCTCGTGGGAAGAGAAGACAGCAAAACCGCTACCCGTCGGCTTGTGCTGCTCGGGAGTTCGGAGGGTCCAAAACGCAATGGGACGACCACCAAACTGGGTAAACCAGCTCTCGAGCTCAGACTGAGTGGTATCGTGAGGCAATCCAGACATGTGGAGAACCTTGCTGCGCTCAGACAAGAAAGCACGCACATCGGCGCGCGCATCCATGGGCCGAGTCAGAACATCAGGGTGCTCGTGGGAAGGCTGCGACTTGCGAATGAGACCTCTCAGGACGCGGGCCAGAGTTACGGCCTCTTCCATAGCGCGGCGAGGGGAGGCAGGAGCCAGCGCCTGAAGGTGGAAGGGCAGGTTGTGCTTGATTGGAGCACTGGACTGGACCGGCTCCACCTCCAAGGCGGCACAGATATTGGACAGCATCGAGGGCCCAAAGGGCAGCGATTCGGGGTGGTGTTGCTGCCACCGCTGGTACTCAGTTCGCAGATCGAAAGTTCGAGAGTGCTGGAGGTATGGAGGCAGAACAACGGCCTTGTCTCGGGCTTCTCGGGGCAACTGGACGCGAAGATCCCAGGCGTCGAGGGTGACGAAGACGAAGTCAAGGTTCTGAGACGTCAAGTGCTCGTTCGCAAACGTGTCGAATCGGTTGATGGCATCTCGGAAGGTTCCCGCATTGCGCACATGTTCCCAAGTAAGGGTCGTCAAGCTCGCTAAGTTCCACGATGTCAGCTAGGAAAATTTCCACGTTTCGACAACGGGGCTGAAAGTAGGTTTTGAATGGCGTGACGAGGAGAGGGCAAGGTCTCAAGCCTTGTGCAACTACTTACTGCACAACGGTGTGATCGGGGTGTTGATGGGTTTGACGAGAACGCTCTCACGAGTGATCTGGAGGGGAGCTTGGTCAGTTTGACTGAAACGGATGGATGGCGGTGGAGGATTAGGCCCCCCCTAGCTCGTGCCGAGATGCTCACCTCTTCGAGAGACTTCGCGTCAAGAAGGATCCATCCAAGCTCGATGACCTCGGCAGAATCCTTGGTGACGTAAACGCCGTGCTCATCGCAAGTGGTTGCGACGTGGATCACAACATAGCGGTCGATGTTGAGCTGGTTGCCAGCGGGAGGACCAGACATTTTGGGCAGATGGCGAGGCGAGGATCGCGAATTGCAATAGCCGCACAATAATAATATTGGGTCGGGTGATGTCTGGTGGAAGACTCGTCGATGGCTCCAACAGCTATTTACCGAAGGCAGAGGGTTGCTGCAGCGTTACGACTCGAACAAACGACGGATGCTCGGGGAGGGGACGGAAGCGGTTCCCGGCAAGCTTGCTTCAGGAGAGGTTCCGAGCAAGGCAAGCTGCTGCAGCGAAGAACCGAAGCAATATGTGCAGCTGGGAAAAACGAGGACGAAATTGACCAGCCCTCGTGTCTTCGTGCCTTTTTTCCTCGCAGCTCGGGGAGAGGTGGGAGGATCGGTAAGGGGGGAAGAGGGAGGAAAGAGGGAAAGGTGATGGCAGGTAGAAAACGACCGGGAAGTCGACACAGGAGATGGAAGAAAATTGGTGTTGGCGTGGGTAGGTGGACTGGGAATCTACTCCGTAACGGTTAAGGTCCTTCAATACTGTACGGGTACCGCTCCTTTGGTCCAGAATACCGGGCAGCAAAAGCGCCAGCACCGGCCAATTGAGCTAAAGTACCTGCCTACCAACCCATCCCGTCTACTTGGCTGCCGAATGCCACACGCGCCGGAACTGCTCTGCTTCACACAAGAACCAGGGGACTTGCTAATGGTTTGGTCAGTGCATCGAGCAGGGCTTCCCTCTGTCCAAAGGAACTCAAAGACGTCAGCTAACATGAGGCACTGTACATTGGTTATTGAAGCGACAAGTGGGCGACGAGGTAACACAGTAAGGCAACGTGGAAGCAGGTACGTGACATGAGGCTGGCCACAGCTGGGCAAGTATACCACCAAGTGAGTGTGGATTAGGGACCGGGAAGCTGAATAATTGTCCGCCTCTTTTGATCTGTCCCGGTCTCCCGTCTATGAGAGTCTGATGCCTGAAGCTGGACGTGAACAAGGGAACTCAGTTGGGCGTCAAATCTCATCTTCCGGGTGTTTCTCATCTCATATCATCGACCTGAGGATAATAAAACAGGATCTGCTGCGTAAAGGAACTCGGAGCTTTACGAAATGAGGTTGGCGGCCTCGTCGATGTTTGTATGTATTGGGTACATGTCTTAACTGACCTCAGCCATGTGTAAAGGTACTTTGTCACAACCTACCTTACCTTCTTGTCAATGAAGGCCGCTTCGGCCTACATGATGATTCAATGTTGCTGATATCCGCGATGCCCGGCGGAATTGAACCTCTCATCCGCCCTCTGGGAGGCGATCTCCCGTGCTTCCTTGACTCTCGATCCTGTTGTTTCTAATCATTCATGAGAAATCCTGAAGCACCACGAAACACCTCTAATTGTCAGCTCCGCGTCGAGGCCACGTTCTGTCTGATTACAAGTACCTAAGGTACGAATAGCAAGCCCGAGGCACCGAAGCATGTCTGTTGCTTCTTAGTGCTCTGGGGCAACGTCAGTGCTGTGCCGGAAACTGTGACCGTGCTATGCTGGTGCAGTTCTTTCCCGTCTGCTTGCCTGCTTTTGGCTTGCTTTTTCGCATTGTCTGGTCCGCCTGCCATGTGTAGTTTGTACTGAGGTGCGTGGCCGTCGAAGCCACATCAGCGCGCCAAGGGCTCTTGCCGTAGTCGCTTGAGCTAGGAGAAGATGGGGGTCGAATTCCATCCTAAAAAACGGGATGTGCTTTCTAAAAGTCCATCCGTCATACCGCTAGCCACCTAAGTAGGTAGGTAGTTTGCCTCGTGTTGGAGTCAGGACGAAAGAGTTCAACACGCAAACCTGAGAAGCTCACAAACAGGTCCCCAAAACTGCAAACCACGACAGCACGGGTACGATTATTCGTCTCCGTTATTCAGTCATGAATCATAGGGGTACAATGTGCCAAGGGTCTTCCGTTGGCAAACCATACCCCCATGGGAAACCAGCAACCACCTCAACAGAGGCACAAATTACCATGCTTCTTCATCTGCACGGCAGGGCTCAAACCAAGTCTCTCTTCCATTTGGGTACGATCGCTGACGGTAATGAGCTTACCAACAAGTCCATCCTCCAACTGCCTTTCTCTTGGGAGGGAACCCTTGGACATAGCCACGCTCTCTTGCATATCGGCTCCTTGCCGCCGTCGCCGGCTGCCTGGGTCTTCCCTATCAGCAGGGCCCTCCTGCTCCGGTTCACCTCGTCTCTCCAGCACGAACCCGCCACCCACGTCCCTCTTGGGAGACCAAGGTATCGGGTACTGCAACTACAAGCGGCGCAGCGTGTCCCAGCCGTGTGTCGACCTTCACTTCTCGCCAGGGTGGGCGCCGTATGCACCTCCGTCACACACCTGGGCACTGCGACGAAGGCGTTGCTGTTTGGGAGTCTGAACAAGCTACTGTATTCGTACCGAGTTTCCACACATGTGAAGAAGAGACATAGCTACCAGAACTGCCGCCAGACTTACTCGGCACCGTCTCTACCAACATTAAGCATTGGTTTGCAGCGTGCCGCACGCTGAATCGCCACCGCTGTGTGAATTCTGGCGAGTACCTCAGGGGCGTGCCTCGTACGGTGTGCGCTACTCCAGATACCTTACCTGAAGCTACGCCGATACACATCATCGACCTCCACTCCCCGAACAGGCCGCGACAACAAGTGGCCATTGGGGACTTGGCCCGTGAGAAGAACCGCCAAATCGACCCAATCGGCGGGGGGCCACAGAGATGAGGCAGCTTTCCATCTTGCCAGCTTGCTCAATCATCGTCGTACGCTGCGCAGTGCGTCCTTCTTCACTTCCCTCCGGTCGTGTTCCGTATCATCGCGTTGTTCTGCTACATGGGACGCAGTGGCTGGCCAAACTACACTTTATCACACCACAACGGTCGCTGGTCAGCATCTCCTTGTCTCCCACGTGGAACCCATCGACTAGCTTTCCGCATCCAGCTAACGGCTGAGGAGGTAAACTCCAACATCAATAGCTGCTGCCGTTTTCCAATACGTTTCCGTCTCTTGGGTTATATCAGGCATCCGATGGGACAGATCGGTACGGACTTGCTATCGGGAGAAAACGACGGCTCCAGGCCGGCTCTGTTGCACACGGAATCCGTATGAAGGAGCGTTTAAAGAGCTCCACAGGACCAAACCCTGACTTGCCGACTTAGGCGAGGCGTCATTTCGCTCCGATGGGATCAGTCCACAATGATGTATCACCCTTACCCCGAACCTACCAGTTGTCTTTGACCCCAACGTCTTTACAGGTATCCGCGATAGTGCACCGCTCTGCCGGTTGCCTCGCGGAGCGTCAAAACAGCTCGGCACGGGACGATGTGACCAGACCAACCACATGGGGCTCCTCGTCGTTTATTCACAATGGCGACTCTGGCAAATCGCCCCTCCCAGCATCGAGCAACAGCAACCTGATGGATCTAAAGGCTTCCGCCATGCTAACTGGCTGAGGTAGCTCGATGGAACAGGCTAAGCAGAAATCCAGGGGTGCTGCCACATGCCTCTCAGACGGGGCACGTTCTGAACCAATCCAAGGCTTCGAAGGCTCAGACTCTTGTCCCTCACAGGGCTCAGGCTTCGAGAAGGTTGGAAGAAGTGTGTCTCTTGGTTCGCACCGTTTTCAGCGGGCCTCTCAAATACGGGTAAGCCTGCTCAGGAGCCGTTCGTTCTGCTCAACTTGATATTCAGCCCTGTTCTCAAGTGTTCATCACCAAATCCAGTTCACGAAGCCGGCTGACGTGCAATGGCTCAATTTCGGTATACGAGAGTTCGAGACGACTTGGATCTGCAACTTGACAACTTTCAGGTCAGCATCACAATTTCGCATACATCTGTTATCTCCGGCCGGTACGGAGTATTCCGCGGCCTCTCGCCCGTCGACAAGTCATCTTCGGTGCCGCGTAACGCTCCGCCTCTTTTTCACTGAAATGAAAACAAAGCCCAAGATTGGAATACCCGGGAACACCTTCAGAACCGCGGCGCACTCATCAGCAAGCTCATTTCCGTCGAGGTTGTCTTCACTCGGGATCCCAACTTGACACGACTTCCAAGTTACAATCAGGCGCAGCTTGATTCGGACTGCGACATGAGCAGGCCGACGTCGAGCTCCGGGCTTTCAAGACACGCAACCAAGACAAAAGGCAATTGACAAGGTATTCAAACCTTGGTGGCAGATGGTATTGTTCTTTTGCGCATCTCAGTCGGGGCTGACGGTGCGGCTACGCGTCCCGCCGTTTCAAATGCTTACCATGAAGCACAACCGCAGCGCTGTTCCCTGTCCCCATCGCGGTTGGTCTTTCACGGGTCTGATCGACAGCCGGCGTGCTGTCAGAGTACACGGGAAGCCGGGTGATGTTCCGGATGCATTGTCATTCCCATGTCCAGGTACAAGTCTGCGGTGGCTATTGAAGGTGCAAGCTCACCGAGTATGGAATCGCCTCGGATCCAGGTGTGACTGTGAGTCTTATTCAAGGCTCAGGGCATATGTTCCCATTTTGCACTCAGTGAAGCTATGTTGGTCCTCGGGACAGCCCGCCTCGCTCTTTTAACGCTTCTATTTGCCAAACAAGGTGAGTTTGGAAGAAGTCATATCACATCGGACTCAATCCAGGAACCACGGAGTTTGATGCTTAGCTTACGCTAAAACCAAGCAAACATATAGCTGTCTCGGCAAGTGAGAAGTCGAGCAGAAGTACGGTACACGTCCCTTCGAAAATATCCCTTCGCTGGTCATCTGATGGGGTGGGCTGTTGGAGAAAGTAGAACAGACGCCGACTGCGTGTCTCGGGCACCAGAGCCGGGAAGCTATCCCAAGAGAAGTAACCTCCTCATAATGTGCCTCAGCTTGACGTGCGTCTACTCACATCGGCTTGCGAGGTTTGCCGCGCTGTCATCGACAATTGTGGCTGGGAGCTTGGGCCAGGGCTGTACCGAAGTTAAGCACCTGAATGGCCGAGTGGGATGAGCTGCAGCTTCTCTGCCGATGTGTCAGATTGGCGGCTGATGGGTTGGTTGTGAGGGCCAAAGTCATCTTTCAAGATCAACGTACGTAGTGGCCTTGGGTTGCAGAAGAGACAACATGTATGATGGCGCATGAAGAATCACCGAGGAGATGTTGCCGAGCGGGCAGGCAGGGCAGATGAGCCTTCTTCATTCTACCAACCCAAGAGCCAAGCGCCAGAACTCACTCATTATCAATGTATTGGCCTCGGTGACAGAATCTCCTGCAAAAAAAAGCCAGACATCAGGCCAGGTACCGCGAGGTTCGGCTCTTACAAGGTATCCAAGTGAAACGGCACGTGCAGGTTACGTCATTCATCGGTCGTCAAGTCCACGCCACGATGGGATTCGACGCGAGCATTGGCTACCAGCAAAGGGAGGCGTCAAGGCACACACGCAAGCTGTTACTCAAAACAAGCAGAAAAGCACGCACGGCACGGCAATTTTTGGCCGTGGCGCCTTCCCTTCCTGACCTCGTGTCTCGTGCCTGAACCCGGGCCTGGCTGGTGCATTTAAGCTTCTTCAGGTCGCCTCGGCTGGAATTGTCATCGTTTCCCTTTCGCATCAACAACCGAATACTCGATACCCTTGAAAGCATTTCAGTCGATCAGCAGATCTTTGCGTGCTTCGTCTTTTCTCACTTACAAATCCCATCAAGCATCATCCTCGACTCCGCACAAACTCAACCGTAAACATCAGACAAACCGACAACATGGGCGCCATCTCAGCCGTCTTTCTCGTCCTCATCACCATCCTTGGTACGTCCCCGCCAAATATAGACGCGCTGCCGAGACGAAAGTGTGCTAACAAACAAATGCAGTCCCGCCCATCGGCGTCTACGCCGTTGCTGGCTGTGGAATGGGTAAGTCCGTTGGCGATCAACGACCCCTCTTTCTTCCCTGGCCTGCATGAATACTGACCTGGGTCTGCGATAGATCTCCTCGTCAACATCTGCTTGACGGTTCTCGGATACCTCCCCGGCCACATCCACGCATTCTATGTCGAATACATCTACTACGACCGTCGCGAGCAGGCGCGGGAGGGCCGCATAGTAACCGGTCGCGCTCCGGGTGTCTACAGCGACAGAGTTCAGAGTGGCGGCCAAGGCTATGGAACGATTGCCCAGGGAACCGCCTAGGTTGAACGAGGGGAACGGGACTCGGTCGTGATAGCGCGCAACGGCGCCATATGATGGAACGAACAACGGCTACGGCAAGGGGTTTCGCGCGGCAGGTGCAGGACACGATGATGCGGCTGGTTGCTAGGGCTGCATGACCGGCGCCAGTAGCTTCACTCTTATCTACATGCCATGACACATTATGTACAAGCATAACTCCAGCAGTGGCGTATGAGAAAGCCGAGCTATACTTGAACATGAATTGTTTTGAAGTTAAAAAGGGTGTAAATTAAAGGGAAGCTACTGACGATGGGGAACGATGGGACAGCCACGGCTGTATCATTCAACAACAAAAAACAAAACAAACTACTTTATACCAAAACCCAGCGACCCGGGCGTGCCTGGCGCGCAGATGATGGTGCGGGATCTGTGTGTCAACGCATCGGGGTCCTCGCGGATGCCATATTGTAAAGCCCCGAGAGGTGAGGGGAAGAATGGAAGATATGATGGGCACGATGGAAGTCTTGGCGTTATGTGCTGCAGACGAGGACACTGATAAGAAGCGCCTCGACCGGCCGGACGACGAATGGGAAAAGACATGATGAAGTGATATAGCTAGGCAGGTGGTCTTCCACGACAACTTGTTCTCGACATTGGACTGCGATGGGAAATGGAAATGCCGAATCATGAGTCTGGCAAATCGCACTTCAGACAGCCGTAAATCTTACAGGTCCGGAGAGACGACCACGTCAATCGCCTCATTCGCCCTGCCGTAGCTGAGCAAATCCGAAGCAGTCAGTCTGGATCGCTGCGATTGAACCACCTCAGTCATATTGGACCAATGCTGGCCGGTGCTGCTGGTGACTGGTCAGATTTGGCTATGGCCTGGGCGTCTGAACGACAGGTTGGGGATGGTTTTGGAGGGAGGGGAAGTTGGGGACCGGAGCAAGAGCGGCAGCGGTAGCGTTAGCGGGGAGACAGTGTCTCTGTTGCACTTTGTGTCGCCTTTGGCACGGTCGAGACACCTGCCATTGGACGGCACTTGCTGGCAGCCGTGGCAGCGACAGGGGGGTTGGCGATGGACCACCCTTTGGCAGCCACGACACTCGTGCAGCACGCACCTGCTCGTTCGCTGGTGCTCGTTCGCTGGTGCTGCGTTGCTCTAGCCTGCATCTGTAATAGCCTCTCTCACCTCTCTCACTCTCTCGGTCTGCTTCCGACTTTCGACTGAGTTCCCGTTGTGTCTCTCTGTGTGTCTCGAAGCTAATGGCCTGTAGTGCCCTGCCTCGACTGCCTTAGCTTATTCTACCTCACATGTACGAAGGTATTAGCCTCCCGTCCCGTCCCCCCGCCTAATCGCTACGACCGGATGCAACTTCACACTAAACACTGCAAAGCCCAATTTCTCCTCCTCCTTTTCTGTGTTTATTATTTTGTTTTGTTCTCATCACCTTCGCAGGCCCCAGTCCAACTCCTCTGCGAAGGAACAGCAATTGCTGCAAGAAATCAGTGCGCGACCCCGTCAACCTGCTTCGAGGCGATCTGGATTGCATCCTCGACTCGACAGTATCCACCATCACATCACCACGCTCCATCGCCCGTCAATCTGTCTCACTCCCGCTCTTCTCTTTTTTTTACACTACGACTTTTGCCAGTCTCGACTTCCCCCAAAACTCCACCCCCGGCGGAAGTGGAAGGCCACAGATCCAGAACGGACGAGACGCACCTCCTGCTTAAGCAAGCAAGCCTACCTGCATATGCTCGCCCGCGAGCCAGAACCCGGTCGGAAAACGACATTCGACACTTACGTTCACGCGAGAACCGACACAGCCATGCCTCCGCATTCGCTGATCTGATTTCTGCTCTCTGATTTTCCCACATAACCGCCGCACGACAGAAAACACCACCTTGCTCTGAGCTCCTCATTGCTACCCTAGCAGCTCATGCTGCTGCCTTTTGACTGTACATATATATATAGCCCATCGCACAACACGCCAGAAAGTGAAGATGGACTCGGGGAAGACTTCGCCCAAGGACCGTTCTGGTCCATCTCAGTCCCGTCATTCCACCTCCGCAACTCACGCCCGGAGCTCTTCAGTTACAACACCATTTCCTCCACTCGCCTCCAAGAAAGCGAATCGAGACTCGCTTACTTTCTCTTTTCCCCCGTTATTTCAACCAAATACATCATCGACTTCTCTAGTTCCTTCGACCGCGGAGGGAAAGCCCATACCTCTCGACGATAGCACCGCGGCGCATCGCACCTCAGCTCTGCGAGAGCTTAACAGCAACTACCCCTCCCGCCACCGCTACGCCAAATCAACCGGCGCACAGAACAGCACCTACTCACAGCCCGTCATCGTGAGAACGTATTCCGGGTCTCATAGCCGACCTACGAGTACGAACCGAAGCAACGGCAACGGCGGTCTTGGTTCGAGGACTGCCTCCTCCGTTGTGAGCGGTCCGGCGGCGTCTGTCAGGCGCATCATTGCTCTGCGCACCCCATTCGGCGGCAGCAAGTCGGCTCAAAATGGCGGCTTGAGCAGAGGGATGGCGAAGAAGCGACTGGAAAGCCAGGAAGCCATGGCCAAACTACCTCCCGTCGAGGCATACAGCTTCAAAAGCATGATGGCCAACATCGAGTCGCAGGAGGGAGATAACAACATCAATGCCGACCTGGATCGCATTGCTGAAATATGTGCCCGGTCACGATACTCTTTGAGTAACCAGTACGAAGTTCACGTTGCACCTCACGGCTCCGGCGCGTCCTTCATCAGTCACGCTTCGTCTTCTCGGCGCCAGCGCAATAATGCCGGTCCTACTCTGGAGGCCGTGTCGGATGATGATCGGAGACACAGGAAACGACGAAGCAATGGCAGAAGGAGAAGCATAGCCATGGGGACACTTGAGACTATCATGTCGTCGAGTCGGTCATCCGAAGAAGATAAGTCAAAGAAGAAGTCAGCAGCTGAGATTACAGCGGAGGTGCGAGGCAGAGCTGCCGCTCGTAAATCCGGCAGCACGACACCCTCATCTTCAGTCAGCGAAAGAGGAGGGCCGTCGAACCAGGAGCAAAAGAAAGAACCACCTCCTCTGGAGAGAAGAAAGTCATCGTCCCTGGCTACCGCCATGTTGGAGTCCACGCGGCAGAGCCTTGCCGCCAATAACAACCAGTCTTCACCCCGAAGTTCCGCAAATGCCCTGGTCAGCGAACTGGCCCTGCCGAAGACTTCGACGAGCCACCTGGAAGTTCGGACGGACGTGGAAGAGAACGCGGGGTATCGCCATGCCCGCAAGAGTTCAGACGAAAGACGCCAGACCGACGTCTCTAAGCCGCAACACCACGAAACTCCAGCTCAGCCTGATCAGACGAAGCAGACTGGGAGCCTCTTGGCTGGACTTACTGGCTGGGTTCCTTGGAGACTGCCGCCCATCGTAGGGCTTGGCTCGGCATCCGCTCAGGGAGGCGTTCCGCGTAGCCACGCTGAAGGTAGTCTGCGAGACTTGCTGAAAACAACTGACGCCAAGAATAAGGGAAAGTCTGTCGAGGCGTAGTCTTGAGGATGTGAACATAATGAAAGAGACTGTGGAGCGGTAACGACTCTCACGGTATATACGACTGGATGACTAGGTCACATGGTACACGACGGCGGAGGCTTCTTCTCGCAACAGCGGTTCTGACCCAAAAGGATAACAAAACAGGTTTCGATACCCATATAAAGCGGAAGGCTATACACAAAAGCAAACAGGATACGGGAATGGGTGCCCTTCTCGCCATCTGTAACCACCAACACCTTTCACGATTTGACGATGATTTACGATTGTTTTCTTATGATATACAGAACAGGGAGGGCTGGTCGGGATATATGATTCTTTCAGATTGAGATTTGAATATGGCGTACACTCGGTTGTTTCTTGGAAATTGTCTCTTGTCGTGTGTTTGGCTTGTAAGATGGTCAAAGATCGGGGCGATCAAAAGCAAGAATACAGTCCATTTCACCAAAGGTGTCTGCTGCAGCTACACGGCTTGACATGTCGCTTGTGCAGATGTTGCTGAGAACCTGGCCGTGGCTCTATGCGTCCGAAAAGGGGTTTGTCAACTCAAGTCCCTGAATATCTGACGTACCTGTCCCCTGGAGAAGTCCATGTTGACTATAAAAGGGGTTACTGAGAAGAAACTGGCCTTCTACCACCATACGTTCACTTCGTCTGTTTGATTTTCTGCAGCTCGGGCGATATCCTTTGCATCTCCCGTCAGAGTCTTCTTCATGGAACTTGTAGAGAAGAGCCGACACAAGCTTCTGACGCCATTCTCAGTGTATACGGTACGAATGCGAAAGAAGTAGGGATGAGGAGCAGGCCCGGGGAGACTCGACATGAGACTGCTGGACCCGGCTCCGGGAAGGATCGTGGAGACCATACGCGCGAAGAATGGCGGAAGGTTTACGAGCGTGACAGCGGTGTTGCTTCGTGTCACGCTCAATTGGTTGGCTATGAGGACTCGACTTTGGTTCCGGTCGCGTGTTTTATATATGTGCGTAGATGCGAGCTGGACTTAGTGTACTCGGACTGCTTGCATGGGAGATACATTGGACGATGAATCTCGTTCAACAAGTCTATGAAGAAAAGCCAACCACTTGTCGGATATTCCATGTAGATACGAGGACGACGTTCTTACTTCCTAAGAGTCGACACTTATCATGCGGCAAACTCATTTGGTGCCAGTCTTTTAGCTACCTCCGTCTGCGTATATATTGATAAGATGTTCTTGGGGTAACGTCTTAACACCACATCTCGATGGGCACTTTGAAGGTAGGATAGTCATGTTCCACGGCGATCCCATCAGCATTTCATTTCTACTGCTCCGGGGGCTTTCATGGTGTCTAAGGTCCGTGGTTTTCTACCGTCCGGGAGGTATTCAAGACGTATAACAAGCCAAAGACCGCGGACAATACCAGTGCAGGCTCGAGAGGGCAAACGCGGCTTCATTTGTGGGGTCGAGATGGGCTGCGGATGAACGGGGCTCGCAACGGGCATCGGCTATTACATATCATGAGATAGGTAGAGGACTTCGAATGTTCGTCGATTTTGAAGCCATACTTGGGGGATTTTGGATGATAGAGTGATGATAGTAGCGTTTTATATGACTCGAAGACCCGGAACTGCGACGGCGTTCACTCAGACGACGCGCAATGATCATCTCTGAGAGGAAGTCCATCTTGCAGCACTTGGAGGTACATAAGAATGATTATGAATGGCGTTTTGATGAGCAGCGGAAAAGGCACCGACATGTGTCTTCCGCTGACTGGACGTTTTCCAGATGTTCCACTGTCACGGAATATGCTCTGCAGTCACGTCTTCTCCCACTTGAGGTCGACCGAGAACCCGGCTGCGTAATCATGGTGTCGCTGTCTCCCGTCTCTATCTTTCACTCGAACAGCCGAATACACGCAAGTCTCTGGCGTTCGTCTCCAAGATGCACCGGCGACTGTGTCCGGCTCGCTTTATCGGGGGATCGATCTAAATCTCCGATGCTTGATGAGCAGGAAGACACATAGCAGAGACGATCGCACACGCTTTTCTTGGGACGGCTAACTCAGCATAGCTAGAGTACTTATATACGAGAAGCCATGGCACTCTCGGGTCATCTGGCGCGACAAACCCGTCTTCCGAATCGACTGGACTTCCACCCAGCACCCTGTCTAGCATGAAATCCGTTGTGGCTATCATATATTGGCCGTGTGATGAGCCAGATGTTCAGATAGATTTCGAAGAAAGCCATTGCTATCTCACGGGTCGACCCTGTGTGTTCCTGCCATGTTCGGTGATATTGGCCATGCTGACAAGGTGATTTTTCCTCATTGAGTTGCGGTTGAAAATATGGACTATCGCACCACCTGTCACATGAGTGTGTAGTTTTGAAGTAATACCTGGCTAGAGGTGAAGAATAGAGTTGGAGGTTCAACAGACGCGTTCAGGGTCTCTGGGCAGACTGTCTCATTTTCCACTCCCCCGGACGACAGTATTCTGGATTTGCTACAAAACGTTACAAGAACCTCCAAATCTATGCTTTCCGCGATGAGACTGGCTCTACACAAGAAGGGGGGGCACTGGCGTCTGAGTAGTCCCCTTTATACTACGATATCGCACGGAAGATACAGCAAGAGTAGAAGGCATACAGTTCAAGTCTTCAGTGGTTCCAAGAACAGTGTAGTATGGATTACAGGCAGTGCCCAGGCTCGGAACTATCTCATGAACAAAACTGGTTTCTTGACGCTATTGACACCATCTTCCATCGAAGCTCTGGAAGGCAGCGGACTGTTCCATGAAACTTGTTTCACTTCATACTCGAATTTGACAGGAACCCCGACCGCAGAGGTCTAGCTACACATGGTGGACTGCGTCAACCATACATGGATCTTTCGGGGGCCCCTTTAAAATGGCCTGTGGCCTTGTAGGTCGTGAGGCGATCAGCAGCCTTGTTTGCCATGTTGTTTGTTTCAATCGATTTGCATTGTCCATCAATCGTCGCTCCTCACGAGATACACGCGCCGCATCAAATCTACAACCAGGCCGCACCATGATGCATCTATTCGTCTCTCACCGTCATCACTGTCTTCGTTCTCTTATTCCCTAATCCACAAAGGCATTCGACAAGCGATCTGGAAGCTCTTGTTCGGGAACGAAATGATGGAAACAGTGTATCTAACGATTTGGGTAGTTTTCCGTTGAGCTTCGAGACAATTTGCAGCTGGCCTTCCCGCGTTATCGATGCGACTGACGACCTGGTAGAACACAGCTTCATCCGAATACAGGCAACTTAGCATACTCAAACCACCACATACGACCATGCTCTCTGGAGAATTCGGGATCCCGGCCGCTCTCCCATAGATGAACTCATCACGCTAAATAGTAGCCTAGTGCATAGCACGACTTTGTGCCATGTCGGACCACCTCTATCCCAGAACTTTGAGCTATTGAAATGAATAATATCACGGTGGCTCTCTATGATACCGTGGCAACTTCTAGCGAATAAGGATTTCACGCCACTTCAACGTCCCGGCGCAGTCTACCAAGTATTTAGATTAATTCCCTAGCACCTCAAACGCGGTTGGGGGCTCGCAAGCTACCTATTAACTAGTTAGAAACTGCTGCAACTATGCTATATCCGGCTGACAGTGACGCCGTCATCTGCTGCTCATGACTTGAACGATTGACCTTTCCGGCGAAACGTAACTGCCGAATACACGGAATAAACGGGATCACACCATCGTCTGCAGCCACCACAGAGGCTTCATTGTCTGAACTGCCCAGTCGCGTTGCTAAAAGTCAAGACCGCGCGCCAGCCACGTGGTGCGGCCGACTGTGTTTTGGAACCTGAGCCACATAATTGTCATCTTGACCTTCCACAGCGAGATGGCGTCTGCTCTGGCGGAAGTCTGGCTTGTAACGTCGATCCATTTTGCCGGCCGGCATTGACAGCTTTGCCACACCCCTATACACATCTCTTCCCATATGCTCTCCCTCCGTCCCCGAATCCCATTGCTTTTCGAACATGCCAAAGTGACAGTAAGCTCGCCGACCTCGCCGACACTTTGGTTTGACGTTAAACCTTAAAGTACCGTTGCGATGATGAAGACATGGGTTGGCCTTTTCTTGGCCCTAACGTTCGGCATCGATATCGTCGTGGCTGCGTCAACCCCTGACATTGCGGCTTACCCACCATGCGCTGTAAGTCACTGATCTGGCTCCATGTCGTATCCTCAGAGGCTGACTATGATACGCTATGAAGGTAAGCTGCATCGTCAAGGGCCTGCCTCAGTCCCCCTGCACTGGGATGAATCAGACTTGTCTCTGCGCAGACCCCGTCTTCAATGATGTCGTGGGTGCTTGCCTAAAGACCGGCTGTACGGTAAAGGAGCAGTTGAGTACGTTTACTGCCCGAGTCCATCATTATTTGCCTGACCTTTTCACAGGTGCTGCGAACTTGACCTGGGTGAACTGCGGCTTCCAGTTGACCGACAACACCAAATTGCCTCGATTCCTTACTGGCCTCCTCTTTATCTTACCAACCGTGTTTATAATCATCCGCCTCGCAAACAAATGGGTAAACCCGTCGTCATGGGCCGCTGATGACCTAGCTATTCTGCTTGGCTATGTAAACATTCCTGGACCCCCGGATGCCAAATAGCTTCTAATCGACGCAGGCTCTCACGGTCCCTTTCCTCCCTATCATATACCGATGTAAGAAGCTCCCTCTTCTGTCTCAAGAGAATGTAAACTGACGTGATATCCAGCATTGGAATTGGGTCTCGGAAAAGATATCTGGACTCTTCAGCCGGACAAGATCACCGAGTTTCTCAAGGCAAGTTGCATCAGCACACACATCCAGGGAGCCCATGTTCGTCGCCTAGCTAATACCGGACCAGATTGTGTTCGTCTCGCAAATCTTTTATATATCAGGCCTCTGTCTTGTGAAGGCGTCGATCATATTCTTCTTTCTCCGAATATTCCCCTCCGTCCGCTTCCGAAAAGTCGTATGGGTAACTCAAGGGGTCAATTTTCTCGCCGCAGTCTTATATCTCATTCTCACATTCACACAATGCGACCCGCTTCCGTTATACTGGCTTGGTTGGGACGGTGGGCAAGCTGGCCACTGCCGGGATTTCAATAAGCTCGTGTTGAGCCATGTTGGTGTCAATATCACACTTGATATTTGGATGCTGGCGCTCCCTTTGACGCAGCTCTATAAGCTTAACCTGAGGTTGAAGAAGAAGATTGGTGTTATTCTTATGTTCAGTGTCGGTCTATTGTAAGTTAACCTAGCCCTCTTGTTGTGCGTCATCCACAGCATATGCTAACAAGCGCCAGTCTCACAGCTGTCAGCGCAGTTCGAATTTCAACCCTCATACAGTTTGCTACTACAAACAATATAACATGTCAGTCACTTCTAATGAGACTCACATGGGAGTTCACAACTAACACCCACTAGCTGAGGCTCTATGGGTATACGTGTGGTCTTTCATTGAGCTGTGCGTCGGCATATCTGTCGCCTGTATGCCGAATGCAAGCCAGCTGTGGCGGAGTGGATTGACAAAAGCCAAGGACCTGAGTGCGGCTGCATCGAGCAAGGAGAGACCTACATCTGCAACTGAAATGATTGCGTCGCCAAAACGGAAGTCTACTTCGCAGGATATCTCGTTGGTCTCTACCGCGGAAGCTTTGGTCACGCCGGATGTTTGAGGTCGTACAACGAGAGACTTTCTCTCTGTTCTTTTCACTGCATATGTGGTACTAAAAGCATCACAATTTTTTCCCTTGACATGCAGTCAGATCGGATTGACAAACGCGCTTTTGGGATCCGAACGAGAAACATAGCTGAGCCTTGGTTGTCCTGATGGTGTCCACTAAATGAAGTTATCAGGAAATCTGTTTTTTTTAATACCTCTGTCTTGGAAAATTTGACGCACTTCGGCGCGGGCCGAGAAACAGCACACTGCTCAGACTTCATCTCTCTCATCCACGAAGTACACCATTCCATACAGGCAGTAAAAATGCAAGGAGATACCGGAGGACTTCTTGCCGAAGAGTGTCTTCGTAGCTATGCCATGGCAATCAGTGCCATCTTGACCATTACCAACTGTCCCGCCTCATCTTTCTTGTCGTTGATGTATTCAGACCGATGACTACGGACGCATATATACAGTGACAACGCAAGCTAACTGACAGTGGCGATCATATAGATCATATCATATCTCAACGGCGACGACCGGAATCTTAAGGATGCAACGCGTTTCCTCGTCTCTTAAAATGCTGCCTGGGCGATCAAACGTCACTTGTAAGTCCTGCTCTACATCGCCTCAAGCCACGAGAAGCAATCCACGAGAAGCAATCCACGCACAAGAGGGAGTAATCACCTATGGCATGCGTGCTGAACAAGTCGTGAGTCCGCCCCATGTCTTGGTATATTTCCCAACAGCGATAACTTATACCATGCCTACAACGCCCACAGACACTCCCTAGATGCCATGTGCCAGCTAATCCTACAGCCACTCGATCAAAAGCCATCGCTATCTCCAGTCATCGCTTCTCCAATACCCGGTAGTACGAGGGATAGTCTCGCGGGAGCCAGCGGTAAAGAGTTGATGTATGTGTGTGATGGAGAGAGAAAAAGGCAAAACAAGTCCCACACCCGAACCTCAAAAACCACTATGCCACATCGTCCAACCATAAACTTCAGTTCCCCAACGCCATGCCAACGCAAATAATGCAGATAAGTAACGGGATGCGAGTGTACCCCCACGCAGGCCTCCCCTCCTGTGCGGTACCATATGAGCCAAGCCAAGCCAGTATCGCCAGCATTCACCGTCGTGGAATCTCCTAGGCTTTCGGACGTTCCGCAGGGACTGCAGCATTGCCCTCAAGTTGTACTCTCTTCGCTTCGCCACGCTCGTCATGAGCCTCGTTCTCTCTTTTTCGATCTCTTGATTTGTTGTCCTTTCCAGACGACGCTGCCGCTGCAGCTCGCCGAGCCTCCTTCTCCTTACGCTCGTTTTCGCGTCGCAGGGCCTTCGATTCGAACTCGTGCCAGTCGCCGTCTAGCGTTGCAAGCCTATTCAAATCATTAGCGTAATGTCAGAAAAAAGGATCACGTGGGATACTCACTCCACAGCCTGCCGAGGAGGAGGGTCTTCGGAGGTGAAATATTCGTCGGCTAGAACTTCCGCAGCGGAGGGCCTCTTCGCAGGATCGTAGCGGAACATGGCAGCCAGAAGTCGGTAAGCAGCAGGAGGCAGTCTCTCCTGATACTTCTCGGCGAAAGTATTTGCTTTGCGGTAGCCTGGTCGCAGGAGTTCGAACCAGGCCATGTCGACGAGACCTGGCCACTCAGCTTTGTTTGGAGTTCCCATTACGGCATAAATCTTGTCCAGCTGGTTGATCTCGCTTCCGTCGCCTGGAAAGATGGCATGGCGAGTGAAGATCTCCACCATGACACAAGCAGCGCTCCAGACGTCGCAAGCCGGTCCGTACTGTGTCTCTCCGAGTAGTAGTTCTGGTGAACGGTACCAGATAGTGATAACTCGATTGGTGTAATCCAGCTGGTGCCTCTTTGCATAAAAACGAGCCAGACCGAAATCTGCCAGTTTGAGGATTCCGTCGCTGCTGACAAGAATGTTGGCAGCCTTGATGTCGCGGTGGAGGACGCCACGCTTGTGCAGGTAGTCGAGACCATCAAAAAGCTGCTTGGCCATGTGCTTCTTCTGAGCTGCGTCCAACTTGAAGGTCGGATGATTCAGAATACCCGTCAGGTCATGGGAGAGGTACTCAAATACCATGAAGCAGTCGTTCTTCTCGACCATGACTTCTTGCAACTGAACAATGTTGGTGTGCCTCAGTGACTGGAGTAACTTGATCTCTCGGACCGCCGTGACTGGGAACCCGTCTCTTTCACCTTCCATGCGGATGCGCTTGAGAGCCACCAGGCCCTTGGTGTACACATGCAACGCCTTGAAGACTTTTCCGTACGTACCGGAACCTACCACAGATTCGTTGCCAGGCTTGCGAAAGTAAACCGAGTCTGACTTCTTCAAGTCTTCGGGCAAGACTGGTCCAGGCTTGAGCCGCTTCATCGTCTTCTTTATCTTGCGTGTTCTCGGAGGAGCAGGCTGGCGTGGTCCGGGAGGGGGCTGATGCCGGTCCTGTCGTGCCCTGGCTGACGCAGGTTCGGTTGGAGCACTGCGCAGTATGTCCTTGTCGATGGCCTTCTTCTCTTTCTCCTTCTCCTTTTCTTTCTCCCGGCCCCTGTCTCGATCCCGATCTCTATCCCGATCGCGGTCGCGGTCGCGGTCACGGTCTCGCTCACGGTCTCGATCACGTTCACGATCTCTGCCTCGGTCGCGGTCGCGGTCACGGTCGTGGCCACGATCCCGATCACGTTCGCGGTCACGATCACGGTCTCGGTCTCGGTCGCGATCCCTTGAATCGTTCTGCTGGGGAGCATCGCGCCGTTGGGGAGCAGCGTTGAACTTCTGAGAGATCTCCGGCTTAGGCGCCGTCGGAGTGGGCTTTGCAGATGCCTTAAACGCAAAGCTGAACTTCGACGACGACTGAGCAGCCGGACCGGCGGGCGGTACTCTGTTGGTTCGCTGAGTATCACTCTCAGCTGTCTTCTCAGACGGGGTGGTATCTTCGACCTGCAAGTCTTTCGACGGACGGAATGGGTTATCGCTCTCTGTGGCGTTGTCGCCGACATCCGATTGATTGCTTTGAGCCGGAGTGGCGGACTGCTGTGAATTGGCATCCTCAGCTTGGCTGAACTGTCCACGCGAACCAGACGGATGATTGTTGTTCGTCCATTGAGCACTCTTGAAGCCATTGCCCCGATAGCCACCTCGGCCGGAGCCGAACTGGCCTCCTCGGAAAGCAGCTCCACCACCGCGAAAATTGCCTCTGAAGTTTCCCTGGGAAAACTGCTGCATGGGCCCGGTAGGAGCGGATGGTGGCGGTGAGAATGATTGATTTGGAGTGTAGGAGCCTTGCGGACCAGTTGGGGGGCCAAAATTGGTTTGTGGGTATTGAGGGGGATATTGGCTAAATGGATGTTAGGGATAGTCTAGAGAAGGGATGATAGATTGATGGGAAACATACTGCGTCGGAGAAAATTGCTGAGAACCCCAGTTGCCTCTGCCAGCCCCGTAGGGCGACTGATTCGGGGACGCATTATAGGAATTTGGAGTCGGCTGCGGGGATTGGGAAAACTGGCGCGGGTCGCTGAACTGTTGGTTGAACGCGGCCGGCATTTGCTGGTTCGAGGCGAAGCCTCCCCTATGATTGCTTCTGCCACTCATGCTGACCTCCACGCTATTAGCAGCTGAAGATGGTTGGGACTTGGACGGCTGCCGTGACTCTTCAGCTTGCGGTACCCGCCTGCTCGATCCTCTGCTAGCGGATCGAGAAGAGGCACGAGACCGAGGCTCCTTATGACGCTGGCGTTCCCTGGAGCTGCGACGTGGAGAAGTCTGGCGGCGGTCACTCCTGGTAGACGTGGATGGTTCCCGAGCAGAAGATCTTTGTCGATGGCTAGGCAGCGGAGAACGGTCCCTTCTCCGAGGTGGTGATGTGTCGCGACGATGCGCGGGGGAGTAGTCTCGGCCGCGTCTCCGGTCTCTGCCAGGTGACCTTGACCTACTGCGACGGCTTCTATGACTTCTCTCCTTGAGCTTTGATCTGTATTCTCGTCGATCGGGGCTTGGTGATCGTCGTGAAGGCCGAGGGGAGCTGCGTGCGTTCCGACTAGAGTCGGCAGGGGGTGCGGAGTCTCTGCGGTCACGTCGGAGGCTGTTGTCTCGTCTGGAATGCCTCCTGTCCGCAGCAGCTCTATCTGTGCTTCGACTTCTCGGCCGCTTTGTTGACGGCGATAAGGGATGGTCGTCACCTCGAGGGTGTCCTCGACTGCGATCTCTGTGTGACCTGGTTCGGGAGTCGCGCCGCGAGTCGCCGCTGTCTCTGCCACGAGATCGATCACGGAGGTCTTCCTTGTACTTTTCGCGACGTGTAGGTGACGGAGATGCACGGCGGTGGCGTTCTCTGCTACGATCGCGAGATCTATGGTGGTTTCGGCCAGAAGGCTGTGCCTTGTCGTGGAAAAGGTCGCGCGGTTTGGTGTCTTGCGATCTGTCGGAGTCCCGAGCTCGACGGGATGGAGGCGTGGGAGATCTGCGGGAGCGTGTCACTTCTCGACCAGCTCGGCCTCGGTCTCTGCGCTCATCGCCTGGTCTGCGGTCGTCTCTCATGGCGACATGTCGAGATCGGTTGTGGTGGTAGGACTCCATCGCAGCAGGCGATTGATTTGAGTTTTTAGTTGCAAGCACGTTGCCTGCCGAGGTTTTGCCGATAACGCGACAAATCCAGCCTGATAAGCGGGATATGCACTTGTCGAGGTGTCAAAGGCGATGCGAACCACCAAGACAAAATAGTTGACAGAAGACGGTAAAAAACCAGGCAGCGGATGGAAAGGCAAGGGTTTTGCCTTGCAGAGTAGAGCAGCCCATCGCAACCGCCTGGCTCGATAGATCGTCGCAGGCTCGCAGGGTTAGTATAAGCAGGCGTGTAGTGCACAGTTCCCGCCCCAGCATGCCATACCACCACCCGGCTCAGATAATCGCCGCATGTCGAAATCCTCCACGACGGCGTGGCGCACTTGCAGAACCACGGCGACAGAAATTGTCCTTCTGCAAAATTTCCTGTGGCAGACAAGCACCTGTCCAAACATCAACCGACCTAGGTTCTGGCGCTCGAAGGTCTCTTCGAGTCAAGATGGACCAGAACCCTGGCATGCTATCTGTCCTCCCCTCCACCATTGCCCAGCATTTGGAGCACGAGACCGAAGCAGCAAGGTCACTATGTACGATTTACGTGCCGGGGACTACCGGGACTTTTGACGTCCGCCAAAACCAGGTCGAGCGTGAATGCTCCGTGAGCTTCCTTTGGGTTGGCGAGAATTCACGGCCCGGAGCAGGGCTGTCGGATCTGACGTCTCAGATGTCCTGGCCAAAGGAACCGACAGCCGCTGCTCGAGCGGTGACGGCGAACGAGGCCACGAAGTTTTGCAAACGACGTAGGTTGCCAGCCTCGAGAGCGCACTGGGTTGGCCGTAATTGTGCGTAGGCTTTAGCTGAGCGGTCCTCCTCACGGGCTGCTGTAAAGTTGCCCGTAATCAAGACTTCAATAGCCAACTCCAATAAAGGCAGTTGCCGCAAGTATGTCATCCCTTCCAGACCTCACAAGGCAAGCCCGAATGCCTGTGTCAACCGTCCTGACGTTTGACGAAGCCATGTAATATTCCACCATCAGGTCGATTCCGTGACCTTGCAGATGCTCGTTCTCGCCGTAACCGAGATATTTGATGATCCGAATGCTTCACCGAAACAAGAAGGCAGTTGGGTTTCGTTGTCGATCGCACCGCCATACCGTTCAAGTTGGGGCAACAGCCACGGGGTAGCGCTTCTCCGCCAGTGTCGGTGATTCTTGTCGCTCGAATTTGGCAATAGTGCACAGAAAAAGTACAGTCATAACTGTCTCTCAATCCTCGAAATCGCCGTTGTTCTCTATGGCCTGCTCATGGGCCAGGGCCAAACGGCCTTCGCGGCACCAGACCGCACATCCGCAAGCCACGCAGCGCGACGCGGGCGCGGGCGAAAATCCATCCATCGCGAAAAAAGGCTGCCGCCGCAAATTTCAAATCGTCCGCATCTTCTGAGAGTCTGAAGAAACGCAGTCGTGCGCTGTCGCCTGTTTGGTGAGGTTGGTTAGAAATGATGACCCATATTGCATGTGGTCGATGACAGTGTGTCGTGGGTCGAGGGGGGAAAACCTTGATCCTCAGATCCGGATGGTCACGTGGTAGACTCATTGGGTACGTACAGTGCGACAGTGCGCATCACCTCTCATCACTCTGCCCATGATTACGTCAGTAACCTTTGGTTGTTACAGTCCCATCGCATAGGAAACTTGAGGTCTACCTTACGGAGTTGAATATCACGTCCCGCTGTTGTATCCTTGAGCTCCTGAGGCAAATCGCACGTTCCTCTGTAACACGTGCGTCCCGCCGAGTCTGCCTACCGTTGGACTTTACTAGAATCCAATGCTTGCAGAACATGATCCCGAGTTGATTTGGATGTAGGCAATCCTTGTTGTACGTTTTCCGTCTTAGATATTTCTAGAACCACAGCCTCGAGTTGATGATCGCTGACTTTCTTAATTCGTATCTTGGAATTCGGATGCAAATGAGGAATTTGGTGTCCAGGCTTTGGCTCATTTCCCAGCTTCGTCCGGCCTGACGGGATGGAGGACCCGGAATGTGCTCCGAGGCGCCAGCCGCAAGCGCACGAGCCATTTGGTACGCTACTGCAGGCACGGCGGCTGAAGGCTCATGAGCGTTGTCAACGACAACTCGGAATGTTCATGAAACTGAGACATTGCGCCGTGCCTCTAAGAGAGCCCAAACGTCCTATGAGGTAGTCTCGACCCAGTGACATCGTCACTAAAATGGTTGAACCCGAGTTCAGACCCATAGTTGTCCAGGATGAGCCTGTTGGAGGCCAAGCAACAGAGCTGGTTGCCTGATCAACGTCCTTTCTTCTCATGCCTGGCCAGCATTTGAGGACGGCAGGTCTGGCTGGAATCAGGCATGGTCGAGTGAATCAAGGCCCCAGGAGACCCTGGGTCCAGGAACTCTTAGTCTTCATACTCGGTGAGCCTTGAGTGTGGTTTTGGGTTGTGAGGCAATAGTCAAACGTTGGATCTCCAAGTTAACACTCATGCCTTGACGTAGACGTATGTGCAAGGCGTGAACCTGAAAATCTGGGCATGCTAGCAGGAGTCGCCGTTTTCGCATGATTTCGATATAAGACAAATAGTTAACGGTATCGATGAGAGCCGGTGAACTTCAAGCAACTGTGTTCCTGACTGGGTTGGTTGACAGACTAAGCATATCGAGTTCTGCCGGGCACAGATACAAGAGGTGCCTGCGAAAACTACCAGAACATCTGAGAAACTTAGCTGCATGAGCAGGTGAACGGAATCGACCTGTCAAGGTGGCTCGGCCGGTACCATGACACGATGACAGGAATGCCACGGACCAGCACCCGGACAACCTGACCTTGCTGGAGGATGGCCATGTTCAGTGATGTAACAGATCGTCGCCTGACGGGTGTATCCGGACGCATTCAAGACTATTGATGACCCTGTACTTCGAAGGCGATAAATAAGGGCGAGATGGCAGAAAAGCTCACCCGTCCCATACCCGGAAAGCCTGGGAACTTGGTGTCTGAGAGGCAATACCAAATTTGGGGTCGAGATGTAAGACCTGACATTTGGGGTAACGGAACTTTTTCCTCGACAAGGTACTTGTATGTCGCTGTCGTGTATGGAATAAGAACAAATGGAGGATGAGATTGGCCACTGGGTTATTCGAGCCGAGGGCAAAGAAAGAAGAGGATAAGTCGTCTGCAGCGCGTGTCATTATTCGCTCAATCTTTCGTTGTCTCCAGGGGATCTCCCGTCTGTGGAAAAGCGCCCACGCGAGTCTGGGGAGTTGGAGTGTCAACCCCGCAAAGATTGTCGTCATTCTGACTAAGCTGAGCCGGAGAAAGCTCTCAAGAGGTGATCCACAGCTATCAAAATTGCGTGAAAGCTGGCGCCGGGCCATCATTCCACACTTAGAATGAACGCAGTACCCATGCTGGGTACGGCCGAGGTACCTCCCCCAGCCTCTGCTGCACTTTTTCCCTCTAGATTTTTTCTCGATCCTGCTCATAACTCCGATACAGAATGCCAAACATAGGCGGCTTCCTGGCCCCCGGAAAAGGGCAGCGTTATGAAAACTTTTCTCAACCTTTTTTCCCGGAATAGCAACTGAACGGGAATTTTCGCACGCCGTTTTTCGGATTCGTCAAGATGCATGAAGAGTCGCATTCGGGGAAATGTCGCAGGAGCAGCAGCTCACGGCGATGCCGTCCGGGGCGAAAGAAACAGCGCGAAGTGCCTATTTTCCAGCGGCGACTCGGCGACGCGAAGCAGTATGGGAAAAGAATTTGTTGAGAGAGCTGACGGTCTGGACTTGTACCACCCTGGTATTGGATGACCATGTTCACCCCAAACCCCAAACTGCAGTGTGGGTTGCCGCTAGTCGTAGCTTCGAACAAGTCCAGGGACAGGTTGCAATAGCTACGGTATCCGCTGTTGTTGTTCCACGTTTGCCCCCAGCTCCCGCCAATGTCATTTCAAAGCCCATTCAGTTGCGCTGCAGTTCTCTCCCCTTCTCACCCGCACTCACAGCTCCGACACAGCAGGTTGGTGGAGCAAGAAGACTGATGGAGAAGGTACCAGCTGCTGCTGTTCCTCTGGGGATATCGCCTCAGTTTCTCTGACCATTCGTATTCAGCAGACCGAAATTCTCGGTTCAGATACCGCAAGAGCTAGCTCATAGATGTATCGGGGGCTAGCGTCGCAGTGAGGCAAGGTACATGAAAAAAAAAGAAGCTGGGCTGGACCGGACCGGATTGTCCAACCACACCACCCGGCCTCATCAGGCCAGGCTCGCCAATGCCATGCCCGCGCCGAGCGCCTTCTTTTCCCAAGACACCTCGTAGCTAAAACCTTCCTTCCCCGCAAACATCTTCTCGCTCGAGAGCTCTTGTCTTTCTCTGCTCGACTGCTGTCGTCCTACTTGTTTGTCTCGCCCAGGACTTCCCGCCTCCTCATTGTTTTATAATCAAAGCCTTGTCCATCTGCACGCCATCTCGGTAGCTTCTCCAAGCTCCGCTCTCTTCCTACCTATTTCGCCAGCGTCACCTTGGTTACCAGTCAGTAAAGCCCTGCATACTTGCGTCATCCAAGCTTCAATTGGCTTTCTTCCACTTTACGCAACCTTCCATCTTCTTTTTTACCTTTATCCACAGCTTCCGCCATCTCTGCTCGAGCTATTCTACCTCGCCCCCCGTCCTTCCACGCTGACTCTCGCCGACAAAGCATCCCAAGAACGTAATTCATCAAAATGTCTACGATGCCTGAAGGTACTCGGGACAACCCAGACCGTCCCCCTCGCGATGTTAAGAACCACCTGCTCTTCGAAATCGCAACCGAAGTTGCTCATCGAGGTATCATCCCCACGATTGCTTCCCCGGATCATCGTCTCCGCAGTGGGCTGACCCATTTGTGTAATGTGTAGTCGGTGGCATCTACTCCGTCATCAAGTCCAAGGCTCCTGTAACCACGGCCGAGTATGGCGATCGCTACACGCTCATCGGCCCATTGAACCATCAATCGGTGAGAAAAGCCATTGTCAATGTTGTAAATGCAGTGTGTTGACCAGAAGTAGGCTGCTGTGGAGGTTGAGGAGCTGGAACCTACCAACCCCGAGCTTGCTGCCACGATTCAGTCCATGCGGGACCGTGGCATTGGCATTCTCTACGGACGATGGCTCATTGACGGCGCTCCCCGAGTGCTTCTCATCGACACCAAGACTGCGTACGGCTTCTTGGACGAGTGGAAAACCGATCTTTGGAACGTCGCAAGCATCCCCTCGCCGCCCAATGATGACGAGACCAACGAGGCCGTTGTTTTTGGATATCTTGTTGCTTGGTTCCTGGGAGAGGTAAGAAGCTATCTGCAAACACAGGGGCGACGCTGACATTGGCAATAGTTTGTCTGCCACGAGAAGAAGAGGGCTGTCATCGCCCATTTCCACGAATGGCTCGCCGGCGTGGCTCTCCCTCTGACGAAGAGGAGGCGCATCGATGTGACTACAATCTTCACAACCCACGCAACTCTTTTGGGAAGATACCTTTGCGCTGGCTCCGTCGACTTCTATAACAATCTACAATGGTTCGACGTTGATGCCGAAGCCGGAAAGCGAGGCATCTACCACCGCTACTGCATTGAGCGAGCCGCTGCCCACGCTTGCGATGTCTTCACAACGGTTTCCCACATCACTGCGTACGAAAGCGAGCATCTGCTCAAGCGGAAACCGGACGGCGTCTTGCCCAACGGACTCAACGTCACCAAGTTCTCGGCCATGCACGAGTTCCAAAACTTGCACCAACAGGCCAAGGAGAAGATCCACGACTTCGTGCGCGGTCATTTCTATGGGCACTACGATTTCGATCCCGAAAACACACTCTACTTCTTCACGGCCGGTCGTTACGAATTCAGAAACAAGGGAGTCGACATGTTCATTGAGTCTCTTGCTCGGTTGAACCACCGGCTCAAGACTGCCGGCAGCAAGATGACGGTTGTTGCTTTTGTCATCATGCCGGCCCAGACCACCTCGCTGACGGTCGAGGCACTAAAGGGCCAGGCCGTCATCAAGTCTCTGCGAGATACCGTTGATGTCATCGAGAAGGGGATTGGACGTCGCATCTTCGAGCGTTCCCTCAAGTGGCACGACGGCGACCCGATGCCCGATGAGAAGGAGCTCATCAGCAGCCAGGATCGCGTCCTGATCCGCAGGCGGCTTTTCGCCATGAAGCGCCATGGTCTTCCCCCCATCGTCACCCACAACATGATCAACGATAGCGAGGACCCGATTCTGAACCAGATCAGACGCGTGCAGCTCTTCAACCACCCATCAGACCGAGTCAAGATTGTCTTCCACCCCGAGTTCCTGAACTCAGCCAACCCGGTGTTGCCTCTGGACTACGACGAGTTCGTCCGCGGAACACACATGGGCATCTTTGCATCATACTACGAGCCATGGGGATACACTCCTGCTGAGTGTACCGTCATGGGTGTTCCTAGCATCACAACCAACCTGTCTGGTTTTGGATGCTACATGGAAGAGCTGATTGAGAACTCAAGCGACTATGGTATCTACATCGTCGACCGACGAACAAAGGGTGTTGATGACTCCGTCAACCAGCTTACATCAAACATGTTCGACTTTTGCCAAAAAAGCCGTCGTCAACGCATCAACCAGCGCAATCGTACCGAACGTCTGAGTGACCTGTTGGACTGGAAGAGGATGGGAATGGAGTACGTGAAGGCCCGTCAGTTGGCTCTGCGACGTGCCTACCCTGGCTCTTTCAGCGGCGACGAGGAGGAGGACTTCATTCCAGGCGTCGAGCAGAAGATCTCGCGGCCGTTCTCCGTACCTGGATCTCCTCGTGATCGAACGGGCATGATGACACCTGGTGACTTTGCAAGCTTGCAAGAAGGCAGAGAGGGATTGAGCACTGAGGATTATGTTGCCTGGAAGTTGCCGTAAGTTTGAACCGCGCTCAGACAAAGCCAAGGATACTGCTGACAGTCGCATAGTGAGGAGGAAGACCCTGACGAATACCCATTCCCGCTCACCCTTCGTGCCAAGCGCCCCTCGGGACCGGCCAGCCCTCTCGATGGAGTGCAACTCAACGGCAACTAAAATCGAGACTACCTCCCAGCCTGCCTGACATGAGGAGCCGAGATGGGCGAGACATGTACAAAGCGATACCGGATGTACGGTAGCCACTCACGTGGGTGCTATAACGCCACTTCGCAAATGACGATTCTATATATGGACATGGACGTAATGGGATGCAGAGAAAGAGAAAAGCAATGGAGACTGTAGGGCGAGTGGCTTGCATGGGTGAGTATGGACATGTACGAGCAGAGTAGCATACCTGAGCATTAGATTGGTTCGAGGTGATTTGTTTCTCAAGGAGATAGTGGATAAGATTACATTGCATTTTCTACCAATTGGGCATGATTTCATGAATAAATCTTGGATTGCACAAGGGATTGGGGGCGATGCAAGCCAGCAAAGCGCAAGACGTGGTGTTTCGTTTCAAGACGAGCGAGAGGATCGGCTGGGCACCAAGGGTTGAAGTGATGACAGTGAATCGGTGCGTGCTCGTTGCTCCAACATTCAGGGGTGGATGCGGACCCAGGGCGGCAACAGCGAATCAGGGGCAAGGTGGTGTTCCTTCCCCACGCCGGCCGTCGACATTTCCAGGGGTCCCTAGAGGTGTAGGGCGTCTGGCGGTGGAGAGCACGCGGAATGGGGGATCTTAGTTTGCACCAAAGAGCCACTAGAATCCGAGTTCCCCTGTTACCTACCCTACTTTAGCCGCCTCCCGCGGTGGCATTGCTCGTGCCTCGTGTGTCTTTGTTCCAATGGCCTTTTTGTACGGCTTGTTTGGCACCTCACCGTGTACAAGTCCAACCGGGGATGAAGCCGTTGGTTGGGCTGGTTGCAGTTTTCCGTCTTTTTTCATCTGAAGTTGAAAAGGGGCACGCATAGCTCCTGCCGTTTTTGGGGCGTTGATTTGCCGGGAAATCCTAGACAAAACCGTTGGCACTTCCCCCAAAAGCAGGCAAGCTTGCCCGTACTTAACCTGGAAGGTCCTACGGCGCATACCATATCACCACGGGCAGCACCTTACCACCTCCTCCCTTCTAGACACAACCAAGGGAAACCCGAAAACCCCTCGTCGTTTGGTGCGAAATTCGAAAAGAAAAAGGCGAAAAAGCCGGTTGTCAGCCCGTCAAACTTTGGCTTTGGGTAGCGTCGTTGGCCAGCAGAAAGCAAGCGTCGCTCTCGCCCCCAAATCGCTGACGCCGATCGGGCAATGCGACCGCCGACCCGTTGATTTAATATATTAATCCCCTACCACCACCCGCGGCACCGACGCTCTCCCCTCTTCCACCAACATGAAGCTCGCCATTCGGCCACTGCAAAAGATGAGGTTCTTCCAAAAAGACAAGGACAAGAAGAAGCAGCAGCAGGTCCAGCATCAGCGGCAGCTATCCGACAACATAGCCGACCACCAGCTGTCCAAGTACTCAACCCAGGTCCAGCAGAACTTCCGCAATCACAACTCGCCGCTCTACCTGCCCACGCGCGCCTCCACCCTCCTCTTTCAAAATTTGCCCAAAGAGATTCTTCCGCGTATCTTTTCCTTCGTCTGTCCGCACACTCAAGATGAGACCTACGAGACCTGCGAAACGAGCGCCATCTTCGACGCATGCATGCTCTGCGACCTGAGGGATCTGGCGAACTGCGCTCGGGTCTGCTGGAAATGGAACCAGGTCGCCAACGCCGCGCTGTAAGCCCCCTCCCCCTCTTCCTTCGAGGCCGAGGCCGCGGATTCTGAGCTGACATTTGTATTTGTGCAGGTATCACAGCATCCGGATCGACGCCGTACACTACTGCCCCCGCGAAATCTACCTTTCCGAACAGCGGAAGCGCAAAACCTTCTTCAAACGCAATGCCGACCCCGAAGATACCCCAGCTGTTCGCCTGAAGTTGCTGTGCCGGACTTTGAGAGAGGACCCCACGCGGTTCGGCTCGAGAGTTCGGTACTTCAAGGTTCCGTACATGCTCCGAGAAGCCGCCACGGCGGACCTGGCCCGCATCATCCACGTGCTCCCGAATCTTCTCTATGTCGACCTTCCCGAGGGCCTGTTTGCCGACGAACATGGTTACGCCACCCTTAGATTGGAGGTCGAGGCTAGGTGCCGTGACCTCCGCAAGATGACATACCACGGAGGCTCGGAGGGCAGCTTGTCCAAGATGGCCAATGGCGGAATATGGCCGAATTTGGAGGTCTTGGAGCTGCACAAGATCAATATGGATCCCTACATCTTACGACACGCGCTGGCCAGCTTGACGCAGCTCCGGGCGCTGAAGGTCATGGACTCGCAGGCGTTCTCGGATGACATTTTATCTCGCAACGAGGACCTGCCTCCATTCCCACCAGTGGAGGAGCTGATCCTCAGCAACACCCCGAATGTCACCGCCAACGGTCTCACCGAGTACTTGGGCCGAGCCGACACCCGCAATATCCTCACGGTTCTGTCTCTGTTGCGAACGGGTGTTCATCCGGCGACGCTAGCCGAGATTCTTTTGGCTGCTCAGAGTCTTCAAACGCTCGTTATCGAGGCCACGGTGAGCGATGCATTCAAGAGTGGGCCGAGAACGCGGCGGCTTGCGTCAACGTCTCTGGAATCACTTCGTTTCGAGATCACCGCCGCCAAGTCAGCTGGCCCTTACTCCAGCGTCACGGCCAGCTACTACACATATCTGGCTGCATCTCTCCGAGGCAATGGAATGCCCAATCTCAGATCAGTCTATGTCCTAGATGAGCATTTCCAGGATGAACTCGAGGGTCTGCCGCGACCCCAAGCGCCATTCTCTTTTGGCAACAATGCCAGACCCAAATCTGCACATTCAGTCACATCCCACCGGCCCATGTCGGGCTTTAACGGCGGAGGCCGCGGCGGCCTTGCTCCTCCCAATAGCGGTGGAATGGCAATCCCCCGGCCTTTTGCTGCAGCATCAAATGTCCGCGCCTCTCAACGCTTCAGCTCTACGAATCCCTTCGCCGGCACGGGCCCACTTTCCCATCCCCTGACGATCTACACAAAATCAGACGACGATCTGGACTGGTCGTCTGTGATGCTTCAGCCTACGGCACCAGCTGGGGGCGGTCACCACCGAGGCGGTAGCATGAGCCTTCACGGAGACCGCCCGATCAGCTCCTACGGTCTGGGCGCGGATATCGCAGGACTTGGATGGAATACCGCGGCGGCTAGGAAGAGCGTCATGGTCGGTAACGGCGCGGGTATGTTCATGGCCATTCCCAGCCAGAGCACGGGCGGAAGCAAGGGGAGCGACGAAGATTACTGGCCGAGACCGAGCACCGCGAACAACGAGAAAAAGTCCGCGGACCTTTGGCGGTGATTGTGGCGACGTTTTGATGACGGAGATGACGGGGATGACGGCGGAATAAAATTTGGCGGGTCAAGTTGCTTTATTCTTCTCTTCTACTATACCCCCTTTTCTATGGCTCTCACGAGTATACATACGCCTAAAGACCTTAGCTAGTGTCAATACTTGTTCTATTGAGAGATAGCATAGGCTAAAATGTTAGGATTGTGGTACTGTGAAACACGTATAGGTTAACCGCCATAAAGCTCATTCGGGGCTGGGCACCAGTTGTACTTCATAGTTCTAGACTACCTGTCTCACTAGCATGTCCAATATCTGTGAGGTCATGTAATTCAAAATAGCCTCTGAGAAACCCAATACGTAAGAAGGCCCTCGCGGGGACCTTTGCAGCCGAACGATAACTGTAGTGCTGCTTCTGAAGCTTTCACAGGCCCGAGACACAACTGTTCACGCAAAAGCCTCCCCGGCGAACTTGGAAGAGTGAAAGCTCTACACACGCTGACGATGTGCTAATGAATAGTAAATATCAATTTCGGTATTGATGCTACGAAGTATGTTCAGCCCGCCATGTGAATGAATTTGTCTGCTGTGACAATTGGTGGAGAGAGAACCTTTCTATGGTGCAGCTCGTTCGCGGCTCTTTCTCTATGTCTATGTCGGATATCTATGATTAACGCCACGGAAAGATCGCGTTTTGACGCGAAACGCTGTTCTCCCGTTACACATCAACCGCCAGCTATGTTGAGAGCATGGATTCCAAGCAATACTATTCCAATACGCCGCACAACACAACCCTCACTTTTTTGCTCTATTCGACATCTCGCCATGCCCAACGAGTACACCTTGAGTATCTTAATAGTCTTCAAGATTGCAATGATTCTGTAGCGAAACCTTACCCTTCTGAAGGTGGCGACCGCACGAGAACCTCGAGAAGATATTTCTGCTGGAGACGCGCTCCCAAGGGTGCTGAGGCGCTCATAAACATGTGGACTGGAAACTTGTTCCTTAAGATGTTGCATCATACGAGTTTTGGGGTTTTCCCCCCCTCGTAACACGCGATTATCACACTTTTTCTGAATCTTGAGATGATAGATTCCAAGCGGGACCGCTTATATCGAGGCTTGTGTCGCCACGCATGTTGGAGTCCAGTGAGGACTCGGCTCATGAAGGCGTAGCAAGAACCGTGAGAGATATCCGGTTCATGGCGACGGCAGATCAGATGCCAGTCCTGATCTTTGAGAGGTCATGATACTAGAAGTCATAGTATCATGACCTCTGCTCAACATGCACGAGGGGTCGAGGACCCGAGATTGGGCCCATGCACTACGCTCAACTTCTCGTTCCACATTGCTCCTCGGTAACTTGAATGCGACCTTCTTTGGGCTTGTGTAAAGCCGGGCGTAGTTGCATCATGTTAGTATGTGGTTTGTCACCCTGTGGGATGTGAGTGGTTGAGTAGACAACTGGAACACCAGAACTATGATGATGGACAAGCTTTGGACGGATTGCAATATGACTTTCAACTTTTAGTAGGTTTACTGACTTCCACTTCCTGACAGTTTAATGTTGAAGACTGGGAAGACAACAGATGTTGCAGTTCTTACCTCCTTGGCGTTGAGAAACTGACCGCTGCTGTTAAGGCCTTTGAGTACCCAACTGCAGAGAGACCTTGAGCAATGACTTTCAAATGCAAACGCAAGAGTTGATGAAGACGATGAAATAGCAAGATGCGGTACTCTCTTCATCGCGGAAAACATTGCATAACAGAATCGTTGTCGTCCCAGCATTCCTGGAGTGCTGATAATTGTCGCGCAAAAAGAACAGAGCTCGTGCTCAGAGTGTCATTAGGGTCAGTGTAGTCGTCGTCTACTTAGACCCACGGGGCATCGGAGCTTGCGATGAGCATGCTGTTCGAGGTCCGGAGTCGCCGCCGTAGTTGAAGAATATGCTGTGCCAGATCCAGCTGTCATCGTCGTCTGCGGTGCGTTTGAGAATCATGAGCAAGAAGAGACTAAGAAAATCAAGCCGTGAAATGGGGTTTCAAGACGTGTTCGACGTCCCCAGGTACTCAGAAATCAGCCGACGAAAGAACCGAAACGGTGGATGGTTCTTCTTGAAAGAGTCTAGACCTGGTGAAGAGCCATCGCTATGTTTATCCGCATTCACCAAACATTACATAGCTGGCATCGTCTTCCGATATCAGGCCGTGGTTACTTTGAAACGTGCCTGGATAAGCTCGGTGAGAGAGCCCGAAGCGACTCTTCTGGTCAGTTCCTCATGACGCACGCCTGGACTCATAAGTATTAGGTGCGGGATAGGTACATGGGTGGGTTAGTTTCCATCAACTTTTGTCCGATGTAGAATTCGTTGCAACAACATACCAGTGTCATCGATGAAATGAGAGTTCAAAAGCTTTGAAGTCTTTGGAGACTATATTAGGGTTCTGTATGCGACGAACCCTTACTATTCAGCAACGCAAATCATCTCCAGGGTGGTTAGTTGTACGTTTGAGCTCTGGGACCAGTCTATTGACACGAACGTTGGCTTGTCTGGCTTCATTGTGGGTGCTGTTGACGAGAAAACTGCTCTCGGCTACATATCATAGATCGATCATCCTGTTGGTTTCTCTCTCCACGTTTGTCGTCTGTCGTTTATACCAGATGACATGCAGTTCCGCATGCCTTGCGCCGTCTCCGCAGATCTATCAGTCACAACTGGAAATCACCGTTGAGGAGGTCTTGGGATGACCATACACGTTGGCTTGCCACCGGCCGAGATGATTGCCTGGGACGCTCCGAATTCCCCAGGGCCGGCGCAGCGCCCGACCCATGCAACTGAGACGAAGTAGGAGGCTGAGTATCAAAACAGACATATGCGAAGAACACTGCCCCTCTGTTCACCCTTTCTGTCATCCGGTTGTGCTTGGTGGTTCTTCATCCCCGCAGCCCTGATGTCGACGTTTCTTTTCGCCATGGAACTTGACGAGCGCTTCTGTTGCCTTGACATTGATCAACACAGCTTGGCATCTGCAGTCATCGATGATTTCTCACCTTGCCAGTAAAGTCAGAAGCATCAAGCACAAACTTCCTCTTTATGGTCTGGACATATGGGAGAAGTAGAACACACGGCAACCCAACAGCATGAAGAGGTACCGAAGAGAAACACAGAGAACAGCCCACCGATCTGGGTATATTCAAGCCGAATGAAGCCGTCTCACTCCGCAATGACCAGCCGCAGGCCATGATAGACAGCGCTTCTGCGTTTTAGCGTTTCGCGAGCAGTCCTGGCTCTGGGTATATAATATCTCGCCAGGCCGAACAGTTTTCTCAACCGCACCAGTAAATGCGCAAGCGTAGGGTATCGAACACGGACTTGGCGAGGCAAAGAGGTTCATCCTCAGACAGTTGCTGCTGAAGAGAGACGAAATCAATCCCGAGGATAGGCTGGCCATGATCCCTCGGAAACCAAACACTCACCGGTATCTTATCCGAGGTTAATACGACAAGAGCAACGATGAAGGGCAATGGCGGACGAAGGTTCGCATCCGAGAGCCCGAAGATCCTCCACTCACTCAAGCTATATACCAATGACAGAATATCCCAATTTCGATCAGCCCACGATGCTCCCGACTGGTATGTATGATCGCCTTATGCTTGCTAATTGGTAAGCTTGCAAGGTCTGCACTGTATATATACCAAGACCTTCGAGTAATCAACAACGGCCTCTCCGCTACAGCGTTGAACAGCGCGACAGCATCTCCGTAGTTTAGACCGATAACCCTACCTCTGTCTTCCTAGTTCAAATCGACACAATACATTTGAGTGCCGCATCGGCACACCACTCTCAGCAACACCAACTTCAGTCTCTCCGCTTCAAGGAGCAAGTCTTCCGGTTTACTCGTTGCCTGCAAGAGACTCAAAACAAGAAGAAACATCCAACCAAGAAATTTCAGCTTCAACCTGTCTTGAAGCAGCGGAGTTCCATCGAAAAAAACTTTTCCTCCCGGTCTCGCCTGACACCAGCGTTGCTTCTTGCAGCGTCTGCAGCTTCCGCCCGAGACCGGGGAACCCCCGCCGCGAAGAAGCCGCCGGAGAGATTATGTCTCGAACGAAAACTGAATCAAACGTGCAAAAAGGCGCCGAGGTCGGTCATCCCTTGAAAGACAGCAGCGTTCGTGGAACAACAACAGAAAAAAAAAGGACATGCAACTGTAACAGCCGGTGCAGTGATCTCGGCTTACGGGAAAGCCTCCGGGGTGAACCACCGCCAAGACGAACACATAAGATTCGGGACATGTTGGTAGGATATTCGGCACGCATGATGGTGCAGCATTTCGTCAGCCGCCGAAAAGCTATTCCTCTTGATAGCCGATGCGTGAGATGACATGACAGCTCAGATTGAGGGCTGGGACGTCGGCGAGGTGCGGTGTACCGTGTGACCTCATCCGCGAAGCAAACCGACGGCATCTCACCTCTCGTGCGTGCTTGCCTGCCGACCTGCCTGACTGCATCCCGTCCTTTCCACGACGCACGAGGAAGAGCAATTGGGCAGTATAAGCAGCCAGGGTCGAAAAGCTGAAAACAAAGGAGATGGTAAACACAGTCCAGAACACGTCCACGCTGCGTAAACCTCCGATCTCCCTTCAGTCCCAAAAGCAAGGAAGTTGCAGCAGCCATGCCATGCGACGTCGTTTCTTTTCCCCTCGTCGGTGAGCGTAGACAGACGTGCGGACATCTCACCTCTTGCTTGCTTCATCCTTGTCAGACCCTGCATGCAGCCCGGCTTCGCTTGGGTAAGTAAGATATCTTCGGCTGACACAGACCGAACCACGCTTCAGGTTCGTCAGAGTAGGAAACACGACAAAAAAGGAGGAAGGCCTGTGATGTCGTAATCATCGTCGGGATCCCTTCCGCGACATCTGGAAAATGATCTTCAGAGGCTTTCTGGAGTCCAGAACCACGGCAGACAATGGACACTGGCGCCTTAGGCTGGGATGGGGATGTGTGGTGACG